GTCAAAATTCTCACTTGCCATCCATCTTATGGGGTAAGTCACTCCTCGAGCCAGAAATCTACTCGATACTTATGGAGCAGTTTTCTGCTTTTCTAATCACAAAAGGTAGAGAAGCTGCTGGCCCTCAGGACAATCAGAATTCTCAACACGGACTCTGAGACGATAACAACGATCAAAGAGCTGCTCGAAACTCGTGTCTGACTTGCGATCATGGAGGGTGGCGGTGATATACAGTATCGAAGGTTTAGTGAAAGTTAAATGTAATGAAGGTTGCAGAGGGCCGGGTACTCGTCTAGTGTTGCAATGTCAGTGAAATAGCACAGTATCATATGGTCGAAGTGAAAGCTGTGTGGAGCGGGTGTGTCCATGGTGTTGCCTCTCGCTGATGTGACTCGGTCAATGAGTGCTAGTTTGTACTACTTCTCTCTCTAGTTATAAGTGGTGATAATGCATAGCCTCGGAGGGGTCCCGACGTTATGCATGAGCAAGTGTACTGTAGTTGGCCGGATATCACGTAAGCACCCATACTAGTCTCAGAAGCTTGAACGTTTGAACTGCCGTCACATCACTCACAATTTTTAGCCTATCATTGCGGTACTTCGGGTTGTTGGTGATGATGACTGCTACTCACTAGCGATGACGAGAAAAAACAGGCAGATTCATTCTTCTCCATGCACATGATAGCATCATTTTTCCTGTGGAAACTTGAACGACGATGTCTGCATCGCAACCCCTGCGATGATAATTGCATATCCAATGAAGGCGCGAGATCCGGGCAACTGACTTCACAGTCTCCAATGAACAACTATTACATTTCTTCGAATGGTCTGGCTAGGGGAGACTAACTTAGGATGGTCCACAATTTGACAACGGCTCAGAGGGGATAGCATCCAAACGTCCATGATTAGGCTGATTAGTTGCAGGCGCGTGCAGTGTAGGAATCCCGCACTAGCTGGCTGATGAGGTCTGGAATTTCAAGTTGAAGCCTTGAGGACGCGATTTCGTCGACGTCGACGTGGCAGGTCGACTAAATTCAGATCATGACAAGCTAGCGTAGGTCCTAGCCACTTCTTAATCCTTTTGGCTGAGAAACTCCCTGAAACTCCGTGTCTTTTGCACAGAATATATGTGGCACATCACAGTAACTCGGATGATCATGATAGACTGAACTTTCTGCCACATGGCTTTTGCAGTTTCTCGCTGGCCTGTCGCCTGCTACGTTTTCTCATCATGTATTTAAGGATCAGATGTTACCTTGATCTTCTTCGGTATTTCGTATCCTCTCTTGTCAGCCATGGCCACTGAAACGGTAGAAGAGACACTTGGTGCCACCGACAAAAAATCCTACTACATAAAGGGGGATATCGAGACCTCCACCCGAGAAGCCGAAACAGACGAGAATGTCGTGCTCCGGAGCGAGAGAGAAATTGCATCTCACGTCATTTCTGTGGACGACGACCCTAGTCTGAATCCCTGGACCTTCCGGGCTTTCTTCATCGGCCTTGGACTTTCCGCCTTCGGTGGATCCCTGGGTAAAGCAGTCGAAATCACTCAGTAGAGGCTCTTGTTCACTTGCACCGCTTCATAGCTCAAATTTATTACTTCAAACCTGTGAGAGTGTCTTGATCAAATATTAGGTCGGAGGTCTCATTCGGGTGGACACTCCAGCAAACTGTCCTTGTATCTCTGATGTTCCTCGGCATCATATCTTATGTGATTGGCCTTGCGATGGAAACATTCATCCCCCGATACGGACTGCTCCGATACTTGAATCCAGTGCGCCCGAGTCTTCCTCGTAGCCCCTGACATTGAAGTTCAAGCGTATTTATGAATATCAGGGACCCTTCAATAAGAAGGAGAATGCGTTCATTATCATTATGGCCAGTGCAGCCGCGAACTCTGCGTTGGGTACCGAAGTTCTCGCTGTTCAACGGTAGGCTCGCAATCCAATTCCTCTGTCGGTGGTGACTGACGAATGATCAGCTTGTATTATAACATCACGCCGAACCCCGGCTCATCAATCTTTTTGTTGTTCTCTTCTCAATTGCTCGGGTGCGTTGCACCGGCGTACTACTTGTCCACATATCGCTGAAGTCGCAAACCACAGCTATGGGATCGGTGGTCTAATGCGAGGTATTTTTGCATCCAACGGTAGCTATACTTGGAATACCAACTCATGACACTGTGACTCAGGGGTCCTTCTCTATCCGTCGAAGATGCTGTACCCTGGCGTTCTCCCGTTGCTATCCATGCTCGACGCATTCTATCGCGATGGCATCGAAGCACGTCGAAAGCTCAAGGTCTTCTATTTCGTCTTTGCTGGGTGTGTTTCTTAATTGATAAATCACGATTTAATCTTTAATTTCTAATCATCTCGAACTCAGAATCTTTTTATGGGAGCTTTTTCCTGAATGGATATTCCCACTGCTCACCGGTTTCTCAATCTTCTGCCTTGCCGCTCCTGATAATGCTACTGTCTCTCGCGTGTTTGGTGGTTCCAATGGCAACGAGGGCCTCGGTCTATTTTCCCTGTGCTTCGACTGGCAGGTACAGCTTTCTGTCCAGATACATATGTTAATATTTGGGATTCAACTTCGGTTTAGTACATCTCGAGTAATGCTGGTAACCCGATGGCTATTCCACTGAGGGCTCAGGTTGGTTGGCAATCCTGTATGCGTGACGTTTCCGATAACACGCATCCTAGCTCTCCAGCTTCATTGGTTATATTATCTGCATGTACGTGATTTAGTCACGTCGCAAAATATAACTAAGGGAGGTGAAGGTTCGTCTTCGTCACCGTATTCTACAACAACATTTGGGAATCTCAGAACTTCCCATTCGTACGTAACATCCTTATGGCGCGCTCTGATGTTCAGGCTAACACTGCATCGATCAGTTGGCGCAGCTCCTCTTTTACGAGAACGGGACCGTCTACAACCAGACTTTGATTATGAACTCCAACTATGAGGTGGATCCAGCCTTAGTAGCGGAACAGGGACTGCCATTCTACGCCGGCACCTGGATCATCAACCTTCTGTCAATGAACCTCGTATGCCAAGAATCGCCACTGATGGTGTTTTGCTCATATTCTACCCAGGGATTGGCTGCGACGTTCACTCACCTACTCCTGTGGAATAAAGATGACCTTCGTGCAGCCTGGGTTTGGATAAATATGGATACACTGAAAAATTGGCGTGCTACTTTCAATTGGAAGTTTTGGGAGCATAGTGGAAAGAGGGAAGTCCCCGCCAACACTGAGGACCTCGACCCGCACCACCGGGAGATGCTGAAGGTTAGTCCTGACATCAGATGGAGACCTTACTAGCAACACATTGTCATACAGTATCCAGATGCCCCGAATAGCTGGTACCTCCTGACGTTTGTTCTCACCTTCATTGTTGGACTGGTCGTTATCTACAGGACAAATTCTACGCTTCCCTGGTGAGAAACGATCTCATCCTCTATCCGACGAAAATTTATTGAGTCTTTTGAGGTGGGGCTTTGTCATCGCAGTCCTCTTGGCCGCCGTATCTATCTTGTTCTTCGGCGCGTTATGTGCCATTACTGGCCTCAGTCTTTCCATCCGTACGTATTATTTATCACAATAGCTACCCTAAGCTGATCTATCAGCGAAGAAACCCTGGTTCAGATGATTGCTGGCTACCTGCACCACGGAAGACCTATGGCGAACATGTTCTTTGTTCGTATTGACGTACTTTCCGATTTTTGACCACTACTAATGTTATCATTGGCAGGTCCTTTACAGCTATGTCCGTATCCCTATGATCGCCTTGATTAGCATTTGATCCGGGTTATCGTCCAGAATACTGTGTCTCAAGCTTTGCTGCTACTGCGTGATCTGAAGATTGCTCAATGTTTGTATACATTCTTTGTCGGGGAGGCACTTCTCACTGACAGACACTCAGACGCCAAACTGCCTCCCCGAGCTGCATTCACAGCTCAGATCATCGGCACCTTACTCGGTGCTGTTCTCAACTATGGTTAGAGAGCCGTCTTGCCTATCCATTCTCCACATTTGACTTCATTTTAGTTATAATGAATTCTGTCATCGACAATGAACGTGAAATCCTATTGTCTGTACAAGGAACAAACATCTGGTCTGGCCAGCAACCTCAATCATACAACTCGCAAGCCATCGCGTGGGGTGGCCTTGCTCGCGAGCTCTTTTCATCTGGTCAAAGATACCAATGGGTTCCCTTGTCCTATCTTATCGGCTTGGTGGCGCCTCTTCCTTTCTGGATTGTACACCGTTACTGGCCGAGACTACGCATGGATTACTATTACATCCCTATCATTTGGTACGCTCTGAACCCATCAATGTCTGATATTCAAAACCCAATATTAAAGCAGTTACTACGTTGGAGCGCTCTCCGCCGGAATCAACTCTTCGGTTGTGTCGTATTACATAGTATCGTTCTTGTGTCAGTGGTGGCTCCGTACTAGGTATCCGCGTTGGTTCGTGAAATACAACTATTTGGTCGGTGCAGGTAAGTTTCGTGGCTGTCTGGTTTTGAATGTCGATTTCATACTCTGTATAACAGCTCTCGATGGTGGAACGCAGGTCATGGTATTCATTCTCTCCTTTGCGGTCCAAGGGGCCGCTGGACCACTACACCTTTTCCCGGATTGGTGGGGTGCAAATCAAGGAGCAAACTACGACCGTTGCTTGTATATCACTTAGTCTATCACGTCAGGTTGATGTTCCTTTGCAGTCAAAGAATATAATTTCTGTCCTTTCGAGGGCTACACTCCGTGAAGGAGAGGACGGTCTCATCTATTGGATTCCCAGTGTCGCTAAAGCACCTCTGGGTGCGCGAATGCCCCGATGTAGTGTGCAGGTTGATAGTGAAACATATTGGTGGCATCTCACGGTATGAAACAAATTCCAGGAATGTGACGTTTAGAAAAATAAAACCTACTCAGGGTAAATTTGCGCAAATTTCGTCAGTTTCATTGTGTATACCTTAGGACCGCGGTCTCCCCTGGGCTTCTTCGATTAGGACTATCGGAGAGGCACACATCAAACTACATAGATGTAAAGGATGAGTAAAGTAGCATATCACATTAGCACATCACTTTCCGAGTGGCATCAGTACTTGGTAAATTAACGAGTTTACAAGATAGCGTCGTATATGTCTGTATAAGCGCTACCCAGGTGTCTAACTGTGCTGGTTGTATGGCAAATAGGGTATATATCCACTCATGATGACCCCAAGTACCCATGCATGACCAGCGACATAAACCAAACTTCTGACCCAAAGCCCAAGAACACATCATCACCGAGGAACTCCAACTTGTATGCCTCTGCAAGCCACAGTGCTTGCGTACCCATCCAGACTGCTCCACACATCACCCACTTTTTCCATGAAATGTTGATGCAAGGCACAAGTAGGGGTATAAAGAGGGTATACCAAATGAAGTATTGGGACGTGCACACACGGTTGAAGAGTACAAATGTGAACGTCTGTACAAACCACACGAACGGAAGGCCGACTGAGAGTTGGCCAAAGACGAGGCCGGTCCCAAGGGACAACGTCAATTGGGGTATAAGACTTGTAAATGGCGAGCGAAGTAGTTGACGCCAGATTGATAAGTCGGCTGAGGTACCTCCGAAACTAGAATATGTCAGGTAGATGAGGTAGAAGTAAGGGGAAAAGTTATGCCGATGATCACGCCGGTCTGTGTGATATAGATATGCCTCGTAGAGGAAAGGGTATCCCCACCTGTGTCGCGAGTCAGGTTTAGTGCTCGGAGATAATGCAGATACTGACATAGCGTAGCATATAGCTCCTAGAATAATAAATGTCCCAGCGCTAAGAAGGACGAAACAAAGTGCCTGTTTGCCAACCAGATTGCGCAGTAGATACGCAAAATTCCACCCTTGCGCATTGACGCGCTGCGAGGTGATCGCGGAGACACAGCTAACCCCATATATGATCGGGTAGATTTTCCAGTGAGCACTGAGTCCCAGCATCACGGCGGCAGCGTTATGTCGACGTTCGAGTGCGTAGAATAATGTCAAGAGGACAAAAGTGCAGAGAATCGCTTCAGAAGAACCACGCGTTGAGATGGTAAATACAAGAGGGTTCAAGAGGTGGGTTGCCGCTAGGAGAGATGCATGTGCACGCATAAAGTGTTCGGAGTTCTTTGCGGAGACATCTGGTGCCAAAGATTTGACATGGGGAAGGATGTGCGACATCAAAATTTGATAAATGAGGGCGCCGTTTATTAGATCGCATGCGGCAAACAAGTACTTTCCGAATGACGGGTGTAGCCACTCATTCGGAAGGAGAAGGATGGCCAGCAGTGGAGTATAGCGATAAGTCTGCCGAGTGTACGGACTATGAAATCACTGAGCCTGACATCAACGAACAGACCGAGGAACTCACTCTCCGACAGTGAAAAATAGAGGTGCGAGTGGCCCCTTTGCAATATTATCCTGAAGTTTGGGATGTATGATAAATCTAGCAGCGTCGCTGAATACACGGTAATCAATGTCGGTGTACTTCACAATCGAATGCGCATCGTGCCATTCGCTGTACAGTATGAGCACAATACGAAGAACAGCAGAAATAACCAGAAACGTTTCAAACCGAGGGATACTGTTTTGCCATGCAGCACTAGTGTTGGGTTGCATCCGACCTTGAAGCTTAAAGCTGAGCCAAAGCGCTCGCTGCCAGTGTGTGCTTGGCGTGTTTAAAAGTCACGTGATGACTGAAGATGCAAACCTAGTATGTAATCATAATTATTGCACAAGCCCGATGCTAAAGCGCTAACCCCGAGCGCCTTAGGTGAGGCCCATTACTATCACGCGCTAAGAACTGAGGTACAGTCGTACATTATTAGGTTCGTTATCATTATGGCGCTCACTAGTCTCATCTAACTACAACTTTTGGGACGAAGGAAGACATTTAATTCCTCCAATAAGGTCTGTTTCTGATGGCAATGAGCGCTCCCTGTCAGGTTAATTGGTCTCCCGTGTGCCGAATGCCACGGGATGATCAGGAATGTGCTCAATTGCGGCGAAGAAGGCAAGTAATTATCATGTCAGATGCTTGACCTGTCACTGTGGCCTATGGAATCTACCGCTCGTGGGTTAGCACATTAAGCTCTACCCATATAAATATTGACTGCTTTTGCAATCTGCTTCAGTAACGGTCTCTGCATCATATCACTCGCGACCCATCAGATTTCCAGTAGTACTCTGCTTGGCCATTAAAGCGACAAAGGACATAATTCTTCAGTACTGATGGCTGATAACAAGAATCATTTGTCAGTGAGGTTTTTTTGGTCCATGACCCATAGTCAGACTGATTAGGAGTCTACGTGTCTCCTTCAGATTAGGGTGGTACTACAATCAACTCACAACACAAACATTTAGTTTTAGTAGTGATCAGCCAATATCTTCGTTTCACCCACCCATATGCAATGCTCGACTCGGAGTCTCGTCCACCGTGCCATCTTAAGAAAGTAGACTGCGAAATGAAGCCCGAAACAGGGTTATTGTCTCTTGCTGAAGAACTGATGTCTTATATTCTCAGCTTTCTTCCTTGTCGAGATATTCTTCGTTGCACATCTGTGAGTCACAATATCGATCTATGATCGTGTCGATGTGATCCTCGTGCTAGTAAATGTAATTCTATACTGATAATGCTCTTGTAGGTGTGTAAGACCCTTCGTCAGACGTACATATCCTCCTCCGAGCTTCAGTATATCGTCGAACTGAGTGGCCAACGATTGCTCCCTGTCTCCAACACGAACAACCACACTCCTACTTCCAACTGTCTACAGACCTTGAAAGACAGGGCCCACGCATGGTTCAAGCTTAACATGCACTCTTTCAAAACAATCACCATACAAGACAACTCGCTCACGAACAAAAGGCTCGTTATCGACGGGCATTTTTACTCGTGGAATTTTCGTAGTGACCTGGCCATGATAATTCCAATATTACCAAAGCCCTCGCAAAGAAAAATCGAGCGCTGCTGGTCTTCAGCAACATTGTCCTCGGTACCCCACTCCATTATGGATGTGTTGATGGACCCAGCGCAAAACCTGATCGCCGTCGCGTGTCATTTTCCTTACGAGAATGATCCTCTCACTCGGATGTTCAATATTAACCTTGGAGCCCTAGATGGTGGTGGTATTCACCCACAAGCTGCTGGACGGACACTAGTTCTGGTGCCGCCCGATAGGTTCAATGCAATGTCTACGAAGCTTTAGTGTTGTGGGAGGCATATAGTCTTGCAGTATTGCTCGTTTTCTGTACCTGGTATGACTCGTTGCACGCAAGACTGGCACCTGCATATTTGGGATTGGAAAGATTCGACGACATCGAAGGTGAGGCTTTATCTGAAGTAGTCCAAAGACTTGATGATTAATTTTGAATTCAGAGCTTCCTATCCTTCCCACCCGACGTCCAGGTTGATTTCTGTTTCCTTGGAAATGATAGGTTGCTCGTTGTCGTTGGCGGCGATCTGACGGTCTATTCAATCGAAGATATGTCTCAGACGCCACGTTTGCTGGCGTGTTTCCGATTGCCATTCCCATTGTCGAACATACAATGCCTCCTTCCGATGGATCATACCGAACAGATGCAGATGCAAGCCCAACCACAAACAGTGACGCACACCTCAGACCCTACACATCAACTACTATGCCTCACTGCGTCATATAATACTTACACTGTGGTCTTCATCATCTCTACGAGGATTTTCTTCGACCTTGACGAGGTTGCAGCGACAATGCCGAAACCATGGGAATGTTGGGGCCCTTTAAATACTCGTATTTTCTGGTATCGCCAGCAATGCAAAGTCCACGTTTGTGGAAATCGAGTTTTGCAGGCTATCAGGAAGACTACGACGCCAAACAAGAGTCGTGTCAAGCACGAATTACGTCTGATGGACTTCAGCCCAGTGGCTGTGACAAACAGGCGGGGTCTTGGGCGTGTGGTGAAAGAGCCGTCTTCGATAAAAACGAGTACTAGTCACTTGGTGGAGAGCGCCACCGAAGAAGAGAGCTTCGAAATTACAACATCCTTGCCTTACGTCGATGTCGTATTGGATAGGAAGATCAATGTTCGCGACTTGAAGGGCATGTGGCTCGACAAGGATAGGATTTATTTGCTCAACGCAATTGAGGATAGTCGAGGTTCTTGGTTTCAATGGCGATCTAGCAGGTTCAAGGTCATCGAAGTCTAGAGCAGAGCTCGTCGTAATCATATATATAATATGCCAGCTTGGCACAATATTGGTAGTTACTTATGGAGATAGATTGTATCCCACTTCTGGCGTAAGCATGTCATCGAACACATCCAGGAGGAGCGGATCTTAGAAGACGATGTTGGAGCCGGGGGATGATCGATGATTATTGATGTCGGTGCAAAAGGAGGCAACAGTCAAAAACCATGCAGGAGGAGAACGACAGTCCCAAAGCCACCCACAGTGATGAGGTATCGTTTATGGTTGCTCAAGCGATGTTGAGTGCGCCCATGCGACCAACGCATAGCTGACCATGACCTCGCCGAAGAACCGCGGATGTTGTCCAAGGTAGCTGTTCTTTTCCAATCGATGGTTCATGTAACAATTCATTGTTCCTTACAGGCACTTGTAAAGGCTGTAATTCTTATCCTCCGGATCCCTTGATTTGGCGGAACAAGACTACGGAAAATAAGTAACGCTGACGCGCTCAATCTTTGTGACCCTGTTTCCAAGCTCGCTGTTTGGAGATTGACTAATTTTGCACCTGAGTGATACTTACACAATCGCGAAGGTCTAAAGCGTGCCGCATGCCTTCAGAGGACGCAAATGCCATCAAGTGCTTTGATGGGTAACCAGATAAACGTGAAAAGCATCATCTGTACAAACTGAATGGCTACTGAGAGTCTAACTAGATACCGGCGCAGCAGATGTTGCATTTTAGGGTGCTATCCCAGACGATTTCGTCACCTTCCTCGCAGTAAACGTGTGGAGGACCTTGGCACCGATAAATGCATGAATCAGCAGAAGCTGCATTCACCCCGACCGCAGCGGCAAGGATGGAAAGGTAGTAAGTGAACTGGATCTTCATGACGTCTAGCAGCTTATATACATCAGTGATGGCCGTCATTGCCGGGAAATCGCTCACCGCACAATTTGACTGTGGTGTACGCAAAGGTGCTGATAGTGGCACGTCCAGGAAGAACTAAATGCAATAGATATGTCGCTCAAGTTGCTTTAGTCTTCAAGCTTCAAGTCTCATGATTACTCACGTAGACGGTGCAATTATCTTCAAGTTTGAACTTGGGATCTGTGATACTTGCCATTCAATTTATATCAACCGTGTGGCAGATCTGGTTCTGCCTAAAGGTACTCATACGTGGCAGCACCACGTCAGGGACAGCCAACATGTTGCTCATAGCGACTAGACGAAACGTTCACGTGGGGTATTTCAAGTTGGCCCGTTTCAGCAGCCAAAAATGACAGCAATGGCGTGGAACTAGCTGCATCACATTCAGCTAAGTCTTCTTGAATCAAGATGAGTAGCTAATTCAATGTCTGTAAGCCACTTACACTGGTCACATATTTTTGTAACCCTGGTACGCATCTACTCGCTCCCACCCTAGCTCGAAGTCAAGGTGGTGCCATCATGGCTGAGACTCAAATATTTCCTCCTCTCATCCCTGATAACATGTTTCAAGATGCTACGGTCACATCCCGCTCTCGATATCGACAGGAAAGACCTCCAAGTTAGGTGGCAGGTAGTCCCAAGTGGCAGGAATTCAACAATTCAAGTCGAGCGCGAGTTGAATGGTACCGTGCCCGTACGCTCGTTGCCTGACGGGCCCAGGTCATCCGCCAACGAAGAGAGATCGTAGTCGTTTAAGACACCCGTCTTTCCGGTACCACATCAAGGTTCTAGGGCTAACACCACAATTATAGACCTCTTCTTTCCACAGAGTGAGGTGTCCTGCAGGCCATGTTAACGAAGAGCCTCATAACTGCATTCAAAATACGTACATAAAATACATTGGTGCCACAAATCGAAAAGCTGGTTGGCGTGGAGCTCCGTGATTGGGTTGAGCTTGCGGAATACGAGAATGTAGAGCACGCGACTCCCCGTAGTGGGTTTCAGAACACCGAGCGCTTCTCGGGTGGCAAACGTAGATGCGTGAACGTACTGTGTACAGTTGCGTGCCTCTTAGCAATTCCCAACTTTTTTCAGGATCTCCGGCTCACTAGTGCGATCCGCCTCTCCCCAAAATATCTTGGCCACCATCCCATCCTGAAAGTTCCCGTATTTCTCCACAAGTACCTCACTGGTGACAGGGACCACATTGGTGTCAGATGGACCAAGCTGATGTTCTCACTGACGACTGAAGCTCCACGACTGTTTGGGGTGGACTCTAATTTACGATCACCTTCAACTGGTCCATTTGCGCGTGGCGGAGTAGATGATGTGCCAGTCCCTCCAGTAGGGGACATGACGGTAGGTGTTCAATGATAACACTGGCTGAGTGTGGTGAGCAGAACTACTGAGGTGGAAAAAAGTGAGGACAATAAAGACTAATACTTCCTCTTGCCCTTTATCCGGTCAACCAATGTGGCGCAAATAGAGTGAACCATCGATCAATCTGATATGTGAGATGTGGAGGTGGTTGTGGACTTACAGTTACTTAGTTACCTAATAGCCCTAGGGGGAGCTCAGAGTAGACCGCTTTTGCTGTTGATGCATGTGAGCACTAAGGGTTAGCATATGTTATATAAGCAGATAACCGGGCCTTGGGATTTTGCCGCATCATACCGCATCCTGCCGCATCGGTGCCGCACCCTACCTAATAGTGTCTTATATCCCTGTATAATATGTCTATGTCGTCCATAAAGGTCATGAATATGATTATTGACGCAAAAATATCATAGTATATGTTTTTGAGTTAGAATTACACTGATACAACAGTGATAGTATACTTGATGGGTGCGGCAGTGGCTGTGCACTACCGCAACCCCACACCAACCCACGCACTACACTTGCAGCACCTCACGCGAAACTTGGTTAAACTACTAAACAAACTCCTCACACAGCTCAACGCCTCAATGCCTATTGTTCAAGATATGTCTTCATTGGTGACATGTCTAGAGATTAGAGGTAGAGCAGGATAGAAAAGATCTAACAGGTAAGAAAATGGTCTCAGTCTCTGAAAAGAACTCTTTATTGACGAAGTGTATACCTAACAGGTAAGAAAACGCTACACTAAGTCAGTTATATGTGGGCTAACGATAAAGGTATAGACTCATGTCTCAGTCTCTGAAAAGAACTGAGTCGCTCGTGCCAATTGGGCGCTACTATTTATATGGTAAGTGTTTTCAATAATTAGGTAGGTGAAATTTTAACTTGGACCTATCGGTCCTGACGTCAACAGCTCCTTCTCCATTCCTTCTTTACCCTCTACTCCTCCTCCTGTTCCTCTCCGGCTTCAGTATCTTCGGACTCAGCAGAATCAGATGCCAATAACATGCCTTGACAACTTCACTACAGCACATCTTTGGGCCTCAAACATGATTCTGTGGTCCCCGCGAGAACAGATATTAGGGTCTAAGGTATGTGTGTCATATGTGATGGGTATATGGCCTTTAGACAAGACTCATTACTTTCACAGTACACAAGTTCTATGGACTACTGTCAACTTAAGACACCTTATGTGCCTTCCTTGGTCGTGGCCGCGGTAGTGATGCGGAGGTTCGGTTCTGAACCGCGGTTCGAACCAGACCTTTCGTGGACTGGACCATGGTCCAGTTCAACATTCAGAGTATAGGCTGAACTGGACTGATGGTCCAGTCCAGCGTTCAGCATTCCTTGAACACGTTGAACGCGTCCGAACGCGTCCGAACCTTTTTGAACTGCTTCCATTTTAGGCTACTCACACATACAAGATGACATCACCCACACACGCAATACACTGAACATGACATGATTACTCGCGACTTTTTCGCTTGGAATCCAATTCACAAGGACCATGCCACACTGGCAAGGTCCGTGAAGGTTTGTTTGCCTACCACTAACCCAAACATTACAAAGGAAGAACCTGATAAGGTATGGAGACTTTGGTTAATTTGGTTTAGTGCTAATGTATTTGTTAACGGGTCGTTTTTTTTCTAGGGTAGCTACATGAATTGTTCGGCACTCATGAACTTGATGGAAGTTAAAATGGATCAAATTCAAGGTAAGCTCAACTCTCTTCAAGCTTTCCCCCTCACAACATGGCTGACCAGTGTGGTCTGGGTGCAGATGGAACTCTCCTCGACGCCAGTCAAATCCAATGGTACAATGATCCCGACAACGATACTCCACTGCCTGTGCTTCCCGCTCAGGCACGTCGCTCAACTCATATCCCATGTCCTGCACCCAAGCTTGTTGACCCCAACAACGCTGTCTTGCGCAAACGCAAGGCTAGCAGGTCAGTGGTCACGAGTGAGGGCTCTGAGGAGGAAAGTGACTGTGAAGGAGACCAGGATAACGGGGTATCTGTCACGAGTACCTTTAACAAATCATTATTCTTTCTTGAATCTTCCTAAGCGTCAATACACAGCGCCTAACTCAAACCCTAACCCTACCATGAAAGCATCTATCATTCCTGAAATACCTTTAGCGCCTACGACACATGTCTTCGATGTGACTGATGAAGAAGACAAGTTCTTTGATTGTGAATAGATTAGATTAGATATGATAAGATAAGATATGGTCATGTGATGCTTCTTTAATATTCTATGATGTTCTATGGTACAATTCCCTTCTTCTTTTTATGATTGGCTAGTAGTTGTAGCTCAGTTTCAATCTCCGTTTCAATAGTTGTATATAGGTAGTACATCTTGGTCGATAGTTCTTTAGTTCAAACCTCTTGTATCTACACTGTAGCAATCCAAGACGTACCTGCTCCTCTTTTCTTTGTTGTGATAACCTTAGTCTGAGTCCTAGTCTCCGCCCAGCATTAATTTGTTATTGGGTTGTGACAGTAACTACGGATGCAGCTACTGACATGGATCATGAGACAGATATCAACGGCATCACCCCCTCTGAGTCTGCTTCACAGTAGTGTACCAGTACTCCTTACTACTAGCTATAGTACAATCGAGTATATTTACAATGTGTTCAATGTTTGAATGCTGAACCAGATGTGAACCGGATGCCATGAACACGTTCATGGCGTCTGGTTCAGCATTCGCAAAATTTGTTGCTGAACCGGACCAAACCGGACTTCTGCAACACTAGGCCACGGTTTCGGCTTTTGGGTCTGTCTCTCATTTTTAGGAATGACTTCAAGCTCACTTCCTTCACTAAAGTTTGGCCTGCACTACTATGTAAAGTGTTTCAGAGCAATCCATGCTACAATATGACAACAACTCACATCCACTTCTCCTTTGAATTTGGGTGCATATGGATCTCCGTCACCACGATTCCAGTACTCAGGAGGCCCTCGTATGGATTCCATCGGTCTTGGTGAGCATCGGCATCTTTTACCCATTGTGCATTCCCAGCAGCGCCTGCAGCCAATGAGAGCTCAAACATTTGTTGTTCTAGTATATCAAGACACTCCAAGTCGATGTCTATATCCATCAAGGACGTTGAAGGTCAAGCCAGGTATCACGCCAACAACTTGAACAGCATTCATGCAAAAAATATGTTAGCATCTGCAAAGAAAGAACATTGTTATTAGTGGTTGTGCGATAGAGTATGGTGCGTGTCTCATGCAATTAGTACTACGTGCCAGTAGTAGCCAGAGGGCGCATAAGTGAGACAGGCCGTTGCAAGGAGGGTGATCTAGTGACAGTATGAATGTCAATGTCTCATGCAGTACATAGTACATACAGTAATGATATCAAGACTCACCGTCAAGAAGCCACTACACCCACTACCGCATCCGTGCCGCAGCATAGTACTCAACTTGTTCTTGGGATTCAGACTCTCAAAAGCATGACCATGAGGCGCATAATTGATGAGTTTGACGGTAAACCAATTATATTGTGCACGTCAACAGTGATTATCTGAAACTAAGAGTGAAATGTGCTGATTTGGTGCGGGTGCGGCAGTAATGATGCGTTAGTGGTGCGGCAAGTTGCGGCAGGGTGTGGCAAAATACCTGAGCCCCAGATAACCTACTACTAATATTGCCACTTGTGGCTAAACCCAGGTGCACCCAACCGTCTTGGTGTGTACAGTATGTCTGCTCAAATGGCTCAAAACCAAGAATACCCCTTGATTTGGCGGAACAAGATATTTTACTGAAAACAATGCTGATGCGCTCAATCGTTGTGACCCTGTTTCCAAGCTCGCTGTTTTGAGATTGACTATTAAATCTTGCACCTGAGTGATACATATTACATACACAATCGCGAAGGTCTAAAGCGTGTGCATGCCTTCAGAGGACGCAAATGCTATCAAATGCTTTGATAGGTAACCAGATAAACGTAAAAAGCATCATCTGTACAAACTCAATGGCTACTAAGAGTCTAACTAACTATTCATTGACGCAGCAGATGTTGCATCCTAGGGTGCTATCCCAGGTGACGTGGTAACCTTCCTGACAGTGCATGGGTTCTATAGGAGCCGCTTTGCACTGATAAATGCATGAACCAGTAGGAGCAGCTGCATTCACCCCGACGGCAGCGGTAAGGATGGCAAGGTAGTAAATGAACTGGATCTTCATGGTGTCTAGCAGCGTATATATATCAGTGATGGCCGTCATTGCCAAGAAATCGCTCGCCGCACAGTTTGGTTGTGGTGTGCGCAAAGGTGCTGATAGTGGCACGTCCAGGAAGAACTAAATGCAATAGATATGTCGTCTAAGTTGCTTTAGTTTTCAAGTTTCAGGATTACTCACGTAGACGGCCCGGGGGCGATTGTTTTCAAGTTTGAACTTGGGATCTGTGAAACTTGCCATTCAATTTATATCCACCGTGTGGCAGATCTGGTTCTGCCTGAAGGTACTCATACGTGGCAGCACCACATCAGGGATGGCCAACATCATGTTGCTAATAGCGACTAGACGAAATGTTTACATGGGATATTTCAAGTTGGCCCATTTCAGCACCAGCCTATCAGCAAACTACTGATTTCGTGACAAAGTGTCACAACAATAACAAACATTTACAGAACTACACAAGCATCACAAACAACACAAGCCGACAAGCATTTGACATTACAAATATCTACAGAGTGATACAAGCAGCACAAACAAACAAAGTAACAAAGTATGTACTAGTAGCACTCGAGATAATATCATACTAGAAGTGCGAAAAATAAAAATATCTTGATTGTTTGTGACGAAGATGTATGTCAAGAGGTTGTCTGCAATCATCTCAATGGTGATAAGTTATAACGAAACCAACAAATGAGCACTTACCATTAAACCTGAGTCTGAGTGAGCAAATGCTGCAATACCACTCTTCTTGCGCTCCATGTGCATGTGTCCAACATTGAGATCTGCATTCAATAAATGGCAGTTTGCTACCTCTGCATGATGGCGCCACAGGTCGAGGAGTATAGATTGATGTTCCAGAATACAATCAGCCAGATATTTCTCCGCCTTGCATACTTTCTGTTTTGCCTTAGCTGCCTCCAGGGCGAGGTCAGAGTCACCTTTGGACTTGAATAAAGAGTAGTTTACATCCTACCAAAGACGGGTAAGAATAATAATATACCACAGCAAATAATTGAGGCTTACAAGGCGAGTATTCATAGCAAAATGAGCCTCCCCTCCAATTGAGCTTGATGAGGTGTGCAGCGAAAAATTGGTCATTGGCTGGCGAGGTTTTTGGATGGATCTGAGGTAATTGAGAGATGTGTTGAAAAGAACAGAGTGACGCTGACTGTATTCAGAGAACGAAGATTGAGGAGAGGTTTCTGAGTCGAAGCTGTGAGAGTTCATGAATGATATATGAGTGATATGGATACTACTATGCGAGTGACAAATATTATGACAGAGTAAAACTGATAGCATTACACTGTGAATTCTTGAGTCTGAATCAGATGTCAACATGTCCAAAGTGTGGGAAAACATTTACCAAGGAAAGCAGTGTTACTCGACATCTCAGCCAGCCCCGAACGTCGTGCCACAGCTACTTGCGTGACATGGTTGATATCTCTCAGTTTACGCAGGTGCAACCACCATGGTGCGATGTCTCACCTTCAGCTCCAGAACCTGACCCAGATACTTGCGTTGAGGATCAACAACAATCTAATGACTTTTGGAACATCAACAATGGCTTTGGTTCACTTGACAATGATTTTGGAGCGGTTGGGGAGTCTTTGGAGGAGAAGTATGAGGGTGCCAGGGCTTGTTATTCGGAAAATGGGTCAACCTTTTGGGATGTATTCAATGCCGATGAATTTGCGGAGTACAGGAAGGACAATCTCTTCTACCCTTTTGCGTCCAAGGAGGAATGGGAAGTTGCTGACTATCTCCTTCGCTCATCCCTGAGTATGGCAGCAATTGATGAATTCTTGAGGCTTCACATGGTATGTATTTGTACTCTGACAGTGATTATTATAATATAACTTATCTTTCAGATCCAAAATTTACAACTATCATTCAGCAATGCTAGTGAATTGTGTAGTCATGCCGAGATGCTCCCCAGCGGACCAAGCTGGAAATGCCAGACCATTCCCTCACTTCATCCTACAAAACTTCCTATCTGCTTATTCTGGCGAGATCCCATTGAATGTCTGGAAAGCCTTTTCAGCAATCCTCTGTTTCATGATAAGCTCGATTTTATCCCTCATCGCATGTACAAAATGGCAGTGCAGCTTCTGAGGGTATATTCTGAATGGTTGACAGGTAATTCTGCATGGGACGTGCAGGTATGTGCAGGTTCAGTCTACTCATTTTGCGCTGTCTTACCATCATTCCTGCAGAGCCAATATCCTAGAGGTGCTACGATCCTCAGTGTGGTTTTATCTTCTGATAAAACAAATATCACTACCATGACTGGTGCCAGGATCGCCCATCCACTCTTCTCGGCGTCACCAACATACATATGCATACTCGGATGAAACTCTCACCCAAAGCATTCATGCTCACAGCTCTCCTCCCCATTCCAAAGTACCTACACCCCAACCAACAGATGTGTGGCATGCTTGAAGACCACCTGGTGCATGAGTGCCTTTCAATTGTCCTGAAGCCCTTGATGATAGTGGCAGAAGTTGGCATCATGATGTACGATCTGGTGGGAAATGTTCAACACTGTTTTATGCCTCTTGCAGTGTACATCGTTGATACCCCAGAGGCAGCCATGCTTGCGTGCGTGCGTGGGAAGACATCTCCTTTCACCATGGCTTTGTATCTACAGTTTGGGGATCATTTCCAGCACCCCGCTCATATGCGTGCGATAACTCTTGCTCAGCTTGCCAGTATCACAGTTGATCCCAATGATCTCAAGGCATATTTTGAGGCATGTGCTGAACACCGGCTAAATGGTGTTCATGCACCTTTCTGGAAGGGCTTCCCCCACGCTGATCCCTCCATATTCCTGATGCCAGAACCACTACATCACTGGCACAAGGAATTTTATGACCACAACCTTCAGTGGTGTCTCAAGGTTGTTGGGGCCCAGGAGCTAGATTTCAGGTTCTCTATTTTACAGCCCATCACAGGCTATCACCACTTTGCAGGTGGAATTTCGAAACTCAAGCAGGTCACAGGCAGAGTTCATTGTGACATTCAGCACTATATTGTTGGCCTGATATCTGATGTAGCTCCTCATCGCTTCATGATTGATACGTGCCCTCATGGATGTCCGGTACTTGGTGCAGTGCCCTGCACCTGACAACAACTTACTGTCATGTATTGACCAATCCCTTTTGACATTTCATGAGAATAAGAATGTTATCATGACATTAGGTGCATGGATGGGAGCAAAGAAACTGATTGACAATTGGTTCATCCCCAAGTTGGAGCTCCTGCAGAGCATCACATCTAGTATGCACAAAATTGGTGCCCTCATCCAGTGGTCCGCAGATGCAACTGAACACGCCCATGTATCTAAAATTAAGGACCCTGTGCAACACACAAACAATAATGATTACGACCCACAGATACGTCGCTTTCTGGATTGTCAGGAGAAACTGCGACATTTTGCAATTGCTACAACACTCAAAAGCCACAATCCTGTAGATGTTGCTGAGGAGAATGAAGGGGAAGAAGACGATATTGATCCTGATGAGGGGGAGCCATCTGATCCACAGACTGCCCTCCTCGAGGAGATGAATCAAACACACATTACCATGAATTATTTCAGCAAAGCGAAGCAATTTGCTACCCTCAGCTGCAGAGAACTTGCTTACCCCCCTCAAACATTTATAGGTGGTACCACTGCTATCCATCTCAACTATGGTCCATCTCGGAACAGAGTCAAAGTTGGGGACATTTCTGTTGACTACAATATACCGGATCTGCATGTCCTGCTTTCAGATTTCTTGCAGTGTGACACAAGGGGCAGAGGAGTAGTTCATGAGGTCGCTTTAAGAAGGAGACCGTTGATTGATCGTCCTCCAATCCTTCCATTTGATCGTGTTCAAGTCTGGCATTCAGTTCGTCTACAGCAAACATCCTTCCATGATTCTAGCATCATATTACCAGCCCAGACTGTACATGCCTCTCCTTTGGGCCCTGGATGGCCCAAAGGCCGACGGGATTTTGTCCTGGTCAATATAGACGGAGTTGCTGAATGGCCCAAATCAGGCCTAACAGGTTAGCACATTCGCATTGCATATATTTATTCACCTATACAAAATTGATGCACCCTTCGAAGGTCACACAATCTGTGAGTTATATCTTATTGTACGTCCAATTGCTCGGCGAGGTTCTCGCATTAAATGGCGAGATCAATATCTCTGCTATGTACAGTGTTTGAGTATTGGCCCAATTGATCCAGCCACTGGGATGCATACACTGAAACACACGAAGCATGCTGATGGCTCTCCTGTTGGTAATTTCATTCTGTTGAATCAACTTCATGCGTTCACCAGTGTTATCCCTTGACTGGGGGATGTGGCAGATGCGCAACTAATGAAAGCAACATCTTTGCATTACTCCCACTCGTTTTTTTTGAATAAATACTTTGATAAAGAGATCTACAATGCCATTTACTATGCTTCACAATGATAGTATTAGTACTCACAATATTTGCTTGTTGAACTGAATCGTTCGGTTGGTTCGAAAATATTTTTACTCCATTAAGGGACAAATTTAGAAGCCCTATCGCACGAATGAGTGTGAATCATTGTGCATTGTGCAAGGTCTGAGCACAGCATTGCTGTGTAAAACATGTCAACGACACAGTCTTTCACCAATTACTATCTTCTGGCGACAGTTACCAGCTCCATCCCTGCTGGTGGCAATTTTTTACCTCAGATGAAGGAAGATATGGATTTACTGATGAAAAACGAACTCTTACCTATGGGTAGGGATGGCGCGCTCACAGGAGGCAGACAAGTCTTATGGGAGGAGGGGATAAAAGGCAGGAAATCATCCATCCTGGATATCCTTATTTCGGGATCAGACCTCACAACCGAAGATATCTTGGGCATCAAATACATAAAAAAAAAAGGTCAAGCACTCTTACAGGGAGCATCTTTATTACAGAAACTGTGGTCTGGTCTAGAGTGGAGGCTCAATGGTGCCTTTTCAGGTCCTGTGAAGAAGTTAAGGCGGCGATGGGAGTTGGGGAATAATGAGACAGACACAGACCTGGAGGAGATGAATGAAGATTCTATGGTGGACACAGACACCAGCTGGTCGCAGCAATTGTTTGATGCTGGACAAAAGAGATCAAACCATCCCATCAAGACATCAGAAGAAAAAAGCTGGGAGCACCTCTTGTGGAGCATATACTATGCTATGCGCAACATCATCCTCGAGGCCAATGACGAGTCCTCCCAACAAGACTCACTGAACCCCCTTCCCTTCAATGTCATCCCAGAACCACAGTACTGGTCCTCTGAATTTGCCACCACACCCGTTCCAGACGCCACCGACTTGTGCAAGCCTGATTTAGTCCTCATGGACTACAGGCTGAAAAAGAATAAATCAGGTGAAAAGACCTGGGCGGATGTTCTCACCAATATCAAGATCACCAAGTCGGAATTGATTCAAGGAAAAGATATCCCTATATTCTTAGGGGTCGCCACCAAGGGATATCTTATAATGCGAGAACAGCTGTTTTGTTGTTTTGTTCAGCATCGCAAACCTCCAGCTCCACACTCATTATATGGACCACTCTGGAATGATTATCTCTCAACCCCTCCCAATTGGTGCCAATGCCGTGCATTTCGTCGACGTCTTAAACATAATCACACTATCAGACCTAGCTTCCCTTGGGTTCGACCCTACCATTCACATTTGCACCAACCTCTGCTCCGCTGGTTCTCACAATGATCTTCCTGAGGGTATAGATCAAATGCCGGAAGGAACAAAAGGCTGGGTGATGGACAACAATGGTGAGGTGTACTGGATCATGGCAATTTTATGGAAGAGTCGTGGTCTATTTTCGCGTGGGACCGTTTGTTATCGTGTTCAAGATCAGCACAGGACAGAATTTGCATTGAAAAATTGTTGGGTCAACATGGAAAACCTGGATCATGAAGTGACGCTCCTCTGGGCAGTCGATGGCATTCTAAATGTGGTCAGTCTCGAAAAATATTGGGGCATCCAGTATGCCGGACAAACAGATTGCACAGAGAGGATTCGCGAACACATTAGTGAAAACCTTCTGGAAGCACCGATATACTCTAATAAGGTTCACCATCACATGCTATTGACCCCTTGCGGGCTTCCACTGACAACCTTCAAGTCCCTCCCTGAGCTAGTCAATGTTTTTCGAGATCTTATTGTTGGTGAGTTTCTTTCGTTTTTGTTAAAGTTCTTTGCAATGACAGCCACTACCAGCTCACAAAGCAATGGTCACCCAGTGGAACATTCTACACGGCGACCTCAGTCCCAACAATTTAATCATCCACAATGGAAAGGGTTACTTCATCGACTTCGATCACACCAAATTCCTCAAAAACAATGCAGCAGTCAATTTGTGTGGTACTGTAAGTTATATTTCAATACATTCTTCGTGTATACATATCTCATATGCTTCAACCTTGAAGGGAACTGTACCCTATATTTCCTGCCGTCTTCTCAAGCTCATGGGAGACATTCCGTGTCCATCCACGATCGACCACAGAGCCTCTGATGACTTAGAGTCTCTCTTTTACATCCTCCTCGAATTCACAACAACATATGAAGGACCCAGTGGTAAAACATCGGCTGAAGGAGTGCATCCTGTCAATGCCCCTAGGTGGCGCAAGGCTTACCTGATGATGGATGGAGATGGTCTGGGGACTAGTGGATCATTGAAGAAAGAATTTCTGACAGAGAAACATCCGCCCTACAAACTGACACCATACTTTAAAGCTTGTCGCCCCATCCTTGAGGAATGGCGCAAGGCAATTGGGGACGTGTTGCACAATGAACGTGACTTGTCTCACAAAGAAATCGAAATCCTCAAGATTATGCAACAGGATCTGGAGAGAATTCTAAGTATACCAGGTATCCCAACATCACAAAGTGTTGCGTTTTTGCCAGTGACATCTGTCGCCACTCCTTCTCCTACTTCTCTTCCTCTCCCCACGTGTCCTCATCACCCCATTCCTCTCCCTCCTGCTTCTCTCTCACCCCCTCATATTGAAGCTATGGCCCAGGATGCTGGTGTTTGGCCCCGTTGTTTGGGGCAGCAAATGCAGATGCTGCCTCCTGAACTCCCATCTGTTACCCGGGGCACAATTGCTCATTCAGCTTCTGGTTCCATGACATCACAAGTCCATTCCTCTTCTCCTCCCCCCACTTCTGGCCCTATGACCAAGGAGACTCGTCTTCGACCTCGTCGCTCTGGGCAGAAGAACAAAATGATTCCTCCTCCGCTCCCATCATTGCCATTTGTTGGCCCAAACGAACTTCCTGGCTCAGGTGCTGGCTCCATGACTGAGGAACTTCCTAGTAAGCCTCGTCTTCTAAACAGAAGACTTGGAAGTAGGATTAATGGCATGTTTTACTGTGCAGACAATAAGTTGGAAGACAAGAAGCGCAGGCACACTTCTTTTGCTCATTATTAGCTATCTTATTCTACCTTAAACGAATACTGTATGCCATCATCACTGCATGAACTAAGACCTCGATATCAGATATCAGTCATTCTTTGTACAAGCAGGTCCAAGCACTGATTAGCTTATGTAATACATTTTAAGTATTACCCCAACTGACTACCTTACAGCTTCGTTTTCTTCACTCGATGCCTCCCAGGAAAAGGGCCAGACAAGGTTCCCCGGGCGATAGCTTGAGGAAGGGAGCCAAGGTAGTATGGGTAGATGCTGATGCTACTCGACGAAGCTCACAGTCCATGTGAGGTATCGGTGGTCATGCTGCACAACTCCAAAAAATTGGCAAAACTCTAACGGCCCCAACAAGGCGAAAGAAGGCATCAAACAATCTGGATATAAGCGACTCTGAAGAAAATCCAATGGCTCCTTCGCAACTCAAGAGACACAAGGAAAAAGTTGCAGTATTTTTTCAAATATTCAGTGAAAGGTACCCAACTAATAAACACTTGTCAGGCCAGCACTCCAAAGAGTTCTGTTAAACCCAATTCTTCACGGCCAGAGAGCGAACATGCTCGTCTCCACATAGCCCGCCCTTCAGACAGGTTTGGTTTCAAGCTGTCCCAGTCCCAGGCAACCCATCCCATCGGTCACAATCACAAGGAAGCCAGTAGCAATGTCGCAGAGCAGGATTTGGAAAATCGTGGTGGATCGGGAGACTTGGATGATTTTGATGAGTGGGGGAAGAGTGCCGATGAACACGAGACGCAAGATGAAAGACGAGCAGCTGATGATGATTTTGGGGAGTATGGTGATGGTCCAGCTTTGACTGATTCACCCCCAGGCAGTGATAGTAATGAACTGATGGAAATTGACAAAAGCCAGCCTGGACGCAATGATGGGAGCACAGATACAATCCCTTATGATGTCCTTAAACACTATCAAGCGAAGAACAGATGTCGGCAAGGCTCCTTCCCCAACCCGTTTATCAAGTGTGCGCCTGTCATGAGTACCTTTAACAAACCACTATTCTTTCTTGAATCTTCCTAAGCGCCAATACACAGCGCCTAAGATAAACCCTAACCCTACCCCAAAAGCGTCTACCAGTTCAGAGATCCCATTAGCGCCCACGACACGTGTCTTCAATGTGACTGATGAAGAAGACGAGTTCTTTGATTGTGATTAGATTAGATTAGATACGATAAGATAAGATATGGTCACGTGATACTTCTTTAATATTCTACGATGTTCTATGGTACGATTCCCTTTTCTATTTTATGATTGGCTAGTAGTTAGAACCCAGTTTCAATCTCTGTTTCAATAGTTGTATATAGTTAGCATGTCTTGGTCGATAGTTCCTTAGTTCAAACCTCTTGTATCTACAACTGTAGCAATCCAAGACGTACTTGCTCATCATCCTCTTGTCCGATAACCTCTGTTTGAGTCCTAGTCTCTGCCCAGCGTTAATTCGTTATTGGGTTGTGACATTAGGTTTGAACTATAGGAGACTCCGACTCTCGCATACCGCTCGCATCCACTACTATATCCTTTGAATACTTGGCGGACCATTAGGTTAACCAACGATTCAAACGATCATCTTTACTCGTCGTTACACGTGTCTCTTAGCTGCATACCTGTGCAAGACATACGTCTAACAAATCATCACATGTTTTACCTTGCCCGGCCTAAACAGCTGCGACCCTTTTCTTGAAACCCTTTCCTTTGCTCGCTTGAGCGTTTTCTCTACCAATAGTCTTTCGTAGTTAGTAGTCCTATACCAGGCCCTGCCGTACATTGCAGCCGCCAGTATACGGAGGTGTTGACAACATTAGGCGTCTCGCTACAACTTGAAGTGCTGGCCCAAAACCCTGCCTGCTTCACGTTACTATAGTTTCATTTTTACGATTACCCTTTTCCTTCGTACGCACGTAGTACCTTTCCGTTGAGTTTAGTAGAACTGTCGCATCTGCAGATAGTCTTACCATCATTACCAAGAGGATTTAGATACGGTGTCCAAGTGAGACTCGCACTTGTAAGCTTCGGCTGGAAGAGTGATAACTTGTCCTTGGCCTGTACCCTTGTCGGTAATTGAGAAGTAACACACACAAAGAACACCGCGTTTTTCTCACTTAACAAAGGTGTAGTTTACGTACACTTCTTTTAGTTAGTAGATAGGGAAGTGTCAGTAGGGTTGAATAAAGAACCCTTTGACCCTGAAGTACGAGGTAGATCCGATTAGTATCGGGGACCGCTTCAGCTTTCCATTTACGTACTCCTTTTTCCCTCTCCCTTTAATCATCATTCCTTTTCGGGTGGACCGTTATGACTCGTCCACCACTTCATTATTCCTTTTCCGGAAGGGCCGTTACGATTCACCCTTCAAACTTCTTACGTCATTAGTAAAGCGGGTTCCAGAATACAACTGGTACAATGACTAAGAAAACCTATTCCTTGCATGAGTTTCACACACTTGATGAGGCTATGAATGGGCCTAAACAGCCGTTCAATTGTTACAGATGTGGAAAGCCAAATCACATTGCACGAAACTGCAGAACTCCGAATTCCCCTCCCTCCTCAGATAGCTCCGCACCTCCCAGTTGGTTCCAAGACTTCCTAGCTCAGAGAGAAGCAAAGAAGAAAGAATCAGAAATTCCCAAATGGTTCAAAGATTGGACCGTATCACCAGAAGGCAAAGAGATGATAGCGAAGATAAAAGCTAAGGCAGACGCACTTGCCAAAGAAGCATCAGAACCGCCTAAATGGTTTAAAGAATGGGAAGCCTCTAGAAAAAATAGAATCTTGGAGGAACAAGAGACAGACAAATCGGGCAGTAGATACTCGATCCTTGCGAACTTTGCGGATGTAGAAGAAGTAAATCTAAAGACAAAATCAGAACACTTCTATCTTCCCATTACGCTGAAAGGAAAGAACAGATCTGCAGATTTGAAAGCTCTTGTAGATTGTGGAGCATCTACGCTCTTTATCAACGAACGTTTTGTCAAAGAGAACAGAATTCGTTGTAGAAAACTACTGCGTCCGATCCAAGGTTAAAAACATTGATGGATCTCTTAACGCCTCGGGATCGATGACCCACTTTGCTGAACTAGGTCTTAAAGTCGGCAACCATGAAGAAGAAAAAGTAGCATTCATGGTTACAGATCTAGGAAACGATGATGTGATCATTGGGATCGATTGGTTGAGATACCACAACCCTGAGATTGATTGGAATGCAGGGAAGTTTTCGCTTTCACGGTGCCCGGTGAAATGTGAAACTAAGAAGGAGAAAAGACTCCGAAACAGGGCTGAGAAAAAGAGAAAGTCGGAAGAAGTCGATGACGTACCCGGCTTGTTGCCTGTTATGGCAGATCAAGATGAAGAGGAAGACATGGCAGTTAAGAGAACGACCATGGAGGAAATAGAAGATGAGGAGAGTCCTGAAAGATTATGGATTTGATACAAAGCCTCGGTCGCCACGGAGCAGAAGGTAGCAGAAGAAGCTACTAAGAAGAAGCAGTCGGTAGAAGAAATGGTACCGGACTGGCTTCATGATTACCTGGGAGTTTTCTCAGAAGAAGAATCTAAACGCTTCCCTGAAAGAAAGAAGTGGGATCATGCGATAGACCTTAAAGATGAGGGCGATCTTCCGCCAAATGCGAAACCTTATCCGTTATCACCCAAAGAGATGGATACACTGAAAGAATGGTTGAAAACCGAGACTGCACTGGGACGTATCAGAGATTCACAATCTCCAGTAGCAGCACCTTTCTTCTTTGTGGCCAAAAAAGATGGCAAGTTAAGACCGGTGATGGACTATAGAAAGCTCAATGAGAAGACGGTGAAAAATGCATATCCGCTACCGAGATCTCAAGATTTAATTGATGCTTTAACCGGTGCCACGATGTACTCCAAGATGGATGTACGATGGGGATACAATAACATTCGCATGAAAGAAGGAGATGAGTGGAAGGCGGCCTTCAAAACGCCGTTTGGTCACCACGAACCGACCGTGATGTATTTTGGACTCATGAACTCGCCTGCAACCTTCCAAACTATGATGAATGAAATTCTGAGAGACCTGATAGATGGCAAAACAGTAGTCGTCTACATTGATGATATAATGGTCTTTACGAATGGAAACAAGGAGCAGCACCAAAAGGTGGTACGAGAAGTCCTAAAACGACTAAAGGAGAATGACCTGTTCTTGAAGCCTGAGAAATGTAGCTTCGAACAGTCTAAAGTCGAGTTCCTCGGGTTGATCGTGGAAGAAGGCAATGTGTTGATGGACCCTGTGAAAGTAGAAGGAGTATTGAAATGGCCTGTTCCCAAATGCGTGAAAGATATCCAAGCATTCATGGGCTTTGCCAACTTCTATCGAAGATTCATACTTGGGTTCTCGGAGATAGCCAGACCAATGAATGATCTGCTAAGAAAAGATGTCAAATGGGACTGGACGGAGAAGCAACAGAAAGCTTTTGATGAACTTAAGAAACGTTTCACAGAAGCTCCCGTCCTAGTCATGCCAGATGTTGAGAAAAAGAAGAAAATAGAGACCGATGCCTCTGATTACGCAACAGGAGCGGTTCTCTCTCAATTGATGGAAGATGGATTATGGCATCCAATAGCATATTACTCTAAGTCAATGAATGATGCGGAAAGAAATTACGACATTCATGATAAGGAGTTATTAGCGATCATTAGAGCGTTGGAAGAGTGGAGGCACTATGTGCAGGGAGCACCTCACCCGGTTGAAATATGGACAGATCATAAGAACCTTGAATATTTCATGACGAGTCAAAAGTTGACCAGAAGGCAAGCTAGATGGAGTCTTTTCCTAGCGGAGTACGAATTTACACTCCAACACAAGCCTGGCATGGTTAATGACAAAGCAGACCGTCTTTCTTGGAGATCAGACCATAGAGGGGGGGTAGAAAACGACAACTCAAATCGCATTCTTTTGAAACCGGAATTCTTTACCGTAAAAGCTGCTAAAAGAGGTCAAGTTTTGGTGCATGGAGAAGAGAAATTACTCCAAAAGATACGAAAATGCACAGAACAAGAGCCTGAAGTCGCTAGAGCGCTAGAAACATTAAAGGCAGCGCCGGTTCAATTGCGTAGAGGAATCGAAGAGTGGAATGTGGAGGATGGATTGGTGTTATTCAGAGGATTAGTCTATGTTCCAAATGATAAAGAGATCCGTCGAGAGATATTGGAGTTGTTTCACGACTCTCCACCGGCTGGACATCCTGGACGAGCTAAAACCTTAGAATTGATTTCCAGAAACTATTGGTGGCCTTCAATGACAAAGTATGTCCACGATTACGTAGATGGTTGCGATAGGTGCAAACAAACGAAAGTGCTCCCGAGTAGACCAACGGGGCCTTTACAGCCAAATGAAGTCCCAGAAGGACCTTGGCAGACAATCACCTGTGACCTGATAGTGGATTTGCCGAAAAGTGAAGAGTGTGATAGCATATTTGTAGTCGTTGATCGATTTTCGAAACAAGCACACTTCATTCCCACCACCAAAGACGTAGACTCGAAGGGTATTTCCGAGCTATTTCTGAAAAATGTATGGAAACATCATGGAACACCGAAGAAAGTGATTTCAGATAGAGGAACTCAGTTCATATCGAAGTTCATGGGACAGATGTCAAAAAGATTAGGAACAAAATGGTCTGCGTCGACCTCCTATCATCCCAGAACCGATGGACAGACTGAACGCGTAAACCAAGAAGTAGAACAATATTTGCGCATGTTCACGTCATATAGACAGAATGATTGGGTATCTTGGCTGCCGATAGCAGAGTTTTCACACAACAATGCAGTCACAGTAACCGGTCACAGTCCATTTAAAGTTCTTTATGGGTATAACCCAGATTTCACGATCCACCCAAACTCCATGTCCGTAATCCCCGCCGCCGATGAGAGTTGATCAGATGAAAGAAGCGAGAGATGATGCCGAAAATACTCTGAAGATGGTCAATGAGCGCATGAAGTGTTTCTACGACAAAGGAGTAAAAGAAGCACCTCAGTATAAGATAGGAGACAAGGTCTGGCTTGACGCAAAGAATCTCAAACAACGTCGTCCGAGTCAAAAACTGTCAGATCGCCGTCTAGGTCCCTTCGAAATACTAGAGAAGATCGGTGAAGTGAACTACAAGTTGAAATTGCCGGAAAAATATCAGATCCACCCGGTTTTCCACGTAGAATTGCTTACGCCATATCACACATCTCGATTGATTCCTCATCTTCCTCACAACCGACCACCTCCAGAATTGATTGACGATCGGGAAGAATTTGCTGTAGAAGAAGTACTAGATAGCCGATTGTTCCGAGGAAAGCTGCAGTACCTAGTGAAATGGGAAGGATACCCGAAGGAAGAGTCATCTTGGGAACCAGAAGAGAATTTGAAGAACGCCCCAATTCCTTTAGCGGAGTTTCACAAGAAGAATCCCACGGCTGCAGCCGAAAAATACCGAAGAATCAAAGGCTCAGTACTGTTCACGGAAGATTTCAAAAGATGGAGAGAAAAGAATATCCGACCTTCATTCGTTCGTGATGACACTCACCTTAGAGAGGGGGTAATGTCACGAGTACCTTTAACAAACCACTATTCTTTCTTGAATCTTCCTAAGCGCCAATACACAGCGCCTAAGATAAACCCTAACCCTACCCCAAAAGCGTCTACCAGTTCAGAGATCCCATTAGCGCCCACGACACGTGTCTTCAATGTGACTGATGAAGAAGACGAGTTCTTTGATTGTGATTAGATTAGATTAGATACGATAAGATAAGATATGGTCACGTGATACTTCTTTAATATTCTACGATGTTCTATGGTACGATTCCCTTTTCTATTTTATGATTGGCTAGTAGTTAGAACCCAGTTTCAATCTCTGTTTCAATAGTTGTATATAGTTAGCATGTCTTGGTCGATAGTTCCTTAGTTCAAACCTCTTGTATCTACAACTGTAGCAATCCAAGATGTACTTGCTCATCATCCTCTTGTCCGATAACCTCTGTTTGAGTCCTAGTCTCTGCCCAGCGTTAATTCGTTATTGGGTTGTGACAGCGCCATTGCTTAAATGAATCACGTATTTGCTAACTTTCTCTAGAACTCTCACAACCACACTCTGACACGTAACACCTTTGGTCATTCAAAGTCTCCTTGCCAATATTCACCCAGACACGTAAGCTCTTACTATTTGAATCTGCTTGTTTCTGATTTGCTACACTACAGATCCCTCATCATCAGTCCCCTGAGACACGTACTTCTTCCACTTGCCTCAAGCCTCCCCAGCATGCACCTCGAAAAGGGCCATCTGCAAAGGCTGGTTCTGCCCATGGGTAATTTCAATGTTGATGTTTACTCCCTTTGCTCACTCAATGTCTCCGCATTCAAGCAGGGGTCGTGATCCCACGTCCCGTGGACCATCTTGTTGACGCTCCCCGACTCAGTCAACAACTGTCTTTACTCACTCAATGTCTCCATGTTCAAGCAGGGGTCATAATCCCACGTCCCGTGGACCATCTCATCAATGCTCCCCGACTTGGTCAACGACTGTCTTTACTCACTCAAGGTCTCCGTGTTCAAGCAGGGGTCGTGATCACACTTTCCGCAGACCATCTCCTTCACGATACTCCCCAACTCAGTCAACAACCATTTTCACTCACTCAAGATCTCCACATCAGAGTACATCCTGTGGATCATCTCCTGGACATTCCTCATCGCGGCCACCAGATAGGCGAGCTTCTCGATTCAATCACTCACAGTCTCATACCCCTGTTCCAAGCTGTTCTCACTCGTGTACTCATAGTCCCACACCTGAATCAAGGAACAAAGACAAACCCATGAACAAGCAGATGAATCCTTCAAAACTCGGGTTTTATCCACCATGTTGACAAGCATTTCTCCAGGCCGCCAAATTAGAAATGCGCTTGCAAGCTGTTCTGACTCATCCTGTCCCAAAGCATCAGGATGTGCTACAGCTCGCGCGAGAAGTCTTAGATGCAGTATTATGGAGTTACCATTCAAAGAAGATCAAAATGGAAAACGGTAAGTTTTAATTCACCAGTGTTGCTGTCATCTGATGCCCCTTGTCAAGGCTATTTCCTGCAGTATAGGGCACAGATGTCATGCCTTGTGAGTCCTGAGTACTGACCGTGAACACGCTCACTGATTCATTGTCAGCTTTGCGACGACTTATTCACATTTCACACTGAGCTCAAGAAAGTTGTAATATCTATTGCAAAACAACTGTATGGTATCTTTCCCAAAGCCAACATGGGGCAGAAGGATGCCGTACAATGGCATGTCGTCGAAGCGGCATTGAAGCTGATCAAATCTGGCGACTATCTTCAATTGCCTGACTCATCATCGGTTAGTAACATTGTGGGGCAGTGCATTTTACTGAAGCATTTTTCGTTTAGGGCAAGTACAAGAATTTCGTTTTGCAAGTTCTCAAGGACGCATGTATCGACTTCTACTATGGTAACGGCAAAAAGGCCCTCAAGTTGACCAAAGAATTCCACAAAACAATCCCCATCAACGCGCTCATTCTCGTCAGCGCGGTCGTATGTTTTTTTTTTAAATTTATTCTTAATGCTATTTCTGATGGTTCAACAGGCGAAGGGTATTCTAACTGTGTTCTACGACACTGGCACAGACAAAGTCCCCAACCTGTCCACTGATAAATGCAGGTCTGACTTCAACTCCTTACGAAGGTCGGTTGACACACTGATGGACAATTCCGAGTGTCGTCAGGAACTGGAAAGTATGCTAGAGGAATGGGCTGATGTGGGGATGATGGGTGAGTTTCAGGACGATTCTGATAGTGTGGCAGGCAGCGACGATGTCAACATCATTTTGTAGTAGTTTTTTTTGTCGTCATCAGTATCACATTTTTTAATAGAATGATTGCAGCGCCTTACTAGGCCTGCACATTGTGTCTGTCATGTATTGTCTGTGTAGTACTACTGAATTTAATCTAAGTCTGTATGCTATTAGTGATGCGGAGGTTCGGTTCTGAACCGCGGTTCGAACCAGACCTTTCGTGGACTGGACCACGGTCCAGTTCAACGTTCAGAGTATAGGCTGAACTGGACTGATGGTCCAGTCCAGCATTCAGCATTCCTTGAACGCATTGAACGCGTCCGAATGCATCCGAACCTTTTTGAACTGCTTCCATTTTAGGCTACTCACACATACAAGATGACATCACCCACACACGCAATACACTGAACATGACATGATTACTCACGACTTTTTCGCTTGGAATCCAATTCACAAGGACCATGCCACACTGGCAAGGTCCGTGAAGGTTTGTTTGCCTACCACTAACCCAAACATTACAAAGGAAGAACCTGATAAGGTATGGAGACTTTGGTTAATTTGGTTTAGTGCTAATGTATTTGTTAATGGGTCGTTTTTTTTCTAGGGTAGCTACATGAATTGTTCGGCACTCATGAACTTGATGGAAGTTAAAATGGATCAAATTCAAGGTAAGCTCAACTCTCTTCAAGCTTCCCCCCTCACAACATGGCTGACCAGTGTGGCCTGGGTGCAGATGGAACTCTCCTCGACGCCAGTCAAATCCAATGGTACAACGATCCTGACGATGATACTCCACTGCCTGTGCTTCCCGCTCAGGCATGTCGCTCGACTCGTATCCCACACCCTGCACCCAAGCTTGTTGACCCCAACAATGCTGTCTTGCGCAAACGCAAGGCTAGCAGGTCAGTGGTCACAAGTGAGGGCTCTGAGGAGGAAAGTGACTGTGAAGGAGACCAGGATAACGGGGTAACTACGGATGCAGCTACTGACATGGATCATGAGACAGATATCGACGGCATCACCCCCTCCGAGTCTGCTTCACAGTAGTGTACCAGTACTCCTTACTACTAGCTATAGTACACTCAAGTATATTTACAATGCATTCAATGTTCGAACACTGAACCAGACATGAACCGGACGCCATGAACGCATTCATGGTGTCCGGTTCAGCGTTCGCAAAATTTGTTGCTGAACCAGACCAAACCGGACTTCCGCAACACTATATGCTATGTCTAAACTGTATAATGTGTCTAGTCTGTATAGTATGTCCAATGTGTCAAGATTGTGACCGTTTGTACAGGCTGTAAGGCTTTGTGACAAGCTTGTATAGGAGGGACTTTGTTGTGAAATTGTATTGCTTGTACAAGGGTTCAGTGATTTGCTGATGCAGCCAAAATGACAGCAATGGTGTTGAACCAGCCAGTCCATCACATTCAGCTAAGTCCTCTTGAATCAAGGTGAATAGCTAATTCAATGTCTGTAAATCACTTACCCTGGTATGCATGTAAAGGTCAAGGGGAACCAAGACCCCTGCCACTCCTGACTCCTCTAACCGACTCGAGTGGTTCATCTACTAGCTTCCGCGATCTCCCGCTTTAGCCACACCACAGCTATCTCAAGAATCTCAAAGACAAAGTGTGCTATCCGAAGAATATCAACAACCAAGCATCTCATCCCAACGCAATGAGTACATCATGTGATTAACGTGGCTAATCAATGGCTAATCAATTTCCAAAATTAGAATGCCAGAGCTTCTGCGGCAGATCCTCGAGACGCTCCAGGACTCAAGTATCGCGGAAAAAGGAGACAAGGACGAACGGAGCAGGTTCTGGGCGACTTACGACCAAGTTGTTGAAGAGCATGATGAAGAGTTCTTAGAGCGGAGCAACAGCGATATGGACATCCTGCTCATTTTCGTAAGCTGTCGAATTCTTTGGTGCGCTCATCTGATTGAGAAAACGTCATAGTCTGGTCTCTTCTCTGCTGTCAATGCAGCCTTTATTTGCGATTGCTATCTCGGCCTTCGTATGGTCTCGGCAAGGCAAATTAGCCATCGCTGTCATGGTGTCGATGGCGTTCGGCATGATTTTTTACTGCTTCATCATCGTCACTTCCTTAGAATATCAGCAGTGTCCTTTCCAAACTCCTATGTCAACAATCATCCGCGTGCTCTATGAGCGCATATACATGAACGTCAAGACTTGGCATGGAGAGGCATCGCCTGAACCCGGAGAGGCCAAGGAGGCGCTCTCTGAGGTACCGTCGATGAAGTGGATATTTAAATCATCCACGGATCCGGAGGTAATCAGTTCGGTCGCTCGGATGGTGCCTTGCGTCCAATGGACCTCCGAACTGCAACTCGAACTGCAACCTGAACTGCACATCCGAACTATATGCTTGCGCTTGCTGAGCACATTCAAAACGTGCTTTAATGCTGGTGCCTGGAGCTCTTCGACACGCCGAAGAGCCCTCGCATGCGGGAGAGCCTTGCATCACCTATTCTACGAGGCAAATATACAGAAATATATTACCCCCAATGTCAAGCACTTTGATGGGGCGCCGTTGGAGATGTGGTCCTACTGGCAAGACCTCAATCTTCCTTGGGGGCTTGAGAAGTGCAAAGCATCTTTTGACCAGTACGCCACGACTCCATATCAATATCACGAGGATGAAGCACGTAATGCCTTGCGCCTCGCTATCATGACTGGCTGCCCAGGATTTTTGCAGCCAACCGATCCTGCATTGATCTGGGATGGAGTTTTCGACTGGGAGGACGACTCGCGTACTAAAGAAGACTTTGATTGGCTCGTGGACTTCCTGGTACACTTCCAGAAGTTCACAACGAGGAACTTCGATGCCATGGGAGATGCGTTGCTCGCATTGAGTGCCATGCAGGGTCTGGGGAGTGTCAGCAGACGGGACAAATACCTCGACGCCGTCATCTTCGCCATGGAAGCGGGTAAACCATCCCGGCTTCGTCACGCAGCCCTTCGAGCTGTATTCGATGCCCGTTTTGAACTAGTCGAGATAGTTGACCAGGAGAAGGGAGATTCAAGTTTTCGGGAAAGGTTATTAAAGGAACTCGCGCCAGCTCTGTTCATCACAACCAAACCTATCGCGCCACAGCTATCTGGCTCTGATGATCCGGATGCTGTCTTTAATCCGAAACGTGACGACTTCTATCTACGACTAATTCTCATTCTGGCAAAGCAAAGGGATTGGCGCGCTCATTTAGTGCAAGCCGGCCACATAGAGCGATGCGCATCTCTGCTAAGCCACGTCATCGAGGACTCGATGTCATATGTCATATCTGACACATCTCATTCTTACCATCTTGCAGGTATATCGATACAGATGTTGGGGCAGGCTAATCCGGCTGGCACTGCCGGCACTGCTCTGAACTCTGAACCTACGAACAAGGAAGGATCCCGTCTCACTACAAACGTTGCAACTACACTTCCTGCAGCCCCAGAGACTCCTACTCTACCGGGCTTACTAGATAGGATATCTGAGAAGGAATGGTGGGATCTGATGAAAGGAGCATGGAAGGCGATGCGTTACAATAACCTGCACCTTATGCCAGAAGCAGTTGAGGTACTGCCTGGCATCGTCACGTACACCATCGGTCTCCTGCAAACACCCACTGCTCTATATGACACGCGGAGTCTCGTTCGAGTGGTGGATCGTATATATGAGGTGCTCGATGATGGTCAAGTGAAGTTGGAAGTGAAACGCCTACGGGATGCGTTGTAACATAAGGTAGCGTTCATCACACGCAAGCTGGGTATCAATCAGGTTCAGACGATGTGCAGTATCACTTAGTTTCTCCTTATGCAAACCAAACAGAAGATATATCCTTTGTTGTAATTATATCACTTGTTGTAAACGAGTAGTTCGTATGAACACAAATATTCGATATCTGTCCATGTATGACTCTTATTCCCCTTGTTCATTCATGTTCCGTCAAGGTCCTTCATGACTCCATCAGCGGGCTGGGTTGTGTTACAAAGTGCTGCGGGGCGCTCTGTAGCACTCTGTAGTGAATTACGTTTCCCTGATCTGAGTCGGGCCCCAGTTGCCTTTCAACTTTGTGACCTGGGTCTTAAATACATTTTCCCAATCGCAGTCGAAACGCGTTGCTAATAAATTCTATGGAAATATGTTTCAAAATTGGTACATTTCACGTCCAACTTGTAGTGAACCTCTTGAGAGATGTTGCTGATGCCTTCCACAAGATATCAATCTAGTTGATTGTATTCAGAAAGACAAGCAGCGGTCGTAGTATCCGCTTTGGTTTGCACCCCACCATGCCGGAATGAGATGTGCTGGTCCAGCAGCCCCCTGGACCGCAAAGGAGAGAATGAATACCATGACCTGCGTTCCACCATCAAGGGCTATAGTATAGCATGACGTTAGTAGTGGAGATAAAAAGGACACAAAGCTTACCTGCGGCGACTAAATAGTTATATTTCACGAACCAATGCGGGAACCTAGTACGGAGCCACCACTGAGATATGAACGACACCATGAAAAACGACAAAATAGAGGAGTTTATTCCAACACAGAGCCATCCGATGTACCCGCTGTACACGTGATGAGCTTGAAATATCGATCATTGATGAATTGAGAGCGTACCAGATAATGGGGGTGTAATAGTAATCCATGCGTAGTCTCGGCCAGTATTGGTGAATAATCCAGAAAGGAAGAGGCGCAACCAAGCCAACGAGATAGGACAAGGGAACCCATTGGTACCTTTGACCAGATGAAAAGAGCTCGTGAGCAAGGCCACCCCACGCAATGGCTTGCGAGTTGTATGATTGAGGTTGCTGGCCAGACCAGATGTTTGTTCCGTGTATAGACAACAGTATTTCGCGTTCATTGTCGATGATAGAATTCATTATAACTAAAATAAAGTCAACGTGGAGAATGGATAGGCAATACGGTTCCCCAACCATAGTTGAGAACAGCACCAAGTAAGGTGCCGATGATCTGGGCTGTGAATGCAGCGCGGGGAGGCAGTTTGGCGTCTAGGAATCCGCCAGTGAGATATATTTTTCCTGATAAATGATGTGCACATACATTGAGCAATCTTCAGATCGCGTAGTAGCAGCATCGCTTGATTCACAGTATTCTGGGGGGAAGACAAATCAAAAGGGACTAGAGAAGGCGAAAATGGAGATGCGTACATAACTGTAAAGGACCTGTGAATACGAATATCAGTGGCGGTCAAAGATTGGAATGGACGTAAAACCAACAAAGAACATGTTCGCCATGGGTCTTCCGTTGTGCATGTAGCCAGCAACCATCTGGACCAGGGTTTCTTCACTGCAAGATCAACTCAAGGCACCTATAATGCGAAAATAATACTTGCGGATGGAAAGTCCAGTGCCGGTGATAGCGTACAATGCGATGACGAACAAGACAGACACAACAGCCATAAAGACTGCGAGGCAAAATCCCCACCTCAAAAGATTTAATAAATTTTTCGTCAGGTGGAGAATGAGAATGTTGCTCACCAGGGAAGCGTAGAATCTGTCTTGTAGATAACGACCAGTCCAACAATGAAGGAGAGAACAAACGTCAATAAGTACCAACTATTCGGAGCATCTGGATACTGTACAATGATGTTACTAGTAAGGCCTCTATATGATGTCAGAAGGACTAACCTTCAACATCTCCCGGTAGTGCGGGTCGATGTCCTCAGTATTGGCGGGGACTTCCCTCTTTCCATCGTGTTTCCAGAACTTCCAATCGAAATTAGCACGCCAACCCCTTAGTGTCTCTTTATTGATCCAAGTCCAGGCTCCACTAATATCATCTTTATTCCACAGGAGTAGGTGAGTGAATGACGCAGCCAATCCCTGCGGTTGAATATGAGCAAAACACCATCAGTGGCGATTGTTGACATACGAGGTTCGTTGACAGAAGATTAATGATCCAGGTGCCGGCGTAGTATGGCAGTCCCTGTTCCGCTATTAAGGCCGGATCCACCTCATAGTTGGAGTTCATAATCAAAGTCTGGTTGTAGACGGTCCCATTCTCGTAAAAGAGGAGCTGCGCCAACTGATTGATGCAGTGTTAATATCAGAGCGCGCGATAAGGATATTACGTACAAATGGGAAGTTCTGAGATTTCCATATATTGTTGTAGTATACGGCGACGAAGACGACCCTTCACCTCTCCCTCAGTAATATTTCTGTGATGTGACTAAATAACGTACATGCAGATAATATAACCAATGAAGCTGGAGAGCTGGGGCAGACGTTAGAATTGTCGCATGCACTGGTGTACCAACTAACCTGAGCTTTCAGTGGGATAGACATCGGGTTCGTACCACCTGAGATGTACTGAACAAATTTGTTTTAACACAAGTGTCAATCAATACGAGATGGTGACCATTACCTGCCAGTCGAAGCACAGGGAGAATAGACCGAGGCCCTCGTTGCCATTGGAACCACCGAACAGGCGAGAGACAGTAGCATTATTAGGAGCGGCGAGGCAGAATATTGAGAAACCGGTGAGCAGTGGGAATATCCATTCAGGAAAAAGTTCCCATATAAGGATTCTGAGTTCGAGATGATTAGAAATTCAAGATTAGATCATTATCAATGAAGTTTGAACACACCCAGCAAAGACGAAATAGAAGACCTTGAGCTTTCGACGTGTTTCGATGCCATCGCGATAGAATGCGTCGAGCATGGATAGCAACGGGAGAACGCCAGGGTACAGCATCTTCGACGGATAGAGAAGGACCCCTGAGTCACAGTGTCATGAGTTGGTATTCCAAGTATAGCTACCGTTGGATGCAAAAATACCTCGCATTAGACCACCGATCCCATAGCTGTGGTTTGCGACTTCAGCGATATGTGGACAAGTAGTACGCCGGCGCAACGCACCCGAGCAATTGAGAAGAGAACAACAAAAAGATTGATGAGCCGGGGTTCGGCGTGATGTTATAATACAAGCTGATCATTCGTCAGTCACCACCGACAGAGGAATTGGATTGCGAGCCTACCGTTGAACAGCGAGAACTTCGATACCCAACGCAGAGCTTGCGGCTGCACTGGCCATAATGATAATGAACGCATTCTCCTTCTTATTGAAGGGTCCCTGATATTCATAAATACGCTTGAACTTCAATGTCAGGGGCTACGAGGAAGACTCGGGCGCACTGGATTCAAGTATCGGAGCAGTCCGTAGCGGGGGATGAATGTTTCCATCGCAAGGCCAATCACATAAGATATGATGCCGAGGAACATCGGAGATACACTGACAGTTTGCTGAGGTGTCCACCCGAATGAGACCTCCGACCTAATATTTGATCAAGAAACTCTCACAGGTTTGAAGTAATAAATTTGAGCTATGAAGCGGTGCAAGTGAATAAGAGCCTCAACTGAATAATTTCGACTGCTTTACCCAGGGATCCACCGAAGGCGGAAAGGCCAAGGCCAATGAAGAAAGCCCGGAAGGTCCAGGGATTCAGACTAGGGTCGTCGTCCACGGAAATGACGTGAGTTGCAATATCTCGCTCATTCTGAAGAACAACAATCTCGTCTGTGTCTTCTTCGGTGGAAGTCTCGATATCCCCCTTGACGCTGTAGGATTTCTTCTCGACGTCAAAGGATTTCTCCTCGGTGACACTAGGCATCATTTCCCCAGTAGTGGTGGCTAGAGAAAAAGCACGACGTGTCAAGACAAAATAGCTGATATTTATCAATATGTGAGTATACCTCAAAATCAGTGAGGAACGGGCCAGTGGGCCGAGAAAGATCCGAAAGAGAGATAAGAGGCACAGAAACTTGAAATGATACAAGCCCGTGGCTGCGGCAGAAGACGCTAGCAGCGTTGGTGACACATTGTCTCTCTTGCATGACCACATAGATTCAAAAGATAACGGACTTTGAGTGAGATTGACACTCGACTAAATGAGTCAAGAAGTTGAACGGCATATGAATTTGATCAGTCGTACGAGAATATTGGACAATTTACCTATTCGCTTGCCATTTGATTATCATCAACTGATAATGCCAAATACACATGCGTCATTCTGCAAGAGTAAAACAGAGGGTCAGGGTTTTAGATGGTCTGGACTTAGAAAGTCTAGTCCGCAGTGTACCACAAAGCAGGTACGCACAAGGGCGAGGTCCGATATCCATTTGTCAGTCAATTTCACGCACTATTCACCTCATGGGAGATAAGCCCTTAAGGTGCTCAATACAGAGCTCCATCGTGACAGATGCCAGCGAGTATTCTAGACAAATTTCAGTACCGACAATGTGGCCAGGAGGCGAAAGCTGACTGGATTAAGCAAAATGAATTCAGTGAGTCCAGAGTTATGGTGAATGTTTGGTTACACTTCGACTTCGCAAGGTCACAGACCATGAATACGCTTCAAGATTCACAATGAATCCATGTTCTGACCTGGTTGAAATCCGCTGCTTCCTAAACGATCGAACCATGCTTCAATAACACCGTTATTGGGGAGTCAAAAAGGATATCACCCTGGTTTTGAAAAGAACTGACAGATCAAGGCACAGAATCGCTATCGCGCCGCTCGATCGTGGTGCGTGTTACAAAACGTTACTTTTGACGATGATGATAAAAGTGCGAGAAGAAGATTCGACCGGACGAAATCCGAGGGACCTGGTTTGTGTCGAAGGTCATCAGATATGATTCAGACACGCAATTAGTGAAAGAGCTAGCCTAGACCTCCAGAAACACACCTATGTAACATATACTTGGTTGAACTGAACTGCCGGACCTCCGATTGAGCCAATCTTGCCCAAGTCCTAACCAAGAGGCTTCTATGTCCATTCGATATTTGATAATGATAGATGGGAACTTGACGTGGTCCTATGGGAGTGTTGCCAAGCTCTATTGCCGAGTAGGCGATCTGCTGAACGAAAGCTCAGCGTGTCGTTGTCCGAGTCACTGGATACATTCGAAACCTGGAAACCAGATGCACTTCAAGTTATCGGGACGATGAACCGTGTGGAGTAAAGCACAAATAACGGCAAAACCCGATGGGGAGCACACTCTTTACCATCCGACATATACAGCCACATCATGATCATATCGATGGACCAGATTTCGGAGTTCAACAAACGAGTAGGCTCGTGACCAGCCTGGCGTATGCTACCACGTGGGACGCCCATGTGCATTACAATATTTGGGTGCATGAAATACCCCAAAGTAGCCGCCCATCAGACGCTCTGACACCACAGGTCTTATATATGTTGCCCGGAGTAGAATCAGTCAGATCATCCTGACATCACTGAGCGAGTTATTCAAAAAGATGTGCCAGCCAGTATATTAGTCATGAGTGGAGTATGCAGAGCGTTGAACGCTGAATTTGTATCAATACGAGGCACGGCCTCAATCATGAGGACAATGTAGTACAACTTTGTCAATCAATGATAGTCATGCGCTGGAGAGGTGACAGACGCATATTGTCACAGCTACGGTGACCAATATCAGTGTCAAATGGGTGGAGAGCGGATCACTGGTACTTCCTGCGCCCAGATATTGCAACAAGTGGGACCCTTTTGTTTGTCGAGCAGACTCGAATAAAAATCCGGTCTATCGATACGACAGTCAAGAGCGCTGGAATGTAATCATGGTGAGTTGTCACAAGTCCCTGAAGTTGATTGGCTGACTAACACATAACGTTCGCCAAAAGCAAGTCCGACAATGGCGTGTAGTAACGTTTCGTCCGGCGTGTACATACTTGGACTTGTCGCTTCAACTACTCCAAAGTCCATCAAAGACCCACTTTTACGATGTCCAGCGACGGAAATTTGTTTGTTCAAATCGGTTCATACAACACAAACCTCCAAGGCGGAGCTGGCGTGCCTCAGGATCTTGTTGATTGGCTCCTTCCAACAATCCAAGTAGCTTCTTTCCTCTCCAAGGAACATCGCGCACCAGACATTTTTGCGATTGGCTTCCAGGAACTTCTACCCCTTCACCTTGGACGTATGTCTTCGTGTTCGTACACCATTATTCTGACATGACACTTTCACTAAGTGGCTGGATTGTCCAAGACTGTGCTCGACAATAGGGACGCGCATATTCGTAGTCAGATTGAGAAGCATACTCCCGGTAAGGAGTCTTACACCCTTGTTGCGAAGGCTGTGAACGTTGGTGTCGCACTTCTCGTGTACGCACGAGATAGTGGTGTGTCACGCCAAGTTTGTGATGTTCAAACCCAATGGACTGGGACAGGCCCGGCATACATGGGTAACAAAGGCGCTGTTGGTATTCGTTTCCGCGTCTCAGACAGAGGGAGCAAAGTTGGAGAGGTTTTTACGTATGTCTTATGTTTATGATGGTTTATGGCCCGAACAAATACTTCCCAGGTTTGTGTGTGCCCACCTCACCGCACACGAGGCCAAGCTCGCTCAACGGGTCGCAGATTATCATCACATTGTTAGCACTCTTCTTTTTCCTTCACTACCATCATCTCCTTCCTCTTCCCCGACCACCATGTATTCGACATCACACCTATTCTTCCTCGGCGACCTCAACTTCCGTGTAACAATACCCCCGTCGCGTCTACATGAGCAAACTTCCCAACCGTACAATGTTCTTGCGATGTTGAAGGACGACGCATCTCGTGAACAGTTGAAGGAATTTGACCAACTTCTGAACCAGCGGAGGAAAGGGACAGCTTTTATTGGTTTGCGCGAGGGCCCATTCTGGGCATTCAAGTGTACATATAAATACAAGCTGGGTGAGGTTGACCGGTACAGGTTTGTCATTTTTTCTCAACGATTTTCTCATACTTAGCCAGCCTTGACAGCACTAAACGGACCCCATCTTGGACCGACAGGATAATGTATGCGACTCACACTGATTCCCCTGATTCACCTGAGAAGTCTAACATCACCAATATTTTGTACACGTCAATACCATCATACGTCACATCAGACCATGTAAGTTCTTATCACCCTTTTACTTCTCATCTAACAGGTGAGCAGAAACCTGTTGTCTGCTTACTGCGGCTTCCACCACCAACCGCTACAACGTCCCTCGAAACGTGTGCACCTCCCATGATTCAATTGCCCTCATCGTACACGCCTACGCTTGATCTGCATGCTACGCTGAAACGGTACACTGGTCGTACTCTTGATCGCATCATTGGGTCCATATGGTGGCTTCTCACAGTGGTTGGAGCCGGCTCAGCCGTTGTTGGGATTTTCAACTTCTTTCTGGGGCTCACCGCGTGGAGATGGTGGAAAGTACCAGCTGTATCTGTTGCCGATCCCTGAGCCAACGTTGATATTAATTATTCAAGGTGTATATGTAATGCTATTGTATTTCCTGGATTGCAGCCACCTATCTATTCCTATCTATCTATCATTGCGTCCACATGCTCATGCTGTGTTGCTGCTCGTTCATAGTTCTCTCGTATTCACGATTCTTTTCTAGGCCTCACTACTATGACGACAACCTCTGCTTCGTTTCACGACGTTGTTGGTTTTTCAAAGCTTCAAAATGGAAAAGAATTTTTGGCGATATAACAAAATCTATCGATGCGATGCACGGGCAACTATCATCGATGATGAAGGCACTCCCTTCATCTCTTTGCCAATGATGTGCGCGACTTATCTTGGCCTTCGTATTTCGCTCACTCATATAGGTTTTTACAACCCTGGTAACTGATGACAACGTCAATCTACATAGCTCATTCACCTCGTGCCGATCTCATTCGAAACACCACAGTACTCATTTGGGACGATTTCCCGAATCAACTTTGCGTTCCATCCAAACCGTTCACCGTTCACCGTTCACCGTGATAGTGAAGCGAAGACTGTTTCCTGTGTAACACGCATATGCAACCACATTTGATGGTTGTCAGGGACTGACGCTTGCACGGACCGTGCTCGACCTTCGAACAGATCCCTTTAGTCACAGTCAATTGTATACGACACTGTTAGAACAGACAATTTGCAAGGACGAACGAAGAACAAGGTCGTGCTAATATCGGATTTCTCGAGTCGTTACTGTGAATACAATATATGATCGAAGAGTCAACCGAATGGGTGTTCTTGTATTGTTTAATTATCTATGTTGACTACGTCCTCTCGTCTCTTCGTTCTCATCACTGTCAACAAGAGCATCCTCCCGAGTTATCTCAACACGGATCGCTGGAACTCGAGTCTCGTCGTTCAATATCGTACTTTCAGCATCATCCTTGCTCGTAGTTGAGTGCACTAGTGCGAGCAGGACGAGAGAAATTATCAACAGCACCACACTCAAAACAAAAATTGCACCAGGGAAGGTCGCAACAATCTTATAATACAGAAAGCCAAATAATGCGGGGCCCAGGATCTGGGAACTATACCGAATGCATTAAGAGCTTGAGTTGGCCAAAATAGACTCTCCTACCTTAGAGCTTGTACAACACACATGGCGCCAAAAAGCCTTCCAGCTTCGACCTTTCCACCTCTTCTGCTGTAAACGTCGAGCGCGAATGCTTGGACAGCAGGCGAGTACCCAACGCCCAGTGATTGCAGGATGGTTCCGGAAACGAAGACGAGACCATTAGAGGCAAAAATCATTGTCGCGAACGAAAGAATGTCAAGAACGATAGAAATTCAAGCGAGATTGAGATCAAATTTCGCAGAATGAGAGGGTGGTCCTGTGTTATTCCGCCTACTTGGAAGGGTCTGCGAAGACAGGTTCTGAAGTGGCTCATCCGGGGCAGTGCGGAGCTGCACGGGCGCCGGCCTCAGAAGCTTGATGATAACTAGTGAATTGAATTTGTAGTGAACAAGGGTGAGTATGAGTTCTTTGTACAAACCAGGCAAGATGACAGTCAAGAACAGTACACGGTTTGCTCCAGTGAAAGCGACCCAGTAGCTAATCTAGAAGGTTGTCAGATCTAGTGACGACATTTTTGCGTTCTTTTACCGTTTCCGATGAAAACCTGAAATTCCCTGCTGCATACTGTAAGATGTATGTAACCATACCCTGCGGGAAAAGTAGGTGTAAGTATTGGAAATACCACGAAGATATGATGGTACCACACCAACTGGAACATCGTGAAACCATAGCTAGCAACGATGAAGCATAAACTCCAATCTCTCTTGGAGTGTTTGAGTGGGTTTCCGTCAACATTGGTATGCTCAGGCATAAGAATTGCTAGAGGGCTGAAGAACCTCATGGCGCTCTTTAAGACGGATGCAACTCCTAGGGCCTCACCATTTCGTCTTTCAAGTGACGCCTGTCGTCTTTTCTGAGCGCCAAATGCTCTCGCTTTTGTCTGGGATTCGGGGACGATCAAAAACATGAAAGCAGCGTACAGCGCGTGGACAGTCGCAGATAAATAGAATGCGGAAAGTGTCGAGCCTGTCGCCCAAATTAAGATGCCTCCAATGACAGGACCGAGGGCTACACCAAAAAAGACGGCACCCAATGCTAGAGAGAACATACGAGATCTATCCATGATGATTTATTTAAGTAGGACATAAGTGGATTTGAAACCCTACCGCTCAGAACGATGAGTACTGTCAGCGAGATAGGCATGGGAAGCAGCAACCCCAGTAGTCATCCCTTAAAATGCGTTCAACACCGACCTATCCCGAATGACATGCTCTGACTTACCGCCAGCCATACCGTCCAATGCAAAACCGAGTATCAAGAACCAGTATCCGCCTGGGAGCCGTTCCACAAGGAATGCAGTAACAATGAAGATTAAATCACTCGAAAGCAAACCGAGCATTGATATGCCCATGACTAATGTTCGGCCAAAACGGTCTGCGAACTGGAGAGCGGGAGGTCATGGGAAGGTCGAGAGATATGAACGCATTGACTCACCGAACCCCACCAAACGGTAGTAAGGCAGCTCAAAATACCCATAGTAGTGTTCAGAACTGCCTCGGTATAAGTGTCGCTCTGATGTATAAATAAAGACAATAAAACCAACCTGCGGACAATTGCGCAACGGCAGCTTGCACGACTGGGTCGGACGCGCATTGGTCGCGGTCTAAACCGTGTGACTGTCTGGGGCCAGTATGTGCAGGAACGTATACAGACACAGATTGAGCAGACACAAACGAATCATTGGGATCATCTAGATTCAATCCGTCATGTAGAATATTCGCCGTGTCTGTGGATAACACTGAATGTGGCTGAGCTAGATGTAGCGTGTCGTTTGGTTCATACTGTGACTCAAGTCCAGGCGCTGGGCCATGTACACGGCATGCGAGAATAGTGTACATTTCCACCCGAGGACCGATGAGCGCAGAGAAACCCAACGTTGCTAGAGGCGTGGAAAATATCAACCTGCTTGAATGGTCAATATTACTCCGACACAGCAGGCTCGCTCGCTGACCAGTATGGCGACGGTCTTTTCCACCATGGCAGCACCTTCCATGCTGTAACTTCTTCATCATGCTCTTCGTCTTCTCGGTCAAACTGGAACGACCCTTCCTGGTCTACGAGCGTACGTTCCGTCTGTTGATGTGGGTGCAGTAGAGTGTGTTCATCGACTGGGCCACAAGGCAAGATCAGCCCTTCGGATTGGGGAATACATACACGCCTCGACTCGGAGGAAACCACAGACGTGTTTCTGGATGACCTTCGAGACATGGTGGCCGTGAAGTGTTACGTGCATGCGGACTAAACAAGGCTGTGTTACTTTATTTGAATACGGGTGTTGACATCAGTGAATTCAGGAGTTCGTGATATTGTAACCATGATGACTATTCCTGGACCTACTGTAGAGATACGACACTAGGTTCGTCACAGGTCACAGCCCTTAACGAATCGAATCTATTTGCTGTGACTGTCACATGAATTTTTGGTGGGACGAAGCTAATTTGTGACGTATGGAAAAAAAAAAAACATAGGTTATGCGCTAATGGGACCAGAAATCATCATACATCGAATTTGCGATGCGTCTACGCTTTCCACGCCCGTAATCAACCTTCGGAACACTGTTCGAGCCACTCTCCACATCATAGACTTCGGAGTGGTTTGAACACAGAAGTCCGCCATCTGCATCAATACGGCAGTCAGAACGGACGTGTTCACCCCCGGAAGCTATATGGTCAAGGAGTGCATCCATTGGCACGTCACTGGCATCTAGGTCATGCTCGCTTAGTGATGCAGAGGTTCTGTTCTGAACCGCGGTTTGAACCGGACCTTTCATGGACTGGACACGGTCTAGTTCAACGTTCAGAGTATAGGCTGAACTGAACCGATGGTCCAGTCCAGCATTCAGCATTCCTTGAACACGTTGAACGGGTCCAAACAGGTCCAAACCTTTTTGAACTGCTTCCATTTTAGGCTACTCACACATACAAGATGACATCACCCACACATGCAATACACTGAACATGACATGATTACTCGGTACTTTTTTGCTTGGAATCTGATTTGTCGCTCGTCGATCATCCGAACACTGCATTGCGAATCCTCGTCAAGAACTCGCCACATATTTGATGGCTCCATTGGAAGATGTGGGAGATGTTGTCTGTTGGTGGGGGGTAAGTTATATCTATTGCATCGACTAGTAGTTATTTACTGATGCACCTACCAGCATCATTCTGTGGCATACCCAACACTCTCCCGCATGGCAAGAGATTTTCTTGTGATTCAAGGTTCTGCCACTCCATCAGAACGGGCCTTTTCAAGCGGCAGCATCACAGATCAGAGTCGACGCAACCGGCTCATGCCTGATATCTTTGAGGCGCTCCAACTGTTGAAGAGTGCTTATCACAACAGGCATATCCAGGCTGCAGCTGAGGCCACCACTCGTATTGAGCCCCTCGCTCATGTAATTGAAAACGACCTTTCTGTTGTCCTTACTGATCTTTAGTCTTGCCTTGCATTAATTTCACTTGGCCTTGCTTCACAGTAGTGTACCAGTACTCCTTACTACTAGCTATAGTACAATCAAGTATATTTACAATGCGTTTGATGTTTGAATGCTGAACCGGACGTGAACTGGACACCATGAACGCGTTCATGGCGTCCGGTTCAGCATTCGCAAAATTTGTTGCTGAACTGGACCGAGCTGGACTTCCGCAACACTAGCTTGCTAGCATCGTTGAAGGGGGATTCGGCTCCGGTAGTATCAGTGGCCTCGTTCTCTGACTCAGAGTTTGTTGCCTGGTCGACACTGACAGTCTTGTACAGTAGCAATCCTCATCCATCCAGCTGGATCATTCTTCTGAACATCACGTAAATATTGCAATGCCTCTCAACTTGTGAGGCTCGCAAATGAGAGATTGAAATTCTCCCCGGCCTTACACATGAAAAATGCCTTGAAAACATGATTTAGCTCTGTGCATCAAGATTTGACAGTGTGAGAAAACAAGAAACAAACCTGCTTTACAAGCTCAGGCTTGTTTATAGCGTGATATCCATTTATAACCCACCGCAATGACCGATCATGAAGGGTGCCAATTGTTGTGTCAAGTCTGATGAGTGACACAGACTTGTCTTGGGCAAGTCGAACAAGAGACTCATTGACTATATCAGCTTGCTGTGTCTGTTTGACTGCAAGTTTGAATGGTCATTGAATACCGACGTCACATGGCTGACCAACACCAGTGCAGCCCCCAGGGACAAAACAGTATTTGATCCAAGGGTAGGTCATATCCATCCACGTGCGAAATTGAATTGATCTGTGCACACTCCACACGTCAAGGTGCAAAATACACTCCTGGTCAGCCGGTGCATTAAGTAACACTTTCTGCTCCTCCCAGTAAGGCACCAGAATGTCATTAACGTACTCACACATGAGGGGAAATGTTGACCAGTAAGTGTGCATACTTGAGTATGAGATTTTGAACTTGAGTTCCATTGCTTCCTTGTATTGCGGAGTAGACTTTGAAGGAATAGAGCATGAAGTTTTCCCCTCATAGATCAGTTGCAAGGGGAGGGCATGACCTCCGGCAGATATTCCATTGACGACGGTGAACACTTGTTTTTCTTCCTGCCCGATCATGGAGACTTGCTTTGAGCCAATTGTTTCAAATGTTGAGGTGTTTGCTGGCTGATAGACAATATTCGTCTGGTCAATATTGACGACAAATGCAGCATTGAAGATTGCACAGTCACGAATTGTGAGCGTTAAACGGAGGAACTGATCGAGGAGAAGCTGCTCAACATTTGGTGGCATTTTTTGAGCTGCATGTGTTGCCCTGCAGAAGCTCCAATTGAGATGCTTAGCAAGAAACTCCTTCACCCAACTCTCCATGCAGTGGAAGCGAGAACTGTCCTTGGCGACATGCTCGAAAATATCAGGAACAGCGTGTTGCAGGCATGCAAGGATGATACCATGGCAGCGGAGAGTGTCCAATGCAACACCAACTTGATGAAGAGACTGAAGGTTGTTGATGATCAATTTGACCACGTTGAGATAGGAGGATAGAATGTGTTTCCGTGTGTTTTGGTACATGAGCAGGCTGCGTCGCTGAACACAAGCAAGAGTTGCCACACTCCAAACAGCTTTGTCACCAGAGCGGTCAATCCATGTTCCAACTACCTGTGGAGTCAATGTCCAGAATCGTGCTAAGTCCTTCTGCTGAAGATCACGCACAATCTCTATGGGGGACATGCCAATCCCCACTTGAACAGCAGCTTCAGCAATAATAGCCCATAACAAGGGGTGTTGCCAGTTGACACGAACTGCAACAGTGTCCTCATGCTTCCTTTTGCATCCAGGTTGAACACTAGGTTTATGTGCCCTCGCATCTCTTTGAATCTTGCGATATGGGCGAGACACCTCGGTAAGATCTGTCATCTGGAGGGCAGGAGCGATGTTGGATGTGTGATTTGTAGTGGCCTTCTTCGCAGCCTTTTCATGGGCACGTTGGATTTGTTTCCATTCCCTATTTCCCTCACATCGGCGTATATCTCTTTCTACTCCTTCAACACAAACCCTATGGGCATCCCGCTCACAACTCTCTAGCTCCCAAGAGAAAGGAGTCCATGCCGATTTGAGATGCTCCTCGCACATCGTAGTTGGAAAGTACTAACAGATTTGTCCTCTTTGCGAACCCTGAGATTCAAGGAAACACGTTCTGAGCTAGATGTTGTCGGCGGAGGGGAGGGGCTTGTTGCTGGTACCAGACTGGGATATGATGGAGGACATGATGAAAATTTGATGCTGAAATCACTAGTGTCATCTGCGAAAGAGCTCTCTGAAGACTCAGAAAGTAACTCCTCAGACTGTTATGAGGAAATGAGTTTTTTGAGTGGTAAAAACACAGTAAAAATGAACCTCGAAGTGGCTCTTTGTCAACATCAAAAACTGTTACAAGAACATCTAGATGCTTGGGCCCCTACTATTTTTCTCCTAATACTCCTCGTATCAGCCCTCGCGTCATACCCTTACCCCGACCTTACCCTTGTCATCCTTGTCATCCTCACATTCCCTTTCGCCCTCTACCTGTCGCTTCAGCAGAGCCAGTACATCTGGCCGGACCCTTTCGCTGACGAAGCATACCCATGCTCCATTTCACCACCTGACTGATCCTGTGGACAGTCCCCCTTGCCCTTACCGTCCGGACGGTAACCTATGACACGATGCACGACGCATCCCCTTTGCCTTATTCCCTTTCTTGATCTCTGACTCGGTGCGCAGTCGCACATGCGACTTATACTTAGATCCGCAGCTGCACGATCGTGCCTCTGTGTGTTTCACTTCTTATTTCGATTATTGACTCACTTTCTTATCTAGCATGTTCTACCTCGACCGAACGTGCCTTCCAGTTATAGTCATACCCTTTACCGATTGCCTCTCCTGGTAGTACGAGTTATCACCCACTAATACGTCTCCTGTCCTCTATATAAACTCGCTACCATGTACCATATTCCCTAACTTGAATCTACTTGGTTCTTGACCTCCTACTCTCACCAGAGTGATCCTTCTGCCTCGCCAGCAGTCTATATTCTATCTTCTTATCTGCTCTTCGCGGATAAGCCTATAGTCTCGACCTTTACTCATCGACTTCGTCGATGAGCAAAGCCCCTGTTAACTAGTCGGACTTCTGTCCTTCTAATTAACGACGATCCTTACGATTAACCTTCGGGTGTCGTAAGCCTAGGCCGATATAGCTTATTGTCTCGCACCCGCATGACATAAGCTACCCGATTTGGACATAGGCGTTAAATCGTACTTGCCAAAGACACGCCAAGTACGACCCCTAACCTTGGGCTAGCCCAAGGACGTCCACAGACCGTTGACGACACAAGCTCTGTTTGAGCGTCGCCAACAGATACCATCCAAGTCGTAACAAAAACTCCTCCACGCGAAGACAATATTTCAAGTCATCGGTAAACAGCGGGTGGTGGTTGAAGACAGTGTGCTTGATGGTATTGAGAGCTGCGATTGCACATGAAAAGGAGTCTGTCTGCTCCCCATGAGACAAGGATCCTTTGTCAAATGGTGCGAATCCATGGTTTTTCAACCAGCGGCAGATAACATCAACATATGAACTAGGCATGGACCATCCAAGTGAGTCACCGTACAAGATCATCTGTGTGCTAGCATCAATGCTAACGATGGCCCAATGGACATTGACAATATTGACAGGGAAAATGACACGCTGTATGGTGCCATTGTGTCACAACCCAATAACGAATTAACGCTGGGCAGAGACTAGGACTCGGACTAAGGTTATCACAACAAAAGGATTGAGCAAGGACATCTTGGATTGCTACAATGATGTAGATACAAGAGGTTTGAACTAAGGAACTATCAACCAAGATGTGCTACCTATATACAACTAGAGCCCCTTCAGTGACAAATTCTGTATTATACGGGTCACCCGACCTACATAATATCCCGTATAAGATGGCCCAGCAGACTATGGGCCGATGTGATGTATATCCCTGATGTTGACAGATGGGCTGGGGGGAATATTATTTCTGATGAAGATGGGTGGGCCCATCTATGCCAATGTTATATATATGCTCGATGATGTTGGATGGGCCGGGATGAATATTTTTACTGATGGAGATGGGTGGGCCCATCAGGGGAATATGTACAGTAGGATGGACATGTATATTATAGACAGCTAGGCTGAAGGGAGATGAGAGGCAATCATTATTATATAGATGGGTGGGCCGATGTATAGGAATCATTTTGTAGATGGGTGGGCCAATGTAAAGGTACATTGTATAGCCAGGTGGGCCGACGTACAGGAATAATTTTGTAGACAGGTGGGCCGAGGTCATTGTGAATTGTACAGATGGGTGGGCCGAACAAGCAGTAAAACATTTATTATATCGATGGGTGGGCCGAGAGTGCAGGAAATTATTTATGATATAGACTGGTGGGCCGACGAGGTAATATATTACATAAATGGGTGGGCCGAGGTAGGGAGATATTGTGTAGATGTATAGGCCAAGGTATTGGTTTACTATATAGATATATAAAGCACTTGTCTGACATGCATGGATCACCGAGTCCCAACACCTGAAAATTGAATCCCATGGTACAACATCCATTTTTCAACAAGAAATCACTGTCTCGAATTCCGGATGCCTGATGACTGGAAGCTCCAGACTGGAAACTAGATACTTGCAGGAATGTGTGAAATATCGATGTCCTGAGACATATCACTGAGTGCCGAGAGCTGAACCACAAAACCGAAAGTATTACCACTGACTGATTGAATCACCTAGTGCCAAGTGCCGAAGCCTGAAACCCGAGCCACGAAACCCGAGGCTGGAAGCGATACACAATATGGAATTTCTTACAAAATTCACCGCGTGCCGATCCTAAAACCCTGGAATTCAGCATTGACTTATTGATTCACCGATTGCTGAGACCCAAGGCCTGAAACCTGCAACTTGAAACAAGTGGAAGACTAAATGTTGCAAAATTGTTGACATGAAAGTGTTACTCCCAAAACACCGAAATCCGAAACTAAATGGTTGAATCACTGAGTACCGAGTACTGAGTGCCGAGTGCCGATGCCCGAAATCCGAGGCTCAAAACACAACACTGGACACAATACACCATATGGTATTTCTTACAAATTTCACAGAGGTCCCATCACAAAGCCATGAAACTTATCAGTGACTTATTGATTCACCGAGTGCCAAGACCTGAGAACCAAATGCTGAGTGCCGAGGCTCGAAATCCAAAACACGAAATGAGTGGAAACCCACATTTCGCAAAATTGTTAACATGGAAATGTCAGATTGTCTTCAACAGTTTGCTGGAAGTCATTTTCCAATCCCTGAGCCCAAAACCCAAAACCCGGAAAACCCGTAGAACTCATTACAGGTTTTCTGGGTTTCGGGCTCGGGGATTGGAAAATGACTTCCGGCAAACTGTTGAAGACAATCTAATATTTCCATGTTAACAATTTTGCGAAATGTGGGTTTCCACTCATTTCGTGTTTTGTATTTTGAGCCTCAGCACTCAGCATTCAGGTCTCGGGTCTCGGGTCTCAGCACTCAGTGAATCAATAAGTCACTGATAAGTTTCGTGGCTTTGCGATGGGACCTCCATGAAATTTGTAAGAAATACCATATGGTGTATTGTGTCCAGTGTTGTGTTTTGAGCCTCGGGTTTCGGGCATCGGCACTCAGCACTCGGCACTCAGTACTCGGTACTCAGTGATTTAACCATTGAGTTTCGGATTTCGGTGTTCTGGGAGTAACACTTTCATGTTAACAATTTTGCAACATTTAGTCTTCCACTCATTTCGAGTTGCAGGTTTCAGGCCTCGGGTCTCGGCACTTGGTGAATTGATAAGTCACTGATAACAAAGGTAACATTGATTGAAAACATTGCATATATATCTATGACTATTTAATTATGTAGTCATGTCAACATCCTCACCAGAAGGTTCACCCTTCACTTGAACATCCATCTCTTCAACTGAATCATACTCTGGGAAAAGATTGCCCAGATCATCTGGTTTCACAATTTCGCCGGGTGTCTGTGAAACCTCAGGATGAATTTGGTTGAGCTCAAATATGAGTCCATCAATGGCAGACTCATCCTGGAGGTTGGGGGGGTTTGGCTCCATCCCTTCTATAGACAGGTCAATGAGAGGAGGAAGTGCGGATGCAGGGTTTGACATCGCCGGAGGGACAGGTTGATGAAGCAAAAATGATGTTGCATCACCTTGGGCGTCCGGAAGTGGAAATGTTGGGTGCCGGAGGATGATTTTGCATCAAAGGCCTTCATGAAGGCGTTGCAGGGTGTCAATCTTAGCATCCTGCTCAACAACACGCTCCTCGAGAGCGGTGATTTGAGCTGCACCCTCCCGAATCGCCATTGCCATGGCATGCAAATCCGGCATTGGCACATCGAGTGCCGAACAAGGAACTCTGGAAGTCGAAGATGGGACTGCTACAGGTGGAACATTATGTCAGATGGACATAGAAAATTTGGGTGACTTACGAGCTGGTGCAGGTGTAGGTTCCTTGGCAGCAGTGACAGTCTTGCTGCAACCGTGTGTTTGTGCCTTTGGTGTTTGGGCACCAGATGGACCAGGAGTGACGGAAGAGACCCGAGATTGACTCCACTGTAAAGAGTTGATTCCCGCTGGGCTCAGCAGAAATCGTACTACCTAGACAACAAATATTTAGGTAGATCTTAGCACGACCTATGCTGCTATACTTGCAGAGCAAGTGCGTTCGATCCTAAAGGGATTGCTAATTGGTATTAGTAGTAAAAATGCCTCAGTAATGCAAATAACAAAATGTCCGAAGCTGCGAAATGATGTCCGAAGGTACTTATCCAATGTCCGAAGCCAAAGTGCGATGTCCGAGATTTCGGACTTTCGGACTTCATGATAATAGGTCAGAAACTTTATAACGAGTGTTGGATTGCGAGCGGTGTGCGCGAGTATAACGAGTGACAGAGTATGATGGTGAACGAATGGTAATATTTTGCAATGCAACTAAGAACTACGAGAATATTCTGGGTAATCTGCAGAGTCGGGAAACAGCTCCTAACTACTGGATGATGATTGCTATGGGTCACTACAGAGTATTTAAGTAAGTACGTAGAAATTCGGAAAACTACAGGCGAAGATAGTAGCGATATATTTCGGGTCCGATGTCCTATGTAATAAGACACGAGGTGCTGTGGACATGTAATAACGCAGGTCTGAATGTCAGAAAACATGCATGAAAATAACTACGCACCTAGTGAGGCTAGTTCGGATGGACAGGACATGGGATGGACAAGTGCGCACGAAGTGCGATCGGCCAATGCGATGTCCGAAGGTCCGATGCACCGGATCCAATACAGAGTGGCTCGGACATGTGCGCATATGTTTCAGGGTGTTGAGGTGAGTATGAAAATACGTGGTTTCAAGCCCAACGCAACCATTGCTACACCACGTCTGGCCGGTGGATTGCGAGGCAGCTGGAGCTTTGGAGGGAGCTTTGGAAGGGGTCCTGGATCTGGTCCTCCTGGTGGTCTGGGTGATGGATTGACCTTGAACGTGTTTCAGCAGGGTTTCCATCCTCACGGAGATGCACTTGATCTTCTTGGTGGTGCAGTAGATGCAGGACATGCACAGGGCGCCGGTCCTCTTGTCAAACCGAGTTGCACAGGGCCATTCCATCTTGTGGCAAGCCTGGCAAGGGTTGTTCTGTGCGATCTGTCAGTTCATAGACACACCAAGTCTCAATAGTGTACTTACGGGTCCAGGAATGAGTATATCACCTGCATCGGTGACTGGGGGCGCCTCTACCAGAGGTTCGGGAGTTGCCTGAGGGGGCTCAATGACCTCCGGATGTTTGCTGGCAATTGCCTGGCACATTGTAAGGACTCACCCAAGTGCCAGATGTAAAAGTGCGACTTACCATAGCAGGCCCGAAGGGTTTCTTCTTCAGGCTCTGGGGTGACCGAGGTGATCCAGACGTCCTTGCAACATCTGGGGAGAGCCAGGGGAGGACGACCTCTGGCACTCCATGCGAAATCAGCTACAAAATGAGTAAGACAATGAGACAATGAACCAGAGGACATACCTGAGTGACGGAGTCCTCCTCAGTCTTCCGACTCAACAAACACCTTGAATTTGGCAAGGCCAGCTGGTCTTTGCCCGCTTCCGAGTCTTCATAGTGGACTTCGGGGGTTGGGAGGGAAGTGCTGGAATCATTGGAGACTTCCTCTTCCGACTCCCTTCCACTTCCAGTTCCAGGGTCCTGGACAACTGCCTTACCTTTTCCCTTCTCCCGGGACTCGGAGGCAGGGTTGGTAGAAGGCCCGGCAATGACAGGTGAGGGTGGAAGATCCACAGGAATTGGACCTATTGAAGGACCGGCCACATGACCGGGAGATCAAAGGTGTGATCACCTAACTCCTCCCAGGCAAGAACCTTGCTGCACCAGGGGTGCGTCAACAAATGGGTATCGTCATACCCGATGCTGTGCCAGTTGGGCCAGACCTGAGGAGTCATGCCCCGAACACTGAATTAACTCCCTCGAGCACGAACACATGAGACCCGGAAGGTAGGGACCACTCCCATAGTGCCAGGACCACATCAGCCTACCCGGATGATGAAAAACATGAAGGGGAGAAAATATGACAATGCTACATACCACAGAGTGTACTGACCTGGGTTGTCAGAGAAAAGTGGCTGTGGCCCGGAGGAAGCTGCCGAGTGCCGGTGATGATGGCCATGATCTTGGCAGTGATTTCCTTGATGCCGGTCAAAGAGGTGTCAACTGAGGTAGACATGATATTTAAATTGAAAGTGTTGAAAGTGTTGAGATCAGGTAGAAATCAAGTTGTATTCAGGTTGAAATCAGTTATCACAAGGATGATGTTTCAGTAAAAACAAGATCAGTGATTAACAATGTAAAATTTCATTGATTGTTTGTCCTTGTTTGGTCGTGGTTCAACTCTCGGCAATTGCTGGCGCCTTGTGTTCAACTTCGAAGTTATCAATAATCAGTGAATCAGTTGATCAGTTCCTCACAGAACATGAACTCCCCTGCTACAGTTAGATTCAATGACCCTCCGGTCACTGGATATAACTCAATGGATGTGGATGAATCAACCGTGTCCCGGATGTCAACAGGTATGTTCAACATCCATCATACCTTATCAATTTACTGGACATCCTCAGATCAATTATATTTTGGGCCGGCTGATGACCCAGAATCATGTTCTGTGTCATCCAATGGTCCGGAGGTCTTTTCTCCAATTTCCGGTGAGTTTATCAATTGATATGATGACAATCTAATCATCCATGGTCACTCAAATCTCACAGATCATTCACGTCCGGCTCAATGTGATCAACCAGGCCTCCCGGTTCACCCGGACCTATACATTGGGCCTGAGGATGACCTGATGGCTGGGATGCATGGTGAGTATTATTTAAATCATCTAACAATGCATGTTGACACAAAAATCTTGCAGATCAGTCACTTCCGGCCCAACCTGATATGCTGGGTCTAGCCATCCACCCGGATCTCTACCTCAGGCCTGATGAAGATATTATGACTGAGATCCCGGGTATGTTCATCAATTAAATGAAAAGTCCGGCCATCCCTGGTTACTAAAACCTGACAGATCCATCACCTCCAGGCCCAACTTATCACCCGGATGTACCCATCCACCCAGACCTGTACCTCGGGCCTGATGAAGATTTGATGCCAGAATTCCTTGGTCTGTTGTCATGAGTACCTTTAACAAACCATTATTCTTTCTTGAATCTTCCTAAATGTCAATACACAGCGCCTAAGTCAAACCCTAACCCTACCCTGAAAGTGTCTATCATTCCCGAAATACCTTTAGCGCCTACGACACGTGTCTTCGATGTGACTGATGAAGAAGACAAGTTCTTTGATTGTGAATAGATTAGATTAGATACAATAAGATAAGATAAGATATGGTCATGTGATGCTTCTCTAATATTCTACAATGTTCTATGGTACAATTCCCTTTTCCTTTTTATGATTGGCTAGTAGTTGTATCTCAGTTTCAATATCAGTTTCAATAGTTGTATATAGGTAGCACGTCTTGGTCAATAGTTCCTTAGTTCAAACCTCTTGTATCTACACTGTAGCAATCCAAGACGTCCTTGCTCATTATCTTCTTGTTGTGATAACCTTCGTTTGAGTCCTAGTCTCTGCCCTAGTGTTTATTCATTATTGGGTTGTGACATCTGTCAATCAAAACATCTCACCATTTCTGTTCACTAAACCATTACAGATAAATCTCTTCTGGCCCAACCTGATCAACCAGGTTTCCCCATTCACCCAGACATGTACTTAGGGCCTGAAGATGATCTGATCGACTGCGAGGTGAAGCAGGAGTGTGCTGATTCGGATAGTGAGGTCTCAGGTGCGCCGGTAGTATCTAGGGCATGTAGGTTTCTCCCTACCATCCAGGTTTTCTTACTTAATTCATCTCCCAAGCAATTGCAAAATCTCCCGAACATGATTTGCCACACCCGGATGTCACATATGAAGAATTGCTTGCCATGGTCCGGGATCTCCGACCATTTGAGTCTTACAATCACACAGGCAGTGAGTATCTGATATAATCATTTATCTTTCTGCTAATTTGTTTCTTAGTTCAATCCATTCAAGATGGGGTCCAGGATTACAAACAGCGACACGGACATATTCCCAACCCATCCATCCAACAACTACTCGAGGCTGAGAGACCATTCCGAACTGCCTGGGCAAAAACATCTGACAAACTCAGAAGAGCTGATGAAGACCTCCAGAAGCTGCAAAGAGCTGAATGTTTGACTTCCGAAATGCTCAAGGTATTAGATTCCCTCATTCTTAGGTTTGAAGATCAAATTCAAATGTAAATTACACAATTTCTGTTAGTAGACAAATTATCTGTGAACTTCCGAATTTTTATGAACCCACTCACGTCATGTAAACTACTTAATTATGGATGTATTGAACTCCCATTTCCGATTTATTCACTATCCGAGGACTACCAAGGCCCAAGTATCGATCACCGGGTCCATGTTTCGAGTCCGGCACATCAATAACCTACTTCCCATTGCATGACATGGATATGTACATAAGGGGAGACAGTGTGGGATAAGTCCATCCACTTCCTTCCCCTTGCTCTTGTCACCCGAGGAGTACTGTCTAATGGCTTTGGCATTGACTTACTCCGGGTGGTCCTCGCCAATGGCTCAATCACCGCTTTCTTTCCCCTGCATCCTTTTCAGAGCTGGCGATGTTTTCCTCCCTTCCATTGCAACATCATCGTCAAACTCACCAGTGTTGCCATTGGTTAACCCTGCCAGGAGGTTGCCCATTTGCGATGTCAGCAGTGCACCACGTTTCACCGGCTTGACGGGGCGAGGCTTCGGAATTGACGGTGGGATTGCTGTCTCTGCATGTGATGATGAAGGACCTTCTCCGGTTCTGGTTCTCTTTTTCGGTGATCTACCATCAGCCGAGTCATTATCATCATCATCATCATCATCATCTGAATGATGAGTGTCATTCCTGAAATCACTGTCAGGTTCGGAGGATGAATCCCTAGGGCTTCGGATGATTACCCTTTGCATGTTTTTGACTTTACCCATCCGATGGGAAGGTGACCTGCCTGATATGACCGATGCTACCATGTCGCCATCTTTGTTCTTCCACGCTTTGAACATGAATGTTGATCCTTCGCCTTTCTCCTGCCGAGCATACCAGAAATTGAGGAGGGCCGTTGTGTCCCAATTTTGCAACTTGGAAGGCTCCTTCAAGTCGACATCCGCTGGAAGATATCTTCGTGACACAAATTCATCCTGGCATTGAAGGATGGCTGCTCCATGGCACTACTGCCTTGTTGATCCCCAAACAAATCCCTATGTTGATGCATTCAACAATGTCCTGGATGTAGCAAGGATTGACTCATGATAGTGCGATGTGAGAAAAGCCCTGACTATGGCCTTCTTCTCCTCGAGTTTTGTTTCGGTGATGTCCAGAAGCAACAGCATCCCATCCTTGTCAGTGTCGAGCTCGAAGGCTTGTTTTCAAATTTTCTTGCGACCTCCCTTCATCTGTCGGCCACCTTCCCGTGCTCCAGCACCTATCACAGAGACCATCAACACACCCCTCTGGGTATCAACAGTTTAAACACTCACCGAACTGTTCCTGCGCATACTCCTGCCACACCAGCTCAATGTCCTCCCAGTCCTTTGTCTTCATGAAGCTGTCCCCATCTCCTAATGCCTTGTTATCATTGTGCCTGCATGAAATATATTGGGTTGAAAGATCTGCGATGACAGGTAAAATTCACTCACATCCTGAACAGCACCTCGCCCTGTTCATTCTTCCAAGCTGACAACACAAACACTCTCATCCTGCATTGCCTCCACATCTCCTTCAAAAAGTGCTCCATATATGCAGGTCCCTTCTTATGGGCAACCTGTGCTTGTATCTCGGGAGGAGGACAGTTGTTGGACCATTCTTTGGCAGTTTCTTTTGCCTTCTCCAACTTGTTGTCAGACAATTCAGCCATGACTCTCTTCACAGCTGCCTGATAATGCTTGAACATACCAGGATCTCCTGGCTTTGCCCCGGACTCATCCTCGATCCTCTTCAGCACCTCTTCCCGATTCTCCTGGTAGATCACCATCCTAGGCGTCCATTTCCTCCCATACTTTATCATGTCCTTCCTTTCCTTCTTTTTCTTGTTGTTGAACAACCAAGTCTTGTACATCTGAGCATTGAAGGAAGTGTAAGACATTAAAATTTTTGTTTCGCATCGCAACAAGGATGTATCACCTGCTTCCTCTTTTTCCATTGTCCTTGGTCCACCTTTGGCGCAAACAACCTGGCAGCCCTGGCAATTGCAGTGAAAACTGCCTGCTTCTCGCTCCTTTTCGCAGAAGTCCACTCAGGAAGGTAGTTCTTCAGCTCAGAAATTTCGGTTTCTGTGAGCTTCTGTGTCTGGGGTTGACGTGCCCTATGTCTTCCAGGAGACAAGCGAGTGGAATGACCTGATCTTGCCATGGTGACTCTGATTGGTGAATGTGCTGAGGGTAAGCAAGGCATAATTAATATTGGTTCGAAGTTCAACTTTGACCAAAGCCTAACAGTTGGTTAATCAACCCATATCAGACATGATGCCATTAATGGAAATAAATTTGTAATGAACAACCAATACTGCACAAACATAGCATTGGAATAACAATTCGTGCGACCTTCCTGAGCTAATGCTGTTCTTGCAACATTCAAAAATAAGATGAAGATAGGTCTATGCACCCCGCTGCAAAAATCCCACAGGGTAGAAGCAAGGGGCAGAAAAGGTAGGAAAACTTGGGTCAAGGTCCCGCTTGCAAGTGCAAGACGACATGCCTACAGGTCCATGCCTAACTCTCCCCCGGAATCACCAACACTTCAGCCTGTTCCTGCACCACCTACTTGGGAAGACTGTCCTGATAATACTTATGAGCAAGACCAAGGCTCATTCGAGCCTTTGCAGCTTCCAAAACAATGGCAAGTGAATGTAAACCATTGGAGTGTCGTTCAAACATTGCTAAGTATAACAAATGCAGAGCCAGAATGACTACCTGAGGCAATGGCTCCCAAGGCAGGAATCATATCTGCATCACCTCCTGGATCAAGAAGCTCCTCCAGAAGATAGGAGATGTGTCGTCTGTGACCAGGATGGGGTCTACAAATGTCAAGATTGTCTTGGGGAGCCACTCTATTGCACGGGATGTTGCAGGAGTCAACATTGTCGCAATCCTTTCCACTGGATCAGTCAATGGAATGGTCAGTTCTTTGAGCAAAGTTGTCTCGCTCATGTCGGACTCGTCATACACCTTGGTCATGATGGCAAAGAATGTCCTGCACTCACAAATAGGTGGGATTTGTTCGAAGGAGACAGACCTGAGGACCAGCTTGAGCCTGAAGATCTACCATCCATGTCGGGACCAGAGTTCTGGCCTAAGGAAAACACCATGGTCATCGTCAACAAGTCCGGAGTTCATCGCCTCGAGGTTCGATGCTGCAATTGTCCAAACACCATGAGTCCGGACATTCAAATGTTTCGACATGGATTTTTTCCTGCATCATTCAACAAACCGAAGACTGTGTTCACCTTCAGAGTGCTTGACAATTTTCTATTGGACAACCTAGAATGTGGCACCTCCACAATGAACTATTACAGCAAGCTCCGGCGAATGACCTCCAGCATGTTTCCTCACCTTGTTCTGGTAATTATATATCTCCTTCATCTAAAGGACATTATATTGACAAGGCACTTGGCAAGGACCGATACAGAGAGCTCATGAGAGTTGCTCGACAGTGGAGGCAGTTGAAGACCATGAAATGACATGGCTTCGGTCATCATTCCAATGCCCTGAATGCTGGAGATCTCGCATTGTTTTGCCCAACATGTCCTCAGCCTGGGATCAACATATCCTTGTCAGGGAATGAAACACTTGATGAGTGAGTCTAGTTTCATACTTAAGTGACCTAAGTGATGATAAGAACTCCAAGCTGGAAATATACCTGGTCATTTGTGATGGACGGTAATTTCAAAGCTGAACACTTGCATCCCATCAAGCCATTTGATGAAGTATGGCTTGCAGATGGGCTGGGGTTCATGGTGGGAAATGACAGGTATAAAGCGCATCTTGTGGAGGCTGCTGACACTTTGGAAAAATCTAGCTGCAACAATCACCGGGCGGTAAATCAAGCAAATGCGGCTCGGCACAAGCTGGAGTCGATGGGTATCGGGGGAGTTGCTTGTGCCCACCACGGCTGCTTTGTCCCTCATGCGATGGTCGATTTTCAGAAAGGTGAAAGGCAAGCTGAACATGAAGTTCTACATTCAGGAGTTGATCATGCATCATTTGCAGACAAATGAACATGGACTACGCCCTTTGCAAGGCTGCCCAGCACAACATGGAAGGCATTACCAGGGCTGTCACCTTTTATGACATCAACTGTCAATACAACAAGCACCTTCGGGTTCGGGTGGATCGAAGCTGATTTCTTGAAATGGTACCGGAATTGACCATCATTCCCAGCATCGGTTTGTGGCACATGCATGGACATCAAGACAGCTGTTATGTCCGATATGCATCGAATTTCATTGAAGGCATTGGCTGGATGGATGGAGAGATCATGGAGACTCTCTGGGCACATCTCAACCTAATTTCCCCCACTGCTCGGGGAATGTCGTCCCCTCATCGACAGGAATGTCTCGATTTTCAGATGAATGATTCCAACTTCTGCAAGATGATCTGCATAAAAAGGACCCTTTGCTGTAAATACAAGCAGGCAAAAAATTGCATTGCTGAAAGTGAAAAGGCTTTCGACAGACTCGATGAAGCAGCACCCGCTAATTTGAAGACAGAATGGTTGGCCAAGGAGAGGATCGCTCAATCCAGCAGAATAAATGATCCTGCGGCGATGGATGTTTACAAGATAAATATCAAGAAGGGTAAGCTGACCATGTCTCCATAGAAGTCCGACTTAATTTCGCACTCAGCACCAAGCAAAAAGGAGATCGAACTTAGACTGCTAGAGCAGGGTAATGCCCATAATGCAGCACCATCTCGGAGATCTGTGGCGACATGGATATCTATGGGGTTAACAATCGAGGAGGCTTAAATTGCATTGCTCATTGAGGTCCAAAGAATTGGAAAACGAACTATGGAGACACAGAGATTAGACCTTGCCCGGCAATGAGATTGTCTCCAAGGCCAGATAGATGGATTTACATGTTCTGCTGTCATGCATCTCGGAGAGGGATTCGATGGAGATGACGATCATGACGACTTGAATGTAGACATCCTAGATGATCTCGATGATGACCCAGAAGATTTACCGAGACATCTGATACATGGATGAACTTGCCCGAGCTCATTGTGATCCCATTGCCATCAAACCTCGGGGTAGATCGATGCAGACGCTTGATGGCAGAGGATCTCATTCCGCTAAAGATGTCCCTTCACGAAGGGCAGGCAAATGATACACTTTACAACCTCTGCATTCACTTGTGCAACAAGGCAGTCCTATTCTGAACGATGGTCAGGCAAGCCAAATCTCAAGCCCTGAAAATTTGAGCCTGGTCGCAGGTGACATCAGTGCAGCAGGCTGTCTCCCTGCATGTGAGTATATATACCAAGACCAGGACACAAATGATGAAACTTGACATGGCACATGGCCAACTTCAGAAGTACAAACCCCTGCTTCGCGAGCAGCTCAAAGTCAGCACTGCCATGGGTGATCCAAATGCCTGTGGTCAACAAAATGAATCCCTTGTGTGGTTCTGGTCCGTCGAGGTCGACATGCATGGTCTGGATCAATCATGGAATGAGGAATGTGAGTTCCCTAATGCTCGACACGTCCGACATTGAGCTGACCAGATGAATATGAAGTTTACCAAGTTCACTAGCTCTGGGCAAAGGCACTACGGGATCAATGGAAGGAAGAGCTGATGTTGGTCCAATTCGAGATGGATTGGACATGTAACTTTTTCTTGTGGAAAGCAACCCAATGGGGCGACCGGATGCAGGAATCATTCACGAAACGACTTCCGGGTCATGCATGCTACTCTGGAAGGCAATCCCGAATGTATTCATTGCTGGTGCAGGACACCCAGGCAGCGTTTCAACACCTGCAGACCGTTTTGATAGATTCCCAAGATGAATGAATGGTTTATTGCCGATGGGATATAACAACCATTTCGATATACAAATTTAGTCCCAGGAATTGGCCAGGTCAGCCCATGTCGGAGTTTGAAAAATTTATCCATCCATCAGTGGATGATATCTTCACATCTGAACCAACTGTCATTGTCATTGCCAGTGTGATACTCCTGCATCAGCTATGCCTGAATTATATCCTTCTCCTGCATCCACTTCTGACAATCAGAATTCACCCAATGAGTACCGGCCCCTCACTCTCACTCCTGCAGACATTTCAGCTACTATGTTGATGTCTGCATCGCTGTCTTCTTAGATAATGATCTATAGATGAACACCTACAAAATCAAATATCTCCACGGTCAGCGATTCAGACAAATACCAATGACTGATAACGTGGTCGTTCGTGGGTGGCCTGTCAGTATATCCAAGCTACGGTCAAACAAAGGTACTCTACGATATCAGTATAGAAACACTAGTCAACCCAGCGGTATGGTGTTGACTAAAAGAAACATAGAAACAGAAAAAAAATAACCAAGACTAAGCACAATCACTGGTGCTAAACAGAAATGAGAACTAAGACTAGGCACAATCAATGGTGCTATATTCTAAACTTACTATGAAACAATCGTGCGAAGATGTATTGGTCACTCCCACAGCGCAAACAGGTAGGATCAAAGGTCAAGACTTGTCAAAAGCTTCTGTAGAACTCTTAGCCTAATATTGAATCTGCTGCCAAGGAACTCACGATGAGTATTAAACAGAATCAGAAATGGACGTCCTTGGATTTCAATACCAAGTCCCCTATTCAATAGCTAAAGCCTATCTGACAAATAACAATCCTGGCTCAGTATACTACTCAGATGTGTGAGGTCAAGTGGACAATAATCAACTTCTGAAGTCTCCCCACTAAGCTACTCTGAGCCTTTAGCAGACATAGAGACAACACGAAGAATCCAAAGATAAGGCTCGAATGTATTCGCTACAATCAAAAGTACGTTAGTATCAGCAGCAAGAAACAAACACTCAGTATATATTCGCTAAAATCTATAACACTGTTAGTGACACAATAATAAATGAGCACTCAGACTGTTAGCTTTCAATGGGTAGAGAGAGTGAAACAGATAGAGTGAAACAGATCCCAAGCTAAAGAAATAGATAGAGTGAAACAGAACCCAGACTAGTGAAACAGAGATAAGGAAATAGATCCCAAACTAAAAGAAATAGATCCCAGACAAAAAGAAATAGATCCCAATCAAAATGAAATAGATCCCAATCCTAGAGAAACAGAGATAGAGAGATAGAAACAGAGACATACAAACACTCAGAAAAACAAGAGATTTCTCCAAACAAATAAGCCAAGCCTTGCAGGTTGTTGAGCACAGTGAGCTCAATGGCTCCTACTGTCTCATCAATGCACCTGACAATGTCGAACAACTCTTCAGTGGTTGTTGCTGATGCTGATCACACACAAACCTCACTCACAATTTTATTAAGGGTGACTCTGGGAGTCTGATTGATTGCATTTCAGGCCAAAACGGAGGTCCTTATATAGACAAATCTACGTGGCTGTGCTAATTTACTCCCGTGTACCTAGGTATATTCAATTTTTGTTTTCTCATGTACCTAGATATACTACATGATTTGTCAGGCTTAGTCATAGATCAGCTGACTGTGGTAAGAAAACATGGTTTACATAATATATTGAAACTTGTTTGTATTTGGTGTTATTTAGAGACATAGCATATGTCATAAAGCAAAACCGGGTAACACGTGTATTTAAAGTTTCCTGGAAGTTCCCACAAACAAACATATGCGGACGGTATTTTTCATGGAAGCTTCAGATACCTGAGAATCTAGCTGAGTCATCTTCGAGCCAAATAACACAAAATTCATTCCATGCAAAATTCCCGAAAAATATTCACTAACACCGCACAGTCATGCACCAGACCAGTTTGGTGCAGGTCATCGCCATCCGCGTATCCATCTCCCAATATCAGGCAGAGGCTGCAAACAACAATCTTCCCCCTTTGGCTCAGATCAGGCACTTCAAAGCTGGGCTGCAATGGGAGATCACTGTAAGACCCTGATGACACTGGTGGTTAATGCTGACATCTTCCACAGACTTTTGTCACGCCCATCCTCCAGTACTCAGCTGCCAGGAACATCATTTCAGTCGTTCCCAGCCCTATTGCTCATATTCTTCATTTGATTCCCAGTCACACCTGGAACACGGTTCCGGATCACATCTTTTCATATCACATCTGTGTGTTTCATGATGTCGCAGATCCCGGAGATCCATCCTGGATCGTATCTGGCTATGATACCCCATGGTGGATGGGAAAAACTGCAATCCCGAATGAACCATGGCAATGGGATCGGGTGATGACTTGCTGTATCTTTCACTACCAGCATTGGCTAGTAAGATTCTTATTCCATTTCCTTGATTCATGACTGATCTGCTCTAGGATGGCATTGAGAATGATGGTCTGACAATTCTGGAGCAGGTGGATCATACCTCAGTCCCATCACTGATGGGACTGAGGTGGATTAGAGAACACCTCCTGACATTACTTGAGGAGCAACGTGAGGGCATCCGTGACAAGATGGCAGAGATACAAATCTACACTGCCATTCTGGACAGATTGAAGAGAGGCAGAGGAGAGTAGCTCTAGTCACTCAGTTGGAAATGTTGAAGTGCAAGTTGCATATGTGTTTTATGAGTACTGAAAATCACATGTAAACATTGCAATATCTAACATGATGTTATATGGCGAGTCCCAAAATAAACGGTGCAGATGCTCATCACCATGTCCTGACCACCGAGGTCCGGATATCGAGTCCCAATTACCGAGACCCCATTACCGAACTCCGAATATCGAGTTTCAAGTTCTGAATGTTGAGTACCGAGCGTCAAGTACCAAATGCTGACTGCCAAATATTGAACTCCGAGTTCCAGATCTCCATTACCGATTCCCGACTCCCAGAATTTAACTACCGAGGTCCAAATATTGAGACCTGAGTGCTGAGACCTGATTACTGAACTCCAAATATCAAGTGTCGAGTTCCGAATATCGAGTCCCGATTACCGAGTTCCGAAACATCGGGTACCGAGTGTCGAGTACCGAATGTTTACTGCCAAATATCGAACTCCGAGTTCCGGATCTCCATTACCGATTCCCGACTCCCGGCATTTAACTACTGAGGTCCAAATATCAAGACCCGAGTGCTGAGACCCAGATACCAAGCTCCTGGCCTTGATGACTGTCAATAGGATCTGAGTCTAAATTCAATGATAGCCTTTGCCCCAGTACCATTTTCAAATTTGTACAGCAGCATTAATACTTACATTTCTTTGCTTCTCTGTGCCCTTTTGACTTGTAGGTTCCTTTTGCAACAGACCGTTCTTCTTAGCATTGCCTAGGGTAAGGTCAATGATATCTTCTGCACTACTCCAACCCAGGGCCGGCCTTTTGTAACTGCGCACCACAACTGAAACCCCACTCCCTTGTGCTGAATGTGTTGGTGCTCGAGTGTCATCAAGAGAGACGGTTCATACTTGGTAGTTGAAAGCAGGTACTGACATGGATAATTACACTTTCTACTTGTTTCATCTTCCACATGGTGGTAGGGTTCGTCAATCCAACCTAGCCCATCCACATGAGGGAACCCCAGCATAAATATGAACAGAGTCCCTCATATACCATGCCCACCCAACCCTATCCCCCTCCACCTCATGAACCCCATGTCCAACAATCCTTCTGGAAAATCCAATCATACACCCGGGATCGTACCCAAACTCCAGCTGAAGGCTTGGCATGCTCATCCGAGCATTAGAATAATTCCCCACAGTGGTGAGAATATTGAAGCATTCAGGAATTGATAAATGGTCTCAATGATGTGGGGTTTGATGATTGAGAATGACGGATAGCGTGTTAAACACAAATGCCCAGTACTGGAGGATCTCAGACATTCTTGGCAGTTCCTTGCTTTCTGCCTTTTCTCCGAGGCTTGAAAATGTTTGTAACCCTGCCTAGTACTGCTCCAGATGCATGATCCTGAGTGCCGCTGATGTGATGGCTGCCGGCCTTGCAATGGCATTTAGGATTCCCTTGGACAATGGTCCCTTTAATGATGCAGATACCTCCAGGTCCGCTAGATTCTATGGGATTGGTGAGCTCAACTACCGAAATCATCATCCTATCAAATCCTACCTCATGCCCCTGTTGAAACCATGCCGGAGATGAATTGATGCACCCGGCAGGTAAGCCAACATCTTCTGAGCGGTGTTTGAACCACTCCAGATTGGTTCGCCAATTCCCATCGACCTTCACACTTCTTTCCAGACTCGGAGACAGCAAGTCGGTGGCTGCCCAAATTTCCTTCTGTGGTTACCATTTGGTATTTAATATATATTGAGTAACAATGTATATCACACACCTGTGTTTCGGCTGTCAGGGTGTCTGGGAGGTACCATGTGATGATGGTGCTGGACACATCTAGAATGGTGGCAGATATGTCCACAAACCTTGTCCCCTCATGGCCGGGAGGACATCTCTTAAGCAACTTCTCCTCTTTCTCCTCATTGTGCCCGGTGTTCTTCGGGGAGATCAATTTGCTATATCTTGCAATGTCAATGTTCATCTGAACTGTGATGAAGGAATTTGAATGATCAAATGAATTTTCCGAATCTGCAGGAAGACCCACTCGGATTTTTATATGCCTTTATGAGGCGATCTACCAATCGATCACAGGCCATCACTAGATCAGTGTCTGGGTTAGGAGAAGGTATCACTGGGTCTCCTCCTGTCTTCTCTGCATTGAATTTCTGTGCAATATATTCACATGCCTCGTGAGTGACTGTCAGGGCCCAAGTGCACCAGAGGCTTATTTCAATTGCAGAAGTGGAAGAACCATTCATGATGAAGTCGATCTTGGGAAATCAGAAGCTGAATGCTGGACGCCCAGAGGTTGGTGTTAAAGGGGGTGGAGATAGTCAGGATCAGATAAGGGAGCCGAAATACCAGATCATTGGAAGTGTGCTGGATATTAGATATTTGTTTGTCGACTCCCAAGGCTCGGATCTTGGCGCACTTCACTCAAATTTCGGTAGTTGGAACTTGGCATTTGGTGTTCGGTAGGTGGTGAACATGAGGTTCTGATAAGAGAACCTTCCATGATGTTGGCTGTCGAAGATATATTACCACCCGTTGCTCAATGAAATACCCGATCATTGGAAGTGTGCTGGATATCAGATATTTGTTTATTGACACCCGGGTCTCGGAACTTGGTATGCTTCACTCGAATTTCGGTAGTCGGAACCTTGCTTCTCATACAGCAATGCAACAGTAATGAACCTGCAGCTGCAGGAACTCATTATGCTTCACCCGAATTAGCTACTCAGCAATCGGTACTGCATTGTTTTACAATTATCATTCACCTGTGCCCACCTGTCTATATTATATACCGCCCTCAGCCCACCCATCTAATATAATATATCCCTGGGCCCACCCATGTATGTGATAACAAGTACCCTCAGCCGGCCCACCCATCTATCTGATACCCACCTACCTTGACACTCGGCCCACCTGTCTAAGATAATATATATCTGGGCCCACCTGTGTATGTGATAACATGTACCCTCGGCTGGCCCACCCATCTAAGATAATATATATCTGGGCCCACCTGTGTATATGACACAATGTACCCTCGGCCAGCCCACCCGTCTAATATAGTATATATCTGGGCCCACTCATGTATGTGATGACAAGTACCCTCAGCATACCCATCTATCTGATACCCACCTACCTTGGTACACCCATCTACATAATATCCAACTACCTCAGCCCATCTGTCTATAGAATATTCATGTCCATCGGCCCACTCATCTACTCTACATATTCCACACATGGACCCACCCGCCTCCATCGGAAATAATATCCCTCCTATTACGACTGGGATAGTTCTGCTGTCGAAGGTCAAAGATAGACCGTTCAGTCGACAGTTCGTCAGCCCTTCTAGTACAAGAAGGGTTTCTGGTTCAAGGGTTCTCACTGCACGAGCCGCAGCTTCTATGCAGGATCAGCGGTGAGTGGTTTTAGCACTTCTACCACAATCAAGAGTTCAGGCTAAGACAGTGAGTGACTGTCTTAGAATCAGAGTTCAGGCTACAAGGGTGGAGACCTTGTAGATCAGGTTTCAAGGGGAAAACCCAGTAGATTAAGTTAAGGAATACAGCTATGATACATGGAGTTTATATAGGTAAAAGGGAGCGGCACAGCCGCGACAAGAACAGTAACAAAGATAGGAAAAAGAGTACAACCTATCAAGATAGCAAAGATAGGTGAAACCGCCATGCGGCGCAAGATAGTATCTATGTTACAATCAAGAGGAAGAGAAGTGCAGGACAGCCCGCTTGATAAGAGAATAGCCGAGTCTAGAAGGGTCTAGAGTCGGCGGCATGGTTACAGGAAAGGAAAAATAAAGTAGGAGTAAATGTTATTGTAACACCTCCTGGCCCATCCATCAACATCAAGGATATACATCACATCGGCCCATCATCCGCTGGCCCATCTTATACAGGATATTATGTAGGTCAGGTGACCCGTATAATATGGAAATATGTCACTGTAATATGTGGAGTTCTCAACCAATGGTGATGAGCATCAGTGGAAGGACTTTATGTCCATTGGGCATGGGATCAGGCTGTAAGTCTTTCAATTTCTTGATCATTTCTTTGAATCTAACAAGAGTCTGGCACCAGGACATAATCTCAAAAGATCCAGAATCGCACGGATCCACATTTGTACCTGTTATTTTAGGCAGCAACAAGACTACAGTAGACAAGCTCATCATGACGTGGTTAGTATCATTGCCTTTCTTGCTATTCCCAAAAGTAAGTTTGGTTTTTCTTAAATGTGCTGTTTGCTTATCCAAGATAGTGACGAAGGAGCATGCAACTGGTGATGTGAGGTTCAGAAAGTTTCGCCAGCAATTGTTTCACTGCTTGCTCTCCAAGATTCTTGAAACACTTTGTCCTGGTATCACCAAGTATGAAGTTGCACATTTTAGCAATGGTCATTTCCACTGTGTTATCTACAGTCTGGGACCATATATCGCTGACTACGAGGAGCAAGTCTTATTGACATGCATTGTGCATGGTTGATACCCAAAGTACATACTTGTTCATCTTTTTAGTCGACTACTTAAACTAATTATTGTACAGATGTTTGGCTTCACGTGTCAATCTAGATGAGCCAGCTGGTTGGCACTGTCATGATCATATGGATGCACTTGTCAAGGAGGGTACTCTGGATGCCTTATGGGGTGAATATGGCATTGTTGGTGAACTCATCATAAGTCCTATCTTTTGCACTAATGTTTTCACAACACCTTAACACTTTATATCAGCCCTTTACCAATGATTTTACTTGAGCCGACATTCATGAACTCATCTCCCCCAATATCCTTCACCAGCTCATTAAAGGGACATTCAAAGATCATCTGGTGGATTGGATTGAGAAGTACCTATACCAGACACACTCAAAGAAGGATGCCGATCACATCATGGATGTCATTGATTGAAGGTGAATGGTTCATTTTAATCATAGGTACAGCTATCTAACTACTAGTTTTGTCTAGAATCACAGCTGTTCTAGCCTTTGCTGGTCTTTGGCGCTTCCCACAAGGACAAGGCTTTAAACAGTGGATGGGCAATGACTCAAAAGCCCTGATGAAGGTATTTTTTCATGCATCAGACTACTAATGTCTCACTGACATATTGTTATAGGTATACATACCCGCCATTGAGGGGTATGTCCTGGCAGATATGATCCAGACATTTTGAGCCTTTCTCGAGTTTTGTTATCTTGTCCAATGTAGCATAATCACGGAGAAGACTCTCGAGCAAATCCAGGAGGCACTCGACCAATTTCATCGGTACCGGAAAATTTTTCAAACACTCAATGTTGTTCCTACATTCTCACTCCCTCGCCAACATTCCCTACAACACTACCTACTCCTAATTCAACTTTTTGGAAGCCCAAATGGTCTATGCTCTTTGATCACCAAAGCAAAACATATCAAAGCAATGAAGGAACCATGGAGGCACTATAGAAAGTACAACTCAGCGAGGCGCAAACAATGCTCCTTACTGATATATAAATGTTGTAGGTCATGCGCTGCCTAGTCTGCTATACTTGGCAAGACAAGTGTGTTTGATCCTAAAGGGGAAGCAAGTGCAGCAAAGGTCTTGAAATGCACGTGGAAGGTGCAACTAGTTGGCCGATGTGAAGCATGGGAAAGCACACATGCGCATGGAAATGCATTGGAGGTGTGCATGCATGGGAAAGTGAAGCGTGCTCGATGCGCCAGTGGTTTAAGCAATGATAGAGATATGAGGCAATGGAAGTAAGCGTAGAGTGAAGTGATAGAGAATGTGATGCAAGAGATAGAGTGCCAATAGCTACCGCAATGTAGGCTTATTGGGAGTTGCTATTCCGATGCTCAGAAAATGAATTCCTACTGCAACTACTGGGAAAAGAAAACTTGGGAAAGTGAAACTTGCTAAAGATATCTACTGCTGGCACTTAAGTATGGTGCCTAAGCGCTGTCAGCAAAGCTGAGCCGAAGCGCTAATGAACCGAGTATGTAAAGCTATATGTAAGTAAGGGTCCATGACGAAATAAAGGTGGTACAATGTGTAAATATGTTTAGAATGGAAATATACACACTAGGGAACTTGGTGGACAGTGGATGGATGCATCTGGGTGGCTGGCACTATAGGCCGTGCAACATGTGGTGTGGGAAAGTGGTGCCTCATATGGGAATAGCTGAGGATAACTTAGGAAGTGATGCTGCAAGTTCGTGCTATGTGCTGTGTGGGTGTAAAGTGCAATATTGCACCATGAGAGGCATGAGTCTCTACACTGTACTGGCTTAAGCCTTCTTTCTGCCACCCCCGACCACCTCATCCATACCAGAGGACACCATCTATCCAGACCCAGTCCCAACACCCACCCCCATCACCAAATCTCAGCTATTGAGGAGCATTACCAAGTTAAGCCCATACAAAGCCCCAGGCCCTGACGGGATTTGCAACATTGTTTTCATTCACTGTGCAATGTTACTTAATCCATACTTACTTCATCTTTTCAGAGCGGTATTCACACTCAAGAACTACTACCCTCCCTGGCATTGACCTGCACCAAACTGGTCCAGTGCATGACCGAGCGGTGCTAGTGAATATTTTTCAGGAATTTTGCATGGAATGAACTTTGTGTTATTTGGCTCAAAGACGACTCAGCCAGATTCTCATGCATCTGAAGTATCCATGAAAAATATTTCCCGCATATGTTTGTTTGCAGGAACTTCCAGGAGACTTTAAATACATGTGTTACCTGGTTTTTGTTCTATGTCATATGCTACATCTCTAAACAACACCAAATACAAACAAGTTTCAACATGTTATGTAAACTATGTTCTTTTACCACAGTCAGCTGATCTATGACTAAGCCTGACAGATCATGTTCACCCACGTACAATTCACATGGGTATTATGATCTATGACAAATAATGCAGTATATCTAGATATGTGAGAAAATGAAAATTGAATATACCTAGGTATGTGGGAGTAAATTAGCATAGCCACGTAGATTTGTCTATATAAGGACCTCCGTTCTGGCCTGAAATGCAATCAATCAGATTCCCCAGAATCACCTTAATAAAATTGTGAGTGAGGTTTGTGTGTGATCAGCATCAGCAACAACAGCGAAGAGTTGTTCGACATTGTTAGGTACATTGATGAGACAGTAGGAGCCATTGAGCTCACTGTGCTTAACAACCTGCAAGGCCTGGTTTATTTGTTTTGAGAAGTCTCTTGTTTTTCTGAGTGTTTGTGTGTGTTTGCATGTCTGTCTCTGTCTCTATCTCTCTTTCTGTTTCTCTAGGATTGGGATTTATTTCACTCTAGTCTGGGATCTATTTCTTTTAGTCTGGGATCTATTTCCTTATCTCTGTTTCACTAGTCTGGGTTCTGTTTCACTCTATCTATTTCTTTAGCTCGGAATCTGTTTCACTCTCTCTACCCATTGAAAGCTAACAGTCTGAGTGCTCATTTATTGTCATGTAACTAACATGTTATATATTTTAGCAAATATATTCTGAGTGCCTGTTTCTTGTCATTGTTACTAATGTACTCTTGATTGTAGTGAATACATTTGAGCCTTATCTCTGATTCTTTGTGTTGTCTCTATGTCTGCTAAAGGCTCCGAGTAGTTTAGTGGGGAGACTTCAGGAGTTGATTATTGTTCACTTGACCTCACACATCTAAGTAGTATACTGAGCCAGGATTGTTATTTGTCAGATAGGCTTTAGCTATTAAATAAGAAACTTGGTATTGAAATCCAAAGATGTCCATTTCTGATTGTGTTTAATACTCATTGTGAGTTCCTTGGCAGCAGGTTCAATATTAGGCTAAGAGTTCTATGGAAGCTTTTGACAAGTCTTGACCTTTGATTCTACCTGTTTGCGCTGTGGGAGCCAATACAGCTTCGTATGACTTTTCATAGTAAGTTTAGAATATAGCATCATTGATTGTGCCTAGTCTTAGTTCTCATTTCTGTTTAGCACCAGTGATTGTGCTTAGTCTTAGTTTTGTTTCTGTTTCCTGTTTCTTTTAGTCAACACCATATTGCTGAGTTGACTAGTATTTCTATACTGATCCGTAAAGTACCTTTGTCTGACCATAGCTTGGATATACTGACAGGCCACCCACGAACGACCATGTTATCAGTCATTGGTATTTGTCTGAATCACTGACCATGGAGATATTTGATTTTGTAGGTGTTCATCTATAGATCATCTATCTAAGAAGACAGTGTGACTTTACCACTGTCGTTCTGAGGAAACCCGGTAAACCAGATTATACAGTTCCAAAGGCATATCGCCTGATCGCTCTCCTCAACACCACCTGCAAGCTCCTGACAGCAATCATTGCAGATCAACTGAACTATCTCCTCGACCATCATGACCTACTCCCTAGCACCCACTTCGGAGGCCATCCAGGTAGATCAACCACCAATTCACTGCATCTCCTTGAGGCAACTATCAAAGATGCTTGGTGACAAGGAAAAATAGTCTCAGCATTATTTTTGGACATTGAGAGTGCATTCCCAAATGCAGTGACTAACCGGTTGCTTTATAATATGAGACAGGCATATTCCAATGTCATTGGTAGGATTCACCGAACATTTGTTAACAGGCCATCATACTCAGCTCAAATTTGACAGCCATCTGTCAAATTGGATCCCAATAATGAATGGTATAGGGCAAGGAGATCTGCTATCTATGATCCTCTACATCATCTATGACTCTGACCTTGTCAACATAGCAGCTGGATGTGGCAAACATGAGCAGACATTAGCATTCGTTGATGACCCAGGTTTCATTACAATAGGAAAGTTCTTTTATGAGACACATGCTACCCTCAAACACATGTTGGAATGACCAGGGGGAGGTTTTGACTGGGCCAGATATTATAACTCAAAGTTCAAGACCACCAAATTTGCTCTAGTAGATTTCTCGATGAATCCCACTAAAGATAGGCCACCTCTTGTTACACATTGTAACGATGGTCGCGGTGCTGGGCTCAGAATCACTATTTTTCATATCCATGTCAACACCCGAAAATACACGCACATGTCCGACACACTTCCGCACATGTCTGAGCCACTCCACATCAGACCTTCAGACATCGCATCGGCCAATCGCACTTTGCACGCACTTGTCCATCCTGTGTCCTGTCCTTCTGAACTAGCCTTACTAGGTGTGGAGTTATTTCTGTGCACATTTTCTGACATTTGGACCGTGTTATTACATGTCCGCAGCACCTCATGTCTTATTACATAGGACATCGGACCCGAAATATATTGCTACTATCTTCGCCTGTATTATTCTGGATTTCTACGTACTTACTTAAATACTCTGTAGTGACCCATAGCAATTATCATCCAGTAGTTAGGAACCATTTCTCGACTCTGCGGATCACCCAGAATATTCTCATAGTTCTTAGTTGCATTGTGAAATATTACCATTCGTTCACCATCATACTCTGTCCCTCATTATACTTGCGCATACTGCTTGCAATCTGACACTCATTGTAAAGTTTCTGACCTATTATTGTAAAGTCCAAAAGTCCAAAATCTTGGACATCACACTTTGGCTTTGGACATCGGATAAGTACCTTTGGACATTGTTTCACAGTATTGGACATTTTGTTATTTGCATTACTGACACATTTTTACTACTAATACCAATTAGCAATCCCTTTAGGATTGAATGCACTTGCTTGCAAGTATAGCAGCATAGGCCATGCTAAGATCTACCCAAATATTTGTTGTCTAGGTAGTACAATTTCTGCTGAGCCTAGCAGAATCACCTTTCTACAATGTGGTACCACAATCACCCCAACCACTATGCACCAGTTCCTAGGCATCATATTAGATCAAGCATTGTGCTGGCAGGAACACATAGCATATGCACTGGCAAAAGGAACTGCCTATGTACTCCAGCTGCACCATCTCTCCTCTTTGTCCATAGGAATTCCACTCTCACTCATGTGACAGTTATATTTAGCAGTGGCCCTCCCTAAGATGCTATATGCAGTGGATCTTTGGTTTCAACCTCTCTTCATAGGAGAAAGTGACACTCTTCAACATAGTTCAATTGAGGTCATCAGGCCCCTACATAGGGTACAATGCATTGCAGCTTTATGCATCATGGGAGCAATGCGCACCACCGCTACAGACACTCTAGAGGCTCATGCAAAGCTCCTCCCTCTTGAATATTGCCTACAGAATCTATGCTTTCAAGCTGCTACACATTTGGCAGCTCACCCCCTGACTCATCCCCTGCATAAGCCTGTATGCAGAGCAGCTAGTAAATTCATTAGGCACCACAGATCTTCGCTCCATAGCAGACATCCCCCTAGTGCTTCGACTCCATATCAGACGGTCATTGCCACATCCAGGGAACTAGCCATTCAAGACCACGACAACCTCAACGATGAAATCAAGATTCATTGCAATGGCTTAGGAATCGACAATAACATCAGAGCAGCTGTGGTATTGTATAGACCTGGTCACCACCAGCCAAAAATGTCACATTATCACCTAGGTACTGCTAACAAACACACAGTTTATGAAGCCGAAGCGGTCAGTTTCACCCTGGCTGCCCAGCTCCTCTCTCAGGAAGAAGAGGTCACCTACCCTGTCTTTATCTTTGTAGATAACTAGACAACAATCAAATCCAGTGATGTATTCTTGATTAAGTCAGGACACTACTTAATAGATCATTTTTGTAGCTTAATATTGAACATAAAATGACATAGCAAGGATTGTCAGTTCAAGGTCACTGTCAGATGGATCTCAGGACATGATAGAGTCATGGACAATGAAATGGCTGACAAGGAGGCCAAGGAAGCAGCAAAATCTCCAGATGCAACCAGCCTAGGAAGACAACTCCTCCCTTATCTTTGCAAGGGGGTCTTACCTTGCAGCATATCAGCACTGAAACAGGCACAGAAACAGCAATCCTCAGAATGATGGGCAAGATTTTGGCAGAAATCACCTCGTTATGAGCATCTCACATGCATAGATCCTGGTGCTCTCCAAGGTGCCTTCATCACACTCGCATAACACCTTCCAAAACAACATATCAGCATGCTTATCTGGCTTCACACAAAGCACATTTCCCTCAACCAACATCTATATCATATCAGAAAGAGCCCTACACTGAATTGCCTGCACTGTGAAAACATGAAGGAAACTGTGCTTCATTTCCTTCTTTCATGCCCACACTATGCTAGAGCACACCACATCCTCACCATGACCCTATGATGACATGCTTCCTTGTTTCCATTCCTACTCTCCAGTCCAAAAGCATGCGCTCCACTCATCCATTTTGTCAATATTACAGACCGATTATGTGCCACCTTCAGTGATGTACCCCCTCCAAATCATAAGGACAAATGATGATTAGTTCAAACACAGGTCAACCCGATGTAATATTATAATACACAGACCTAGTTGGGCACCAGATGCCAACATATTTATCACACTCGCCGATGGCGGGACACTGACCCCTTGGCGGCCCTATGGATAGCTCAGAAGGAGTTGAAATAGATGCGAGGATTAGATTTACTTTTGACACAGTACAGTGACAAAGGAGAGCCGCACCTTACACTAGCCCACAGTAACCCTCAGATGTCCACAGTAACTCTCTCCCACTCTTGTTTACCTTTCAGCTCTGCTCTCCATCATTCTCATCATACCAAGTTGTTTATCAACTGGAGTACTTGTATCTTCTCAAGCAAACACCAGGGACCACCCCATGAACAGCACATCAATGGTCCTGCAAATTGGAAAACTTGTGCACCTAAAACAGCCGGCAGGAATGGCAGACTGTTGGGGCTCACTCCTCCAACAGGGCATTTGCAAAGTCAGAGATGCAGTGGGGGACATAGGTGTCACCTATTCCTAGTTTAGCAATGTCCTACATAGGGTACTTCTCCCAAAATGGATAAACATTGGATTTCAAAAAAATAAAAATAAAATAAAATAAAAGTGCAGACACAAGTAGGATGAGGAGAAAAATGATTGGGGCCCAAGCAACTAGATGTTCTTGTAACAACTGCTCTTTCCACCAATGGTTTATGTTCCTACTCACCTTGCAATGTCAGTGATCAGCATGGGTATGTGTAGCCCATTATGGGTAGTGGATAAGGGTACTCTGGGATATGGGTGGAGGTTCAGGTATATGATACTCATACCCTTATCCCCACCCATGGGAAAGTACCCATAGAAATATAGTATAAGGCATACACCTTCTATGACTATCACACATGCTAGGAAATATAGATATACTCAAAGATTGTGATGAGCCACCCACTGAGGATGACATAGCAATTACATTTGGTCAAAAGATTCTTGACTCGACCCTGGCAGCTGAGTATCTACTCAAGCTTTAAAAAGCTTCAAGCAGCATTGTGGATGCTTTCAGCCATCAGAATCAAAGAGCTGCAGTCAGTCCATTCATTTTTCATTTACTTTATCTAATAGGTTAGACTCAGGAAGCTAAGTGGGATCAGGATATGTTCAAGCGGCTTCTGGCTGAGTGTATGGTTGCATGTGATCAGCCATTTGAGAAAGTTGACAGGCTCAAGTTCCACCGCCTCCTTAAGTACACTCACTTATGACCATCTTTCAGCTTTAGCAGTAAAGTTCACATTAGTATTTGTGATGGTCTATACATCTTACATTTTTTGTTTCAAGTTATTGGAAGGCATTAGTGCTGTCAAAGCTAATAGTTCAAAAAAAAAGAGTCATGATGCATACCCAAGACTGCATGACTGCTCCACTTAGTCAAGAGTATGACAATGGTGTTGCCGGACAGGAAGATCAACCAGAAGATGATGTATCAAGTAACAATCTTTATGAAGTCCCTTCCACAGTTTCAAAGGTGAGTTCATCTTAATCACTAGAGTCCATCAAACTCACATTTACTTCCTTTATAGTTGCAGAAGATAGTCTGTGCTGTTCATTCAAGTCCTCAACATCACTGGGCATGGCTCCAAGAGGTCGAAATCTCAATGCAATCACAAGATGACACACTACCACAGACAGCTTTAATGCTAATACTTGATGTCAAAACAAGGTAGTCTTTGACTCATAAAATGCTTCATAAGCAGGTTTGTTTCATATTTAAATTTGTTACTTAAATCTTTCTCCAAAAAGGTTGTGCACTTGATTACCAGAAAGTCATTGATGACTTTGTTGCAAAAACACAGGACCTTCGCCAGTACAAGCTGACCTCCAAGGACTGGAGTGCAATCCAGCTAGTCTCTGATTGGCTAAAGGCTTTCTGATCAGCAACAACACAAATGTCAACCACAAAATGTTCAATACTATCATCCACTCATGTCATCTTCCATGCATTGCAAGAGTCTCTGTGTGAGTTGCCCAACAACATGTCACCTTGTCTCAAAGACTCATTCATTAAAGCACACCGGAAACTGAGTAATTACTATACCAAGTTCAATGAATCACCATTTTACATATGGTCCTCTCATAAGTGTTCTTTTTGTTTCAACTGGTAACTACACTGGCAGTCTACTAATTCCTTGACAGTCCTTGACCCCTGACTTTCATATGAAGGTCTTTTGACTGACTGTGGTGTAAAGAGTAAATCTCCACTGGGCTCAGCAGAAATTGTACTACCTAGTCAACAATATTTAGGTAGATCTTTTGCACAACCTAGTCTGCTATACTTGCAGAGCAAGTGTGTTCGATTCTAAAGGGATTGCTAATTGGTATTAGTAGTAAAATGTGTCAGTAATGCAAATAACAAAATGTCCGAAGTTGCGAAACGATGTTTGAAGGTAATCTGATGATGTCGAGGGTACTTATCTGATGTCTGAAGCCAAAGTGCAATGTCCGAGATTTTGGACTTTCGGACTTCACAAAAATAGGTCGGAAACTGTATAACAAGTGTTGGATTGCGAGCAGTGTGTGCGAGTATAATGAGTGATGGAGTATGATGGTGAATGAATGGTAATATTTCGCAATGCAACTAAGAACTACGAGAATATTCTGGGTGATCCACAGAGTCGGGAAATGGCTCCTAACTACTGGATCCCCATTGCTATGGGTCACTACAGAGTATTTAAGTAAGTACGTAGAAATTTGGAATACTACAGGCAAAGATAGTAGCAATATTTTTTGGGTCCGATGTCCTATGTAATAAGACACGAGGTGCTGTGGACATGTAATAACATGGTCCGAATGTTAGAAAATGTGCTCGGGAATAACTATGCACCTAGTGAGGCTAGTTCAGAAGGACAGGACACGGGATGGACAAGTGTGTGCAAAGTGCAATCAGCTGATGCAATGTCCAAAGGTCCGATGCGGAGTGGCTCGGACATGTGCAGAAATGTGTCGGACATGTGTGCATATATTTCGGGTGTTGACATGAGTATGAAAATACGTGGTTCTGAGCCCAGCGCCACGACCATTGTTACAGCGGTGATGACCAAACACTCCACAGCCACTTAGACAATGCAAAGGACCTGTTGCTTCAATATTATCAAGATAACTACCTGCAAGCTTTGAGTTCCCCTGCTGTCATTCCTCAACCTACAGCAGCAGAAATACTATCTGGATCGCCACAGAAAGTCAATTTTACAGCTTGGTACAAGAAGCACTCAATGATCTCACTGAGAGACAAGCTTGAGGAGTACTATAGACTGCCAATGGAGGACTTCAATGCCTGTGACCCCATCCAATGGTGGGCAGGCCGCCACTCACAATTCCCAAACCTCTCATGTCTGGCTCATGATATTCTTGCTATTCCAGGCTCAGCTGTTGCTGTCAAACACATTTTTTCTGGTGGCCATGATACTATCTCTCTTCACTGTGCTAGTCTTCAACCTAACACCATCAGAACATTAATGTTGTTTAAGCAATGTTTGCGCCTGGCTCGTAATGCTATCATGGTAATTGATTGATTGATATTCATGTGCCTACGCAGATTTTACTTAATTCAACATGTTCTTACCTCCTGTATGCCCATACAGTGACCCATACCATACCGTTGAGCACATTGAATGTATTGTACAACATATGGTATGGTACAGGCCGTACCCACGTCAGGAAATTCTCACATTACTTTATTTGTCCTTAAACAGACTTAATACACTTAAGTGTCTTGTTGAAAGGTGGATCTACTTGTCCAACATTTCAACTTGAATATATTCAGAAAGGAAATGTTGAGGTATATTGATATATATGTTTTATTATGCTTCACACTAGAGAAATATGAAATATGCCAGGTAAATAATGTGAGAGAGAGCAAACAAGTTTTGAGATAAGTAGGTTAAGCTGATTAAGGAGATTAAGGAATGTGAGAATTTCCTGATGCATAAGTCCACCATAAGTTGTACAGCCATAACCATATACTGTAGAGATACGCACTTAGCTTCATCACAGCATCACATGTCCGACGAATCGAAGCTATTTTGTGTGACTGTCACACAAGATTGAAGTCATCGAAGGTAAATTGTGACACACGGTAAAACATGAAAAAAAATGCAAAAATGTTCTCAAAAATTCTTGTACTGATTATTTGCCATGCATCTCGCTTTACATGACTAAAATTTCTTCATCACCATCAGCTGCCATCTTGCTGACAGCAGCTGGTAGTGGTCTGATTCAAAGCTATTTTTGACATGTCACAGGTCACACCCATCTTCGAATCTTCGAAGCTAAGGTTCAGTTGGTCACACCCAGATGATGTCGAAGCTAAGTGCATATCTCTACAGTATGGTTACAGTGACCAGTCCTAGAGTTTGGGGTTAAAGTAGCTTAGATGATACTTGTTTTGATTTGGCATATTTTTTTTGGACAATGTTATAGTGTATTGCAGCTTTTGATTTACATCACTATACACCAGACCTTAGCTTCAAATATACAAGTAGGTTTGCACTGGTCAACACAAGCAAATATGCCAGCATGGTGCTCGAGGTCCGATTACTATATGAGGTAGTAATAATTGAGCTTTTCATAGAATTTGCCTTGGGAGAGTTTTCCTTACGTACAAGGTTTAGGTTAATTTGTCAGTGTCGGAGCTTCAATTACTGGCCTTGCGAAATTCTCAACAATGTTTGTTGTTTGCAAAGACGAACAAAAGGCAAGATCGTGCTAATATCGGATTTCTCGGGTCATTACTGTAAATACAATATATGGTCGAGGAGTCAACCGAAGGGGTGTTCTTGTACTGTATAATTATCTATGTTGACTTGGAGCGTCACGTCCTCTCGTCTCTTCGTCCTCATCACTGTCAACAAGACCATCCTCCCGGGTTATCTCAATACGAATCACTGGAATTCGAGTCTCGTCGTTCAATACCGTACTTTCAGCATCATCCTTGATCGTAGGTGGGTGCACTAGTACGAGCAGGACGAGAGAAATTATCAACAGCACCATACTCAAAACAAAAATTGCACCAGGGAAGGTCGCAACGGTCTTATAGTACAAAAGGCCAAATAATGCGGGACCCAGGATTTGAGAACTATATCGAATGTGTGAGAGCTTTAGTTGGCCAAAATCGACTGTCCTACCTTAGAGCTTGTACAACACTCATGGCGCCAAAAAGCCTTCCAGCTTCGGCCTTTCCACCTCTTCTGCTGTAGACGTCGAGTGCGAATGCTTGGACAGCAGGCGAGTACCCGACACCCAGTGACTGCAGGATGGTTCCAGAAACGAAGACGAGACCACTAGAAGCAAAAACCATTGTCGCGAACGAAAGAATGTCGAGCACGATAGAAATTCGAGCGAGATTGAGATCAAATTTCGCAGAATGAGAGGGTGGTCCTGTATTATTCCGCCTACTTGGAAGGGTCTGTGAAGACGAGTTCTGAAGTGGCTCATCCGGGGCAGTGGGGAGCTGCACGGGCGCCGGCTTCAGAAGCTTGATGATAACTAGCGAATTGAGTTCGTAAAGAACAATGGTGTGTATGAGTTATTTGTACAAACAAGGTAAGATGACAGCCAAGAATAGCACACGGCCAGCTCCAGTGAAGGCGACGTAGTAGCTAATCTAGAAGGTTGTCAGATCTTGTGAAGACATTTTTGTGCTCTTTTACCGTTTCTGATGACCACTTGAAATTCCCTGCTGCATACTGTAAGACATATGTCAACATACCCTGCGGAAACGGTAGGTGTAAGTATTGGAAATGCCACAAAGATATGATGACGCCACACCAATGGGAACATCGTGAAACCATAGCTAGCAACGACGAGGCATAAACTCCAATCTCTCTTGGAGTGTTTGAGTGGGTTTCCGTCAACATTGGTATGCTCAGGCATAAGAATTGCTAGAGGGCTGAAGAACCTCATGGCGCTTTTTAAGACGGATGCAACTCCTAGGGCCTCACCATTTCGTCTTTCAAGTGATGCCTGTCGTCTTTTCTGAGCACCAAATGCTCTCGCTTTTGTCTGGGATTCGGGGACGATCAAAAACATGAAAGCAGCGTACAGCGCGTGGACAGACGCAGATAAATAGAACGCGGAAAGTGTCGAGCCTGTCGCCCAAATTAAGATGCCTCCAATGACAGGACCGAGGGCTACACCAAAAAAGATGGCACCCAATGCTAGAGAGAACATACGAGATCTATCCATGATGATTTATTTAAGTAGGACATAAGTGGATTTGAAACCCTACCGCTCAGAACGATGAGTACTGTCAGCGAGATAGGCATGGGAAGCAGCAACCCCAGTAGTCATCCCTTAAAATGCGTTCAACACCGACCTATCCCGAATGACATGCTCTGACTTACCGCCAGCCATACCGTCCAATGCAAAACCGAGTATCAAGAACCAGTATCCGCCTGGGAGCCGTTCCACAAAGAATGCAGTAACAATGAAGATTAAATCACTCGAAAGCAAACCGAGGATCGAGATGCCCATGACTAATGTTCGGCCAAAACGGTCTGCGAGCTGGAGAGCAGGAGGTCATAGGAAGGTCGAGAAATATTAACGTAGTGACTCACCGAACCCCACCAAACGGTAGTAAGGCAGCTCAAAATACCCATAGTAGTGTTTAGAACTACCTCAGTATAAGTGTCGTCTGATGTATAAAGGAAGACAATAAAACCAACCTGCGGACAATTGTGCAACGGCAGCTTGCACAACTGGGTCGGACGCGCATTGGTCGCGATCTAGACCGTGTGACTGCTTGAGGCCAGTATCTGAAGGAATGTATACAGACACAGATTGAGCAGACACAAACGAAGCGCCGGGATCATCTAGATTCAATCCGTCATGTAGAATATTCGCAGTGTACGCGGATAACACTGAATGCGGCTGAGCTAGATGTAGCGTGTCGTTTGGTTCATACTGTAACTCAAGCCCAGGCGCTGGGCCATGTACACGACATGCGAGAACAGTGTACATCTCCACCCGAGGACCGATGAGCGCAGAGAAACCTAACGATGCCAGAGGCGTGGAAAATATCAACCTGGTTGAATGGTCAATACTATCTCCGACACAGCAGGCTCGCTCGCTGACCAGTATGGCGACGGTCTTTTCCACCACGGCAGTACCTTCCATGCTGTAACTTCTTCATCATGTTCTTCGTCTTCTCGGTCAAACTGGAACGACTCGTCCTGGTCCACTAGCGTGCGTTCCGACTGTTGACGTGGGTGCAGTAGAGTGTGTTCATCGACTGGGTCACAAGGCAAGATCAGCCCTTCGGATTGGGGAATACATACACGCCTCGACTCGGAGGAAACCACAGACGTGTTTCTGGATGACCTTCGAGACATGGTGACCGTAGAGCGCTAAGTGCATGCGGACTAGACAAGGCTGTGATACTTTATTTTAATCCGCACAGTGCACCGCGAGGTGTTGGTGCCAGTCATGCGCATGTACAGTGTCATTATGTAATATGGCCGATAAGCTGGTTGACAGGAGAGTCTTGCCTGCACAGGGTCACCTGGGCCCAAACTCGCGAAGACATAGTTTAGCTCTGATAATAGTTTGAACCTGAAACCCGACTTGACGTCCCTAAAGTAAGATGGTGATTTCTGGAGGATGCCCCTCGCGTCACTATTCCGTGACTCGGAGGATCCTTTCAATTGTAGGGCATGCAAGCGAGGTAGAGCCCACATTCTCTCGTCACAACCCAATCCATGTAATGGTCCAATCTCTTAGTGACACACACTGCAAAATTTGTGTAAACCTATGACGCCCTGACAACACAACGCCGCAGAGGCTGAGGCCTGAGGAGTCCACGCTCACTACTGCAACCGTGACGTTGATGCTCACGTGCACACTCGTGAAGAGGATTGTCGAGACTGCACAGCATCTTGAAGCATCCTTTGTGTGGACACCTCTGCTCTCTACCGAGCCTCGTGATGCAGAAAACCATCTGGCTGGTCCGGAGAGTGTCTCGCCTGACGATGTTGCTGATGAATTGAACTTTGAAGAGAGAAGGTTAATGAAGTTGAAGTGCTCGGGGGAAATGCTCGAACAAGGAATAACATATATGCCCCAGGCTATTCTAGATGAGGTTGAGGCAACATGGATGTCATCCATTAGGATTGAACAGCAAACCAGTTCTGCCGGTCGTAATAGCCGGCAGCAATACTGACCCCAAGGAAATCTCTTACGGCTTACCTTATCTTATCTTGCTTCATACATGGCGGTAAGTACCAAGCCCGTACATGAATCTGCCTCTTCTTGCTATAACTTCGTTTCTAGTCGAAAGCAAGGACAGTGGATATCAACGAGGATGTCACAAAGTCCCTCAGAAAATTTCGGTTTCAGCGTAGGAGTCAGGGACACGCAGCAATCGTTATCAAGATCGACAAGGCTGCTCTCAAGATGGCTGTAGACGAGGAGTATGACAATATTTCGATCGAAGACCTTGTCGAGGGTACGATCATCTTGGAACTATCTTGCATCTCTTCATTTGCACACTCCAGAGCTACCCCGAAACTCTCCCAGATATGTCATGTTGTCATATGAACTCAAACACCGCGATGGCAGGATCTCATTCCCACTCGTGCTTATCAACTGGGCCCCATCATCATCCGAGACAACCATGATGACATTGCATGCTAGCGCCCTCCTTGACTTCCAAAGAGTCGTAAGTACCTTGCCGAAACTTCAGTTCTATGGAGACTTCACTCAATAATGCTTACAATGCTCTAGGCAGAAGCAAACAAGACTATCGAAGTTCGGGATACAGAAGAGGTCTCACCAAGGAAATCGTTGACGAAAAACTTCTATCCTAATCTGTCAGTCTTGTATCCTCACCCGCAGTACAACATATCGTGGACATCGCGCTTTTACATACCATAATTGATCACTGTCTATAGTCGTTTCGGAGCATTCATTGACTTGACCTTGTTAGCAGTAAAACCCCGCTCTCATTTCCACGACTATGAGCTCCTGCTGATACGAATCCTACTGGATGGATAAGTGAGCTAGCTTATATTTAATCCTCGCGTGAACATTGCCGGAAGCCTTCAAAAATAGCCCTTTGAAATCTGAGAAGTTGATGCTTTGTTCGTTCTGCTCGGAGCTCCTTTCCCACTCAACTTACAATGATGCAGATCAGTTACTTCTGTCAAAGATCGGTGTTCCGACCTATATGAAATCCAGACCTCGAGAAGGACATGTTAAACAGGTTTGCGATCACATTGCTTCATTGCCACTCTTGCTCTGGACCATCTGACTCATTCACGTACCATAGAGAAAATAGACCAATATACTCACACAATGCTGCAAAAATTAGAATAGAGAGTGCTTGAAAATGCGAGTGAACTATACATGGTCTATTCTCTCGGAATGAATGGGCTACTCCGTTTTGAAGGAGCTTCGATTACGGGAGGGAGGGATTGAACCATTTCCTTAGTACCAGCGGGAAAAGGTAGATCATCCACACCCTTGGGAAGGACGCTCTCGTAAAGGCCTTTAGCTTGGTTCGCAGTTGCGAGACAGAGCATTTTCTTCTTTGAATCGCGAACAAGGACGTGTGCATCGTCAATCCCTGGCACTGCGCCCTTGACAAAGATCAGGTCGAGGGTGGTGTCAACCCGAACCACAGGAAGATTCTGGACAGTAATTCGTTCGCCTCCCAGCCGACCTGCCATCTTCTTACCGGGCCAGACTCTACCTGGGTCCTAAAAATTAGAGTCAGTAGGGATGTTGCTCAATTTGATAGACACGAACTTGGTGTTGTCCAGTGGCACCGGCTGAACGATGTGATACAGAAACACCATGACTTGCACGTAAACCCTTGAAGTTCCACCGTTTCATAGTGCCTTGAAATCCCTTCCCGATACTGAGATTGCCTCAGTCAAACCACGCAAAGATGATACACGGAACTCACGAATTGGCAATTACGTCCACAAATTGTCCAGGTACAAAATGAATGGCGGAAAGTGTCGTTCCTGAATAACTTTCCTGTCATGGAAGAGTAGAAAATCTGGTTTCGAAGAACTTACCGACAGGGACGTGTGCATCGGGGGTAACAGGGAACTCCTTCACGATATACTTCGGTTTAACACGAGCCTTCCGGAAATGACCCCTCATCTGATGAGTCGTTGTCCTCTTTGGACGGTCGGATGCACCAAGTTGGACTGCGTGATACTCAGTGCGGTCTGGACGCACATGCACAATGTTCTTGATCACTTGGCAGTTTTCCAGCTACGACAAATATGAGAACGAGAGAAAAAGAACGCGCAAACTCGTTCACCTGCAGCACCGTGACCGGAACGCGCGCGCCGTGGTCATCCCATATAGCGGTCATTCCACGTTTACGCACAATGAGACCAGTGCGTATCGAATTCGGTGTCCATTTAACAGACGTTGCAGATGAACTAGGGTTTACGGTCCGCGCCCATGCAATGCAGGTCGTACTAAATTGTCGGCATTGTGAAAGAAGCTGCCGTGGCCGTTGCGCAAGTGCCCAGTGTATGTGCATAGTCAAAAACAACCTTGACACTTTGCAGCTTTACTGAAAGAAAATGTTGTCGGAGGTCGGAACTTTATTTTCCACGCTCATAATTACCACTTCCAACTGCTGATTAGCTTTGCATTCTTTACACATCTTCTGGTATCTGCGCAGATGGAATGGAACATTGGCCTGCGGATGAACGACATCAACCGTTGCCTGTGAAGAAGCGGGGAAGGGGAATTCAAAAGTTCCAAGTTCATGAAACTCAGTATTGGAACCATCCTTACCTCGATTATGGAACTTTTGGTGGGGCGACCCTCGTGTCATCCAACAGACGGCTAGCTTGGACAACCGTTGTTGATACATCAAATGGTAAGTTTTAACCTTGTGCACGAGTCAGTGTGAATGGAGTTGACAATTCATTCAGCTCGAAGGGTGACACCAGTTGGGGCAGGGCGTTGTATTTTTCCTGCCACTCGATCTGTGGATCTGACGCTAAGTCGTCTTACGCAGTGGAGGCGAATCGAAGAAGGAGTATGAACTTCATCCATGCTTTTTGCGTTGTCTTGACGTTGTGCATTCCCTAATAGCTCAACTTCGTTAGAACATGTTTCCCGGACGCCGACTTCCCTACAGAGCTTGTCAAGGCGGAATTCCAGTCCGACGAACGACGAAATAGAGAGTTGCAAGTCTACGATCCTTTGAGAGGCAGTCTCATTAGTATTGTACCGTCTTCCGGCGCCCCTCAAACATCACTGGTTCTCTTTCCGGTGGGAGAAACCAGCAATGAATTGAGTAAGCCGTCTTGCACAACCTCTCCCTTATTAGCTAATCTCAAGTTCGATGCCAGATATTTCATTTATATCTGCCGCTAATTCCGATTGGATTTTTCACGCGCCTGGGCGTGCTGCGTCCAAGTTCGAGACACCTATTCTTCAGATCTCAACCCCAATTACATCAAATTCACCTCTGAAGTGTGGTACCAATCCTGTTTTGGTCAGAACACTCTCCGCAACATCCCTCTTAAGCATTGAAACACACGAAGGCACCGATTTCAAGGCCACAAGGGAGGTGGACATGACATCTGATGACACAGGAGGCAAAAGCGTAGTAGATGCTGTATTTTCACCTCATGACTCGGATATCATTGCTGTGAACACCTCTGGAGCACTCTATAACTGCAAAATATATGAAGGAGCAAAAGCTGTGTTTGTAACTTTTTTCATTCATTTTCGCTGAACTCATACCTTCATCAGGCGACGCATAGGGCTTAACCAAGTTCGTTTTGAGAACACAAATGGGGACCAATTTTGGAGGCTTCTTTCATCTGAACAAGGCTATTTCCTGGCGTCAAGTAGCTGCATTCAACATCTCGATTTCAGGGTACGAATTCCAGTAAGATATTGATTCCTCAGCTAACTCAGAGATAGTCGAACCAGCCTACTGTCGACCTATTTTCCACTGATCAATTGGGCTCTGTTGTAACATCTTTTGATTGGTTAGAGCAAGAGCATCTCCTCACCATTTCGACGACCTCGGAGCTCCTGTGGTTGGACAATCGGTACCCGAAGAAAATACTTCTGAGCTTTAAGAACAACCGAGCGCATGATAGATCGCTCAATGTCAGAACTGTAAAGTTAGATAGCGGTACGGACTAGCGAAATATCGGTCTTCTCAATTCACTCACTTTCCATTGTAGGTCCTCTGACTTTCCTAAGTTCGCTTAAAAATGGACTCACCAGCATTTATGATGTGTCTCGAGGACATGACAATCTGATCCACTGTCATTCCGTTCCATCATCTTTACCTCACGACGGAGATATGGGTGCGTCTGGGTCGGAAAGTACATTTTTTGTCCAGCCCGACAAGTCCACCTTTTCCCTTTTGCGACTCTCTGGACAAGGCAGTCTCCACTGCCAGGATTTTGCTGTATATCGCAATGATATGGACGTATTTCCAAGACAGACTAGTAGCACTAGCCACGAGTGGTCCACCGATGTGCAGAAACTCGCTGAAAGAGCAAAGGAGCTTCAGCCTCAGTACGGGCCACTGAGCGCAAGGCATTTTTCAGAGTTAAACCTACGGCCTGCGTATCAAAGTAAGTATTTGTGATTCGGTCTGTCCTGATACTGATTTTCGCTGCAGAAATTTTCGTTACGGGAGGAGTCACAGAAGAAGCTGTTTCTGAGGGCGAATTTACCGTGATAATAGACGAGCTATCTCAGTTTTGGCAAAGGTCATGTAATTCTGACAAGGCAATGTTGACCTTGTGAGGCGTGTTCAAACATTTGTTATCCTTAAACGCTAATCCGTTGTATTGTTAGGTATGATATTTGCCTCAGCGCTAACAAAGAACCAGACGAGGATTCACGAGCAGACTTTTTCACTGGCGGGATCATCAACTCGAATCATGGGTACAAAGCGCTCGTATGCAACGAGCTACCTGTCCAGGAAATTAAGAGTGGTGCGGCATGGTATTGCAATTTCAAGCCGTTTCTCCACCGTATGGGGCTTGTTCGTGTGGACCTCTGGAAGGAGATGCATGGTGCTCTGGAAGCCTTCAGCTTGTCTTACCCAAACGATATCCCTGGGTCATTTGTGCAACAAGAAGAAAATTCACGGGAACAGCTCATTCTTGAGTTGGCCCTTTCGAGCATGGTATTTTCAGCTCAACCTGTCTCTATGCCCGCTGCTCCGATCCAGGTTGACGATGTGGAGAGTATGTTCCTTTCCGCGAAAGCTCTGACACTTGACGACGAACTTCCCGAGATTCAGTTTGGATACCTGTGTCCATATCCCAAGCTTGGTATCAACCATTACCCTGATACTTCCAAAGACAAGAACACTGTTGCAGAACCTGCACAGGATGCGGATATTTCGAGTCCGCTGGGTGTGCGATTGTTGCTGAGGGAGTGGGATGTTGGAACAGACGTTGAGTCTTACTTATATCGTGATCCATACAACACAGATGGCGAAGATTTTATCCCTCCCTCGCGAGAACGGGCACTCCCTAGCGCACCGGTTGCTACGCAAACGACGACGACGACGACTACAACATCACAGCGCCCTCCGCCGATTGTCCCAGGTTTCGAGCCCCGTCCACCTCCAATTCATGTTGCTCAGAATCACTGGGGAAGATTTCGCACCCAGCCTCGAGGCTTCACTTTACAAACTACAAATACTCAGCATGAGAATTATCCTGAACCTTCTCAACCTTCCCAAGAGTTGATGACAAGTACCCAAGTGTTACCTGGACCGTATGGCGGCCGAAGTACTCTGAATAAGAAGCTTGTGAAGAAAAGGCTGGGTGGGTTCTGATAAATATGTACCAGTAGCCCTCGAAATTGGTGTAATACATAGTAGCATGGTGTTGTGTATAGACGCTTTAGGAAATTTTAAATATAGTCGGCCGGCCAAATATGGGCAATTTTCATGACGCGTGACATCCTCCGACTCCTTCAAGCATATACCGAATTGCCTTTGAAGATCCCTATCTCCTCTCTGGCTCTTCTTTCTGGCTCCGAGACTGAGATCACGCCCGGCCTTTCTCGACACGGACTGGCAGAGGCACGAAACTGGACTTTCCGTCTGGTCCAGCAAGAAGAGCTATGGATGGAACAAGGTAAGCTGGTAATCTGGACTTCTTGCATGGTCATAGTTTCTGAAGAGTCTCCAGCCCGCCAATAAATCCCTGGTTCAGTAATGATGGTTTTAACGACGTTTTGAAGCGTATGTGTAATGAAAAAACACACGTCGATTTTGCAATAACTCCTCTGCCAGGAAATAAGCCGGTGGTCTGCGCTCTCTCAGCTAGCTATATTTCGACCTTCGTTGGATATCCAGTGTGTTTTCCCTTTCTACATCGAAACAACTTACAAATCTGGCTGGTTTCTAGTTGGATTCTTTGAAGTCAAGACTACAGACCACCAAGACAAGGATGCCAGTACTCAAGCTTGCTAGTATCGTCTATCGGGAAGAAGGAGCAACCGGCTTTTACAGAGGTCTCTGGATACCGCTTTTCACGATTTCTTTCGTCCGTGAGTTATCGCACACTGTCTATTCTTCACAAGCCTAACAACTACCCAGGTGCTGCTTCATTCACAATATACAGTAGTACGAAAGAATACTGTCGTAAAAACCACTATTTTACAGGTGATAGAGCTTCTGATGCTGCTCTCGCGGGCGGTCTCAGTGGCGCCTTGTCTGGATCATTGATCTCATTTACTAGCGCACGTGCGTGCTCTTTAATTGCGTAGTTCGAAACATCTGACATGTGAAACTAGCCTTTGAACTTGTCAAGGTATTTTTACTTGCCCAATATGTCCGGGAAGGTAATCTTCCACTATTGACAGGTTCGAAGGCAATTAGAATACAGCATAGCCGCCACTAAAGGCGTACAAATGGTAAAACCCCCAAATACTATCAACGCTGTCCGAGAAATCTTTCGAACCCACGGGCTGTCCGGGCTCTGGATAGGGTTCCGTCTCCATTTTGGTGAGTAATATACTTCATCGTTTGTTACTCTGATTAACATTGACCACTCCTTAGTGCGAGATACAGCTGGCACCGCTTTGTACTTTTTTGAATATGATGCTATGCGACATCTATTGGGCCGCCAGCGCTCGGGAGAGCAGGGACCAACACCAGCATGGCTGCCAATACCCACATCCTTGATTCCCTTCGTCTGTGGTTCGCTGGCCGGCGTGTCTTCATGGGCATTGATATATCCCCTTGATGTGTTAGTCTACATATCTCCCGTTGCCACAAAACTCATTTTTTCCTCGCCTTTTATCAGAGTTAAGACCAAAGTCCAGCAACGTGCTTTAGCTGGCACTCCTCCGAAAGGAGTATGGGAAACCCTCCGTCGCCTCGTGCGCGGTACGGCAGACCAATACAGTCATGTTGCTACTGCTCAAAATCCATTAGGTCCAGATCCTAAAGATCCAAAGCCAGTCCTTGCTGGTATAGCACGCATATATCGCGGTCTCGGCGTCAGTGCAGTGCGGAGCATCACGACGCACGGGCTCCTTTGGACATTTTTCGATATCACGTCACATTATATCGATCATCTACCCTGACTTTCAAAGCGCTATCAACGGGGTCCCACCTCACATCTCACTTGAAGACAAGGCATGTACTGTAGCATCTGGGTTAGGATCGCCTAGTCTACTCACCATAATACACATCATCCAAGAGTACTTATCAGCCAATCTATATTACCTAAAGTTGCATGGATGATGGCAGACTCGTGTAATATACACATCCAGGTTATGCTTATCAGTCACTACACTCAAATTGTTCGCTTCCTTAATGAGGAATGTACTACATAGAATAGATAATCCGGTTTGAGTGAGTCGCCGGGGTAGCTCAGCTGGGAGAGCAACAGACTGAAGTAATGAGTAGGCGATGTTTTCTGGAGGTCCCGTGTTCAATCCACGGTCCTGGCATTCTTTTTAATGAAGGTAATGAAATTTATTATGTCTTCAAAACGCGATGTGTACACAATATCAACGTAACGTTATCAAGCGATAGTGTACTTTCCATAGTCTTTCTCTGGGTCGTATATCTATGCCTTGATTAATAGGATATGAACACAGGAGGGACACCTTACTTACCTCCCATCGAGAGGCCGGAAAGATGTGCTTGAACCGTTGGTACCAGCTCCTCTCCACTACTTTACCAGCGTGTGACTCGTCTTTTTCCTTGGTTGCATCAGCAAGCAGGCGAACATCATCATGAACGTCAAAATTAAACAATGGTCCACTCTTTCCACGAGCTTTGTTGATGATGAAATCATAGAACGTATGATGCTGTCGAAATACATTGAATTGAATGACCAACAGGGAGACACAAACTCACGTGAGGTATTATGAGGTCCTCTTTGATGTACATCAAGTTGTCGACGCTAACGCCTCGCAATTCCGGGAACTGCTGCCGGCACTTCTCCAAAAAGGCGCTAATGGTATCACCCTTCTTACACTGAAGCATCCTGCGACTGAGCGACTGAGTGCTAGATCAATATGAACACATACCACAACCGACTTCCTGTGGCCACTCCCATCCCAATAGGAATATGTTATCTCGATTTCTTCCTGTTTAAGCTCCTCTTGTCTGCGAATCCATTCTTGGCGCAACCTTTCACGCTCTTTCCTCTCCGCTTCCTCTCGATCGCGGTCCGGGAGGAATGATGTATCAACATTAGGATTCTTACGGAACTTGGCGCGCTTGGACGCTTGTTCACCGTTCTCGACCTCAGGAGTTTGACGTGATGAGGTGTCTCCTTCGACGTCGCCTTCGTCATCCATGGCAAATGATAAGGTAGCTTTTGCCTTCTTGCGTTTCTTTACTCTTTTTGTTTCGTCTCTAAACAAATCCTCCACGGAATATAAGCCATCTTTCCACACAGTCGTCACGGTATAGCAGAGAATGACATTGAACACTGAAAATAACATACTTGAGTTCGTTAGTGCGAGCAGCCTCGCGTGCCTTTGCTTCCTCCAGCTCTTTCCTTCTCTGTTGAAAGTCCTCCAGCCTGACTAGACCGATAGTCTGGTTCTTGAGAGTCTCTTCCATGGAGTCATTTTGACCGACAAATTTGTTGACTGAGGGACGAGATTTTTCCGTTTCATTGATGAGAGTCTGTTTTTGGCGTTCATACTCTTCACGATTCTGAGCGCGCTGCTTGATAAAAGCATCCTCGCGACGGCCTTCAGCGTTGTTGGTAGCCATGAAGGTTTTGGTTGGTGTGAAGCGCGATGTCGCGGAGTATGAAATTACTTTTCAAGCTTGAAGGTTTGAAGTTCACTGTTTCCTTCTAATTGTTCCGAGTGAGCTATGGTTCACGTCTTGGGGGTGCAGCTCCCAGACTACCAGTATACAAGGGTGCGCCATAGTTGATTGTTTTCAGAACCTTCGCTCATTGCCAGGTTAGTTCGCCTTGACTGCATTCTATGGCATTGGCCATAAAACTGCACATCGACTTTGTGCACGTCTCCAAATTCACGACAAGTGCAAAGTTCGAAGTCTAACACCCCATCAAATCACAGAACTTGCCGCATTCCTCTCCTCTCCTTCTACTTCAACACCTATTCCTCGCTTTCCACTAGCCACGTCGTCCTATAAACCTCCTCTGGCCTCTACTCCACTTGCGGTCCTGAAGGAGGAGACGAAGAAGCTCTCGCAAAGGGCATGGGCAGATCCACTAAGAAACATCAAGATTGAGAGCGAAGCCAGGAGAGTGGTCAAGGATAATATTGCGCACCAACGCATGATAGGCAGTTACGTTGGCAAGAGGCATGCTATGGGTCTGCCCGTCCGCGGCCAGAATACCCAAAATAACGCACGGACCGCGAAGAAACTCAACAGGGTCGATCGTCGTGGCTGAGGGTGTTTCTTATGTATGTTTCTATATCCTCGGAAGTTCGCCGGACGCCGCGCTTGTTCCATGTTCGTCTTCTAGATAATACAAGTACTATTCCTAAGTACATCCGAGGTGACTTATCTAGTCGTCTCCGACTGGCACTTCTTCTTCCAGATACTTCAGCAATGTCACCCGAATCTCCGTGCTCTCGTCACCGCGAAGTACATCAGACAAAAATTCTACCTGCACCTGCATCTGGACCTTTAAAATTGCCGTGATACATAGTTGCGCCGATTATTTTAGTTTGTGGACTTACCATCTCAAGTGCTCCTCTAAGAACACCGCACAGCACGTTACTAAACCACAGCCCTCCTTCCAAAGCTTCGTCAGGGAGTTCAACAAATTCAGCCAAGGGGTTCTCATCCAGGGTCAGAATGAAAGACGAGCCAGGAACTCCTGATTGTTGAGCTGTACTACTGTTAGGGCGGGAGGAAGGTGGTGGAGCACCGGTATGCGTGACTGTTGGTGTGATATTCAGAAAGGATTTAAACCCGACCTTCAAACGAGGTGCCTCTAAGAACGTTGGCTCAGGGGGAGTAATAATAAACGCACACCTTCGCCACCACCTCGCCCACTTCTCGGAAGTCGGAGCAGCGACCTAAAGAGCTCCTGGCAAGGAAATCCTCGATTAACCGTGTTCCAATGTTATATCCCATTTTTTCGAGTTGCTTGTTCACTTCAGCATAATCTTCATAATCTTGAATCAACTGAACGACAAGGGCGCCGTATGTAAGGGCAAACAGCTCTGAATTCTGTTTTTGGAGTCAGTTGGGTCCTGATTGACCCAAAGGCGCGACGCAAAGTCCAAACCTCACAATTTTATCTGTGCGACTTTTCCAAAGGTCCTCACCGATGGCTTTATACTGTTTGCTCGTCGCCATCGTCGACGAAAGTAAGGCAAGAGTCTAGACTGCCAAATTGGGCTGAACCGAAAGATTGAATCCACGTGCTTGTCAACTCTAACAAACCTGCTATCATCATCAGAGCTGCTCAAAAAATGTCACGGCCAGAGTACCAGGCCCCACCAGAGATTGTATATTTTATTTTCATTAATTCACAGGCTATGTGAGACTGATTTATGGACTCATCTATAGTATTATGGCGACGCTGAAGCCAAAAAATACACTCAAAAGTATGCCTGTTCGCATGTGCATCCTCTTGCCGTTCTCAGTGTCATACAAGCACTCGTAATCAACAGATCCAGGCGGATATGACATACCGTGCTCTGGAGTTGCTCAATCTTCCTCCAGATGAGCCCGCTTTTCTATTAGATATAGGGTGCGGATCGGGGCTTTCAGGTGAGATTTTAGAGGAGGAGGGATACATCTGGGCAGGCGTAGATATCGCGCCGAGTATGCTCGGTGAGTGCCAAGGTGTTATTACAGTAAGAACTACACGTGGGCTAATCATAACCAGAGGTCGCACTGGATAGGGATATTGACGGCGACCTTTTTTTGCAAGACATAGGTCAGGGATTTGGTTTCCGACCAGGAAGCTTCGATGGAGCAATAAGGTCCGTGACTGGACTCCCTTTTTTTATTTTATCTTATAATCTACCAGTATATCTGTTTTGCAATGGCTTTTGAATGCTGAAACATCGCATCCAACGTCTTCGCCACCACACCGTCTCACTCGTTTCTTCACAACTCTACACTCTGCTCTTCGAAATCCCTCCCGAGCAGTCTTTCAATTTTACCCGACTTCCGACGATCAGATACAACTGATTACCTCGATAGCGCAGAAGGCCGGTTTTGGAGGGGGTGTCGTCGTAGATTACCCAAATTCTAAGAAAGCAAGGAAGGTTTTCCTATGCCTGTTTGTTGGCGGAGGAGGTGCGCAGCAGCAAATGCCTAAGGGCGTAGAGGGTGAAGATGATGAGCAAGTAAGATTTGAGAGAAGAAGAGAAAAGGAAAGGAGGAGGGATGTAAGCGGTAAAAGAAAGAACATGAAAGACAAGGATTGGATCCTGAAGAAAAAAGAGGCAAGTCAGATGCAAACTGACCATGCCTATTTGCTCACTGATGTCATTAGTTGTATCGCCAACGAGGAAAGGAAGGAGTACCAAGAGATTCAAAATTCACTGGCCGCAGGCGCAAGCCAATCTTCTAGTGGAACATCTCAGTATTTCACGAACACCGGATCTTCGTAAAATGATACCATACAAGTACCTACGTCTATTCATGTCCGTCTATCTACGAATAGCTCGGGGAGGCTGTTGACCGCATCCTGAGCATTGTTTCTGATGAACAAGCCTTGGAGGGCAGCCATGCTAATTTCCCTCCCACTAGACATCTCCTTGGTAGTTAATTCCTCTACCTGCTGACCCATGCGCTCTATAAGCTCCGGTTGAACAGACTCACTACCGCCGTAGAAACGTGTAAAGAGCGTGCGTGCCTGTGCGGGTGAAGCATTATCAACAAGCACGCTCAGATCAACACGCCCCGGTCTGATGAGTGCAGGATCCAATTTTTCAAAGTGATTTGTCGTCATGAAGATAATCCGCTCTTCTCCCGATGCAACACCATCCAAAGCGTTCAAAAAGCCAGAGAATGTGACAGAGGACTGATACCTATAGCATGTGCTGTTAGCCATGCGTTCCGAGGTACCAGACTCATCGGCTCACCCATCCTCGCTTGTTTGCACGCGTCTGTTAAATGCGGCATCCACGTCTTCAATGAGTATAAAGCTACGCTCGGGGGCATTTGATAACAGGTGATTGAGTTTATCGTCACCGAGTCCCCGTTCCGACAAATTGAGTAGACATATGTCATACGATAACGATCCTGCTAGAGCTTGGATATAGGAAGTTTTGCCTGAACCAGGAGGGCCATGCAAAAGATATCCCCTTCGATAAGGAATGCCCCGGTCCGCATACCATTGACGTCGTTGCAGAAACGCCTTGACATCCCGTTCTACCTTTTCACTCACCCCCGTATCCAGCACGACACTATGTAGTGGACGCTTTCGCCGAGGTTGACCAAATGGCTTCCATTCGATCCCCCATGCGGTTCTGATCACGAGTTTGCCTTCTTGACCGCGGAGAGCAAGGTCGCGTGCTTCTGCGAGGAGCTTCGAGAAAAGATGGCGATCTCTGGAGAGTGTTGTTACTGTCACAGTTTCCCATGGCGTGCCCGACATGAGTTGCATAGAGCGCGTCTCACGTTCTCTTTTCATCTTGATCGTAGTGTTATCATCATGTTATGAAAATATGTTCCGTGTGACACATGACCCGACTGACCTGCATCCAAGCTCCGCCGTACTTGAACCAATGGGTTCCTGGGCCTGCGACTAGCCTGAATAGAACAGAAGAACTCCCATTACTGCGTTGTTCAACTGCAGTTTCAACACTTAGTTGATGGCTGCGCAACCAAGACCCGGTTCTTCGAGAAGAAGTTGGAGCAGCCGATTGTCCATTGTGCGCAAGCCATGCGAGAAACCATTCATATGCGCGGTCCTTGTTGTTCACCTCTAATGATACGAGGAGACGCCGGCGAAGTGCGGTAGTACCGAAGACCAGACCTTGGCGAAGTATAGTTAAACCAACACCGACGCCCTGGCTCACGTGTCCAATGTGAACAAAGAAATTTTAGAAATGTAATACGGACCATAAGACCGAAACCAGCTTGGAAGTAAGGGCTATACTTTCAAATAGCTCTCAGTAACTCGCAGGTCACCAGAGATATCACCGAGAACGTACTTATCACCTATAAGGCTGTTAATGATGGAGGAGGAGGCTGCTCCTGCATCTTGGGGAATTGCAAGACCAGTACTTGCCAAGCCTGGTGCGTTGGCAGCCTGACCGTCCAGAGAAGGTGTTCCAGAAGCGCCGTGAACAGCCATGATGCGCCAATATCAGTTGAAACCAGAGAAAGCTGTACACTTTCGATAGGCAACTTGCCCAAGCTAGTCTGCCTTAGGCAAACTGAATAGAAAGGTGCTTCTTTGTTATGGACGAGCTAAGCCTTGAAGCAAAAAATAAACGGAACGATTCCTAATTTGGAGCGCGTTTGTTAGCGCGACTTTACTGCTTGCTTTTCTCGTTACTCTCTTCCATCGCGGTGCCATGTTCAAGCACTCGTCCCTTGCTGAGGCATACTCCACTCTTGGTCTTCAAGAGGTATAAGATTTTTAGTTTTGTAGAAGTGCATTTAATCAAAAATCATGTTTAGGGTGCCACTCTCGAGGAGGTCAAATCTGCTTATAGGCAGGTGAGTTATCTGGCGAAACTACATTGGCAGCTATTCTAATAATATAATATTCAGCATGCGCTGCGCACTCATCCAGACAAAAACCCTGATAATGCTGATGCTACTGCACAGTTTCAGGCAGTCGGTCATGCATACACTGTCCTCCAAAGGCACCTAGATCCGCCTACTGGCTCCAGACGGACACACCATTATGGCATGGACGACAATGACGATGAATATGATGAATACGACAACTATGACGACTACGAGAACTACGAGGACGATCCCTACACCTTTGAGGATGAAGCAGACCGCATGGCATTTTTCAGGTGCGTTATTACAGCCGTTTACAGAGTTAAACTCCTGACGCATTCTTGACAGGTTCCTTTTCTCACAATTTGTGAACGGGGGACGTATGCGTTTTAAACGGCGTAAGTGATTTGTTTCCCTATTTGTGGTTCGATGGAAATAGAACGCTTGGTGTAGCCGACCCTCACCGTAATTATCGTCGTCGATCTCTCTCCCCCGAGACTCCCGAGCAATATAAGGCTCGAATCGAACGGAATCGCGCAGAGCAAGTCGAGGCTGAAAAACGGCGCGCTGAAAGGGCAGCTGAACGCAAAGCTTTCGAAGCACGGCAGCGCGACAAAGGTATGTGACTTGTCATTAGTCATTACAATTATAAATTACTCCTTTCTAGAACGTGAAGAGGCAGCCAAGAGGCAACAAGCTAAAGTAGCATCCAAAAAGGCAGAATCTGTGGCTGCTCGTAAAAGAGCGGCTGAGACTGCTGAGGCTCAGCAACGGCGTATCCAGACTATAAGATCAGAAGCTTTTTCGGCTGCACGTAAGGGAGACGCTGTCAAAGTCAGAAAGGCGGTTTGGGAAGAGAATGTCGATGCTGCTGGAGGCGAAATCAAGCCTGGTTGCGAAACATACGTTAAGAGGCCACCTGAAGATCTGAAGGAAACATTGTTGCATATCGCTGCACGGCGAGGTGATGTTGACCTCGTGGAGTGGCTAGACGCCCACAGTCAGTCGCGTTGTTTTAATTACCGCTGTCACGAGTAATTAACCCCATATTTTACGTTCTAGGTGCAGATCCGGAAGAACGTAACGCTGCAGGGCTCTCGGCTTTCCACGTGGCGCTTCAGCAGGGCTGCATCCCAATCATAAACCATTTCTTCCAGTCATATGATCCGAAGCAAGACGACGACCATAGCGCGATTTATAGCCTCTCACCATCAATGTCGCTTCTTTCTCTAGCTTTAGAATCTGGCCAGCCCGAGGTTGTTTGGATGACCCTCGAGAAGGGTCTAGCCTCCATCCAAGATATCGGAAATGCGTGGACGCAGGTGACGTCTGAACAGACCAATCGGCCACTGTTCAAGAAACTTCCCCGAGATGGTGTCAAGTTTTCAGAGATCCAGAACCTTCTGATGACGTTCGGAGGGTTCACACCACCACCAACACCAAAGGCATCGAGTCCAAAGGATACGAGACACGATTCGCCCTCTCCCCTTTCGCCGTTTGCGCCGGATGGCTCTGCCAAGAGTCGTCACCAGACTCGCGCCAAAAAACTAAGCGTCAATCAAGCTCATCCTAATGCTCAATCTGCCAAATTACCCCACAACAGCTCCCCGCCTGCCCCCTCGGAACCTGGCAAATTGCATTCGCGGGGTCCCGGTGGGGGACGTGGGCAGGGTCGCGGGCGGGGTCGTGGACGTGACGTGGACGTGGACGTGGACGTGGAACCTAGATCGTTACTCAGTGATCGCATACCTCTGTTTCGTGTGCTCCCCGGCATCAGTATATCTCATTTCTTCCATTTCATTCTTCATTCCATGACACATAACTCTCCTTCGCATCAAGTCTCTTCTTGATGCACCATGCATCCATAAGTATCAATTGCGTCATTCAGTGGTCTTGTTATAGCTGCTATCATGATCGCGAGCTAATGTTTATATCGCAACCATGTGTAATGTTTACTCTATGCGCATGCACTACTTGTATGTAAATTAAATTGTTGTATTCTTTGATGCGGCCTCGGCCTCGGCTGAGACTATTTGCTCTTGTTTCATTCCAAAGCTGTTGACAAAGATGGCCAAACAAGTTCACCGGGGTTTCAACTTCGACCACATCGGTGCTTTCATTACACCTATAGCTGTCAATCTCTAACACCAAAGCACTGACATAATGGGTCGACTGGCGGAGATGCAGAGGAAGCTCCTTGAGGTATATCATTCATCTGACTGCCGAAGCATTGTCTTTAATTTACGTGTCTAGCAAATGATGGGCCCTGAGGCAATGGGAGTTGCCAATGCCAACCTCGTCTGGTCTGACGATAAAGTTTGCCGGAACTTTCTGTGTGGGACATGCCCGCATGCACTTTTTACAAACACTGTACGTTGATTCACTACTTTTCTTAGTGCTTCAATATAACTTCCCAACTAAGAAAATGGACCTTGGAGCATGCCCAAAATCACACACGGAGCGATTGAAGACAGAGTTTCTGGCAGCCAGAGAGGCAAATCCAAGTGACCCTATATTTTCTCGTTTCCAAATGGAGTACGAGTCAAACATATTTGCCTTTGTGGATGAGTGCGACAGAAGGATTCGGGCTGCGCACCGAAGGTTAGAGAAGACACCAGAGGAGAATGCAAAGACAACCAATCTGATGCGAGAAATTGCTGAGATCGAGTTGGCTATTCAGGGTGGGACCGAGAAGATCGAGACCCTTGGTATGTGTCTTTTCCTTTGGAAGTTTGCCTGCTTTCTTACACTTCTCTAGGTGAACAAGGAAAGGTCGATGAGTCAATGAGGGAGATGGCCGCCATTGAAGCTTTGAAGAGCGAGAAATCAGAAAAGGAGGTATGTTGCGCCTTCGATTGATTTCTACCATGGGAACATGATCTCATTGTAACGTTGGATCTAGCGCGAGCTTCAACAACTCACAGATACGTCCGGGGCCTCCGGCCATCAGAAACTCCGGGTATGTGACGTTTGTGGTGCATATCTTTCTGTGCTCGATTCCGACCGGCGTCTTGCGGATCATTTTGGAGGCAAGGTATGTTTTCTCACCAGTTCGCCTGAAGAATGGATTCCCACATATCGGTAGATGCATTTGGGTTACCACGAGTTGCGAAACATGTTAGGCAAGTTTCGGGAAGAGCGTGAAAAGCGTAAAATGCCACCTCCGTCTTCTGCACCTCCCTCCGGCGCAACCGGGGGTGCAGGTAAGCCTGGCGGAGACCGAGGTGGTGGCGAACATCGGCCATCACGTGATGATCGTGAACGCGAACGAGGGTATGATAGACATGCATCGAGATATGAGTGAGTTTGTTGACGGCCTCAATGATAACGTTTAACTGATGCGTTCTTCCAGTGATCGTCGAAGAGATCGTGATCGCTCTCGATCGCCCAGCCGCAGACGATATTAATTCAGCAAGGTGTTTGATAGTGTATTACGCTTGGAAAGGGTTTGCAACTGGGGATATGGATTGCATCGTGGGTCCAGTGAGGCGCCGAACTTTGAGACTGTATTTACATATCAGTTGAATACAAACGTGGTTTGAGCCGACGGTAATACTCGGAAGATCTGGCTGGCTTTGTTTCGTAATTTTTTTTTTGAATTTCGGACTAACCTGAAGTAGAGATAACCCTTACATTATTTTTGTATAATTATAATGAAATTGTGCCTGTGACAGTTTAATCGTGACATTAAACCAGTTGCATGTAATCTGCATGTCCTTCCTTTCACTTTCTTGTGTCTGCTACTATTCGATAAAGCCGCGCTTTTATTTTGGTGTCCTTTCGTCCTCATAAAAAGCTTCTTGCTTTCATCTTATTCCGCGTCGCGGATTTTACTGACGGTCTGTAGCTTAAAATTCAGGCCAGTCCATAGCATTTCGGGACAACAATCGCAATCTTTCTGTCCAAAGGTTTTACGTTGAACCTTTGCTGGACGCTCTTGTCGACGTACCATTTCTTTCTATAGAAAATCACGCCTTGATCTTCTACTCTCTATACTTTTTGCCTTAGTCTTCCATAACGGATCTCCCAGGAACTTTGCTGTCGGCGGCTGCTCACTGGTTCCGAAGCACATTTCCTTGATCAATGATGTCCCTTCATGATTCGCGGGACCCAAATGTTCAGATGGACACTAGCTCCCTTCAATCGCCTTCGAATACCCTTTCTCTAGGTTACCCACCTCTCGCTCCTCAACGCCCTGAGGATCCCCTCATACAAAATACCATGCCCCATACTCCGCGTGACGCTATTTCCATTTTCCAACGCCCGGGTGACCCTAACGATCTCCACCTCTCTCTTGCAGATACCTCTCCTTCCACTGGAATGCATTCAATGGATGTACTCGATACGCCCAGCTCATCGCGTGCACCACCACCTGGCTTTATTTCTGATTTTCCTTGTCGCAATATCTCATACGGCTCAATGTCGCGAATGGATAGTCATCTTTCCCTTCACTCCCCACAAAGCGCGACCTCGGGCTCCAGCGGTCCGTCATCCGCCGTGCACGGCGTGTCATCTGCATATACCATGAATACTTCGTCCATCATGGTCAATGGACAGTCTATGATTCAATCTGTGCATGCCGGGGCGTTGGATTCTTCTGGGTCTCCGGGGGCTTTGGGGAATTCAGCTTCTGAGCTGGCGTTTCCCCCTTTAAGCAATAGCTCATCAAAGCCGACGCAAGACCCAAGTTTTATATTCCCGCCCCCAGACGTGCCTGATTTATTCACTGGGCGCGATAGCTCACCAGAGACACCCGGAGACTCACACTTACTGGTTGTTGGAGACATACTTAAAACGTAAGGTCTCGTATCTTCTGCTTCAAGACTAAGAATAATTGGGTAAATACGCAGTATTGCACACACCGCGCAATCAGCAAGTACAGCGTGTTCTCGTGGTCAGGGTCTTGAGGCCAACGTCAGAATTGATGAGCTCAAGAAGACCATCACACTGGTCTCCGAGCTTATTGCCGCCACAAAAATCACGGATACGCCAGTCATATCACGTCATCCTTCGCCTCGACGCTTTTCTTTGTTTGGCGCAAAGTCCAATGTTTCCCCGTCCACGCATGGCGCAGTACCTCTAACGCAAGAGCAATTGGCGTCCGGCATGCACTTTTCCTCTGCGGCAGACTTAGGTACTATGGATGGTCAAAGTAATGGTGATCTGGCAGACATGTCTCGGAAACGGTGTGCTTCATCGATGGCCGGCGACCGTGTTATCAAAGCGCCAAAGCGTGAGCCGCAAGAGGACACGCCACTTCATATTATCCCTCCGCAAGTGTCTAGCCAACAACCTTTTTCTGCTGTTGTTGCGGCCTCCATGACTGATATGCGACCCACGACTTCATATGTTCCTGCAAATGCGCCTGCAGATTCAGCTTCCCGACCAACAAGCTCCGCAGGTCAGCCTTCCATTGCAGGATATGGTCTGATTTCACATCAACCGTCCGCTGCATCTATGAGCTTTACGATACCTGTATCTTCAGCACCGCCTGCCTCATCTACGGAATTCATTTCAACATCACCGCTATCGACATCTATGCCTCATTCTGCTCATTTCCCCCCTCCCCCCACCGTCCGGGCCTCGTGGTCAGACAGTGCTGCCACATTACCTCATCGCAGCCATCAGCATTCACTTTCGGGAAGTTCCCTTAATGCCAGCATCAATTTTCATTCGATACCCAGCAATAGCTCGTCTCTTGGACCACTCCCATTTTCAACAACCGGAGCATTCCCTTCATCATCTTCACAGCCACGTTCTCTCACGAATACCGGCTCGGGCATTACCCCGCCGATTGGCAGAGTTTCTCGATCTGGCTCTTTCACGACTAGCAATGTAAATCCATTGGCGTTCGGAATATCCGAGGTAACTCCCTCCAATGCCCTTGATTTTTTGAATTCAGCACCTCATACGGCACAATCGCTTGGGTCGCATAGTCCGACTTCATCTCTTGAAGGAGAATATGATGAGTCCGATGTCTCACACAGCCCGCCCGAATCCTCGGGATTAAGGACTATTTCTCATTATTCAAGTTCATCTCGCACTGTCACGGGGCATGACATTCGTTCAAGTTCTCTCGTTACACGACAATCTACAGAGAATTTGTCTCCGACATCAACGCCAGGGCACAGCAATGAAGTCCCCCAAGAGTATCGTGCAGAAGTTGACCGTATCTTCTTCGAGTTCTTGAACAGCATCTGTTCAAATTGTGAGTATTTCCTCCGTATCATTTCTACTATTAACAACCTCTTTTCCTGTAGTGGATGCCACCGATGCGAAAGGGGAGCCGATACATCAAACACTAATGGCAAAGAAAATGCAACGTCTAGATGAGTCACCTGATTTTCGACCATTTAAATTCCGGATACAGGCTTTCACGAATGCATTTTTGGAAGAGGTGAGTAATTTTTAGAGACACGAGGCAATCGATGAGATATTGACGCCCCTGCAGCTGGCCAAACAAGGTTACCCAGAAGAGAAAATTCCTATGAAGAAGGCTAGCCCATGAGATCGATCATCTGATGATAACTGACTGAACTTTGATTTCGTGCAGATCCGCAACTACCTGTGGAACCAACCGTATATCTCGCGCTTCAACGAGGATGGTAAAAAGACCAAGTCTAAGGGTAATCATATTTGGAACATAGATGCAAAGAAGAGCCCTCATGATGGCACTTGGTCTTTTCGCCCTTTCCATCGGAAAGTGGCTGGCTCGCCGCCTGGTGTTGCTTACGTTGGCCTTCGGTGGTCTTGGGCACCTCGTATATGGGATCCACAGGCGTCACGATCGAACTTGATAGTTACGTATTCTTCGCCGTCCCTCCCGTCCTGGCTATTTTGGGAAGACGATGTGCTGTCAGGAACGCCTCCCCCGGACGCAGAGAGCTGTGACATCACGGTTGTAGCCCGTGTACGTTTCATCTGTGTGGACGTCCATTGATATCTAATGCCAGCGGCGTAGTATGTTCAAGATGGGCAAGAAGAGCTGCTGACGCAGACCTTCCATCTTAATATTGTGCCTGTCTCGAACCTTGACACCTCGTTCTCTGCCTCGCGTCGCGGTTCTATGAATGGGGAGATGCACAAGCCACGTCGGGTGACAAGTGATTCCACAGTTCCTCAGGCATCTCCCAGGTCAGTGTCAATCTGTATCTAAGGACGTCCACTCTCACGTGTTCCATTCCAGGCCGTTGAGGTCCCAACCATCGTCTGGTCTGGTGTCACCAGTTGCCACGCGTGATGCACAAGTGATTCAAGTGCTGACGTCAGCTGCTCAGCGTGTCGCTCAAGAAGCACAGTCTCAAATAATATCTTCCGCGACACCAGGCGAGCCCGGCCCTGAGCTGCAGGCCCTTGCGAAGCAACAACATGTGTTGACAATTACCGCACAAGCGTTCGACCAAGAAGTGACTGGTCAACAACGGTCGGAGATCGGCCCACAGGCAACTACTGTGTTAGCAGCAGCAGCACAACAGGTCGTATTCCAGGCTGCACGCCAAGTAGTTGCAGATCGCTCTGCTGCTGTTGCGAATCAGATTTCCGCGGGTTTCACTCCCCCGCCTGATGCCGCTACACAGGTGACTGTAAATGAAGTGTCGGTTGCTACGCAATCAGCCGTTGCACAGGCTGTCGAAATCACAGGACCGTTATCCAACGAGGTTGACGTCCTGATGACGGCAAGTTCCTTGTTGCAACAGCAGATTAGAGCTCCAGTAAGTCCACTTTCAGCGATGCTCGATTCCGCTCAACGATCAATACCCATGAATTCTTTGCACTTCCACTCTGCTGGAACACACCCTCCAGCCGCATCATATCCAGCAGCTATGACCGCACAAACCAGCGTTGGTGTCGTTCATTATCCATCTGCTATGTCTTCTGGTAGTTTGTCAGACTTTGGCCGACTATCATGATGCTCCGCCATTCTTAGCATATCTTCTTTAGGGCTTTGGGACTCATATGTGCCGCTGGGTTATTTTATCTCACTTGCTTCGTCAACTCTTATAGAAATTCGGCACGTCATTCAATCATTATCGTGTGTAAAAAAGGGTCGAATAAGCATTATCTGTACTTCTATATGATATTGTGTTCCTCAAAGCTTCAGATCTCTCTGACAAAACATGCACTGCTGTCCGTTGGAAGGGTTCTGCCAGTCGCATTCCCGACAGATCTGCGGGGACTCGTGGTCAGACTGCGGCTCCCCTTCAGAGCTTATAGCAGTAACATCTGTAGTGATGTTTGGATGTGATGAAGCCAACAGGGTACCACCGAAACCTCGCTCTTCCTTACGCCTTTTCTTTGCACGAGTGACGTCATCTGACATTGCATTCTCGTCATCTTCTGCCTCTTCCCGAAGATCGAGGACGTCATTGATGAGAAGCCCAAGAGTTGCGACAGTGACTGAATTATCGTCGAGTTCCTGGCCACAGTGGGACAATCGTTGACAGATTGTTGGGATCTTGAGCGCTTCGTATAACTGTGACGAAAGTCAAGGAATGATCATCACACAAAACAGGCACCAACCATCACTTTGATGTCCTTCACCGTAGTCGATTTGGAGACAGTGATCCGTTTCTTTTCCACGCCATCCTTGGATTCACGTATGCGCTTTGACTGCCGCGTACCAAAGGTCCTATTAGATCCGTATGTCATTTGAGGATGCTGACCATTCTCCTCGGGTTTATGGCTTTTAGTCTCTTGCGTCACATCCTTGGATGCGTTTTTCCCACTCGACAGCCGAACAGTGATCTCAGCAACATCATAATTAGACCGCCTGTGTGGGATATCCGTATTGAAATGACAGGAGTTGGAATAGTCAGGCGTGCTCACCTCTTTGAACGACAGTCATGACACACGGGAATATCGTGCTCGAACTTGGTGTCAAATACATTTGGCGGATGTTCGACAAGTTTCTTCTCCAGTGTGATGGGGGAGCTGCATGGATACCTATAATCGGAACGATCAAAAAGACATATTGTGAGGTCCAAAGTACCACACACAAATCTGCTAATAGCATCCACTCTGTCATTTGTACAACCGCAATAGAGGTGTCCCAATCGTTTGGACAATTGGGATCGAACAGAAGGTGCCCATGCTCACACAGGAATTGTGAATTGTTGACTCTTTCAGGACGTGGTCCATCTGTTGGCCGAGTGACCCACTTTCTCCACAAACGCACGAAGTGCGCAGGCAGGATAGCACACGGGACATTCTCGAGGAGCAGTGTATTTCCTGTCAGAGCGTTGTCATGCATGTGACGTAGCCGTGCCTGGACCATGTGAGCCGCCCAGCTCATCAAGCCCACTTTCAACACACCTTCTCGTCTTCGGCTTTCCGTCGTAGCTCACGCTTGTCTTCCCTGGACATATTTATGGTCGCCTCACAAACAACGCAGAGCTTTTCCTGAGTGGAGCGTGGTACCCACTGAGGGAACAAGCCTTTAATGATGTCACCAGCCTTGTGACTGTGTTTAGCAATGTTATTTGTCCGCGAGATAAATAGAACAGTGCTACCTTGGTGGATATGCTCTTTCGTGCTGTTGACACCAGTGACAGTTGACCATGCTCGCACACAACATGCCCAAGATACTCTGGTGCATCTGGTGGTGCATCTCCTTGTAGCGGTGTGTGCATTTTGGGCTTCTGCAATCGCCAGTCTGTAGATGAAATCAGTGATGTACTGCACACTATCATATGTCAATGAGCACCTTTGAGCCAATTCTTGGATATCCAATAGCCGGGTTGATCAGGGGTTTCATCACAGACCGCATCGAACTGTGCTACCAGTCGAGGATGCTCGACTTGATACAGTTTTTCTATTTGGGCAATGAGCCAAATTGCGGGAAAAGGAGACTCAAACTTGCCTATGAATGATTCCCTGACACAAATCTCACAAACGTCATGCACCTGGCATACCGGAGAAAATTCAGACTCGCCAAACTCAGCGAGCTTCTTGAAGGCGTTCTAGAATTTGGATTTAGTACTACACAGGAGATGGCTTGATGGACCTACGGCGGAGACGCGCTTCATATTGTTAACTCTTTGAGGATCCAGGGCGTCATGCTGGCAAAGGATATCTGAAGTTGGCAAAATCTCGGGTGTGGTCTCTATTTCCCCTTCGCCCCTAGATTTGGATTTGGATTTTGCAAGAGGTTTGGACAACCATCGTTCGAGAGCATGACGGCTTATAATGACAGAGTCCTGGGACTGGTCGTAAACAAGTGAACATACAAAATGGAGGAAACCAAGTACCTCATCCACAGAATTGACGCTCCAAGAAGAGTAGACGTCTTTCATCTTCTTGAGCAACTCATCAAAATGTTCCTTTGCTTCTTTTCCCCTGAAACACATGATGAGAAGAAGTCATTTCGAGTATCGAACTGGCTTGCCTTTTTGCATATGCGTCACAGGCCATGTCATGAGCTGCATTCAGACTATTTACAACTTCCTGAGCGCGTGGGGGAGGGAAAAAACTTCCACCATCAATCTTCATGGCTCTATGCTCGGATCCTTGGCTAGCAGTGGTCACTGGCCAGTTGGCGTTGTCTTTGGATGTGACATTCTTGCGAACATAAATAAGCATATAGACATCTTTCGATAAAAAGATATCCCTGAACATTTTGAAAAAGATTCGAAATTAGCGATACTTTAGCGAGAAGGGAATTCAGTACTCAAGACCGTGCTGTTTTGCCTCGGGGATCTTAGGTTCCGTGGGTGGTGACGAAACTCTACCAGGCATGATTCAAAAAAAAAACTCGCCAGCAAATTCTTCAGTAAACTTACTCGACAACGTCGTCGTCGCTATCATCGATCCGCCGCTTTTTCTTTGCGGGACGTCCACGAGGATTTCCAGTACTTCCCCTGCCACAATCGTTTAGTTCACTTTCTGGTCATATGACCATACATACTTCTTCGGGTTCCCGTTCAGAACGTCAACTATATCGCGACCAGTGTATCTCCTTTCTCCGAGTGAATCAATTTTTGTGACATTTTCGTCATCGAACTGAAACCACGTATTCGATCTGTGCCATCTTCAATACGTCACACGAGTACTTGTCGGGTCACTCACGCGGTATCCAAAACTTGAGCCTCGTAGTGACCGTGATATGCACTCGGACCCTTGTGTAATAGAACACCTCTGAGCTCATAGATATCCTTTCTGGCACTCTTATCGCTACTCGCTGCTTTTCGGGCAGCAGCAGAGCCTACAAATTGGTCCATGTCAAGCGTCGTCGGAAACAGTAGATTGTGCTTAGACTTCTTGCGCTCCATGGAGGCAAAGTCGTAAACAAATCGTAAGAGGGAGAAATGAAGTACAGGAGGAAGGTTTCGCAACTCAGTATACCGTGTGGCATCCTGGAGCGACTCGCATTTCGAACACAGGTACCTGGTAAGCACGCGTAAGTGACGTGTTCGAATAGACCATCCACCTTTCACGAACTTGTTATCACCAGTGAGTTTCTCGTCCTGCAGAAGAGCAGCGATACGGTCCTCCAGCCGAGCGTTGTTCTGAGCGAAGGTTACATCAGCCCGTAAGAATGAGTATGTGAAGGGCATCAATGACCTCGATATTGATTTCAAGTTCAAGAAAGTCCGTAGACCGCTCAGACTTATTGTGGCAATTGCCACAGATCGTGCCGTACACTTGCTCCCCTTGAAACTTTAGCAACATAAGTTCATCGGGCACGTCAGGCAAGGAGAGTTCTACCTGACTGGACACAAGTGATCTTAAAGATGGTGATGATTGTTTCTGGAATTCAGCATCGAGGTGAGACATAAAAAGCTTTGAGAACCTGTTTAATCCATGAGGAAATTATTCAAAATCGACTAATAATTGACTGACTCTTGTGCATCCTGCTGTTCTGAGGTTGAAAGCTTCAAGCTTTCAGCAAGTTTTTCAGGATTGAAGACGTTTTGCGTGCATTCCTGCAATGCAGTGAACGTCACTTGTAACTGAAATATGGGCGAATCCTAGGCGCAAGTTTGATTTATATGCACTCATTTATTATTTTCTCACCAACCTCAAACACGTCTTCTTTATCTTGTGATGGCTGACACATATAGACACCATTGCGAAAAGCTAGGTCTCGAAACCATACCTTGGCGCTTATTCTAATCAGTTCGAGATGATGGAGCGAAAAGATACCTACTTGAATGAAGGCGTTCGCATAGCATGTCGCACCAAGGTTCTGGATTGTGTGTATGAGTATGACTCGTTGTACGATCTCAGAGAGCACGATATTTTGTTCTACCTTTAATCCAACAGGAAGTTCGGGATCTCGAGCGTTTAGTACTGGGTTGAACCCTAGGTCAGATGCCTTCAGGAAAAGTTCCCTGACTTTGTCTGGGTTCATAACATCTGTGTCAATCTTGCACTGTAGACAGGCGCGTTGGTAGTTTGTAGACTCGCCTTCGTCTTTCCATGTCTCTTGTCCGAGGTAATTCAAACAATTGGGGTTGTTCCTGCACAACTTCTTACTGCATGGTGGTGGTGCATCATCAGAGACAATAATGATGCCATCTCCCAGCTCGCCACCTGCGGGTTCATGCTTGGCAGTAGGGCCGTTTTGTTTCTCTGACTTGTGGGTGTACTTGTTAGCACAGAATGGGTTGTTACTTCTCCGAGAAAGGCCACACGATACAAGGCGATGTTCCAGGGTGATCTGAGAGGGATGGGTGACCTCCGTGCCAACCCAACCCCATGGATCGCTGCCAGGCAATTTGCCTCGTTTAAGTTGTTCCCCTGCAGCTAGTCCCTTAGGAGCTGGCGACGAACGATGCTTGCGCTTCGGAGGCATGATTGGTTGACGGAAGCTGAAGAGCGGATTTGAAAGATGATGGAGGGAGGAGAAAGAAACGTGGACGAGTTGAACCCGGAGACAGGGAGCAACTTGACTTCCATAAACTCAAATATTAATCTGGTTCCGCCGAAGGTTCCGCGCAGACAAACTCGACAATGTTACGTAACTGGTGCTTTTTGCTTGGAACCATAGATCGACGTGTTCTCTACGTTCTGACTTGCATATACGTGTCCCATCTTCACGCGTCTTCAGGATACTTGTGACCAGTCATCACCGTGACCCCATGGACAGAATACGAGGTTTCCTCAAGCGCCCCAGGAAGCCAGATGCGAATATCGCAAGACTTCGACGGCGAAGACAGACAGCTGCCTATATCCATCGCAATTTAACAAAATTGACGTGAGTGGAGTCTTCATTGTTCGCTCTCTCGCTGAATTTGTACAGGACCGTCTTGTTTATCATTGGATATGCGTGGATGCTGCTTATTCCTATACCGTTGCTCTCCCAAGGCACATACATAGACGAAAATGCGCTTCAGCCGGCGCAAGTATGTACGCATGTTGATTGCTTGCCACATGAGCTAATGCAATCATAGGTCAATACATATTGGAACTGGGGCGATGTTCACACAGCAGACTTGCAGCTGTACCAACTGGATGGTGTTCGAGAACGAAATCTCACCAGTGAGCAGTATGTCATTCTCCTCTTTGTACATTGCACTGCCCTTACTGATGTTATCAACAGAAGAGCGGAATTTTTCAAGACTGAATTCAGTAAACTTGGCCTTGCTGCTTCCATACAAAGCTATACTTTCAGTACCAGTAAAGGAGTGAGTTTTCTTGTTCAACAGTCAATTTGTTATAAACATTTGCCAGACCATCTCAGGCAACAATGCGTATGCCGTAATGTCATCGTCTCGAGCCGCTGGAACAGAAGCGATGGTGATCAGTGCATCGTGGTTAAGCAGGGCAGGGCATGGCGCACTGAATTTACGTGGGACATCTACTGTATTATCCCTCGCTGCATTTTTAAAAGGTAGGGTTATTCAAAGGCTTTCAAATTTTTGATATACAACACGCTCGTCAGATTATTCCTTATGGGCGAAAGATATCATCTTTATTATCAGCGACGACTACCTTCACGGAATGCATGCATGGCTGAATGCATACCATGGCACGATACCGTCGAGTATGTCTTTTTTGTGTCTACAATGTCAACTTAGTCTTCATTCTCTTATCCACCACTAGATCTTCATACAGACCCTCTTGAGCACACCTCGGGGGTCATTTGGACTGCTTTGAATATTGACTACAGCAGTCATTCTTTTTCGCACCTCGGTGTCTTTCATGGTGGGCGAAACACCTATCATCTTATTTTCTGATTACTCACGGATGCCTACAGAGGGCTTGAACGGACGTCTCCCAAATCAGGACCTCATCAATTCTTTCCGACTAATCTCACACTATACAGGCGGCGTCCCAATGACAGTGTACGATCACCTGGAGCCTTCGGATTATGTTGATCGATCGCAAGAGCAGAGCCTTTTTCTGTCTTGGGTTCCGCCTTTTATTCAGCAGAGTCCACAACTTCAGCAATACGGGTATCGCGTGCGGAATGTAGTCCGACACATCGGCTACCAGGCTCGCGGCATGTGCAGTGGGGTACATGGCCTGATGCATCAGTAATGTTTTGTTGTTCTTAGTAGCTTGTATGGGGATACTAACTTGATTCAGATTCCGTATCGACGCCATCACCTTGTTTGCCGTTCCAGCAGACGGTCCGCATGGATTTCATGCGTTAGGAAGGTGAGTAACTATAAATTATCTATCACTCTCAACTACAGCAACACGCGCTAGAATCGTCGAGTCTACCCTTAGAACGATGAATAACCTTTTAGAGCGTTTGCACGCTTCCTTCTTCTTTTATATCTTAACCAGCCCTGGGACTTTCATGAAAATTGGCATGTTTCTCCCAAGCGCCATCTTCGTCAGCGTTGCTATGTTGTTCAAAGGGCTCGGGGAGTGGGTGACTGCGGGGTGGGTTTGCGAAATTTCTGAGGCCCCTTTGAAAGCCGACGAGACTAAGAAGCCTAGTCCTGTGAAAGGCACATGGAGAAATAGGCGACGACCCTTGCTGTCTGCGCTTATCATTGTAGTGACTACTCATGTTTTAGGAGTTCTCGTATTCAACCTAGTTTGCAGTCGATGGTTTGCTGAGCACTCTTCGGTTAGTTGTTTGACTACCTATTAGTGCAATACACTGATCCTACCCATCCCATAGCTTCTTGCGCCAGTTATTTTTGCCGCCCTGTCTATGATACCTCCAGTGCTCCTTCCACTACTTTCGACAAACGCTCCGGAAGCAGCTCCAACTTCGATGCTCCTGAAATCGTCGAATTTATGCCTAGCATCGACTGTGATATCTATCATGTCCCTACTAAACTTTTCCCTCGCCGCTGTGCTTGCTATAACCATGGGTATCCCTCTAGCGACGTCATGTACATCCTCAAGCACAACGACCTCTCGTTTGCGATATGCTAGTTATTGTGTGCTAGCATGGGGTTGGTTGGTGTTGGTACCTGGAGAGGTTGAAAGCGCGATCTGGAACTGGGAAGTGCTGGGTGTATGGTTTGCACCATTCATATGTATTGTGTACGCCCCGCTTGTCATGCAAGCTGCTATTGTATGTCTACAGGGGTCATAGATCCATGCAGCGGAATGTCAGATTACAATGTACAGGCGATGAAGTAAAAATGCAAAGCAAATACAGCGCAAGTGAGTGTTTAGTACCGTATCAACCAATGTCCATTGCAGCGTGGTCGTCAGACCCAAATAGATCTCCCATTGTGTGATCTACTTCTTCCTGAGTAGCTCCCTCTGGATCTGTGTCTGGATCTTCTGGTGCAATACCCTCCCTCTTCCGCCGTTGTCTTTCTTTCATCTCGTCTCTCTGGGCAACCTTCATCTCAAGGTCAGCTGATAATTTGCGTAGTGCATCCTCAAACCGTTTCTACGAGCACCATGAAAATCAAAACATGAAAACAGTGTAGAAACAGATACCTTTATCAGAGGATTTGCGGAGCTGGCGATTTCAGTTTGCTTCTTCAACACAGCAGCTTCAAGGTCCCTGATTTCTTCATTCAACAGCTTCCTCTCCTGCGCTTCTTCGTCATCGTCGTCCTCATCGTCATCCTCACTTTCTTCATCTTCGTCATCCTCCTCCTCATCACCTTCACCCTCCTCATCTTCATCACCGAGGGCAAGATCTAATTCTGCGGCAAGGTCTTCGTCGATGTCACCTTCGCCTTCATCTTCTTCTGCTTCCTCTGCTTCCCCCTCATCTCCCCCGAAGTCTGGTCCTGGAGTAGGAGCATCGCCTGCCTCCGAGCCAACGACACCGGGCGTAGGTGCATCCATGGGCTCATCCCGTTCAACGAATTCTGAGTCGGAAAGATCTGGGTTGACATTTTCCAGAACATCTAGACGCGAGGCATTTCAAAACAGACCCGACTCCGAAGAATGATCATCATACCATATTTGACCTCTGAAGCAAGTTCATCCGTGGCCAACAACCGCTCGACCGCCTCCTCAACACTTTCAATAGTCTACTTGGCAGCATCAGAATCATGCCTATAGATACGACTCTATGAGGGGACGTACCCTCTTGTTAACCCTCTTTCGAAATCGACGTTTGCGAACGTGGTGCAAAGGCGGCGTGATCCCATGCGGCCAGATGAACTCATCGACATTTACATTACGAGTTGTTGTAAACGACTCCTCATTTGGAATGCGATTTTCAACCACAAGCATCTGCGGGCACGTTAGTAGAAGATACGATAGAACAGGCGAGACAAGTAACCTGACATATGTCTGCTACTTTAAACATTTGCTTGTTGTCCAAGGTCTTCTGCGCTTCAATGATACACGGAAGATCGACAAGCTTGAAGGAATACAAGGTATTTCCAATATGAAAGACTCCTCTGCGGGAGTCTAGATAAAGTTCGAGCAACCCGACCACTGCAGGAGGAGACCACTCACCTTTGAATTTAAACCATACATCATTCCCGACTTCCCTGGAGGAAACCATCTTGCGCAGTTTTTCACAATCCTCTCCAGGTGGCATACGAATAATGAATTGCTCTTCAAAAGCAAGGTCTTCATCATCAGAGTCTAACTCCCGATCATATGAGCCCAGGAATGACATTCCTGGAGCCTGCGCAGCTGCTTTATCACTGAGCTTGAGTTTTAGCTTTGGTTGGGGTCGGTTCTTTGCTAATGATGAACGCGTCGTTCGCTCGGAAGGCTCGGGGGTGCCCCTTAGACGAAGGGTTGTAGCCATTGCATGTTCCGCGGCGGCACGAAGGGGCCGTGTTCTCTGTGGTTGAGTTGGAGGTATTGGCTTAGCGCCGCCATTAACGGTAGAAGGTCCCGCTTGTTGTTCGTCAATATCGTCTACAACTATAAGGTCGTCGTCCATGATGTGGTCGATGATCGCTCGAAGTCAAATCATTGAACTTGAACCTGATCCAAATATCATTTCAGTCACACCAGACGTAACGGTCACGGTGTATACTCGAGATTAATTTTTGCACATATAGTTCAGCAATAAGTGGGATCAAAATAGAATTGAGAGGTACAGGAGGTGAAACCGTCGTAGTTCTATAGACGAGGCGAACATCATCACAGTATACTTGAATGTAGTGCACCAAGCTGAGCCACAAGCGCATCTAGACTCTAGAGGACTATTAGGATCACCCTACTCGTCCCCGTCCTGGGCACTGGCACCTTCATCGTCATCATCTTCCTGTTCTTCGCCTTCTTCTTCGTCCGTAACCTTTGCTTCATGGTCTTGGTCAGCTCCACGCCTCTCAGACTGCACACGTCGAGGTTTCCTGTTAGCCTTCACGATGGTGACCTTCATTAAGAGTTGCGTGACATAGCACGCCACACCGCCAAAAGCGAGCGCAAACCACATCCACCGCATGCGACGAAACCGAAGGTCTACTTCATCCATTCGGCTCTCTTTCGTTTTCGGAGGGTTGCTCAGGGGTCGTGGTATTAACGACAGCAGCGACTGTTTTTGCGCAGGAGCGACAAGATACTGCTGCGGTATTTGTGAGACTTCTGTCTTCACATTGCGCGCATGCTCTGCAAGCGTCGGGTATGATTCCTCTAGAATACATCGCATTAATTGGTCCGGGAATGGCGGATCAAGCAACAGGAGAATGTGCGAGGCTAGGTAAACATCAAGAGTCGTGGGCCTAATAATGAGCTCAGGTAATACAAAAGGAAAAAAGCGCTGGTCTTGCTCACCGCTCCCCAAAGAAAAACTTCTGTCCATTCAGTAACTTCGCATAAAGAGCAAACGATGCCTTCGCTTGCGCAGATACCTGTAATGCAGTAAACATCAGCTCCGTCTAAGCAGGCGAAGGGTATCTCACTTTGTCCCGTTCAAAAGCGCGCGCATACTCGTCTTTAGGGTCGTCTTTCTTTTGTCGTTTTCCAAAGGAGTCCTTCTCTGATTCAGAGGCTGCCTGTGTCCACAGACCTGCAGCCTCCAGGCGTGGTCGATACATTTCGCGTATACGTCCAGGTACATAGTAGCGCTGCGGAATTGGAATCATAGATGCTATGGTAGGATTTGTGAGTTTCCAGAAATTATCGTCCACAGAATATAACGAATATGCCTATCAAAATATCAACCATTGAACGGCCTGCATATGTCATGCATGTACTCACTACGAGGTCCCCAATATTCGCCTCAACATGCGAGCACCAAGCAGTTCGCTTTGCTTTTTGTAGCGCACTTAGAGATGCGTCGAGATCCCTGGCACCTGATGAAATAGACTTTGCCAGCGAGGAAACGAAGGAAATGATGGCCGGGAGGGATGACACTATGGCATGGCCATGTGTGAGAAAGGGAAGCTTTCCTGCAGGACAACGGTATGAGATGCGAGCCAAAGAAATTAAGCATATAAACCTATATAGACGCACCGTTAGGGGACACGTCGGGGTTAGTACATTCTGTAACTTCGAATTTCCCTGGAATGGTCAGTTGCAGGTAGAGAACTGCTGCGGTACATGTAGGGTCAACGGATGGTAGATTCCATCTGGAAGGCCAAATGTGCAGCGTGCACAAGGTTGGTTGTGTAGCTGCTGTAGACATCATACTTCCGAGAGCAGAAGGTTATGTACTATTTTGACCAACGTTATTTGGCAACGGCTTTAGAATTTAACACACACATACAAATCCAAATACTCTCGCTTTGCCATTGTGCTACTAATATGAATAACCCTTGTGAACACAACCCTTCCTCTGTCGTTCAGTAATTCATTCGCACTGAAATTCTCTCTATACCATGTTTCCATGAGGTTGCCTGTATGTAAGTAATGACATTCCAGATGCATGGTTAACTATTTTACAGATTTTACACAAACACCCTAATCATAACAGAAATATTCTCCAAGAGATAGCAGTTCCACAGATACAAGACAACGCATCGAAATGATGTACTTTTCCAAACCACATCTTCCTAGCCCTCATTGCTCGGCCCCGTCGAGTTTACTGCCGTGCTGTCCGACTCTCGAGATGCACTGTATGGGCTTTGCGTAAACCTACTCGGGTCGAGCGGAGAATAAACTTGAAAATCGAGTAGTGTTTCCCCTGAAAATTGGTTGTGCCGACCCCCGCCACTGACGCTCACGGTCCTGAGACTCAGTGCGGGCCGCGCTCGGCCTTGCCCTACAGGGAAGGCATTATTTAGTCCTGCGTTCTAAGGACAAACGAATGTGAGTTGGATGGTACAGCTAAACAACAATACTCACGAATTGTTCAGACTGTTCAGCCTTTTTTGAGTTGGGAGGACTTAAGCTTGGCATTATCGGCACGTTCACCGATTGTGCAACTGGTGCGCTGACGACCCGTCGTTTTGCAAGAAGATTTTTTGGCGCGTGCAGTTCAGTGGACATTATTCCTTGCGCAATCAGCCACTCTAAAATCGTTTGCCATCAAGACGGATCTTCACAAGGGACTCCAGACTCACCGGGAGACCTGTACCGGAACAGAAAGGTAACGTGTGACCTGACACCGTGCTGGTCGGATGGTTTCACCTTCCACGTCATGGGTGATTGCGTGCACACGTCCATCTCCTGGCCGTACCTTCAAAATTTGTGTCAGCCACAGAGACACGAACAGACCCTACTTGTGCGCACCCAATACAATGATCGCTTAGCTGACTTTGCGAGTTTAAATCTGGTAATCCTCTGCAATGGATTTGCTGCCTTCGACCCATCCAGAGTGACGAGTTTAATCTTGAGCACGATGGATCCAGCGTCTTTCGTGCTCTGCTCACTTGCACCTGTTAAACATGAGCTTCACGCTGATGTACCCGTTGTTTGTCATGATTCACCTGAGCTTGGCCTCTGTGCGAACATAAAGGGCCTTTCTGTCTGCGGGCCCGATCTTACGCCACTCCTCCAAGCCTCTCCTTCGCCAAACAAGAACCGACCGGGAACTACGAATCCGTCAAGTGTAATAAATGCACATGAGTGCTTTTTTGTTCCTTCATCTCTCCAGTATACTGAAAAAGACTGGTGACGTCGGTGAGGCACGTCGAGACTAGAAGAACGAATCGAGTTACCTTTCCCACCTCGCTTGGGATCCAACACGAGATCGTGTTTGGGTTTTCGGCAACGACAGCGGCAAGATACTCGGGGATCGGTTTGCCCTCAGAGACTATACATGCGGAGAAGCCACGATGCGTAAGCATGTTGGGTGATGTTGACTGTGCTCGAGGACAGGGATGATTACAGGTTAATCAAGGACCGTAATAAGCACCAGAAATGAAGGTTGTGCCGCGTCGTGTTGAGAGCCTGAAAGTAGAGGTGGACTGTTTATAACTAGATTGGCACTGATAGCTTTGGCGTAGCTTACACACAGACTACGTTACAGAAATAAAGCTGCTGCACTGTTCAAAGCGCGAAAGGTCAAGTCGCAGGCAAGGTTGGTTTTAAAATTAAACACCTTGTGGCAGATAAATTATGTAAAATAACCACCCACAAGTATGCTCGATTAGGAAAGGCCTAGTTCTAAATCGGGTCCATGGTATTGTTAACGCCGCGACTTGGCCTCCGCTATGCACAACTTTGTGCATGGTCCACAATTAGCTCACGACTAGCTTCGCCACCATCTCGCCAGTTTCACGCGTCTTTCTTGACCTGCCAAATAATGCCACCCAAAAAGAAAACCGCAGTAAAGCGTAAAGCGGCATCCGAGTCACAATCGGATGGTGAAGCTACACAGTCTGCTTCAAAAAAGGCCAAAGTATCGAAAGACTCGCCAGAGTCTGCCATTGCCACCAACGGCCAGCCTACTAACAAAGTACTACCTGTCAACATCAGTTTTCCTCCTCGGATAGCAGGCACAGTTCGCCTGTCAACGTGGAATATTTGTTCGCTTGCATCGGCTTCCAAGAAAGTGAGCGCAATAAACTTATATGATGACTTCATAATCATCTTGGTGTTGTATCTCATCAGGGATTTAAATTCTATGTTGAGGCGGAGGACCCAGACGTTCTCGTACTAACAGAGACCAAGGTACATACCATGTTCTAGTTCTAGTCTTGCTAATACTCTCATATTAGGTGAACGAAGTCCCCGTAGACCCATTCCTGACCTCGCGATTCCCTCATTGTACCTGGGCCATATCTTCCAAGAAGACATACTGTAAATGACCTTCATTGGATCCAGGCTCCCCTAATTTTAACCCGACGCAGCAGGAACAGCTGTGCTTTCCAAGCATAAACCTCTGTCTGTGGATACGAAACTTCCAGGACATCCAGACCCAAGTAGCGTCAAGGGTCGTATCGTTACAATGGAATTTCCTGGTTGTTATATTGTAGCTACATACGTAACGAACGCTGGTCAGGGGCTCAAGGTCAGATCATCAAATATATGGTGTGCACGCTTATTCACCTATCCCAGACCCTAAAAGAGAAGAACACATGGAACGAGCACTTCACGACGTACATACGGGATCTAGACAAGAAAAAACCCGTCATCTGGATGGGTGACCTCAACGTCGCACCAACCGCAATAGGTACACAATTCACATCATCTACGGTTTTGGCCTAGTGTATCTTACATTTTTATTTTCAGACTTGGCGAATCCGAAATCAAATTGGAACAAGACACCTGGATATACAAAAGATGAAACGGAAGCGTTTCAAAATATTCTTAATCCTCCTGAATCTGCTGCTGGAGTTGGCACATTTGTTGATGTCTGGAGACAGAATCACCCAGAAGACAAACACTACACATATTTCTCGTATCGTTTTAATTGTCGAACTAAAGGCCTTGGTTGGAGATTGGACATGTGTAAGTCGTCAATCTCTGTTTGGTGGTATATCCTAAACCAGCATTCACCTACGTAGTTGTGGTGAGCGAGCGACTAGTGGAAAAGGTCAAGATGTGCGAGATTAGAAGTGAGATCTACGGCGCATCAGATCATGTGCCAGTGGTGATGGAAATAGACAGCGATATCGTTATGGGAAGCTAAACGCTGTAGCACTCGCGATATGTGAATGTTCACTATCTTGCGCACGTCACTGATTCCTTGTGAAATACATAAAACATGAGGGTGCGGTATGGACAAGTCAAGAATCCGGATATCACTCATATTCTCCGAATCGTACATGCCCTGTCTCCTGGGCGTGCATTCTCGCATCTTTCTCGCCTTTCAATCCCTTGCCACAGTCCTGTGCGGATGTGTCAATTATCCATTGCGCGAATCATTCGATGAGATTGGCAGCTTACTTCACATTTGATATCAAACGTTGCAGTATTGGTATATGCTTTCTTCCCCCGTAGGATGGTGGCTAATTCTTTAGCGGCAGACAAAATTGGATCATCTTCATCCGCGGAAATCTAATATCAGGGGTAGTTAACCCTAAGATGGCGTGCACGATACTGATACGCTCACGATCGGAAAGACAGTTTGATGCCATTCAGGCGGAGCATCAACCATAGGCGCCAACGACGCAGCATCATAATGAATGCCGGAATAGATCACGATGCAGCTGCGTACCAACGCATCAAAAGTGCTCCTAAACGAGGGCCACGCAAGGTGCCTACCGGTTGCCTGTGCTCGCCTCTAATGGAGGCTCAAAACGATCAAACCTCCCGGTTTCGACATCGATAGATGCAATCTCCGTGCCATAATGTTTGGCGAGGATTCCCAGTTCAATCGCACCTCCCCATGTCGCAGGCTTCATAATGGTGGCGATGTACGCATCTCGACTCAAGCTGCAAATTCGAGTCAGCTCAGCATCATACTGTAGTATGCAGTGATGCCAGATACCCAAGAATAGCTTCATTGTAGGTTTCCATGTCTGCTTGGATGCCATTCGCAACGACTTATGTGGGGGATCACCTAATCAATCCATCTGACAGATCTGAATCGATGTGATGGCTGACCTTGCCGTATCTGTTGCGCCTTGCGGGCATCTTGCTCGAAAATGAGGGCGATCGACGAAAAAAGACACGAGTTATCGTCTGGCACGATCTATGGCGCGTGATAGATAACCGATCAACATAGGAACGCATTACCTTACCCTGTGCACTAACACGCCGTTTGGTGTTTCAACATAGTCTGGACCGCTACTCCTCGGTGCGAGCCTGCTTGAATTCGGTTGCGACAAAGAGGCTTGAGGTGGTTGGGAAGACGATGGCTTGGCCTTGGGTGGGGAAGATGGGACACGCGCTGAGCTTGATATGTTCTGGTTCACAATGATCTGATCACCAGATTTCAATCCCAGACTCGAAAGTGGAAGCTCCGGGACAATTGTGAGCGACCGTGGTGGGTACCCCGACCTGACTAACATGCATCAAAAACACGATTTAGATGAGCTTGTTGAAGGCGCTTGCGCGGCACATACGTTGTTGCTGCGATGGTGGGATTTCAGATACTCCAAATATTTCCTGCTGGAGATCTTGAACTAGAGCATTATCGAGGTCGACTTGTAATGTCGTAATGCCCTTAGGATGTCTTAAACGAATAGGTGCCATTAATTGTGAATGTGCGAGACGGGTCACGAGCCTAGGTCAAGGACTGGTACGAGATTGCGTCACGTCAGGAACAATGATTGAATGCTAATTATGTAAGGTGTCTACTCATGCTGCCTCTGCCGTCCGCCTGGGAGCAGCCTCAACCTGAACTGGTGCACCTTCGGGAACATGAATTTCAATGCCCTGAAGCTTCTCCACAGTCGCCTGTTCAGCCGCTGCAGCCACCTCCTTCTCTGCCTCTTCCACCAACGCATTTAGTTCAGCTTCTAGCTCTGTATCATCTATGCCCGCGTCTACTGCAGCCATGTCTTCGCCCATCCTGATAGCATTGTCTATCTCACGTGCATCAGCAGTCGATGCCGCAAGCGCATCCATTGTCTCTTCAATCTTGTCACGTTGAAGGGAGGGGTGGCTCAAGATTGCTTTCAGTGTCGCCGTCGAACTCTCGTACATCTTCATAATCTGAAGAGGTTATTGATGAGCAACACGAAATCTGCAGAAGAGGAGGATTAACTCACTTCCACATCACCCGCGGCTGTCTCTACGCTGATCAATGTTGACTCTAGATTATGAAGGGATCCAAGACGCTTGGAAAGCAGGTCATCCAGATGTTTCTTAAACCGCAACTCTGCAAGTGCAATTGACTTGCGCTGCTGACGCAAGGCGTTTGAGATATTTGAAGTAGTCCTAGATGCATACATACGTTAATCAACGCTGTGCAGTGGAAATAGGCACTCCTTACTGATCAATTTTGCTATGGATGCCATCCACCTGTTCACGGAGGTTTCTCACTGCTGTCTTGAGCTGAAGAATTCCTCGATCCACAGCAGTGATTTCCCGATCATGGCTCGCTGTCACAAATTTAATGACCTTAAAAGTAATGTCAGTTAGCGAGTAGGAATATGCGACTGAAACACCTGCATCGCCATTCTGTACAAGCATGCGTCTCTCCCGTTCGAGAAATTTGATCAGAACTTTTGTATCTATCTCGCTCAGCACAACATTGGGTAATATCTTGTCCCCAAATTCCCTGCGAAAATCTTCAAAAGTGTACAGGTTATCAGCTGGGCTGAGGCCGGCGCCGTTTCGCATGCTTTCAAGGGTATCTGCGGCCTGTACGACAAGCCCAAGCATGACGTAGTCCCCTTCAATCTTCTTCCACATTTCGGCTTCTGTATAAGAGTCTTCTGATCGGACTATATCAAGCTGCTCCATCGCCCACCATAGTGGTTTTCCGACTACGAAGGAAGCAAGGCGGTATGGTAGCCATCCTGGGTCATACACAGACTGCTGTGAAGTAAGAAATTGGGAGAGTGGTATTATATCGTTATTTCGTCGCATCTCGGCCTTTACTAGTGCAGTGCGGTGAGTCGAATACCAAAAAGTGTAAGAGCTGCCTAATGACGCACTATGGTGGTTCCGAGGCCGAGAGGCTTGCCAACACCTTCATAGCGCAACTTATCCACCAGCACTCGTCGTGCTCCTAGGATAAGTTTGTTGCTTGTTCCGTCAGACCCATCGCTTCCCTGCCAACCTCGCGAAGTGACGTCCTTGAGCGTCCCATGCCACCAGTCAACATAAGCATGGAAAGAAGAAGGGTTAGAATGTTTCTGTCTGTGAATATCGGAATACAACGATTTTAGACGAGATTTTGATGTTGATGTGTAGTTCGGCAGCGTAGATAGAGTTGGGGATGACATGTTGTTGGCAACGCTGCAAGTGAACGCAAGAAACTTTATAGTGAAAGTGAAAGCCACTGCCCACAATTCCCTCAAAGTCACGTGATTTGGCACTAAAACTCCATTATGTCATAGGTCTACAAGTGAGATTCTAGCCTTCTACAATAAGTAACATCGTGTTGTGGAAATTTTCATTGTCCTGCCACAACAATCACTTACTCGGGCGGCCAGTTACCAGGCTGAAATGCGAAATAAGCAACAGAATGTGAGTCGTCGTCAAAATCTAGACTTACGAAGAATCTTTTGTGAAGTTTTCCTCCAGTAGTGTCTATAAGTGCGATCTCCTCAGCTGTAAGCTCCGGCACATTCTCCGTGTCAAGGTATTCTCTGATACGTTCGGCTTTCGACGAGGTTCTGTGATGACACAGTATTAGAAAACAGTTGGCATCAATGGAGGGATTAAATCTCACGTTACCACAAGAACACCTTTCTGTTGAAGCCATTTGTTCAACACCTGACCATCAGACACAGGGGTACCACGAGTTTTCTCCAAGCGAGCGCGGATTTGCTCGATCACGGGGTCGAGTGGACCACCCTTTCCCCGGAAAAGAGGTGACAAACCAGCATATGACGACGTGACGATTTTGTATTGGTCGTGGATGGCAAGATTCGGCTGCAACGCTTTCCATACATATGGGTGAGCCTCGACCTATTGTCATGATGGTTAAATAAGGACTATTACGTCGACGGGCGTATAAAACCAACCTGATTAACTGCAGGAGGTATACTGGCGACTTCCATTATAGTCTTCAGGTGGTCAGGAGCGAAGTTAGAAACTCCAATGGACTTGGTCAAGCCCGCCTTCTGAGCCTCTTCCATCCCTTTCCAGATCTCCTTTAGCTGCCCGACGTGGTTATTGGCTTGGTGGACAAGGTATAAGTCGACGTAATCCACTTTGATTTTCTTCAAGGACTCCTGTAGCGCGCTCTTGGGAGTTGCACCAGGCTGCAATTTTCCGAGCTTCGTCGTTATGAAAAGCTGGGACCTAGACTTTCCAGAAGCTACTATGCCATCCCCCAATGTATCCTCGTTGCCATAGACTTGCGCACCATCGAGGTGTGTAAAGCCATTGTCGATAGCAAGGCGTATGGCATCCTCAGCATCTTTACCAAAGAGCGCAGTACCAGTGCCGAAAGCTATCCAGGGGACCTGGTGTCCGTCATTCAAAGACAATGTGGATATAGTCATTATGGGTGATCGGCCTGCAAAGTAGCTTGAACGGAATCCAGTTATTATATGTTGTTTTATATTCGGTTTTAGTACTAATGAAGCGGATCTCCGTAACATGACAGCCTGGTGCGATGATGCAATTGAGGTGCATCAATTTCCATGTCACTGTAAATTCTAAGTACTAGAGCGTTAGGGCGGCCCGCGGTGCCGGGATCTGAGATAGACCAGCCCTAAAGAAAAACGTCTGTATTTAATTGGCTCACTTTCGTTCGAACACTTTACAACTTCCAGGCGCTTGCATACCACATGTTCGATTGTCTATACTACTGGCAATCTTTCATCTCGTAGCACCTCAGATGAGTACGGTCCACCCTTTGGCCGGTCGTCCTAGCTTTCTCGGATGTTTCGGTCACCAGGTGTACCAACAGTTGAAAATTTTTGCCGAGATACACAATCTAATATTATAATATTGTCTTAGTGCATGATACCCTCCGACTGAACACAGACTAAATTTACTGCCCACTACTACTTATAGTGGGATTCGGAATCGCTATGCCCATTTTCTCCGGGTGACCAGGCGGATCATGCGGCAGATATGAGAGTGCACCACGCTCTTCGTATCGTTTGCGAAATCAGGCAGCACAACGATCCCACGGACAAACACGAAAGATTATTTGTCAGCCTGTCTTCTGTAGTCACTTGCAGGTCATCGGAAGCCCATTTGACTGCTGTGACAAGGTATGCAATGCAAGGGTGCTCAGAACGAGGGGCGCTCAGGGCCAACTTTTTGACGTAGCCTGACTCGCACGATGAATAGACCCATCGGCAAGTTCAACAACTTCCAGCTGTCAACATCACATGTCACATCTAATGATTCCCGCATTGTCTGCTCTCATGGATCCGAAATATCCTGGTGTTGCCGAAACAGTCCCATTAGGGTACCTCATGGTACATGGCTCTCGTGGTTGGTTGATAAAGACCGACCTTGCGGCAAAGTTCTGCCCCGCCTCTGTCAGCCCCGTACACTACCCCCTGTCGGTGGATACAGCTGGCCGGATCGTTTTCGCGGTTGCAGTCGTGCAACAGGACCTGTACTCCGTGTCTAGGCTCGTTAACAGTAATTTTAAACGGAACGAGAGGTACGGGGCGGTAGGGGTAGCGGCAGCCCCCTGACGAGGGCCTTCGCAGGCTCGAAGCCGCTAATTCCACCCCGCTCTATAGCCTCCCTCTGGCTGAGGTAACAGACCCTTATTCTTAGGAGACGGGCGCCTGCAGCAAGGGCTAAGGAGGTGGTCAGACTCGATGGCGCTCTGCTGGACGCTTCTGACATGGGCTTCGCTTCCCTGTCAGTTCGCTAAGGCAGTGACGCGTGACGTGTGGAATCTGGCACGACGAGGTACATACCCATGTGTTCCCTGGCAGAACACAACGATCAACTCATTCTGCGTTCGGCGCAAGTCCATATTTGTCTGCAAACACTCAGCGATCATGAACGATTTCTGGCATGATGGAAGGGAGGAGGATGCAATGATATGATAATAACAACGAATCTAAGCGTCGAGAGCTTGCGCTTGCTTCCATACGTGATCGTTTGAGTATGCGGTGCTTTCATTTCATGTCAATATGGTCCTACTAGACAATAAATTTAAAGTTCCTCGACACTAATTTGAACGCCGTAGTTCAAATGTACAATAATGAGCACCAATCCAAGAAATGACAGATGGATACGGTTACATGGATATCTTAATGTCATCAAATTATGAGAGGGTAATCATATCCAATGGTTGCTTATCTTCAGGCTTGCAGTTAGATCTCCGGAGTGCCATTGTACTGTCCAGGCCGCGACTGTTGGGAAAGCACATGTGACGGTATGGATGGATTCTGGTATATGTTGCTAGACCCAGTGGTCAGGATGGTGGGGGAGGGAGGAGAACCTGGGAAAGTGGACGGGTCAGAGGGGTCCTGCGCAAGGAGATGAGTATCGATATATCACAAAATGATGAGAAACATACGTAAAGACGTGGTTGCGTCATTTGGGTTTGTCCTGCGAATGGAAGAGGGTTAGGGGAATAAACACTTTGAGTGTTGTAGCCCGGACCCCCGCCAATGTCGCTGAAGGCGGCCGATGGCGCTGTAGCAGAACGACGGCGTTTGATGAAGAACCATGTCGCAAGACCTATGATGAGTGCAGCTCCTACAACTCCACCCACAACACCCCCAGCTATAGCTCCAGCGTTTGAACTTGTCGAGTTAGTTGGTGATGATGTTGGTGATGAAGATCCTGCGGCCGCGCCCGAAGAACTGGTCAAAGCAGACACAGTGCTCGAATAAGTGACTGAGCCAGTAGATTGTACTTTTGTTGCGCTAGATTCCGGGGTATCTGTAAGAAAGTAAGTGAACAATGTTTTCTAAGATGGAAAAATTACAGCCGATGCTAACCTCCGGCGGCTTGCGCTGCGACAGGGTCGAATCCCACAGAGGACTTTAGAGAATTAGATTATGATAATTGCGATAGGTGGCCATGCACTAACGTTCACGGACAGGTACGCCCAATTCGGAACCAAGGTGCCAGACGGGATGTTATTTGGATACCTGTCGACCGAGTGGATATTAGAAAGCTTAGAGAACATAAATAGTATTGCGGACTTACGTTTGGATGTATACCTCGCTGCAATTGTAGCTCCAGGAAGACCAGCTACGAGGCGATAAGCACTCTGTGAAGTCGAGCATACTCGAATACGACTCACGGTAAATACGTGGCGTTCTGACAATCGCCGCAAGCGCTAACCAGGGAGTAGGTCACTGTGTTGCATTCGCAAGCGCTGGCTTCAGCGACCGTGGGAGCTGCATAATGGGTGTCGGGAGGTAAAGGACTGATTGAAAAAGCTGTGCTAGAATTAGTATGGATATACAAGGGATACAAAGAAACGAAAACTGCGTACCTCCACCTGTGCAGACGCCCTCAAGGTAGGAAGCAACCTCGCAAGGGTTCTGTTGGAGGCTGTTGTTCATCTGTAGATCAGCCAGTGATGCATCAGAATATGTATCGTAAAGGTAAATAAACAAAGAATTACCCAACCAAAAGAGGACAGGCATGTTACAGTCGACGTCTGGGCAAAGGCACCTCTGGGTACGAGTGCTGCCAGGACCACTATCAACGACCATGCCTTGGGGGACGACGACATAATAGATCGAAGGAGAAAGGGTGGAGAAAGGGCAGAAGCCTTCAAGTTACATATAGTAGCTAGGCGCTTCGTTCCTTATGGCTGTTCGACGTGTCGGGTGCATTAACATTTGCCAAGAACACTAATTGATTGAACACAGCTTTGAAAACGAGGGCCGTTTCAGGTTTTTTTTTCGATAACTCTCCGTGCCGTGCGTTTATAAGCTTAAAGGCCCACATGCTCGCTGGTAATGTCCGTTTCCCTGTCCATGGAAGCTCGGGTTTGGTCCAGGCTGCAATCATTCAAGGTCTAGGTCAGGGTCGGTGTCGGACCTTAGAGCACTAGCTTAATTAGTCAGGTACTCGAGTACCTAGTACCAAGTACTTCGTCAGGATCTTCCAACGCATTTGGGATGCTAGACTCATGGTATCAAAAATTATTACCAGTACTTCTGACTATTCGACAGCTGGCCGTTTACCTCAGACACCAGTCTATACTTTTCCGACCACTGAATGTACGTTGTTCCTGTTTATTATGTAATAATTTTATGTACCTTCCGACTGCAAGACATCAATCTGTTGTCTGAGTCACCATCATGGCTTTTACATGAACATGTCCCGTCAACTTGAAGTGTCTTTATCAAAATGGCCTCTGGCCTGTTCTCCTTCACAATCTGTTGCTGCAGCTATGGCACATCTCTTGGCACATTCTTGGCAATTCCGACATCCTAGGAGTAGTCACCATCGCCTTCGAGGGGTCATGCAACGTTATCTCAAATGCATCGTTCATGCACATATCGTCGTCTTCTTCAACATCATTAATCATCATCTATCGTCACTTGTGTCACCTCATGACTTAATGGACGGACAGGACACCCGGGACACGATATAAATGTCGTCCCGGACTTCCGTATTTATGGCAATGTTATTTCTTTAGGTCTTAAGTCATATCGGGCTGCTCTTGCAATATCCGGGGAAGAATTTTCCTCTAATAGGAACGATTGTATTATCGATGGTCACGCGTTTTACACGAGTTTTATGCCAGTTCTATGAAGTACGTCGTGGACTGTTTTCGATTTCCCCACTCTCGTTGTCTAGGATCAACCTTTGGTCGAACATATGCTGAAGTAGCTCGTGCACATTTCATATTGTGACGACTTGTAAGTGCACCATCTCAATAGTGTCCAAATACTTACAGTCTTCACGCCGTGATGTTCTAATGGTATTTGTCACCTTTTTATAAGACTTACCGTACTGATCGGGTTACTGTACAAGCATATGCATGTGCTGGAGAGCGCTCGCGCTAGCGAGTCATTGTGGGTTACAAAGGGAATGCGACTTGCTCAGCGATCAGCATCGCAAACTTTATTTCTCGTAGTACAAGTCACACGAAATAGACTCGATTCATGGGCCATCGCGATGCTTGACGAAGGCTTGTACGTTTACAGCACAATCATTAACGAAATGTTTTTGTAGCCAATTCAAAGGCTCACGCACTGCACGAGGGGATGAGATGAACTGATGTATCATAGAATCATAAAAAACATACATAGAGACGTGATTGCCGCGTCATCGAAAATGTATTAGTGTGAGTAGAGTAAAAACTTCGACTGCGGTCCGGACCTCCACCTATGTTGAAAGCGGCTGATGGTTTTGAGGAGAGATGACGTTTGGCAAGGAACCAGATCACGAAGCTTATGATGGCTGCACCTCCTATAACTCCGCCAACAACACCCCCAGCTACAGTTCTAACGTTTGAACTTGTTAAGCTACTAGTAGATGTTGATGACGGAAAAAGTCCTGTGGCTGCGGCTGAAGAACTAGTCAAAGAGGCGTACACAGTGATGAACGAAGCAGACAAAGTGGACAAATAAGTGACTGTGGTAGTGGTAGTAGATGGTACATGGGTTGCAGTAGATTCCGGGAAGTCTACAAAAAGTGAGTGAATTGGCTTCTTGTGACACAGAGGTAATGCCCAAATCCTGACCTCCGTTGTTTAGCGCTGCGATAGGGTCGAACCCAGCAGTCACCTTCAGAAAAAGTTAGATTTCGACAGTTGGGTCAAGTGAATATGCACTAACGTTCAAATATGCCCAATTCGGAACTTTGGTACCAGCAGGAATGTCCATCGGATATCTGTCAATCAGGTGTATTAGAGAAGCCTGCAGAATATCAACAACCGTGCGGACTGACAATCCGATGGATATCATGGAGCAGTTGGAGCACCAGGAAGACCAGCTATAGAAAACAAGGGCCTCGTGAAGCTGAGCATACTTGATACAACCTGAGTACCACTCACGACAAATACAAGGTATCCTGACAAACGCTGCAAGCGGCCAACATCGAGTAGGTTACTGTACTACATGCGCAAGCGGTTGTTCCATCGCCCGAGGGAGCTCCATAAAACCAACCGGGAGACAAAGGACCGACTGTAAAATCTGCGCCAGAACTAGTATACAAGTTTAAGGCATACTCAGAAACGAAAACTGCGTACCTCCACCCACGCAGACGCCCTGGAGGTAGGAAGCAACCACGCAAGGGTTCTGTTGGAGGCTGTTGTTCATCTGCAGATCACCCGATCATGCATCAGGATATATATCGTAAACCTCGAAAAAGATATTACCCAACTATCAGAAGATATGCATGTCGCAGTGGACGCCTGCGCCAAAGCACCTCTGGGTACAAGCCCTGCTGCTACCGAGACCACTATCAACGATGATACCCTGGAGAGCGACGACATGATAGAAGGAAGAAAGGTGGGAAAGCCAAAACAGGCTGGAGCTTTCAGGTTACATACATATCGTAGTTAGGTGCTTCCGTTATTGTCGTATAAATAAGAAGTTCATTACTCACTCATATCAGTGGGCGTCTGCGCAAAGCTACCTCTGGGTACAATGTTGCCACAACCACCATCAACGACCATGGCTTGGCTCAGAGTGACAGCATGATGGATAAAAAGAACAAGGATGGGGAAGGCGAATTGGACAGCCTGACTCGGACTAGGAAGCCTTCGAATTATGGCACTGATTGTTACCTCTAGCAGTTAGACGCGATGCCGTGCGTGGCGGTAGTATTGTGAACAGAACTGTCAAAAATTGCTGCATTTTAGTTGACGTGAGACCACTAGATGGTGAGTTGAATGAATTCCTTGCAAAGCTGTATTCTGTGACCACTGGCACTACTCTGTCCAAGGCAAATTCTCCGTGCCTTGTTTTTCCCTTACAGATATACTGTAGTCGAGCGAACTCAGCATTGATGTTGTCAAAACCTGTCCCGAGCTACTTGGAAACCTCAGTATCAAAGTTGGCTTTATGAACCTACTTTCGACAAGGGAATTGAGAAGACAGCCTCCAGACTTGAACATCGTGGAGAGCCTGTAGTACGTCCTGAGTTCTGCCACATTCTGCCCACAATACTATGATGGTCCGCCTCAATTGCCAAGCTTGATTAGAAATGACGGACTTGGTGTTCTCGATAGTTCGAACCGTCGAACGCCTCCATTCCAGCAAGTAGCTTAAAGAAAGGCCCACCACTGGTAATGACCATTTCCCGTAACGACAGATCCGTTTTCGAGCATGATCAAGTCTACTTGGCTCGGATCCAATTCGTGATCCGTAATGATCTGATGAGAAGTCATGTCAGATGATCGTCCAGCAAAAGTAGGGTGGTGAATCATGTGACATGTCTCTCATCCGTCACCCGTGCGAATATCTGACTAAGACTATACAGTTGCCAGCCACCGCAAGGTTCCAAAGTTGTCTCCGCCAAGGCCTACAGCGCCGACAATATCCTCAAAACTCCTCATGGCCCCCTCGACAACGTGAGTCTGCCAAGTTTCTGAATGGTTAACAACTGTTTACATATTTGCCAGGGTTCCTACAGTCTCGGTTCGTCCATATACTCGCGATCTGTATGATATCCATTAACTTCTGCTACAGGACATCGAAGTTCCGGAGACCCTCCTTAAAAAGCGCAAGCAGAACGAAAAGGCACGGGAGGAGCGCCTTGCTGCTGCTACTGCCGCACGGAAGGTTCGTGGCAACTTGTTAATTACGGCCTTGCTCTATATATGATGCATACGATTATTTCGAATGAATGGCTAGTAGGATTCGTTCTGCAGTGCCGCCTTCAAATTAACCATCTTTCGGGACTGATCTTTTTACTTTCCAATTGCTCCATTTTCGATAGCATACTGATTTCTGTTTCAGGCATCAAAGGCAAAACGCAAGGTTATCTTCAAGCGGGCGGAGAGCTATGTCAAGGAGTACTTGTCAAAGGAGAGGGAGGAGATCCGATTGAAGCGTGCTGCCCGGACATCCGGTGACTTCTACGTTCCCGCAGAAGCCAAGGTTTACTTCGTCGTCCGTATTCGTGGGTACGTGCAGTTTCCTTCGGGATCATTCATTCTTCTCATATCCGCGCAGTATCAACGAGATTGCACCCAAACCCCGTAAAATCCTACAGCTTCTTCGCCTTCTTCAAATCAACAACGGTGTTTTTGTGAAGGTCACCAAAGCTACTCAGCAAATGCTCCGACTGGTTGAGCCCTACATTACATACGGGTAAGTCGACCACTTCGTGGATCTTCATGGAAATTGATAAGTTCCCTTAGCGAGCCAAACATCAAGTCCGTCCGCGAACTCCTTTACAAGCGCGGTTACGGGAAGGTCAACAAACAACGTATTCCCCTGACCAACAATGCCATCATCGAGGAAACCCTCGGCAAATATGACATTCTCTCCATAGAGGATCTCGTTCACGAGATCGCTACTGCCGGCCCCAACTTCAAGCAGGTCAGCACAATAATGTCATCAACATTTTCTTTTGCTGACAGATTGGAACAGGCATCTAACTTCCTCTGGCCGTTCAAATTGTCGAACCCTAACGGTGGCTGGAGGACGCGCAAATTCAAACACTTCGTGCAAGGTGGTGACTTTGGTGACCGAGAGGCCAACATCAACAAGCTCATCCGCCAAATGAACTGAGCGTGTTTTTTTATTGTGGTCCGACGGAGGGGTAGTGGCGGGATGGAGTAGTCGCAAGGTATGCTTGGCATGAAATTCATCATGTTCCTCTATTTTTGCCATGTATGCACTATGAAAACGCGTATGGATTTCTTCCAACACTTCAGCATTCAATTGGCATGATGAGACTTGTATTATTCTACGTTGTTGTAATGCAGATCAGGTTAGTGGAGTTCGCGCCCACATGGAATTACCACAGTCCCAGTTCCAATTCATGAGGATGTCAATTCGACGAGATAACACAGCAGCGCATTCTATTCTGGGATGGCTTTACAACGAACTAGTACTCCCCAGGACCCAAGTGAAACCTCTCGTCAAGTAAACAACATCCTTCGTAATTTGAGGTGCGCTGCGGATGATGACAAGAGATCGAACGAAGCAACCTCATTTCTTCGTCCAGAGGAGAACATTTTCGCCACTCACGCAATGTGCAGCGTGTCCCAGCCAGCCTACCCACGTCGTTACATGTCAATAACCTCCCAACCCTTCCGATCAGCCTGATCTATCCTTCTCCAGAAGACGGCAAGCGGAATGCAGCTCCTCCTTCAGGGCACCATTCTACAAGATCCGTCCGAGTCGCAGGACCTGATCCACCTCGCAGCTGGACAACCCTTTCGTCTCCAAGGATCAGGGAGGGGGACTTGGCGGGCGTCAACTTCCCTGCTTGGCGCGAACATGCCCTCGACCTGGTGTTCTCCTTTGACAACGCGTCAGTGCGCCCATCAGATACTGGTGCATCTCTTCGTAGCGTTCGGACGGGCGAGTTCCCTACACTTGCATTACTATGCCTTCATGTTATTCGCATGGAATGTAGCGGATCTGAGTTGGCCGAAATCAGGCCCTATATCCCACCTCACCTCCGTCGCGTCTTAATGCGTCACAGTGCAATAAACTGTCCCCTCTCTCTAATGGAGCTGAATGCAATTTGCGGAGAAGATAGGCATGCAGACGGAGAGCTCGTAGTCGTTGGGCCGCACGCTACATTGTGTAGCGACCATTTCCGGCGCATACATTCCTCAAGAGAGTCGATGCCTGGGGGATGTACAGCAGTGGAGGATACGTGGGACTCCCTTGCAACAGAGGGGAGCGAGCCTAGTACACTCTTCTGTCTTACACTACTGTCCACGTCGGTAACCTTCGGCTTGAGCGACCTCCCGCCCACGATCACTTGCCTCTCACTCATAAATATCACTTTTAAACCAGCGTCCTTTCAACGACTTCCATCGTACTGCCCTCTGGTCTCATTGTTGGACCTGTCTTACAACAATTGGCTCGTGCCAGCATCAGGGGAGAAGCTACTACAAGATTATCCGTGGGCGAAATTGCGCTTACTTGAAAATCTTGGGGTTACGAGGGTGTTGTATTACATCGTCACTTCTGTCGCAAGTCAATAAAGGTCGATGGGATGACGTGAACGTCATTCATTGACATATAATATACATAAATTGAACCACATAGGAAAACTAGACTATAGATTCCTGATGGGTATAGGAGTCTGAGTGGAACGTAAATAAAATCATACCCGGGCATCGAGGAATGAGCCCAGATCAAACGGAGGCAAGTACTGCATTCCATATTAGATCTCGTAGACAATATATTACTACAATAAAACTTACCTCAACACTACTAGTCAATTTCTTCTCTCCTGAAGTTGACGCACTTTTGCTAGTAGGTTTTGGTGGGAGGGTAACTCCTGCAGGTCTGCTAGAGCTTGTGGGAACTTTGATATGCAGTTCACTCAGAGCTCCCCAGAGAGCAGAATTATATCGCACTGCAACTTCCATATGAGATACGGACAGTAGATTGCTGTGATCTGAGAAATAGGTCTTAGCGTACGGTACTGGCATGTGAGGAAATACAACGCTCACAGAGTATTGCACGGTTTATCTGGTCTGCGACACATTCCCGTCTTGCCTGGTCAAGATATTTGGACATAGGGCTCATCTCTGGCACCTTATATGCGAGGAGGCCGCCAACATTCTCGAGCTCCTTCAAATAAGTTGCTCGGTCTTCCGGCTTCCGTAATAGTTCCACTAACGCATAGAGCTTCTGCGCATGCAGTATTAACTCTGTCTGATAACGCTCGTCAGCCATGTGATCAAAGTCGCGGGAGAGATTGGTCGTGTGTCCTGGTGTTGCTATAGATGTGATCCGATGGTGCGGAACATAGGGAAGAGGGATTGTTCGGCAAGCTTCGATGAAAGCATGGATACGGAGATTGAGCGAAAGTAGTGTCGGGTCCAAAACAGTACGGGAGGTGTACTCTATACGGTCAGGGGAAGAATCGACAGAAGACGACGTTTCTGAGGAGGGTACGCTTGTTGAGGCAAGAACACTGGGGAAGTGCTCGTTGAGGAGGGCAGTAGCTTCATCGATTCGCCCCGAGAGAATTTCTATTCGTACTTCTGGACAAAAAGATTAATATTAACAGGACTCCACCGAGAATTCAGCGCACCTTCACGACGCCGTATCCTCCGGAGGCCTTCCTCTGTTAGGTCCGCTGAGGTCCCTTGTAACCTTCTGTCGGACGACGTAATTTCATCTCCATCTTTGTCGAGGTGCCTCACGGCGGTATCCCTAGCGAACGCCTGCGCAGTCTTGGTGTAACAATTATGACAGAGATAATCGAGTACGAAGGCACGCTGTAGAGAAGAGCAAATTCAGTCACAACAAAGTTCTTGGCGGATCGGAACGCACGAGATGATCAGGTTGTGGTTCTGCGAATTGTTGGTTGCTAACTGGTGGAGACGGAGATGGGATGCACAATGCAGGCGCTGGGCTCCTAACGATGGAAGACATGAAGGAGTTCAAGCGATGCTGCTTGTCATGAGACACAAAATTAAGAAGGCACTGCGCCGCTAAAAACAGGACTACTGGTAGGCACTGGAATATATCTCAACCACTCTAAGAGTAACTCTTACATGCGTGTATATATGTTCAACATTCAACTCGCGGGATCTCTGTATAATACATATGTTGGTATAATAACTCGAGCCTTGTGCAATTAAGGTGTTAAGGGGGACGTGAACCGGGGCTCCGAGTCCTAGAGTGCCGTACAACGCTTGCTCTTCTTCCACTGTAGTACGAACCAGAAAGGGCATCTCCTCCCAATAAACAAGCTTGCTCTTCAGCGAGGGAAGCTCTGTGTGCAATTGATGTACCACGGCCTCGCCGACGCGGAGGCTTCCCTCTGTAAATATAGGATTGAGATACAATCGTGACATCAAAGATAAATGTGCCGCCACTTCCAAGCAGGTATCTAGAAGGTCATCAATAACAAAATGAAACAGATAAGACAATGAACTCACGGGATGCTCTCCTTGAAAAACTTAGTTGATGCGGGTGGAGGCATGTGTGCCTCTGGAGATGTCAATATCGAGCAGACATAGAAAAAGTTGCCAAGGAAAGCGAAGACAAAGAGATACACTGAGAGTCCTTCAACAGACTTTCTGGCATACTGGAGAAGTCATTTAGAGGAATGTATTCGAACTAGAACAAAGAATAAACTCACGTTCTTCCATATCTGAGGAAGCCGGGAAGTCAAATATAATGAGGTACACAGCCAGGCGAATATTCGGCCAATAACGCGTTCCGCCGATGGGGAGTCTTCTGATGATTGAGAGCGCGACTCGTTCTGGCTAAGTGCCAGAGGGAATTTGACGGTCACAACCCCTGCATCTGATGATGACACATGGTAGGCCGTGTCGTGCGAGGACGCTGTCAATGGATGTGGTACATCAACCTCATCTACCAGTACCTGTCCGACGCTGTCACTCCTCTCTACTAAAGATCTGGAGTGAGCGTTGGTTAGAGCTCCAACACTAAACAAGGCCCCAAATCCAAGCAAGACCATACTTGCCCCACGTCGACTCGCACGCGAACTGGCCCTATGGCCACTCGCCGTACGCGAGCTGGACTGCTCAACCTCAATATCTTCCGCATCTGCCATACGCTGCTCTGAACGACCCCGGGAAAATGCTGCGAACTCGCGCTGAGGAGCTGTAATTTGCAATGACGTTGGAACGACCGGCTGGCTTCGAGCACCCGGTTGATGATCGTGGCGTTCTTGGCTCCATGAAACGCGTTTCCGCCCAGAGTGAAAACTTTCTGAGAGTGCTGACAAGACTGCACCATCAACCTCATCCTGTGCTTCTTCGACGACCTGGGGTGGTGTGTCATCGAACGACTCGTCGACGACGACATGCTTTCGTGTAACACGATGTTCAGGATGTGATTCAGAGAATGCACCTAATGCTGCTGCTGCGGCAACATCCCCTGCGACTGTCGATAGTGTACGATAGTGTGATGCGTCTAAGGAGAGTCGACGAGCAGTGGATATGGTTCGTGACCGTGTGCGTACGTACACCTCGGATAGCGTTTCTGGTTTCCAGCCATAGTAGAAGTATTGAGCCAGCAACGAACAGTCCACTATGCAAAAGTAGGTCGCAAGATAAGTCTGAAAGCGAAAGCAAGTCACTATCGTTCAGACACGGTATGAACATCAGTAGCTCACCTGGAAGGGAAGCTGGTGAGTGAGCAAACATCCGACTAAATTCGAAAAGTCGCCTAGAAAGCAACATCAGCGGATGGCGAATTGATCGATAAGGATGAATCGTACCGAGCATCCAATTGCACAAGAACGGTAGCGCGAGGCCCTCACACGACCGCCGTTTGTGATTTTCAATCACCTGTCTACGATGGCGAATATATGGCGCAATCCATCGTCAATTTCACCAAGTGCAACGTAAGTACTGATCACTCACGGAAATTGGGCACCAAGCCAACATGCTATAGAAGTATAACCGAGCAATTCGCTGAATTTTGCTGTAAGCAACATCCTCGCTATTGGGCCCACTAGAACTTGAAGGTACGAGGATAAAGATGGGTTACGACAAGTCGAGCGCCGTAGATTACCTCCAGTTGGTTCACACACGCTAGTGCGTGGCGGCCTTGTTTGGATGTAGGTAACTTAAATCGTATCCTTGTGAGAGTGTGTATGACCAACCCTCTCTCCGTTTCAGTCATCCTCTGGCATCCGACAATGAACATGATGCTGCAGAATGCATCCAGCGATAAATATAAAATTTACTCGGGTGCATCACAGGCGCCTACTAGTAACATGGGCGCTCAACTTTCTGAAACCTGGCAAGTGACCCTCTAAACTGGTAAGTATTGAACCCATAATTTCCCGAATGTGAATTTCACTGATTGCCAAGTACCAACGTCTAGATAGGTAGAAAATTCTACCTCGGAAACTCTCGAAGTTATCAGTGACTGATGACTACTTCCCTGGAAGTCCGATTAAACGATACAGGACTCAGTTTCTACACTTTCGGATCAACTCATCGTTCCCGTTATCGATGGCGATTATGCTGCTGGATCTGACAATGTCCCAGAACCTATCTTCATTCGTCCCTGTTTGGTGTAGGGCTACGGCGAGACCGTTACCATAGCATGCCGCATCATATGCATGAGTCTTGAGCTTGATTTGCGACTAGCTTTGCCACGGTCCCTTGTCGCAGGCACATACTAACGCGGCCTAGTTTGTTTTACACAAGTCTTACCAGATTCTAAACTCGCTCTGACATTCAAGTGGACCTCTAGTGACTGTTAGCCACGTACACTGGTAAGTACTTGAGCTACACTTCTTTGCTGCAGTCCTGATCTCAATCACTAAGCATCATCATGATAGCTGCCTCCCCCAAAGTCCACCCGTCTGGTTCATTTAAACCAACCACTGCGGACATCATCAAAGTCAAACAATACTTCAAGTTATTTGCCATCCCACTTCCAGATGAACTCATCGATGACATTATCGATGCTGCCTCTTATTGGGCACACACGTCTTTAACAGTGGAGGGTTGTACTGTTGCCCGTGCCGGCGCAGACAAAATGTACATGCGTACATTGCCTCTTGCAGTGTACGGCACAGAAGGAGACTTCCTCCTCGATAAAGAAAATTTGCAGGGAGAAGTGTTTGTGCTTGGTGGGCTACCTCCGACTGAGCTGGAGTGCGCTCCCCCGACACGTGCTAAACCTTTTCGCATGATCGAGTTTCAACTATGGAGTCACGATCAAGGCTGGGGCGGTGATCATGATTGTCAAGGAACGTACAATGGCGCTTACTCCTGGTTCGATGCCAGTGTGGAGAGACTTGACTCCATGTCATATTTCACGAGAAGCATCGAGTGGCCCTCTTCACTCCTCTTCACCGCAGCTGATGCACAACGTCTGACAGACAATGTCACGTATGTTTGCCCCGCTGATGCGCGACCTTCGATGACTAATCCAGTTTCTCCCTCAGATTCATTCAAAAAGACATCAAGCAACCATTTTTACCTCCTCCTTCAACTCTCCAGAAAAATATTGTTGCGGAAAGGCAAACGACACACCATGTCATTACTTGGACGGACCTTGATGATGTCAAAGAAGGTTCACCCGAAGCGATTGCAGCTGGAAATAGGGGACAGGGATGGAAATCATACGATGGTAGCTTTATACGTGACTTGCAGGTCGGCGACTGCATTACTTTGTGGATGAGGGCTCGCTTCCCAGGCTGGAAGAATGAAGCTATGAAGGCGAAGATAACGGTCTTTTGGGCAGTATAGGCTGATCTACTGGTTGGTGTCAAGAAATGTGGACGAACAACTCCTTGTATGACATATATTTGTACATTCGATATGTATCATCTTTCCACACGTACAGGAGATTTCGATTAAGAGGCCCAGGGTAACTCCCTCGTCCAGTGGGTCCAGTTGCCTAAAGAAAAGAACTGTTCTCAAATTTGAACATATTAAAGGGGAGACCCGAGAATATATTAGATGAGAGACCTGGCACTGGAACCAGCATAGAAGCGGTCCATCTTCACATCCGGTAGCGGGTGATCGCTTGTCCCTTTTAAAAAGTGTCAATGCCACATCATCGTAAGTATAAAAGTACCCTACCAGCATGACAGTACGGAATTCCATCCTCCTTGTGTCCCCACCACATCACAGGCGACCACTCGTCCACGAGGTTGGCAAGCGTCTGCACGTGGCCATATGCAGCAGGCTGGGGACCGGACGGTCGGCGCAGTGCGACGAAAGTGAAGAAGAAACAGGCAAATATAAAGAGCGCAATGCATAAGTTCCAGATCTGCAATAATGTGAGAACGTTGTAACAGTTTTACATGGGCATCAAGGGCGAACCTGGGCAGTGAACATTGATACCCACAAAACCATCACGTTCTTGCTATCGGCGACGCGAGTTATGATGAATGAAAGCCCAAACATCCAGTCTGTGATCGTCAAGGATAGGGTTCAATAACACCGACAAAAATAGGCATGAGACTCACGCAGAAAAGGCTTCGCGAGGAAAAGTATGAGACAGATCGGATGAGTGAAAAGCGGCTTCAGCGGGTTCGTCGCCACTCTGAGTCCTTTCCTTGAGGTAGCACATCTCCACTGTGTTTCATCTCGAATGACATTCATGATGAGCTCTGAGCAATGCAGTCCAAGCGTCAACGGTCCCTGGATACCTGCGGTGACGACAAAGAGCAGAATCCATGCCTCGAGATTGACACTTGGCACATAATATGTGATGTTATTGGACTGCCCATTCCGAAAGAACGACCAAGTTTGTAGGGTCAGTGGGGGAGAATAAGATTCGCCGAAGTGGTTCCAGATATAGATGACGAGTGTAGCCCATCCAGCGCATGCCGCAACGATGACCCAAAGAGAAATGACAACTTTCCGGATGCTAGGGTGAGCATGCCACGCAGAGGGTTGTGTCTCTGGTGGCTTTGCTGGACCTTCATCCACGTCTAGGTCAGACACACGACGCATGCACCGGAAAGTAGCAGGGGTCAATTGCGTGTGGTGGACTAGTGCTGCGGTCAAGTCGAAAGGTGAGGAGCTCCACGTTAAGATCTTGACAGCCCGCATCCCTGACAGTGCGATCATCACCTGGAGGAGGAGTGCGACGCCCAAAAAGAGGAGAGGTAACCCTGCGATGGAAACACCGTCACCAAATAGTGCCTGAGTGGGTAGCATGTTGTGAGAGTCCGGGCATACGATGAGTGTGGCTGAGGTGTAGGATATAATGAGGAGGACAGCCGAGATGCCGTTAAGCAGGGCACCATTTGGGTTATACCATCCACGAGCTGCGGTCAGAAGGCGCAGATTGGTGTTGAAACGAAGCCGAGACTCTGAGGCTAGCGCAGAACGCAATGAGATGCCGTGTACGAAGCCTACGGACTCGGTACATAGCGTGACGATGGAGTACAGTATCAGGGTCAACATCTCCTCCTGCAGCAGCACTTGAGTATCATGTTCCTTAGGATCGACAGAGTTGAACCGGTTGAGCACGGTTACGCCGGAGACTCCGTGATTGGCTAAAGTGACGATACCTGCAACGATGCATAAGCAGCTGAAGATACTTGAACATGCGACTCCGACGAGAGCATATCTGCGACTCGTTAAACCACGGTGGTAAAAATCGACTCCAGTATCAGTGGCCTTCGCATCAGATATTATCGGGTGACCTGGGAGTGGGTCATATGAAAGAAGGCTGGACTTGGATGGATGACAATTTTCTTCCGTCAGTTTAGAAGAAGCTTCCATGGGACAGAGAGAAAGGAAGGCCAGGACATTACAAGACACGCAGATTAAAATATATTTCGCTTGTTACCACAGCCCCTGGTGCATATCACTTGGTGATGGAAGAGCAATCGTGTGACACGGTGTTTATATGTATCTGGTTGCACCGTTGATCGCATCGCAGTGCACAGAGCGGCAATATTACTAAAGGTGCACGTTGTCAGGATGAAAGCCAAAGGCTAACCTCCTTGTGATGTACTGCAGACATATCTGTGCACAGTCTGGTTGCTGTTCAATTGATTAATTAGTAGCAAGGATGAGGTCACTCGGAAATCCAAGGGAAAAGGTTGAATGTACTATGCAGGTGTGGAAAGTGATATCGGGAAAAATGAGACATACATTCGGGCGTAACTTCGAGGTGATCGCTTTGGTGCAAACGACTGATGACCACTCCAATTAGATGTGACAGATGGGCCTGACTCTGTCAGTAGCGACCAAGGTCATTGACAGATGCTGAAATCTAGGGTGAAGATAGGCTCGCATAGCTGCTGAATCGAGAGGAAGAGATGCTTGCATTGATACTACATCCCTTATTTTGCGCATCTGTACCACCACGCAGAGCGCAAGTTTTGATGTAGAGTTTAAGTTGTATATCGCTCCAGTATGTAAGTATTCCCACGCATCAGCCCGAAGCCCTCCTTATGTACTTTCATGGCCATGGCGGTAGTAGAATTCGATCAGGCAGATGGAGAGTCCTAGGCCAGTATGAACACCTAGTCTTCTACAATCCCTGAGTTTGCCCTACATGACTATATACTATGGCCCCTAAGATCATATGGAAGTTCGTATCAGCCAAGCGGAGATACATGACTCGGCGCTGATTTGTTTGACTCGTACGGCTTCAACTTTGATACCCACTATGACATTTCACTGTGATCCTCTGTAGTTTGACTCTGCCATCTGCCGCGCAAAACCAGTTTAGCAGAACCGGCTGGCAGAATGGCGGACTTCTCCCCACAACACTCGCGGCATATGCTGATATGATTTGACTCCTATCCATTGATCAAAGGCGACCCTCTAGATTGTAAGTAAATGTTTTTCCTATCTAATTGAAGACTTTGGAGTCAACAGCCCGTGAGTATCAGCAATTTGCATCCTGAATTTGTCCACATGACTCACTGGCACCGACGCGATAGAACACAGTCGTCGATTATTGTGTGTAGTATGATTGATGCCACGATGCATGAGTAGTCCGTTGCAGAATAGATCATGATACTTCTGAACAAATTTTATCGCCGCTCGGGCGGTGGAGGTCTTGAATACCGTTCTGTCATTAATGTTAGATTTTCTCGCCATCCCACATATGCTAGATATCATAGTGAATAATCATCATCATCAGTACTAGAATGCGCAGGTTTGCTAATTGCCAAAAACCGTGGGCGGACCAACTTGAACTCATCGATGGCACACACCTCCATAACAATATCAAACGTACCCTTCTCCTTGCACTCTTTGTATCATATATATCTCTGTACGTGCATACCCTCGATGATAATTGTCTTCTATCACGTACATAGAGTCCAGAGGCTATCCAGATGCATGTCATTAACAGCCGATATCTGAGCCAAGACATCAGCGGAAGAACTGCATGTATTCTCTTGTCGACTGCAACACTATATGACGCGTACAACCTCGGAGCGACTCTCATTGTTTGATCCATCCTCTACATTGCTTGGAGCTACACTTACATAAGAGCGCGGTGGGCGACATCTTTCGCTTTTGCTTCCCAGTACCTTCAGCCATATCTTCGAGGGCGCTTGGTTCATAATCAATGGTGAGCTCCTCTCCTGCAAGTATGTCTCGTGCAGTGACGAATGCCACATAGGGCATGTGTACCTACACCAAAGTCTCGAGCGACAGCAAGAATTCTAGGTCATAGACAATTACCTCTCGAATGGTATCGAAGACGACCGAATAGACCTTCATACTGGGAGAGCATGAGTGACTGCACGTCAAATGATTAAATATCGACTATCACAAGTGCTAGGGCAGATGGTTTCGACTCACTTGACAAAGCGGGTCCAGTTGCCTGGAGATGGAAGTTTATTAAAACGAAGAAATCACGACATGGGGCATACCGTAGTCATAAGAATCGACCGAGAACTTGTCTCCTTCATTGTGCTGACCACGGACCTCTGTGCCATCAAGATCAAAAACATAACCAATGTGCTCCGGAGGAAGGTTGTCCACATCTTCCCGACGTCTATGAACTTAAGTGAGGGCCTGCAGAAGCCAGGATGAGAGAACCCACATCAGCGTCCTGCAATGAAGAATTCAGTACTTGGGAGTGGAGACATAATCATACGAACCCTGTGTATATTCCCATTACCTTTCCTTTTGGCAGTCCAATGGGGCAACGAGCACCCCAGCCGCACTGCTTTGTCTTGAAAATCTCGATCGGAATATCACGAGGTTTCTGAGCAACGCGATTACCACACATTGGACCACATCTACAATACTGTAATAACGTTAGTACGATCAGTGTATTGCCTCAGATGAACCTGTACCTTGTTGCACTCAATGACTTCAACTCCTCGCGGGATACAAGATGTAAAAAGTCCCTGTACAAGTTGCCAATACATTCCGGAACAGAAAGTGATACTCACCCCACTATAAGCATATAACTTGTACCCTCTTCCATTCGTGACCTCTGATTCTGACTGACAGTCGCATTGAGATGCTTTTTGACACGACGTACATTCACATGCAAGGAAAGCCCCTGGATCCACATTAAAAATTGACTGGAGACCATCATTATCACTAGTTCATGAAATGAAAAGAGGCCAACAAAATGAGAGACCAGAGGACACACAAATGATATGATCTCTCCATGTATTTGAATCTGTGCAGATGCTGTCCAACGTCACCATCTACGATCTCGTTGGAGATGCGTAGATCTGCAGCACCAGCTTCTCGTGCTGCTTGGTTCCAAGTACTTTGTAAGAGCGCTCGTCCGCGCCTGCGACACATAAGTAAAATAGACATGTAGGATTGCAAGATTACTCACAAGGGCTTCGCAGGGCGAACAAATATAACGTCGCCCTTCATAGCCGATGACGCGGGTTTTGACGTGCTGGCCTGACCAGATTTGACAGAGTGGTTTGTGATGACATTCTTGTATCTTTCTGTGGCGGCTTTGGATATAGCCCTAGGAGATTCCACTGTGCTTGTAGACAAATTGAACATCAAAGAGCGAAAAGCGTCATCCCCTATGGAAGGTGACCTCTTCCTTGCAGAAGCACCTCTTCTAGATGGGGGATTCGGAGGAGTAGGAACACGAGTGCGTTTGACAGAGGATAATCGTGCATCATATGATGGGGTAGAACGTGGGGTACTTCGGTGCACACGCAGGCGAGATGCCGCATTGCCGTCTTCGGCGTCGAGCTCATCTATGTGCCTGCGTACACGTTCTATTTCCTGGTCCCAGTGTGCTGCTGAGGGCTTATCGAGCCCTTTGCGTTTCTTCTCCTCGTATGCTTGTGCGCGCAGGAAGGTGAAACGCTTATGCACTGCGTCATCTGGCCAAGACACTTCTATGTCTAGACCGTCTTGAGCAAGTGCATTACGCTTATTATCCTGGTGTTTTTTCCAGGTATTTATCAAATCACTGCGATCAGTTATATCGGTTTGCCATGTTGTGTTTGTGCCATCCTTTCGCGACCAGTTTCCCCATCTCACCTGAAAGTGTTAAGTACAGATCATGTGTAAATTCCACTTAATGTGCCTACTTCATATCTAGTAGGCTTGTAAGCACGGAGACAGGTGGAATACAAGTGGGAATTACCTTGAAGTGCCATCAGGATCAACTTCCTCACCTACGACCCCCTTGATTGGCCACTCTCCATTCTCATTCCCGCCCTCCGCATCACTCCAGCTTTCCTCTGGAGAGGGAGACCGTTTCCACATGTCCATCATGCACCAAATTCACGACAGCGTCAAGGATAGTGTAAAGAATAACTGTCTTCCTTGGTATAAAGGTCTACCCTCTAGTAAGGATTATAGTATGACGGAAGCGAACGCGTGGTCCAAAATGATAGCGTGGTCATGTGACCGCTTAATCTTAGAGTACGCGTCCACACGCGACGGGTCGCGTCTTGACTTGAAGTTCGGACCCTTCGTCCTTCTTCAATTTCGCCCACCGTCATGTTCATGCTACGGCGCACCCCGACGACATCAGATGGGAAAACCGTAGATAGGTTACAAGAGAGTACGCGTGTGAACAAACCATTCAAACCCCCATCGCTTGTCAACACTTCCGAGCGCGTCCAGCCTCAGCGCAAGCGCAAGCGGGTTTCTTACAAAGACGCAGCGGCTGATGAAAATGACAGTGAGGATGACGACGCAAGAAAGAAGAAAAAGAAGAAGGCAGACAAGGACGGGACTTACAACGAGGAAGAGTTGAAAGCTGCTATCAAGACCTTTCCGGTGTACAAGCCCAAGCCATTCGATATGCTGCGCAGGTTCTCAATGCCCACTATGACGAACAAGAGTGGAGAAAAGGTGCACATTCTGCCTACCAATGCATCTCTGGGGATTCGTCCACCGACTAAGATCCCCCCTCGCCCGTTACATGATCCAATGGAGGATCATGCCATTGTCCTCTATGACCCTACGATCGATGACCGCGAAACAGACGAAGAGAAGAAGGAAAGAGAGAAAGAGGAAGCTAAAGAGAAGGCAGCCAAGGAAGCACAAGAGAAGACCGCAGGAATGTATAATCCGCACAAGAATTTACGGACGCTTCTGGGCGAGGACAAGGGCAATAAAGAGAAGACACAGAAAGTTCCCGTAGTAATTGATCCTAGACTCACAAAGGTTCTACGTCCACATCAGGTTGAAGGCGTCAAGGTGAGCATTTCCTATAGCGTGCTTTTGCTATACTCACTTTAACACGCAGTTCTTATACAAATGTACCACCGGCATGATGGTAGACAACCAGTATGGCTGCATCATGGCCGATGAAATGGGTCTTGGCAAGACCCTACAATGCATCGCATTGTTATGGACCTTGATTAAGCAATCCCCTCACGCAGGAAAGCCCACAATAGAAAAGTGCATTATAGCATGTCCTTCTAGTTTGGTGAAAAATTGGGCTAATGAACTTGGTGTGTTGTTCATCTTATAGTTCTTCCGAATCATCCCTCACCTTCTCTCAGTTAAATGGCTAGGGAAAGATGCCATCTCAGAGCTTGCAGTAGACGGCAAAGGTGGCAGAGGCGAACTCCATGAGAAGGTTGTTCGGTGGGTAGAAGCAACGGGTCGGAACGTTACACAGCCAGGTTTGTCGTTGACCTTAATGACGACCTGACGTTCATGTCTTTCTCAGTAATGATCGTTTCTTACGAAACCCTTCGTACTCTCACCGCCCATCTGGCCAACTGTAGCATCGGCCTCCTGCTTTGCGATGAGGGGCACAGATTAAAGAATTCCGGTAAGCTCACACACTCAAATTGGAGCACTATGAATAACGTGTCTTGTTTCAGGCAACCAGACATTTCAAGCCCTGAATTCGCTCAATGTCAAGAGACGAGTCATTCTTACTGGAACACCCGTCCAGAATGATCTCTCGGAATATTTCTCCCTCTTGAACTTCGCAAACCCCAACTTCCTTGGCTCCCGAGACGACTTTCGTAAAAACTTTGAGAACGCTATTATTCGTGGCCGCGACGCAAGTGCCAGTGCAGAAGTACAGGCGCAATGTGAGAAGAAACTCAAGGAACTTGGTGGTCTTGTTACTAAATTCATCATTCGGCGAACAAATGACCTATTGTCAAAGTACCGTGAGTCGATCTTGTTGCGCTGTTGCGGTTTTACTCCAATTACCGCGTAGTGCCGGTCAAGTACGAGCATGTCGTGTTCTGTGGACTTTCTGACTTTCAACTTGCCTTGTACCGCCTTTTTATCTCCTCACCCGAGATCAAGGCATTACTTCGTGGCACAGAGTCCCAGCCACTGAAGGCAATCAATATCCTCAAGAAGCTTTGCAACCATCCTGAACTGCTCAACCTGCCCTCTGACCTCCATGGTTCCGAGAAACTTCTACCCGAAGGTTATGGTGGCGCGGGCGCCACGGCGCGCGACAAAGGCAGAAACCAGACGGTGCGGTGTGACTGGGGAGGGAAATTCTTGGTCCTCGAGCGGTTCTTGCATCGCCTCAAGACAACTACTAATGATAAAATTGTGCTCATTAGCAATTACACGCAAACACTTGACTTATTTGAGAAGCTGTGTCGAAGCAAGAAGTGAGTCCATGAGGTTTGACGATGCTTTCAGTCTATGTTGACTTACGAATTAGATATGGTTTCTTTCGCCTTGATGGGACCATGACGGTTACCAAGCGTCAGAAGCTCGTGGATCAGTTCAATGATCCCAATGGGAAGGAATTTGTTTTCCTGCTAAGTAGTAAGGCTGGGGGATGTGGTATCAACCTTATAGGCGCCAACAGACTGATCCTTTTTGACCCTGGTCAGCATGTTCGACGTCCTTGTAATCTATTTAGACTGACAAGATCCGTGCAGACTGGAATCCTGCTGCTGATCAACAGGCTCTTGCACGTGTATGGCGCGACGGCCAAAAGAAAGAGTGTAAGTCTGGCACGCGTCTCTTTTCAGTGCATCGCTGACCACTATTATCATAGGCTTCGTCTACCGCTTTATCTCGACGGGAACGATCGAGGAAAAGATATTCCAACGTCAAGCGTCAAAACAAGCATTGTCTTCTGCTGTCGTCGACGAGAAGGAAGACGCTGAACGGCATTTTTCGATTGAGTCCCTTAGGCAGTTGTTCCTATTCAACGAGACGACTATTTGCGATACTCACGATACCTTCAAATGCAAACGTTGTAAGGACGGAAAACAAGTTATCAAGTCACCTGCATTGTTGTACGGAGATGCAAGCACGTAAGTCTGCCTCTTAAAATGGTATGCATACCCCTCACCTTCGTGCACAGGTGGAATCATTATACCAATGAGGAGCTAAAGATTAATCATGACGACCTACTCCGAGCTGAAGTAGGCTTACCTGAGATCTCCTTCGTTTTCCAATACATCAGTCACTAAGAAGGATATTGGGACTCCTGTGTTTCTGTTTGTCCGTATCTTTGTCGTGGACACTCATTGCTCGCCATTTGTAATACTACTTCACAGCACACATGATCATTATACACTACAATGGTACAGGTATTAGTGCAAGGACATTATACAAATGCTATGTTACAACCTCATCCCAGGCTCCCCAGTTGTCACCGACCTTTCTTACTTTAACTTTCTCTCCTGATTCACCGAAGTAGGCAGCCTTATACCACACCTTCATTTCGTCCTCACTGAAGGGCCCAAAAGTCTCCCCGGTAGACTGCCCAGGGATGTCCCATTTGTACTCATATGTGATGTCTGCAGATGGAGGCATCCAACTAGGTTCCACCCTTCCGCTAGAACGCACTGTGCGGACGAGTTCCTCGTATGATCGAGAGTAGATGTCAGTGTCACCGAGTGACATGAGGTTGGATGCCAGATGAGTAATAATGTCAATATCATTGAGACCCTTGGGTTTTTCTGCCACCTTGTTGACGGCCATAGCAGTATCATCTTTGACTTTCCTGAAAGGCAGGTAATGGAGTCAGCTGATCCTGAAGATGCTTGCTTGACAACGTACCTGGTGAAACGCGAATTCTGTTTCGCCTTTGCGCCTAATCGTTGGAGTGCCTCAAGCACTGTTTCTCCTTTCTTGAGCATTCCAACGAGCTGCATTTCCAAAGCGCCCTTTCCACCACTTTGCTCAAGTTCTATCTCCTCTGCCCTCATTTTTTCTCTTTGTATTCGTTCCTGCTGTCGCTTCCTCCGACGCGCCAGCTTGATTTCCTTGACATCTAGATCCTCCATCCACCGGTCGTGTACGGCGTGTGCGTCAAATGACCGGACATACGTGCCATCAGCAGCAAATTTTCCCTCTTCCATCTCCTCCCGCATATTGAACGAAGATAGCTCGAAACCCATGCCAGCCTTCTTCCGTCGTTCTCTTTCATCCTCGTCTTCAGGTTCATCATCTTCATCTAAATCTGAATCTTCGCCGTCGTTGAACTCCTGTCCTTCTATGTCCCCTAGGCGTAGAAATTCTTCCTTCTTCTTTCCCTGCGCCTCGTCTTTCTTTTCTTCCTTGTCGGCCATCGCAAACATATCATCGTCATCGTCCGCCCCCTCCCCACCTGCGTCCTTTCTTCTGCTCAGTACCACGCCCTCTCCATCATCACTCGAGTCCGAGTCGTATCCTTCATTCTTAACCCGTCCTTTGCGCTTGGTTAAAGGATTCTCAAGTGCCGAGTCGACTTCCTCCGCAAAGTTCACTGGGTCTTCATCAGGTTCAATGAAACGCGTCTTTTTTGGAGCATGTGAAGATTTTTGGGATGTTGATGCATCTGCGCTGGACGTTGCTGACCGCTTCTGAGCTGTTCGGGGTTCCATATTGTAGTGCTAGTTGATAAGGAGAAGCTATGTCAATGTTTGATCGTGTTTGTCACCACTTAGTGAATGAATGTATTACATCAAGCCAACTGAGCCTCTCAGAGATCTTCAAGCTTCAGAGCTGCTGGAACTTTTTGGGTCTTAATTTGCGATGCATATGCAAAAATAGTCATAGCACTGGGCGAGTAGCAACGTAAAGTATTTTCAAAGGTCATTCAAGAGTGTATAGTAGAGATTGTGATCAGTAGAAGTTACATCGCAGTGATTTGCATGACAGCATTCGCATATCCAGTACTGTCAGTGATGTTGACACGCATGAGGAGCACTGTGTTTGCAAGACCTATCAGTACTTGTGGCGGACTAAGCTTGGCTGAGATCTCCATATTCTGCGAGCTAAAAAAGACGAGCAATTCTTTCCCGGCCTTGGTAACGAACTGAATTAAAGATAAAATAAGTGGGGAAAAATAATCAGACGCAAATGTAATTGCCTACCACCTGGCCTGAATGCAAACATTGTTCAAATACGTCGAATTGCGTCTTGTGGCCATCGTCTGCTGAGGAATCGGGTACAACCCTCGCACTGCCGAGGCCTGAGAAAGTGCTGACGATTCTGACTGCATCTTCTAATAGATAGAACGTGCCCGCTCGACCATCCAACGACTTGTCAGCGTATATATCGGTCAGTGAAACGCCTTTCATATTGCTGGGGTCTTTCAATACTAGTGGAACGGGCGCATTCGCATTCAGAATGAGCTTGAATGTAGGAACAGATCTGATGATGGTCAGATCAAGAATCATCCGAAAACCATAGCACAAACTCGTTGACGCCATTAGGTCCTTGAGCCGGTTCCTGTAATTTATACCTGCCCAGGAGTGAGATAAAACTATTAAAGGAAACAAAAATAACCACAGCCGCACATTGGTCCAAATATAGTGTTGTCTTTTGTCGTTTTCCATGACGAACTTGAAATGGACGTCATCGAAGCCGAGGCCTGGACAGATGGGAACAACTGCTCCTTGGCTTCTGCGAGACTAGAAAATTCCATCGTTCAAGCGAAATCTGGTTACACTCTGCGATATTATCTTACCTCTTTCGTGCCGCTTCGTCTTCCACAGTCAAGGTAGTAGGGGAGGCTGCATCCTCAGTCGGAATATTGTCAGCGAGAGCTTCCACTGAAATTACATTTGTGGGTTGAGGCGGCTGTTCGACATTCGCTTCATCTTCGAAATCAGGCAGCGCGTTTGCATCCGGCTCCAAACCTGCTATCTCCAACAATTCCTGTCCGGAGGGAACTGGCAAAGGTTCAGGAGCGTGAGTAGACACAGGCTCCATTTGGTCAACTAAGCCTGCAGTTGTTTTATGCTCGTGATCTGTCTCGCCCGCTGCATCTTCGTCGCTGTAGGATGTGATGGCAAATTCGTGCTCTGGAACATGAGATGGTGCTGGTGCATCTTCAACTGCTTGTGACTCTTCCCCTACATCCTTTGCCCGCCCGAAGCGACCCTTCACGCTAGTTAGATTGCCCTTCACAGCTGTCAACAGAGAGCTCCGGTTCTTGCCTCTGGAACGTCCACCAGGAGCAGGTTTTGGTCGTGTCTTGTGGGATGCGTGACTACCACTATGCTGAGATGAGCTCGAAGGCTGGCCAGAGATCACGCGTGTTTTTACGGGGACTGATTTCTTGTCCATTAGTGGAGCAGCATCGATAAACTTGACCAAAGGATTAGCCGCCCGAGTACGGTGAAGAGGTACCGCTGGCTCAGCGTGAGTGCCGTTCCTTGATTGCGAGGCAGAATCGAAAAGGGGGTCAGGTGTGCTACGTCCGTCATTCGCCAAAAGGACTACATCTTCACTCAGTACTTGAGTGACTTCGATGGTATCCTGGATATCAGGAGAGTAGCTGCGAAGGTCCTCGAACTCCACGATCGTCCCATTGACCTTGGGAGGATCAGCATGGGAGTCGGGGATATCCTGAGCATCAGGGTCATCGGGGGTTGTCTGCAATAGCTCTCCTTCCACTTCTTCCACTTCTCCAAAGAGTTCCATGTCGAGCTCCCCTTCGGCATCCGTATCGGTCAGCTTAGTCAGGGAAAGCTGACGCGCGCCACGGGGACCTGGTGACGAAGCACGCCTTTGTCTTGCCGGCGCCGATGACTTGGCCTTGCTTTTGGGCCCAAATGCCCTCACTTTTTGAGTCAACGAATTACGAGCGGTGCCAGGTTCTGACTCGCGCTTCCGCTTCGCCTTTGGTTCTCCGGTGGGTTTTTGACGTCTGCGCCGCTTCTTCGTGGTCAAGGGTTCATCATCGGAGGCATCACCTTCGGCTGTCTCAGAAGGTCCTTGTAGGTTGTCCCTACTAGGTTTATTTTCAAGACGCGGATTTGCCCCTGACATAATGAACTGTTAGACATAAGCGCTCACTAGGGGTACAGGTACCAATGGCATACCAGGAATGCTTGAAACCTGAACTTCCTCTCCTTGCTCAAAAAGCTGTGGGTTTGTATGCTCTCTGCCGCGGGTCAAAGCATTCGCCCAGAAGGTCCTGAGGAAATGCTTTGAGCCGTAAGTGAAAGAGCTTTCGGGTTCCCAACTGTGCAATATATAAGTAAGGAGGCCACGTAGCGAACAAAGTGACACCCAACGTGCTATCATCCCAGCTATACCCCTTCCACTACGATGCATCAGTTAAACAAAATGCGGCCCTCTTATACGTTGTGTACTTACTTTGACATGATATTTCTATTTCGGCCAAAGGCTTAGCATACATACTATAACAATGCTTTGTCCTGGACTTACCCATATGAGCCTCCTTCCTTGTTTCGCTTCCACCCGCGCCTTTGTCACAAACTCTGAACCATCATGAGTACAACCATAGGATGACTGGAAAGACCAGGCACTGGGAGACTCACCGACTTCATACTCTCCGTCACTCATGGTGACATGAACAGAAAAGTGACAGGTAAACCTTCGAGCAAGGTTTCGCATTTTGGGCGTCGTTCAATAAATAATGTGGGATAATATTTCCAATTGCAGCTCACATTATCAGTGCAGATCTTAATTATCGAGGTGCCGGAAGTAAATTAGCAACGGATACATATCATTGATCATGGCAACATTCGCAAAATCGAGAGCATCTGAGTCAAGTAGATTATGATTAAATCAGGGCAAGACAGCAACTAAGTACGTTAGCAAACAAGAAATAGTCAAGATACCAACAAGACCGTCTGGGAGGAATCAAGTTTGTCAACGACTGGGCAAGGCTAAAAGCCTTCCTGAAATGAGACAATCCTTAACCCATGGAACGTGAACTAGTGTTACGTCGTCCTGAAGGTCCTCGGGGAAATCTGAAGCCTCCTTGACGACAACATAGTCATACGCGGGAAGATCTTTCGATGCAAATTTAATTTCAGTTACGGCTTCCACCCGAGAAGCTCCCATGCAAATCATAATCCAAGGAACGACTCTGCTCGCGTCTTGCGTAGTATCTGAACCACCCTGCACAAGTCAATGAGTACAAACACAGCGGGCTGCTATGTACTGCATACCTTTCTTCCCCCGCGCGACGGTAAGGGCACAAGATCAGAGCCGAGGCACAATAGGGTCTTGCCAGAGAACAACTTGGATGCAACCGTATTCGACATGATGTCAGCCAAGTGCTCTTTGCAGTTACCCCAGTCTAAGTCAACAAGTTGAGATACCCGAGCACTCAATGTCTCTGAAAACCCAGCAGGAAGTAGTACGGGTTGCCAGTCCTAAACATAACTGTTGTCAGGGGAAGATCAGGAAGACTCAAATCCAACATACCATTGATGTTTCTTTGTCTAGATAATCATCTCGTATCCACTCATTGGATAAACATGGTATCCCAAGAGCGAGAGCCACGAGAAATTTGGGCTTTTGGTTGTAATCATCGGCCAGGAGGAAGACGCGTTCCAAACTCTCGAACTCGGGCTTCGGCTTGAACTTGAAGTTTTCTTGGGAAGCTATCCAGCGTTTATTTGACTGACTGTGGGTACCTTCCATGGGAAAAATACTTGACCAGTCATCAATGACTGTGCCTCCATTGTGTTTGATGGCTAGCATCACACTATCCTTCATTTTCTCGGGGTGCTTGTTGCCAACGGTGAGCGTCACAACGAAGCCGGTCTTCGCGAACGGCTTCTTATGCTTGTGCGGGGTGGTGCTCGTCAAGGACACCCCAGAAGGTGAGGGCGTAGCACGTAGAAATTTGGGTCGAATGATTGTGACGATGGAATCTGCAGTAAGGGTACGGTCCTTCCAATGAGACTGGATAGCTCTTGAGGCGATCCGGAGGTCCGAAATGGCGTAGGCTGAGCTGATGGCGTCAGAACCATCGTCAACTTCGACACTGACGGATCCTGACTCCATCTGACTGATATCTACCACAGTACCGCGTAGATTACCATGGCAAAGGATCACTGCATCTCCGACGCGCAGTTCGCACTGACGAAGCATAGCGATATCCACCTGGTCTTCCGTCTCATCGTCAAATTTGATGAGATATTTAGTACCGGTCTGTAACGAGTGGACGATGCCTGCATAATAATGACCATCTTGCCTCCACAGTGCGAATACGCGAGTGGCAGGCTGAGCTGCAAAAGCACGACCTGTAGAAACAGTGTGACGAAGCCGCTTTGCAACTCGTGTAGCCGGCGCAGGTGTGTCAGCAGGTTTATTACGAGCGGATGCCTTCGACGGGACACGAACAGGCTTGACGTCTTCAACGCGTCTCCGCTTCCGCGATGAAGGTGCTTTGATATCAGCAGGAGCAGGACCAACGTCCACACAGTCATCATCATCAGCGAGTTCCGACTCTTCCTCCTCCTGTTTTTCGGCGTTCGGAGTTGGATGCATTTCGTCCCCACACTCGTCGGAGGCCTCAGTATCCGAAGGATGTTTACGCTTCTTCGCAGAGGATTCCGCATGAGTACGGGTGCTCTTGCGCGTAGGTGCGGGGGGTGCTTTCTCTTTCCCTTTCTTGACGGAATGAGGGACTACTGTAGGGGTAGCCACTCGCTCAGGCACCGAGGTTCGATCTCGCTGGTCCTGCTCAGGAGCAGAACTAGGAATTTCTCTAGACTCTGGTTTCGCCTTCTTCTTCCCACGAGTTGAACTCTTCGGTTTCGTTGTGGAAGGCTTTCCCTGTGGCTTTACAGACTGAGGGCGATTCTGATTAAAACAGGCGACAATAAACAAGTAAAGACCAGTCACCTTCTTGACCAGCACAGGTGGTGGAGAGATAGATGGTGGTATCATCGAGGATCGCGTTTTGCCCGAAGCCGGCGTTGTTGTCGACTTTGCAGCTGACTTGACCTGCAAAAGAGCAGCTAGAGGAACATCACCCTCCGGATCCTGACTACTTTCGTGTACCTCCATAGAATCTGCAACAATTTCTCCCGAGCTAAGCTCTGACATAGGGCTAAGAGGAAGAAAAGGGCGCTTCGTAGGACTCATATCTCTTGTGGGTGTGGCAGCACTCGGTACGGGTGGTTCAGAGTCGGGTACGATATCAAGGTTATCGTATTCAGGTTGTGGTAACCTAGGGCGATAAAAAGGTGCCTGTTTGATTGGCGGAGGTGCGTTGTCCTCAGAAAGCAAGTCTGAATGACGTGTCGGTACAAAGTTTGATGGTTGGGTCTCAGCATGATCATTTGGCGTCTGAATAGATTCAAGCGGCTGTACGGCTGCTCTGTCGCTCACGGGGACCGGAGGCGCACCGGCGGCCTTGCCTTGCATCTGTCGAAGTCGGCGCTCCCGTTGTTCTGGGCGGATTAAAGACAAGAGACTACGCGGACCTGGCGAGGAAGTCGTCCCAAGAGTGGCACGAGCACTTCTGGAACGCAAGGTCAACCCGTATAGATCCTCCATGACTGCGCTTGTAGCAGTCTCGTCCAGTGGTGTTGATGGCTGAGTGGGCACAAACTGTTCAGGAATTGCGGCAGGTTTCTTCTCCTCTGAAAGCTCATCTTCTGCTATAATAAGGGAAGATTGTGATGCATTGGCTTGCACCCCATATCGATTGCGTTGTGCTTCGAGGGAGTCGAGGGAGTCCTCTGGATCAAACGTAAAGTACTGAGGTTGGGAGGAAAATCGATTAAACAAAGGCCTTACCATCATTCAACAGCTGCGATGCGTCGGGATGGGGAAAGTTTGTGTTCTGGAAAGAGCCTTCAGAACCGCTCGAGTGCGAAGGAGTACCTGCCACGAGGATGCTGCCACTGGGTTCGCTGGATTTCGATTGCGCGTAAGCGCGCCGTATTTTATCCATCCATGAATCACCATCCTCCTCCTGGGACTTGGACGAATCATCCATGAAATCATCCATGGCGAGATCGTTTGTAGTAGGGCGTCCTAGGTCAGAGAGTGGCACGTCAAAAACCTGAGTGGCCTGTGCAATGTATTTTGCTGCAGGATCCTGTGATACTGCGCCACCGAAGGAATCTTGTGAGCAAAGGGAGGGAGATCTCTGACGTCGGCTGGGTGCCACAGGGAGGGATTTGGTAGGTTGGAGAAGTGGCTGGGCAAGCCTTGCTGAACGAGGGGACTGAAAGGAAACAGACTTTGGGACTAAAAGGTAACAAAGATGTCACGATCTTAAAGTAAATAGTACAAAGGCTGATTGGTGGCTCACCATTCGCCTTTCCGATACCAGATGCTGTACGTGAGTCAGGGTGGCTCAAAAGATCGGCATGGGGACCCTTTACGTTGGTAGAAGATGTTTGCGGGGACGACGAGCGGGTGCGTGCAATGTTTTCGTGCTTAATCTTATTATTTGAGGCTGGAGTGTTTTCTTTCTGGGAATCTTCCTCGACTATTTCCTCCTCCCTATGCGGCTGGGTCTGTGTTGGGGCGAGCAAGTTAAGCTGATAGCGGGATGTTGAACTTCGAGCAGGCGGAATCATCATGGAATCAATAGATAGGCTTGCACTGAGGTTTCTGTCGTTTCCCTCTTGTTCGCATTCGTGATTCAAACCCCACTGGTCGCTATGCTCCGCAATTGATTTTTGTTTCGTAAGTGCATGCTGTAGGATCTGGGTCGGCTGCGACTCTACCGAATCACTACTAAATGGGAAAACTTTAATTGAAAATCCCGCTTAGCACGCAAGGACGGACGCGCCTATGATCGAAGATGTCCATATGACCTTTGCGTTGCGCTGAGTGTGTATGTGTTGGCTGCAGTCACGTACTAATATTCTGCCCGAGGGCAGTCTGCGGATCTATGAAAAGGCTCAATATAAAATTGGGGTGCATTCACAAACTGGGGTGCGACGCGAAAAATGAACCAGACCTGCCTGGACTCCGATGTATGGTCAACTAGCTCAGGGTCCATTAGGTGATAGATTGAATGGGCACTGCCACTGATTCATTAGCTAAGCACGACGGAGTTGCCTATAAGGTTATTCGTATACCAGCGAGTGGACTTCATCGATCGACTGCCTCAGAGAAATAGACTTACATAAGAAATCAATGCACGTGCTCTTGACGCGTCAATCTATTGGTGGTTGATTTTCTTGTTTTACATCTTATCGAGTTCGTGCCAACCTATCATTTCGCATTCCCTCCTTTATCCCTCTGCGCTGGCCGCCGACAACCAGGCTGCAATGTACCAGATAGACAAAACGAAAAAGAGTCGCTCTTTATCTTCCGCCGCTCGAGCGCTCCTTTCTGTGGATGACTCGGATCCCGCCGCTGCCTCGATGCCTGCTATCAGCGCAAAAAAAATGCCCACCTCTAAACCGACTTCCAAGAAAGCGCATTCTAAGATAAAAGATAAAGCAAAGGCGACCTCCATCAGGCCTGTTCGTGTCGCGGACTACGACTCCCAGGAGATGACGAACGTACCGAATCCTGTACCAGACACTGGCCTTCCTCCTCCAAGTGGTGGTACAGTGTATTTTACGCCGCCGCCAATTACTGTATCTCCTTCTGTAATTCATCAGTCCCAGGAGTACCACGCTGCAGCGGCCACCGGCAAGTCCATCAGCGCGCTTTCTGTGTCAACCTTCACCCCGTTACCACCACTACTCTCGCTTGAGCCCACACCAACTGCAGACAATGCCCATGCTATCGTAATAACGCCTATTTCCTCTCAGACAAATTCAACTCAGTCCCACAATGCTGTCCCATCAGCACAAGTCCAACATCAGTCTTCGCACCAAATCTCAAAACCGGCAATAATCGCACTTTCTGTTGTTGGAGGTGTCGCATTACTTGGGGTATTCATAATGATAAGACTTTTGAGACGTCCCCGCCGCCGCAAGTGTCCAACACCCTCTCTTCCCATTCTCCAAGATGGTGACTTCCCAAACCACTTTGAGAACAAGGGATCCGGATCCCCGGTTTTTGGAGGCAAGGAAAGATTTTCTCCCTCGCTGAGGAGTGCACCAGGAAATACGGGACTCTGGACATGGACCCAGTATCACTCCGGAATTCCAAAGCCGGCACCAACTGTCATAGTCTCAAAGTCATCGTCAGGCGAACCCGTGCGAGGATCAGGTAGTCAAGAGAACTTGCTTTCCGAGAAAAGGACCTCTTTTGGTGGGCAGAACCAATACCCTTTTACTGGGCAAGGCAATTTTGGACAAAGGACCCAACCACCCCTACAGCCTATCCAAAATGCAATCACTCGCGCGGTCTCTCGGCTCTCCACTGTCTCCATGTCTCTTTACCCAAACTCGCCGGCCAACACTACCTACTATGGTGCGACGAATGTGGGCGTGGCCATCGAGAGCACAGCGCCTCTGACGGGCGATGGACAAACCATGACACGTGCAAAGGACAGGGTTGCGGCAGGACGTGCGCGTAATAGCATGGTTGCTCCTCCTAACGCCAAAGATGCCTCCTCGCTGCGACGCTCCCAGAGCTATGCCTACGGTGGAATGGACACCACCCCAACCTCACCTGGACCAGAGAGAAGCATGCAGAACGGGGGTCGTACACGCATTAAATCATCATATTACACACCTGGTTCATATCCTCGCACCTCCGTAGCTCCTTCTGCATGGTCAAAAGACCGCAGACAGCAAGATGGCTCCCAACCTGATCGCACCCATCCGGGATTGCAACGTTCTGGGTCTCATCGAGGCCGTGAGACACAGGCGCTAACCTGTGCTCTTGGACTAGCTTCGCCTGTCCCGCCATCCCCTCATCCCACGCTGTATCCGGATGATTCCATGAGTGTAATTGGAGAGGCAAAGAAGGTCACTATGACAGGCACGCGCAGCCAAAAGAAACCAGTTCCTAAAGCTATGCTGAATTACGACAAGTCGTCCTCTCCTGATTCTGCGGCGCTTGGCAGTCTGATGATGGTGGACTTCGCGGCGTCAAAGTCGACTGCATCACTGGTGAACATACGTCCGTGCGAAGCAGCTAGGGAGACGCATGAGGGGCAAAACCAAGGGTCTGGTCAACCAAAGATGAGCTTGAAGAAGAGAGTGGAGGATAGGCCACCGCGTGTTCCATCACCTCCACCGTTACCATCTCTTGCGCAGATGGCACTTAGTCACGCAAACCCCGAAGCGTATGCTGACTATCACAGCCCGACATACAGCATCTATGGGTTATATGATGGGGATAGGAAAAGTCGCGGAACATCATTTGGATACTGATTTGGATTGATTTACGCACAAACTAGTATGAACTGTAGTTTTGTATACCACAAGCGATGTTTCACTGTCGACCTAGTCGACCCTTGGGCCTTGGCGTCCTTATCGATCAGGAACTGTTCCCGGTAAGTCAATAAAATTGACAGCTGTACATGTGAATATGCGGGAGTTGTCATTGAGCTGGATTCGTGAGAGGCGTTTATAGCAAGTTTAAAATTCTTCCTTCTGAGCTCTTCCTTCCTGCTGCGGACAAGGAATTCCAACCAACTGCGCGAGGAAAAAAAAGCCTGGCAGCTGCGGACGACCCACAGCCAGAACTTGGAGTCGTTGCTGGGCACGCCCTAGGTTATTCTGATACTAGTACTACTACGCCTTTTCACATACCACCCGTGCGCGATACCCCTTTACACCTTTTTTCTCTTCAATACCCCATCGTATCTCTCATGTCCCAGCTCGCCCTCCCTGCCCACCAAGAAAATCATGGCCTTAAAGGCGACGACGACGATATCGAGTATGAAGAACTCGGGCTGCTGCCCGCAGATATCCCGCCTGTCCCTTCCTTTCGTGGCATTCCATTGAAATACATATCGTGAGTAGTCGCGTCTTTCTCTTGCGACATCTAGACCTGGCATGATCCTACCAAGTTTTTTTCTCTTGAACAGTGAGCGACCTTACTGACAACTCATGTCTACAGGCTCGTGACATTGGCGGTTCAGAATTCTCTTTTAACATTAATAATGCACTATTCTCGCGTGTCCATCCCTCCATCCCAGTCTTACTCTGCACCAACCGCCGTTCTTCTCAACGAGCTTCTCAAAGGGTTTATATCACTCGCCATCGCTTTCGCCCGTATACACCGTGTCACGCCTTACACGTCCGACACCCCACAGCTACCACTCACTGTCAGCCGCTTTTGGCATCCTGCAAAGGTTCTTTTGCGTGTCCGAAGACTTGGCAGAGAAGTCTTTTCACCAGATTGCTGGAAGTTGTCGATACCCGCCATCCTGTATGGTATGTACCCCGTGCTGCACATGTGTTGCTCTCATTAATCTCGCTTCATGGATTTCAGTCATTCAGAATAATCTGCAATATGTTGCTGCCACCAATTTAGAAGCGGCAACTTTCCAAGTCAGTTATCAGATGAAGATACTTTCTACGGCAGCGTTCTCGGTTATACTTCTGCGAAAGCAGTTAAGTGCCAGCCAATGGCTAGCACTACTGTTCCTTGCTATCGGAGTTGGTGTGGTGCAGATACAGACTGGCGTGAGCGATACGAGCAAGGCATCCTCGCTATTGTTCCATGGCACCTCGATGAACGCCCTCAAGGGATTCCTCGCGGTCTTTGCCGCATGTTTCACATCCGGCCTCGCAGGTGTCTATTTTGAAATGGTCCTCAAAAATTCTCAGTCAGATCTTTGGATCCGCAATGTACAACTCTCTGCATTCTCACTCCTACCTGCACTTGTACCCATCATCCTCTCACGACCATCCGAAACGGGACTCCTCAGTTCTTTGTTTGAGAACTTTGGCGCCTGGGCGTGGGCCACGGTTGCCATTCAAGTCCTCGGTGGCCTGGTCACTGCTATGGTCATCAAGTATTCTGACAATATCCTCAAGGGCTTCGCCACGAGTTTGAGCATCGTTATCTCATTCTTGGCGTCAGTTGCACTCTTCGATTTCCAGATGACGTTCACGTTCATCCTTGGCTCTGTCATCGTCCTTATCGCAACATGGCTGTACAACCAGCCCGGGCGGAACCCTAGCACATCAAGACTAGTGTACGTGGGCAAGAACTGAGCGTTAGAGTATGGTAGTGCGCATTGGGACATGCCACGTTTACCAGCCGGACTCTTTCAGCCCGTCGTCGTCACTCCGGGAGTGCTCGGAACACTGTCTTCGACCACTTATTTACACCGATAAGGACGGTCATTCTTGTTACATTTGGACATGCATAGTTCGTTGGACGCTTAAGTTACGGTACATCTACTATTCCGTGTCCCTATCGTCCTAATTTGATTACGCGACGATGGTCGGCCTACGATACACAATGTGATATACAATACAATCAATACTCCATGGAAGCTTTCTCGTAGTTTGTGTGATTCTCTTGTTAGAGATCGAAAGCGATGCAAAGGAGTATGATGTACAACATGATCAGGTCCGACAGATAGATAAGAATATGCGACCTCATGCTCTCTGCTCCAAGCCTCTCTTGAGGGCTGCAAAGAAAGCCTTATTAGTAAAAGAAAGCTATGGTCTCACAAGTATACCCACCATCGCATGTATCTTTAGCATCACCAAACAACATCTTCGTATTTGGCATGAAAAACATAGGGTTCGGGACGTCGGCTGCAAGAACGTAAATAGACCATTTAACAGTGTGAAGTTGACCACGTACCATAACCACTGGACATTCCTCTCTTCATCACAATGACCTGTTTGCTCTTCCATGCATGCAAAACAGGCATACCGGCAATCGGAGATCCAGGTTCAAGGGAGATAGGGTTTACAGTATCATTGGCGCCGATGACGAGCGTCACATCAGTCTCATTGAAATCATCGTTGATCTCGTCCATCTCCAAGACGATATCATAGGGCACAGATGCCTCGGCCAGCAAGACGTTGCACTGGCCAGGCATGCGACCAGCGACAGGGTGAATAGCGAAGCGCACTTTGATACCCTTCGCTCTCAGCATAGCGCAAATTTCTGCTATAGGATATTGGGCCTTAGCGACGGCCATGCCATACCCAACAACCTGGATCTACATTAGGCGGTGGATCAAACTGGTTCGATGATCAGGGCTTACCAAGATCACACTCTCGGAATTGGCAAGAGCCTCTACCGTGTCCTCGATGTTCGTCTTCGTGATAGTGCCCTCAATTTGAGCGGTCTCACTCGGTGCGACGGTACCAATGCCGCCAAACAGAACGTTTATTATCGATCTGTTCATCGCCACGCACTGCAAGATCTTGTTTGAGCCACTCTAAATCTGGGAGGTATATGGTACGTACCATGATGTATGATAGGATTGTACCACTGACACCGATCAACGAACCCACTGTCGTAAGGAGGGGGTTGTCCAGCATGAAGCCTATCCAAAGGTCAGACACATGCTTGAAGCTCGGCCGTGACGCTCACCTTCTGCGACCAGCGCGAACCCTGAGTAGGCGTTTAAGACAGTGATGACAACAGCTTCAAACAACGTGTCAGAAACTGACTACAAATACTTGAAATCGTACACACGCATGTCGGCACCACCAATAGCAGCTGTCGTCGTAAAGCCCTTGATGAAACTGAGAGCCGCGCTCACTCCAAGATATCCGGCAGCAACCAAGGGTACTGTTGGGGCGGCCGTAACAAAAGCAGCCATGGTCAATACATTCGCTCCGAGGAAACCAGAGTTAATGAGGTGCTTTCCAGGCATCATCAACGGCCTCGAGCTCATTTTTCCAGCGAGCTTCAAGAAAGCGACAATGGAGCCAGTGAAGGTGATACCACCAATAACAACCCCGAGATAGGCAGTGACCAGGTGTAACGTAGGGAGATGAGACGGGTCAGCGAGGACACTGCCGATGGAGGTCAAAACAGCAGCGAGTCCGACAACAGAGTGCAAGGCGGCTACCATCTGTGGAAGCTCGGTGGCCGTGATACGGCGACCAATGATGGCACCGATTGTACCTCCAATAGTAGCAACACCAGCAAACTGGGCAAGCAGGGCCGGGGGGAAGCCGACCGCCAGAAGTGAGGCAAGGATGCCTGATCCGACACCGAGTATTCCCAGTGCATTCCCTTGTCGTGCAGTTGCCTGAGAAGCCAACCCAGATAGAGAGGCTGCAGGCCACGCATAGTCTATTAGGTTCGTTCTCGTCAAGTAACGAAACGTGCTTACCAATACAAAGCATGCTGCTTGTCAGGTAACCTGCCTGTACAAGGCCGGCCATACCAGTGCTGGCAGCAGCCAAGAAACCACCAGTGAATACGACAGCTGGGATACCGTATAACCAAGAGTATTCCGGAGGATCCGTTGGTCCTGTTACGCTATGTTAAACTGGGGTAGCAGACGAAATCAAGGCTCGACTCACTCTTGAACATATCAAGCATCCGCTTTGTTATGACGAACCCACCGGCAACATTGACACTAGCGAGGAGTACGGAGAGAGCGCCCAATACCTGAGGAATGGTTTCTGGAAGATATCCTCCTCCCATAACGAACAAACCACCGACACCAACCATGCCTGGGAAACACTCAGTACGGTTTCATACCCGAAAAAAAGGTAGATACCAGATATAGCATTGGTAACGGACATCAGGGGGGAATGCAGAGCTGGAGCGACACCCCAGACGACTCGGTATCCGACAAGACCCGCAAGACCAAACGTGAAGAAGTTGCTCATGAAGGCGGCGCCGGTCATCTTGCCGAGAGCTACTACGGAACCCATTCCAGCCGTGACTGTAGCAATCTCACGAGTAGCTTTTTGCCAGGGAGTGATGGCCAGAGTCTCTGCCTTCTCCTCCACCTTTGGAGTGGGACGCGGGGCAGGAGGAGGAGCAGGTCGTGGCACAGGAGGGAGAATGGCACCTTGGTGGACAACAATAGAACCACGAACGACTTCATCTGTAAGATCGACATTGAAGGCGTTGTTCTCTCCTATGGACAACAAAAACTTGGTGATGTTGTTCGAATACAGAGTAGACGACTGCGTTGGAAGTCGTGAAGGAAGGTCAGTGTAACCTTGATCCTTTGAGATTTTATTTATCGCGCAAAACAGATGGCATACCTATTATCGTCACGCCGTTCTTCACTACTAGTTTCCCAGGAACCGTCCCTTCGCAGTTACCACCAGCTTCGGCAGCCATCTAAGTGTAAGAGTCATCAATAGTGAAATTTTTGAGTCTTTGCCAATAGTGACTCACATCCACAATAACCGAACCCTGCTTCATAGCTGCGACCATCTAAGACAACGGTAAGATACGTCATAAACCCTCTAGTGGATACTTGCATAATCGAGAATCAGTTTGGGCGCAGGTTTGCCAGGAATGAGGGCCTATAAACACTGGTTAGCGAAAGGGCCAAGAAAAATCGCAACGACACACACCGTAGTGATGACAATGTCGACCTCCTTGCACTGTTCCAAGAACAGCGCCATCTCGGCCTCAATAAACTCCTTAGACATTTCCTTCGCATAACCACCGGCGCCTCCGCCTTCTTCCTCGATGGAGACTTCCAAGAACTCTGCACCAAGAGACTGCACCTGTTCACGAGCTGCAGATCGTGTATCAAAACCGCGAACAATGGCACCAAGCCGACGGGCCTAGCGTAACGGTATCATGAGCAAGACATGAGCAGGAGCATCAGATTGTTCTTACAGTAGCGATGGCACTCAATCCAGCAACACCTGCACCGATGACGAGAACTTTGCCCGGTGGAATCTAAGGATGTATGAGACAACGTCAAACAGGTGTGCCGTAAATGTCATACCTTCCTAAAGGACGCTGTCAGTAGGCATAGAAAACAAAACGAACAATCGAGGCTGACCCAGCTGCGGTAACCTGACCCGTAAGATATCTTCCAAAATGATTAGAGGCTTCTAATACAGCCTTATAACCAGCAATGTTTGCCATAGAGCTGTTAATGCTGGTCAATGCTAGCTTCTGCATGCCTAGCCGTAATTGAGTCTGACCTCAGCGCATCGAACGTCTGAGCACGAGAGATACGAGGAATCATGTCCATAGCAAATGCAGTAACCTTTCGTGAAGCCAGCGCATCTACCACGGCCTTGTTTTTTGCGGGGTATAGGAATGAAATGACCGTGCTTCCCTCCTTCATGCCCTTGGCCTCTTCAGCGATGGATGGTGCTTGCACTTTGAGCATGATGTCCGTTCTATCGAAGAGCTCATCTCGAGATACGACAGCAGCGCCGGCTGCGACATATTCTTCATCCAGGAACTGAGCCTGTGCACCAGCGTTTTTCTCAACCAGAACATTAGCAAAACCTTTCTTCCTGAGGAGGGTGACGTTATGAGGCGTAAGAGATACCCTTCGCTCATCCGGGAATATCTCTCGCGGGGCTCCGACTGTCAGAGACGCGTAAGGGATGCCTGATGTCAAAACGTGTGAAGAAGAGGCCTCGTGTTGAGATGAAGGATAAGAACATACCAGAAACCTTTTGTGCATCTTGAACGGCTTCGACTTTGTTTGCATTACGCGATGACGAATGAAATGAGCGAAGCACTAGTGCTGTAAGTGATGATATGTCATAGGCCAATCCGGACCCCAACAGTGCTTGGCTAACCTGAAGTGAGTGATCGGAGGCTGCTGCGCCTTGAAGTGTAAACTGGCCGACAGCCCAACCTCGCTGCTGGCGGCCTGAATGCCAGCATGGACATGGTCGCGGTCTACGGAGGAGACGGTCTGAGCTAGATGAGCGTATGTGTTACTGTTACATAAAACACTCGTTAAATACATAGTTTCATGATAACGGAGGTAAATAGAGATCATCATCGGAAAAACAAGGCCCGCGGCACCCTAGGCCTTCCTCACCCTGAATTCCGAATGAACTACTGAGCCGCGCGCTGGCCATCGATTAGTAGCAGGATATATAAAGCCTGAGACATCGTTCATCTCGACTCCAAAGCTGCCACGTGCCCGCATGAATTTAGCGTACGGACTTACTTTGAATTCATCCTGAAACGTACGTACGGGTGTACGCTACTCAAACTGATAGAAATATTAGATTTAGCACACCGAGACAAGGCGGGCCGCGACCTCCGACTCTCACGGAAACGTCACGGGCGGTCCGACCATTGGCGCCAATCACACGCGGCTTTACAGTACCAGCATGCAAGTCGAGAACAAAGAGCCGGAGTCGAATATTTGCCACTGTGATTGCATATGTACACGAAATGTGTCGTCATCGAATGAATGTACCATAGCGACCCGTGCCCTCAGTCCCTGACTCGCCCTTATTGCACCTGGCCTCTGACCTCCTGTTCAAGACGCACGAGGGCTTGTGTATGCGAATGCTCCCACAAGGCCTCAGCTGCTACAGGGTCAATGGGCGGGAGGGGCCTTCGGGGATGGCCACCGTACCCGTACAATTTCTCGAGAAGGTATTTCGTTCCTGAAATAGATGTCTTTGCAATAGTAGCGTCTGCACGCCCAACGATGCCTTGCAGCCGCTGTGCCTCGGGAAGGAAGGAAGGATCAACCATAGAGGCCTCGCTTAACTCAAAGAGTTTTACAACAGAGTACTATAAAAACAAACGCAAATAAGGAGAGAGAAATTCCGTACGAAACTGGGGACGTACGGGAGCAATATTCGCGAGGCCAGTGATAGCACCGTGCCCATTTGAATATGCCGATGGTAAAAGGAAGTCACTGAATCCGCCAAGGACAAGGAAAGGCGCATTCTTGTTTTTCCGGGGGTGGAGGGATGAAAACATCGGATCTGATACCGTAGCTGCCACGCGAGTAAGCTTCCCAACATCTCCACAACTAATCGACACGATCAATACACACTATACATGTACGATGAATGAGTAACTCACGTAAGCTTGACACCGCAGATATTGGGGCACTCAATGGCGAGCTCGGTGATGAGGTCGGAGTCTAGATTGATACCTCCACTGGCACCGGGGTCTAGGCAAACGATCAGGTACTGGTCGGCAAATATTTTCACATAAAGACACGCACAATTGTAAATCATGACTGGTATGGGGCTCTTAGAGCTAACTTCTTGGAAGAAAGCTTTCAGTGCTTTCTTGTCGCCAGCAAGTGCACCAGCAAAGTAACCACTGGTGATAGCAATGGCATAATCTGCGCCAGCTGCAGCGGCTTCATTTGCTAGGTCTATGGACTCGCGGGTGCTGCCGGCGCCAATACCAACTATGACTGGGACGTTTAATAATCCCGCATTATCAAGTGCCTTCCTTGCAGTCTTGATCAAGATCACCCGCTCTTCATGTGATAAATGGATAGCTTCGCCCATCGACCCAGCCAATAGGGGTCCCACACCAGCGGTCGCAACACGGACGACATGGTTCTCAAAAGAGGGGATATCTAAATTACTAATCAGTACTGCGCTCTACGACTACGAGACACTATTGAGACATGCAACGAGAGAGACTGACCGAGATCTTCGGACTCGGGGAGGAAGAAGGATAGAATTGGCGCATAGATGCCGGGTTTCAAAGGGCGAGTTGTTGAAATATGTGTACCATTACCGTTGAAACTCATGATGAAAAAGAGATCTGTGAAGGAGACACAATAACCTGAGTTTCATAGGCAGGCAGGGGTATATAAGGATGGAGATTCTCGTTATACGGCCCGAAGACAGATCCGGCGGGCCGTTACGGGCCGTTGTTGGCCATTTTCAAGGGTGTTCATTAGTAGCCCGACAACGCCAAGCTCGTCAAAGAACATCAAGAACTGCAATAGAAAACACGAACGATGAGTCAATGTGACTCCGCTGGCAGGCGACGGGGAGGTGGTCGCTTACCTACTTGTAATTGTTCTGGAGCATTCTCGCCACCCAGGGGCCGCATTCAACTCTCCACCGCGTTATATGAAAACCCTGCAGGTCATGGAGTTCAATTGAGTTAATACCCTTCTAGTGTCATGTCGGCGAAAAGAATTTCACAGCAAATTTGGTAAAGGTCTCAGTCGAGACAACTTTGGGAGATAGTTCGCAGATTTTCGCCGGCAATCATAGCCTCATGCACGCCTACGATGAACCAATCCAGTTTGGCGAATTAGCGTCACGCGCGACAAAAGTATCTTGACGTGCTTTTACCCAGAAAATGACGCAGGTTTACCAGTACTCGTGAAAGTCACCTGGCCCCACTGCGGATCCGGCAATTCGAGTGATCTCACATGTGACTGTATCTGATCCTCTGTTCCACAGCCAAGCAAGCTCCTGCAATGCCCCTGCGGGCAAAAACAAGGGTCAGAAGATACCGCATCAGTTCACAAGCATGGGATTTACTGTTCCAGAGGTAAATGAAACAAACGAAGACCATACTGACGGATTAATACGTCAAGAAAATCATGCATCAGCGTGAAGAACCAAATCCGCACCTCATTTTACGGAAGCGGCTTAACAGCGCTGCGAACAACGATAAACACTTCTCCTATTGAAATTAGCAAACCTATGACGCCTCCGCATCAAGATACGAACATGAGGTTCTTCAAAATCCCTAATCAAACTTTGAGTAGCGTGAGGGTGATAAGAACCACACACTAAGCATCATGCTGCGGCGCTCAAACAACTCATTCGAATTCCAATGACCCTACTTGCATGCCGCCCGGACCGTCCCTTAGCCTTCGTCTAATTACAAAGGAACGACTATCTTCCTTTGATTTGTCTGAGTAGGACAGACTAGGCCATTGTCAAACGCACAGAGCTATAAATGTACGATAAGCTGTCTGCCCGTCGGATGAAATCGAAATTTGCAGGTAATAAATCACCCAATCAAACGCGACCTAATACAGAGAATGACAGGGAGACAGCAAGAGGGCGTACTGTATTGTCAAGAAGTTTTTTGTGGCTTCGGACCTTCAACAATTTCCAGGCGATCGATGACTTCCCGCTCCCATTGTGTCCAGCCGTCTTCGTCTACATCGCCCTCGGATTCAATAGCCCGCGAAAATACGTCCCAAGGGACACATCCTTTGTCTTCAAAATCGGCAGTTGGTTCGAGCGCAAAACGGCCTTGTCGAGAACGAGTTAAAGTTACAACGTGGGCAGCTGATCCGACAGCATGGCCCAGATCATGCACGATTGAGCGTACGTATGTCCCACCGGAAACCTTCATACTGAGTACAAATGCCGTCGGAGATCCGTCATCCACTGCAGGCTCTAGTTCATCTTTGATGATAGGGTTTTCTTCGACTCCTTCTAAGGCCTTTTCCATTGCTCTTTTTTCATCAGAAGTGAATTCCTTTTCTGGCCAACCGAACTCATGGTCACTTCCTTTCCATTCGAGAATCTCTAGGGAGTGTATCGTGACTTTCCTCTTCTCGATAGGTCGAGGTAGGGGTATGCCTTTCCGAGCATAGTCGTACAGTGGTCTGCCTTCCATCTTGAGCGCGGAGAAACTGACAAGGATGATATGAAATCAGGAAGGTGCAGGGAAATCACAGGGAAATCACATATTTACATTGGAGGCGCTTGCTGTATCTCCCCTCTGAATTTGCTTAATGCGGACTCTACGGCTTCTCGAGTGACGTGCTTCCAGGGTGCAACACGCACTCGGCTACCTTCACTATCGTAGGAATCAGTTTCGCATCCCAAAAGCGCCGTCGTGCGGTATTCCTGACGAAGTGTGGTGAACCCTTGAACTTTGATTCATAGTTGCATGGACCAAGTACCTTTACACAATCCAAGAACTCGTTGAGGCGTCTGGTCCCTTTCCCAATACCTACGACTGGATGAGACGGTCACAAGGATGAGATGACTCCAGGATCTACGGCAACGGGACGCTACCGTACCCAGAACGCCATCAGCGAGGGGATCAAGCGTCCCTCCTTGTCCTATCTTCACTATCTCTCGTGCGCGTTTCCCCCGAATGGGGATTTTACCTTTACCGCGTGTTTCCAATTTGTCTGCATCCACAAACAAACGCGAGTTGCCAACCAATTGTTTGAGGTCATTGATGACAGACATCGATGTCGGTCCAGAAGGTTTCATGATGGCGAAGAGCCCAGACACAGGTAGCTGTGGCAACGTAACTTTTGGCATCTCGAAGTAGGAACCTTCGATACGGTCTGCGTGTTGTGGTACAATTGACTCAGAGTGTGCAAAATCCCCGAAAAAAATCTTATTCCAGTGACGCTTTGTAGCACTTTGTTTGTAAACACAAGCTAGCTTGATCAGGGCCTGGACCTAGGTCTGACGGATCTTATAAAGGGAAGCGAGTCTGTGATTGATCAATGTGGGCAATTCAGAAGATTGGGATTTACTAGAAGTTGCAACGTTGCACCATCAGGCCATCAAAGCAGCCACGAAATTGCACCATTGGTGTAGGGAAATACGTATCAGGACTCGGTACGATAATGGTTAGAGGGAGATGCAACATTGTTCAGCAGCATCTAGGAAGCGTACCATAGGTCCATAGTACGTACTAAATATTTCCGCTTACCCAAGATCCCCCACAGATGCACCTCGCCGCCCACATCCTTTCCCAAGTCTTCCATCTCGGAGATGAACGTCCCGCAACCATCACCTCACCTCCGACCTGTGATCGTCCACCGCACCTCAAACAAAGCAGCCCAGCTTTCTGTGTCAAAAGCCTTCCCTTCGTCACCACGTCCATCCCCGGATCATCTCCCACAGGTCGATCTGATGCTGACAGATTCGCAAACCCGTCGACCAGATCAGATGACTTGATGAACAAACGAGGTCTGTCTATCGCAGATGTTGTAGTAAGCGATCGAATGGTCTTCTTCAATTGCTCATATTGTGCAGGCACAGGACGTCCCTCAGCGAATGAAGCCATAATTTCTTCCACTGAATGAGGTTAAGCTTTCAGCAACGACTACATACATAGGGAATTGAGATACGCACCTGGAATTGCACTCGCCTCAGGGATCGCAGAGCTGAGAATGTCTTCGAGTACTTTCAGGTCCAAGCCAGATGAACTGACGAGGTCCAGCATGATATCCCTCGCGAACTGCGAATTCTCCCGTTTTGCCGTCATCGAGGCCAAATATTGGTGAAAAGAGCTGACGTGAAAAACCACGGCCCTAAGATTTGTAAGAGCAAGTGGATGGACTAGATGGAGAAGTATCGGTGTGTCCAGCGACACTGAATGAGGTGATTGGTTCGTGGCTTGCTGAAAGGGGGATGTGAGCCAATTTCGCAGAAATGGGTTATCGTCCATAGGTTCCTCCTTCGGCATCACTTCGTTAGAGTTTAGGCTCATGTTTGGAGTCGGGTCAGCTAGGTCAGCCAGGAAGACACATTCCTTCATGAGATCCTCCAAGAAAGCCACAACCCAAGTTGACAGGCTGATTAACTGCCAGACGGGCTCTTTTGAAATAATGAAAGCGACCACCTTAAGTGCTTGTTCTAACGGCCGTGAAGACGCAACAGACTCACCGAGGTCATATCCCTCTGACTTCTTTGCAGTCTTCAAAAGCAGAAAAACAAGCAGACACCGAACACACATTTAGAGCGTTTCGCGAGAGCATCAAATATCTGCCTTTCTCGTCTTCGTTCTGCGTCCAACGTGCCCTCCCTCTGTTGCATATCAGCATACATGCATTGGACAACGTGAAATTGGTCACCTATAGATCTCAACAGCTGCTCCCATCACTTCGACGATCGAAAACGAGTTCGCATTGCCAAGACGGGCATTCACCTCATAAGAGGTCAACGTACCAAATAGCGTATCGTGCAGCATCGTGGCTGGAGTACTTGGTAGAGATAGAATGTGAGAGATATCTGCTGTCGATCTTCGAGATTGAAGTGCAATGATCAGGGCTTGTGCGAGCGGCAACTGATGTAGGGTGTCTATTGTGTGTAAGTATCGACGCCGATGGATACTCACGTTACCGACCTTTTGATCCTGAAGTGATCCGTGTCCTTGGAAGAGTGTAAACGGAAGTCTGCAACATCGAAACTGCACATGCGAGCAATTTGTTAGGCGACGTAGATATACTCAGGGGGCCTGTCCCGGGAAAGTTAATCATTGCTCCGCAAGCGTAAAGATTGACTCACAATCGCTGCTCGTTCTATTAACAGGTGCAAGAATACTTGGATGATCGCAATCGGGATCATCGGAGAGGTCTGGTCTGGTAACATTCAGAACAAGAGAATTGAAATTGAAATTGACGGCTTACAGTTGCAAGGCGACGAGACTGCCTACAGGGACTTCTTTCAGTTTGGCCGCGCCTCGTGCCAACGATCCCCCTGGATTGGTCATTGCAACAACTACTGTTGCCTTTCTCATTGCGACTGATAAAGAGCCAGGGGTAGCAACTGTAAGAATGCGAGGAGAGAGAGTCCGATCTCCCACAAGCCGAGCAGTCTACCCGCAGTCCAATCAGAAATTCGCTCACGATGAAGTAGGCTACTCACCCAAGGAATTTTTCCATTTGGAGGAACGACCCTGACTATTGAATATGCAACTATGCGAGACTTTGGCAGCGACGCATCTTTTCGGTCAATCAATTATTGAGTAAAATGAAGGCTTAAACAATGTGACTGTGAGTGAACCTACATTCCTCGAAATCCAAGAATGATGCGACTAGATATGTTGTAGGCAATTCTAGCTGACCACGTTGGGGTTGCTTGTCCTTCATTGGCGATGCTTTGGGTGAAGTGAGGGTATCTGGTTTAGACCCAGGTACCGAGATAAACAGAAAGTTGGTCAGGTAAGGCCCGGGATGGTAGATGGGCGAGAGAGGTGCGGTGATGATGACTAGACGAAGACATTAGAAATCTGCGTGTGTAAATTTTGGAGTACGTACACATGCACGAGCCATCGAAACGTAGTTTCACTTCACAAAGCTCGATCGTTTGCTCTTCTTGGTAAGAATTCCAATCCAATAATGGTGGGCGCTCGTCCAGTTCATTATCCGTGGGCATATCAAGAGGAAGTCCGAGATCATGGGAGCTATCAGATGCTGCTCTTAGGGTATCTGATAACGGATAGCGTCGGGATCGCATGGCAACCATAAACACAGACTCTGCAAGACGCGTACGATCTAAGACACGTGCGATCTCAGATGACTGCGACTGATGGCCGAAGGTACAGACTCACCATGATAAATAAAGCCAAACGAAGCCGCACTGCAGAGCCTGGAAGTCTTGGGTCCACGAGGAGGATCTTGAAGTAACTTGACTAATGTTCTCAGCAGTATAGCATGGCTGTACAAGGGAACAGGTCAAAGATTTTACACCTGATGCATAAGTCCGCAGGAAGTAGACATTTAACTGGTGAGCCTGGGTTACTGTGAGTAGAGTGGGGTTAGACACAGGGGTCAGAGGCCCGCATTGAGCCAAGCGGGTGGTGGAACCATCTGGGCATGTGACCCACTAGGATGACGTTTAACGATTCGAATGTCGAGAGAAAATATATGATGTCACCTCGCGTTCAGCGCCGACGAACACAGCGTTGATTATACCAGCGCCTCGTTCGCAAGCCCAGTAGTCTCTGATATTCCACTTGTCAATAGTGTATCCACGTTGCCACAGACATCCGACGCCGTCACAGTCGCGGCCTGGAAAGTATGCGAATAACCAATGGTCATTGGATGAAACTGTGATAACATTTGGAGGTTCATAAGCAGCAGGATTGTTCAATATTTGATCGGGAGATGTGACGAGAAACTGCTTTGAGGAAGAAAAGAATCTTCCGAGTATTAAGGGCTGAGAGGGATGGGGAGTGAATATGGTTGAAGCATTGGACCACGCGACGGGTCTTGAAACAGAGACACAAATCAGATGAAAGTTTTTGAGTAAATTGAATGGAAGTGACCTTTGGAGATGATCTGCTAGTGGATGAAAATCCCACCAGTGGGAGTGCCAGTTTTGTGCATCAGCTTGTTTCGCTTTTCCCTTGGAGGGAGAGTTTCGGGCGTCGGGGTACATTTCTCCTTGAAGAGAACATGGGTTGACGGAACAAATAGATGACAACGGGACTTAAGGACTTTGATCTCCGTACTAAGCCGTATCTCCTCCTCCACATCGATCATCATGCTCAGCGTACATTCTACTTCAGTAGAGCTGGAGGGTGTACCTACGGAAATCGTGGTACAAGGATTTGCAGATTGTATCCTCGTACTTGTTACGCAAGTGGGCAAAGTTGGCAACTTGGTGGGGCACTTTCAACATTTGCACTCGATTGCACTATTGACAGATGTAAAAAGATTCAAGCATCCATGCCGTTGACGATACCGCTAGATCTGGATTCGACTAATACTACACTCCCTGCGCCCCCTGCGGCCATTCAACTTACACCACTACTTGGCGGGGCTCCCTCTGAGCATCTGCATACGCTGCATTCATTGTATGCTTCACAGATTGCCACTATTATCTGGGTCTCAGAAGCAAAGAAGATGGATATAAAGCGAAGAAATGTTGTAGTTGGAATCGCGCTTCATAGAGATGCTGATGCTGATGAAAGAAAGACATTCCTTGGAGTAATGGATCATCTTTACCAACTAGTGAAATAATATCTTTCATTTTTGGAATATATTAGGGTTAGGGTTAGAACTAATAAAAGTCGAAAAAAAAGATGGCCTGCTTAGCCAGAGTGGCCGTAGCAGGACTGGAAAATATTGAGACGGTGCATGAGCCGGAGCCCATACAAACCGTAGTTACCCTCTGTATGGACAAGGTCGCCGTGCTATGAAGGGTCCCCACGGCCCACAAACCCAGGTACATGAAGGAGCCTATGCCATCAAGGTAAGTATGAGTTGTTACAGTCAAAACACACCGCTTATATACACCACAATACCGTGCACGGACCATACGTTACACTCTTTCCATTTATGGAAAGCATGCAAAGAGGCTAAAACTTATTGCAAGCCAGCAACAGAACTTGTTCTGCTGCAAGATGTCCCGAATATTTCGTCGGTCCCTCAGTTCCTTCAAAAGAACCCCTCAATCACTCCCAATTGCTGAGGATAGTGCACAGTTTGCTGCTCATCTAAATAACAACTTTCCCTCCCTCAATTTTTCTCCCGAGCTGGCACAACGCATCCTCACTCATGCAAGTCACAAGGCAGCTAGTCACGGTCATAATGGACGGCTCAGCTTCGTAGGAAAGACTTTGCCCGTCTGTCATGTATATCAAGTACTTATTTTTTTTCTTTTTACAGGACGTCGCGTGCTCGAGTCTTATTATCTGCTCTTCCTACATTCCGTCGCGCGCAACCAAAATCAGCACGACTACGACTATCTCTCTTCTCGTGCTATAAACTCCTACCTTCTGGGCGAACACGTTGCTCCTCGATGGTCCTTGGGTCGTATTGTGCGTTGGGCACCTCCTGTCTCTCAAGATGTTTTACTGGCCCACAAAAATGTCAAAAAATCATCTCAAAAACAGCCCGCAGATGCTGAACTAGAAAACGCGTTAACGAGAAATCCTGGTATAGTCAAAAGTGTCGGTCTTTACAAAGTCATGGGAGAAGCGGTGCAGTCCGTGATGGGTGGTGTCTATCACCAATTCGTACGTCCTTTCACAAGTGTTGCGACCATTGGTCACGCGTCAATTTTCCAGGGTGGTTCTGTGGCTCATCGCTTGTTTCACACTCGTATTCTACCTCATATTCTGTTGCCAAACAAGGCTGAGGGTGTCCCCGTGGAATTCCATCACCAGGCACTGGCAATTTGTGAACGTATGGGTGGCGTGGACGGGAGCTTATTGGTTCAGGAGTCTGCCTCGAATCGTGCTCTTTCGGAACTTGAGCTCGAGGCTATAGAGACAGTCCAGCCAAAAAGAGTTGCGTGAGTGTGTTTATAATAGACCCTCCTCTCTTTTTAATTATCTTTTCGCAGGGCTGCTAGTGCATGAGTGCACATGACTCTCATCATCTATCATGTTTATTTTATGGATCGCATTAATTGCAGCGACATTTTAGCAGTCTTTCTGGCGTATTGCTTGAACGCAAGACATCATAACAGTGCCTATGAGGTGATCACCTCTACTAACGTGCGGGTGTAACGCCAATGATAGTGACAACTGTAGCTGAGTTATAGGCGTTTGATTGGTGGCTGGCCACTCAGGCACCATCGTGCATATGGGTGAATAGATGGTTAACAGATCAGTATCCGTTTCCTACTGCAGTGAAAGTACGTTTAATGGCATCGTCGCTAATACCATGGTTCTGCGAGAAACCCACAGATGAACATGCATCAACTCAATCTTATTCTACATATCTGGTTGATATCCTGGCATCCTCCGCTACTCTTTCGGAAAAGGTTACCATGATTATCACCTTCATAAACACCTGCTACATTCCTTCATTATGCGCACTACCTGCTCGAAAGCACATACGTCTGGAAGTGTCGTGAATTCCGCAATCAGACATCTTTTAGTCAATTTGTCTTGCAACTTTTCCATCCTTTGTAACGCGCCTTGCCTTGTCGGACGCTCCTCGTACCGCCGGTGCCTGCTGTCCAACATCTTTTGGCCAGATGGGTTTCTACGGTTTGACGAATAAGAAGCTTCAAGTCGAGGAACGCGCAACACGAACATAGTCTTCTTTATACAGCCTCAAAGCTCTATAGATGGAGGAATATAGTCATTCCTGGTGTAGTACCAGTAGTGATTGAAGGGCGAAATAGCAAGTTGGAATGAAACTCTTGGACAAATGAAAGTGCATTCTCCGGTCTCCCTAGCCTAAACAAACCTTCCTTTCAATAAATCCTCCGCCCATGCATATGTGCGCGTGCGGGCTTCAGGCAGTGTCTTGTGTTTCAACCTGTACTTCAATCCATTGCGATTTGCGATTATTTTTCAGATAAAAAGAAACGGAACCTTAATTACATAACTGGCATTAAGCGCTACAATCGGCACAGCCACTCTGGTCACAACTTCAGACCTAGCATGACTAATCATTTTTGCGTTAAGCATGCCAACACCCGTCTTACTGTCTCGGTGAGTACAACCCTTGCAGGTCGAAAAGCTCACGCTTACAATAACTAGTGGACTTGACCCTGCGTTGGGCATTTTTACAGGTTTCTTTGCTTATTACCTTCACGAGACACATCCACGCACCGCACCCCCAGCGGACAAGCAACTTGCGGCACTGGTGCAGTGGAAATGGGAAAAATGGAAGCGTGAGCGGGAGGTAAAGCTGAATGCTCTTGAGAGAGAAGCGGAAGAATCCTCCCGGTCCAGTTGAGGTATGTCTGGGATGTATGCAGTAATAGCAGTCGGTATGTAACGGTTAATTCTGGAATTCTTTAAGCTCAGTTCTGTGTGCAGCAGTGGATTGAAGCCCGACCATAGGCCATAAATGAATGATTTATCATATGCGTGTCGAATAGGACCAATGTCATGATATGGCCGTGCCCCCGTCACCCTGTGGCCGTTACTCGGGAAAGAGAGGAGCTACTGCAGCATGACATCTCGGCGATCGTTCAAGCAACCACAAGGAATTCAGTCGCTATCGTGCAGGAGTTGGAACGTTTAACTAAACAAATGCTCATAGCCTTCCGCCCAAGAATGATGGGGATCCGAAATAAACTTCAATCGGCCTTGAGCCGTATCACCACGTTGCAAGAACACATTGCATACTCATTGTTTGGCATCTTCCGCACCCACCTCCCTGTAATTTACGGTGAGGAACAACAGAACACCCTCGGACGAATCTTGCACGAGAGCAGTTCATTAGAACGATGTCTCCCGGCTGACATTGTCTCGTATAAGTTTCCGCCATGCATGCCACTATCGCTATCTGAGGACGAAATGCAGACATTGGTCTCCACACTGCAAAATATTGCAACTGTGGAATCAGCTTTGAAACTGTATACCATCCTTGGCAACCTGAGCGCCCCTCGGTTCGCCACTTTCAGATGACAACATTGTATTTCCCATGATACAAGGCAGATGGAGGTATGGTGAAGACCAGGAGTCATTTTTTGCTTATGATGTCAAGGCGGATAGGTTCCAAGACCTGGTAGTCACTACCCGAGAAAGACTGACTTTATTCTGGCGGACAATGTTCATTCGGCAGACATTCTTGCTCATTCATCGATGGAATTTTCGGGACCTCAGACTCCCTGAATTTGCGGACTCGGACGATACGCAGAGCGCGGACGAGTCCGTGCTCGATCCCTGATAGTCGAGTCGTTTGGCAACTCTGCAGAGAATGACCCCATCGATGACAATTCTCAGTCATGAGACCCAAGATTAATCGTTCGCCCTAAACAATTTTTTGGCGTAGCGCGGCACCGTGGTGGGGAATACAAGAAGACCGGTTCTGATGTCAATATCATGGCGCAGGTCAAGGACACGACTTCTGTTCATGACATAATGAACATCAGGACGTTGGAAGTATTGCAATTGCATGAATTTTGGAGAGGCAGTCTCTGACGCGTTCTCGTTGATACCTGCTATGCTTCTTACAAGAAATCACGTACGCTAATGTGCGGAATAGAATTTACCCTAATCAACATAGGCACATGCATCCAAAACAGCGCAGGAATAAGCTATGATAGTGCTTCGAAGCTTCATTCGCTGCAGAATATAAAAAAGGCATACAGAGATATCAGGGCACAGGCACCGGCCCCTCCGTCGGCATGCGTGTGCTCTCACTGTTCCTCAGACTGGGCTGCTTCATTTGGGTGTGGAGAATCAGAAACTGGTCATTATAAACCTAAATTCAACGAGATCTGATAGACGTGACTCGTTGGGATGTCCATCAGTTAAAACGTTAACGAGCGAGTCGATTAGTGACCTAACTTTGTAAGGTTTACCGCTTCGGGTCGCGGCGGAACGCTTGGCGAGAAAAGTTTCAAAGGACTAAAAATTCGCGTGGTCACCACACCAACTTGAAGCTTCACTTGCTGCTTCGTTGGACACTTCTACAAACCTCTCCAGTTTAGCTTGATTCTCTCATCGAACATGTCAGAAGCTGCACTCGAACGTCAGATTCGTCCTATCTATGGTTGGCCATCGTTACTACCGTATATGCAAGGCGGAACTGACCTGTGATAGATGCTCTGGACCATGGATCAAACAAGTCTGCTATTAATGCATGCAATAAAGTGCTCAAAAAGTATAATAATAATACTCTTGTTAAAGTATGTGCTGTAGTATCTCTATGGAGGCGGTTTAACATTTTACCCATTAGGCTCTGAAAGCGCTTGCATTGACGCGTTCGCAGAAAGTAGAGGAAGCATTAGTTCTGTGTGATGAGATCCTTGCTACTGTTGTTACGGATGATTCCACACTATCCGTGATGACGCACGTCCTCAAGGGCCTTGCCAGAAGTACGTGGTGATCCCTAGTTCCTCGTTGTCTGTATTGAACCTATCTTGTAACACCAGACTCCGACATGGTAGCCATGTTCGATAACGCGTTTAAGCAGCAACCTCACAGCGAGGAACTCGGTGCACAAACGTTCTTCGCCCATGTGCGAACTGGCAACTGGAAATCTTGTCAACAAGTGAGTATTTTCAACTGTTCCTTCTAACGTACACAAGTCTGATCATGTGGTTCTTAAGGTCGCAACCCGAATGCACAAGCAGTTCCAGGAGGACCGGTACGTGTACTGGGCCGTGACAGGCGCAATTCTTCAGGTTTGTACATCGCATTGTGTTACGAATGATACATTCTAACTATGGGGAGGTAGGCGAATGACCTTGGCACTCCTCCACATATTCGCACATTGCTCTACAAATTGGCTCACCGTCATGTCACATCGTGTCCAACACCATCATACATAGCCGTGGACCGCTTTCATTTGCACCTGATCATCCTGCAGGAACTTCAACTGTGGGATGAAGCAAACACCTTGCTCGAAAGTGATATCGGGAAGTCGATCTGTTCAGCCAGTCTTTTGTGTAATGAGACTCGCAGGGATATCTGGCGCAAACGCGGACTGTACAAGGACGAGGGGGAACGAGCTCAAGAGAAGATCAAAAACAAGTAAGCAGACACTAAGTGTTACTTTTGATGTAATCTGATGTGCACTTCAGTGACCAGAATTGGCTAGAGTTCGTTTCAGTAATCGATGCCGTTTTTGCTTCAGTGCAAGGGCCCGATGTTAGCGAAGAGGAAAAGTCAGAGTGCTCCGAGAATATTGTGAAAACACGCGATTTCCTTAACAAAATCGCCGAGCTAGATGGCTCAAATAAACGTTCTGCTTCTTTGGCACTTTTAGAGCTCGAGAAAAACGCGTTTTCGCATGGAAGATCCTCTGGTATGATCCCTGCCTTGGCACCTTGTGCACTGATGTTGGACATTGACAGATGAGAACATTCTGGTTGACTCGATGGAGAATTACTTCTCCCAGTTTGGCAATAAGGCGTGTTGTTTCGAAGATTTGCGACCTTATGTAGACCTTGGTGCCGACGCGAAATCGCGATGGATAAGCTTCCTGGCATCTCAGGAATCCTCCTTTGTTCGTACTGTCTTCCTATCTGGGCTTTTCCATGTCCTAAGCTCGTTTGGTGATGTAGGCTACGACGGGCGATCTGCAACGGGCGATCAACGTTCGGAAGTTGCAACGAATCAGTCTTACGGCTTCAGAACTATCCAAAGACAAAGAGTTGTATTTGGCATCCACCTATATTGAAGGATACATGGCGGGACTAGAGTTGGGTTCCAGCTTGCCTGTAACCGAACTTCAGCCGGTCGATGATCTTGCGATCCTTGCCGGTCATGCGTTTATCAGCCTGTGGACAATGACCAAGGACGAGAGCTATCTATACAACGCTGCCGTTGTGCTGGAATTCGCTTTGACGAAGAGTCGTATGTCGTTCCAGATTCGGTTGCTACTTGTACGCATATACCGTCTACTTGGTACGTATTCCTGCGGATCACACGAGGTTTTATACCGATGGATCTACAGGTGCTCCATCATTGGCTTTGGACCACTACCGTGCCATCAATATAAAACAGGTCCAAAATGACACTCTTTCCCACTTTATTCTCACACGGGCATCGACCTTCTCCCTTTCTGCAACTGGAGACCTAACATACCCCTCAGAATGCATAGAATCAAGCCAGATCTATGTCAGTAATTCCCAAGATGTGAGTACCCTTCCTGTATGTTAGAATCCCTCTTATTGTTCGTAGACACCGGATTTCATCATTCGCGCATTTACATCGGAGAAGTACAGTCAGGTCAGATTTTTTGCACTCTTATGCTTTCAGGATAGTTACCCTCTACAGATTCCAGAGTTTGTCTCTTTCGACGACAGATTGGAGAACTCTCTTCAACGTGACGTGGTTAAGCTTGAGCACGTTCGCATGCGGATGATGCACGAACCTATTAATTCTGATCTGATAGACATGGAATTGATAGAGCTGAAGTTTGTCTTTGATCGTTGTAAGGGCCTCCAGTGTCATACGTATACTTTTTTGACTCCTGTTTTCAGTCCACCATGACAACCGGGACTTTGGCATGCTACCCAATTATCAACCAGCATGCCAGCCTTCGCTAAACGATCAGACCCTGATGTTTGGCAATTCGACTGGAGTATGCTGTTCATTTGTGTCGATACTTGCATTTCTTGACCTCACTCTCAAATATAGCAAGGATGGCTGTGGTATTTCCTCAAAATTTACATCCGTGCTTTCCAGCATGCCAGTGATCTGGACGATATTGTCGAGGAGAAGCTATTGATTGGTGACCGGCCAAAGAAGAGCCCGGAACCAGAAGTCCAACTTCCTCTTGGGGAACGTCTAGCCATCCGAAAACCTGAGGAAGCAGCAGAGGTAGGATATTGTGGACTAGTTATGATTCACCTTAACAATTCGTTAGTTGACGGCTGATGAATTGCAACTCATGGAATGGGCCACTGCTGTCAGTGACTGGCTCGAGCCCTACCACAACTACACTCGCCCCCCTCCAGCGGTAGTTCTTGCTGAGGCCAACAAGCAGAATGAGCTTAGGACTGGGCTCCCGCTCAGGGGTGTTGACCTCAAAGCCTTAAATGGCGACGCCACTGCCAATGGTCATGCCAAGAAGGACGAAGAAGCACCACCTGTGAAGGAACCGCCTCAATTGGTGGCACAGTTCTTCGAGCGTACGTTCAGTTTTTCTAGGTTGGCTCGCTGCTCACCCTTTTCACAGATATGCACGCTCGCTTCGTGCAGTTACAACAGAGTCAGTGCCTCCCCTCGGACCTACTACATGTAGCAACACTCACCCAAGAGGTACACCTTCACTCGAGTTCTAGTCTATACTTTGTTCACCTTAAGTCTAGGCTTTCCTTCTCTTTGCGGTTGAATCTCTTCGCTTCAAGACCGCATCTATTGTCAAGATCCACAAATTGGGGGCAGTGAGTGGAATGATAAACTGGAAAGACACATCTAAACACATTTCTTCACATTCCAGCTCGTGCAATCCCTCAAGGATATTCGCTCGAAGGCCTGCGCGGTACTCAAGACAATGTCGAACGACCTTTTAAAGATGGGTGAGGTGGCCGGGTCGGCTGAACGACGGAAGAGCTTCGTTGAGTCTTGTAAACCCATCACGGACTTCCCGAAGGTAGGCATGCGCTTTTGATTATTATATCATACCCTGATATCATTCGTTAGTTGGATCATGACTTTGTGCTCAACATTGCAAAGAACGTTGGCGAGTCACGCAAAAAGGTGCTCGAGGGTGTTGGTAAAGGAATGGTCAAAATTTGTACCAATTATGGCCAATGAGCCGGCCCTGTATTTTGGATACTGACATCGCATACTACTTTACACCTACTACACTGCTCCCCACTCACTACTCCTGCTATACTCCCACACTACGTACTTAGGTTTCGGATGTAATTGTGACGTCTTAAATTATTATGTCATGCAATACGCGTGACTTGTGACTCTACGCGTTTCTCTCCGTGTCTTTGCTGCTGCTCCATCACTTAATAAATTTACTCACTAAAAGAACATCGACGAGATGAGTCAATGTAAGCAGCCATATTAATTCTGAAAATCTCACTAATTGTACTGAGAAGTCAATGACTACTACGGCAACAGTGGTGCTGGAGGTGGTGGATTCATGACTGGTGGATCGCCATATGGAAGCGCAAGCGGTAGTCCGGGAGGAGCTAGTCGAGTACGTTGCATATCCTCATTCCAATTCTCTACTAAATCGAGTGCAATGTAGAAAACCGAGATAGCCCACTCCTTACGACCTCTGACTGTACTTCAGCTCCTAAATGCATCCCAGGCGCATTCGGACGCGGAGTGGATGCTGGATGATACAGAACTCGGCCAGGTAAGTTGCACTCATCTTCGCGTAGCTAGCTGGACGAACTGTGAATTTGTAGGTCACTGTCGTCGGCCACGTCGTTTCAATACAGAGCCAAGCCACCAACAACTTATACTGGCTCGATGATGGCACGGGTCGCATCGAAGCCCGGCATTGGATTGACTCCTCAATAGAAGAGGGTGAAGCGGGATCAAATGCCATCACGTAAATATCCTCCTTCACAGGTCGCAGCAAAACTAATGTGAGGACAGTGAGGGATCATACGTACGCGTATCCGGCACGTTGAAAATGTTCGGCAGCAAACGATACGTAAATGCGACTCATATTCGGCCAGTCAAGTCGCCTCATGAGATATACTTTCACCTTTTGGAAGCGATGTCGGTCACATTAACATGGGCGAAAGGAGCAGTACGTTACACCGAATTATGATATCATCGATCTAACCTTCACGAGCAGCCTCCTCGTGCTGGACAAAATCCGTCAACATCAATTCCACAGGCCCAAGTTGCCGGACCCCCGGCAGCCGGAGGATCTGCATACGCAGTTCAGTCGCAACCTCCCGCTACGAACAACAGCCAATACTCCCATTTGCCGAAGTTGGAATATTCGATCATAGCTTTCATGCTGAACCAACCTTCTAATGAGGAAGGCATGCACGTTCGTTCTATTGCGCGTGCTGTCGGAGGTGATGCTGTCGCAATTAGGTGTGTTGTCTCACAAGGCATGCTCTGCTCCGCTAGTCTGACGCACTCCTCAGTAATGCTTTAGATAAACTCATGGACGACGGCCTCGTCTTTACTACTATTGACGATTCGCATTTCAAGGTTGCTGACTGATGAATTACATGTTGGTCGTGTATTTCTGATGAAAGTTACTTGCGAGTTGTAGTATTGAAAGTGCCGAGATTCTTGCTCGAATCTTGAATCCCGATTGACGGAGTGGTTGGTGTTTCTGCAAGATTTCCAAGTATCTGTGTATATTAGTAGTTACCTCAAAACGGAAGGATGGTGTAAACATTCATATACAGGGTCTTCAACCTTCGAAATCCAGCTCCTGGTACCTAGGCAGTACTAGTGTTGATCAGTAAGCCGGAAACAGTTTCGACGCGTCTTCGTAGTGCTCACAACGATGGGAGACTACGAACCTTTGCTAGTGGAAACAACAGTCATCAAGTCATCTGAAACTGAATCACTCAGACCGATCACGGTCTACCAAGCGCTGCAGGCAGAACGCTTAGCCGACGATGTCCAGTTCTCGCTTGGTGGGGCCAAATTCGATAAGGCGAGTCACTGCCGCTAGTTGAATGTTTCCGAAAGATCAGACATACTCAGTGTGCTAATTCAAATCCTTGAAGGTCCTGCTGGTCACCCATGTCCTTTTACGACCCGGAGATACCAATGGTGCTCGAGGTACTTATGACCTCGATGATGGCACTGGGAAGATACCTGGGTCGCGGGTTAATAAAGCAGGACTAGATCATGATGCTTTCTTGGCCATGATACAACAATTGTGCGTCGTTGGTTTTAAGTTGCAACGCAATATAGAATTTCTAATCTTCCATTTATCAAGTGACAACGGTCTAGCTTGTGTTGTAGGAAATATTGGCCAGCGTGGCCAGTATAAAGTAGTCAATATTGAGTCCATGACTGGGGCAGGATATCACCAGGCTATGTATCATACTCTAGAGTGTATGAGAACAAGTTTGATAATTGAGAGGCACAAAGAACAAGTATGTGCATATATTTATGATCGACACATGTATTTCAACCTTATCATCACAGGCTCACAACACAGACGAGATGCTTGTCGTCCAAGAACTCAAAGGGGACGTAGAAGACTCGATCATGGCAGATGATTCGATGGCAGATGACTCGCGAGCATTTGAACATCCTTATCGTTCATTTTTTGATCTGCCGCAGAATAATGAAGGTAGAAACGTCAGCTCTCCTCAAACTCCTACTGGACTATTTCCGCAGTATGGAGATTATAGTGAAAGTCCGAGTTTCGCTTCAACCTCAAAACAAGTTGCATCCCGATTTCCTACACTGCCTCTCGCACTTGAGCCTGAAACTCCTCATTCTGACATTGTTCAGGTAGCCCATCCTTGCGGCACGGTCACGCGAACACCGAGCCCTCTTTCTTCCTTTGGCTCATCGCTCCAAATCAGTTCTCATTATTCTCCACAATATTATAGCCAGCTAGCTCAATTGACAGCAACACAATCCGCTATCGTGTCCAGCCTCAATCAGCTCCAGGGTAATGCTATCTATGGAGTTTTGATAAGTCGTGTGTACGAGCGCGTGACACAGGAGATGGTGATGAAGATTACCGAGGAAGAGTTCAGGTAGATGGACGTTTATCATCGTAATGGTCCATGGTTCATTTTTTTTGCGGCCAGCACCGACATAGAGTGGCTTCTTGAAGAAATATACATATTCAGCCCACTCGATGATGACCGCATTGCACTCACGCCTCGCGCATCAGTCTAGTTTTACCATCTGCATAAATCAGTGAGTCTCGCTTAAAGCAATGGAACTCTCTTTAGAACAATGTGCTCATGAGTATCCCTCAAGCAATTCCAAAACATATCCAGCAATGATACATTGGGAGTCCTGACATTCGAGTTGTACAGTATATTTACGAAGTTTGTGTGTCTACGACTCTACGGGCCTGATATGATGTTTTTGGTACGCGCTTGGACGGAAAAGGCAACTCCGAAGCACCGGTGTAGTACTTTCAGCTAGAATACCCCTGCATCTTTGCTGCGTGTGCCCATCTGGCTCAATACGTACTTCTACAATAATATGCAGAGTACTAGGTCATGAATTATTCTCAGTCTTGAACTCACTCTCAAGTGACGCCCATTACCATGTCTACTTGGTATCCTTCCTGGTTCCCCGGACTTCCGTCATTCGACTTCTCCTTACCCTCTGCAATTCAGCGTCGGTTTCTTTCATTCGTTCTCAAGAAGTCACTTGGACATCTCTTAAAGCCAGGGCAGCTCGATCTTCATCAGATAGACTCACAGATAGGCTCTGGGGTTGTACAAGTAAGGGATCTTGAACTTGATGACCAGGTTCGGCTTTTCTCTCTTAGTCTAACTGTCCATTCATTGACTACTCTAAAGGCGATAAATAAACTTCTTTCAGGATCACCCTTCAGACTCCATGATGGCTCCATATCTTGTGTAACTGCACAAATTCCTTTCCCCAATCCTCTCGTTTCTAGTGTAGGGCTTTCGGTACAGTCACTACACCTCACATTGCATGCCACCCCTCCATCCGACCTCGGCTCTCCAAACAATGTCGATCTTGCGCAATCTGTCGCATCAGTAGCGGAGACATTTATCCATGGCGAGCTTAGCCCTCGGGAAGAAGCCGCACTCCGAGAGTCTTTACATCCAGATTCCCGATCACAGCACGTTTATGATGAGGGTCATCACCTTCCCGGAGGGCTAGATCCATCTACCCGTGCAGATCCTAATGAAGAAATTGTCATTGATTCTGATCCTTCTGGGGTGTCTATATTTGCCACCCTCTTCGAACATCTGCTTGCACGCTTCGAGTTCTCTGCTGTAGACACGAAAATAGTCGTCGTCCACCCCGGGCGCTCAAGCTTTACCCTGTCAATACCAGAAATTGCATATAGTACGGAATCGGGTGTCTCAAAGCAGCAAGGTGCTGGAGATGGTTCACCGAGTAACGTTGCTCCTGAAAGAAGCCCACGGAGTGGTCACATACGTACAGTTTCGATATCAGGTATCGCCATTACCTCTCGGGACATTCGAGCTACTTTGCAGCGCCCTGTGGTCTCGCCACGAACCATGTCGCCTGTCTCGCTCACTTCGTCCCATGTCACGCTGCACGGTCATCAGCAGGCCCCTCGTCCTGTGTCCCCTGCGTCCTCTTGTTCCTCCATTGATGAAGACACGCAGATGATGATGTCACAGTCCATTGTTGCTCTTCCACCACGCAATCAGCTTCGGGCTTCCCCGTCTAGCTCAGTTCTCAGTAGCATGTATCAGAGTGCTGTCTCTACTGCTGGCTGGACTTCTTCAGCCATCCCCCTTGAGCCCCACGGCAATCTTGATAGGGGAGACATGGCTCAGCCACGCTCGTGCGACCACACAGCAGACATTGGAGAGTCCGCCCGTGTACCTCACTGGGCTACAGAAGATCTTGTTTTTTCTATCGGTGCAGACCCTATTGTGTTTCGATTACAAACGCCACCCAGCTACGCTAAGCATGACCTCGCACACACTTCGACCCCTGAGATGGTTTCGCCTCCCACGGAAAACATTCCTGTCAAGCAGGACGAAACCTTATGTCTCAGCGTCAGTGTTGGCATCATGTCTTGTGCTCTCCGGGCTTGTCACGTCCGCATGCTAATGGAAATGCTCAATTACTGCGGATCCAAGAGCGCTGGTACCACTCCAAAACCTGAGACTACATCAAGCCCACCGAATTTCCCGTGCAACTTGCACGCAAGTCTGAACATCCGCGGAATTGTGACCCTTTTCATCACTGAGGCCCTAGATCGAGAAGTTCCTTCGCTTGAAGCATTTTTCCAATCGCCACTTGTCCCTCCAAGATTGCCTTCGACATACTTACGCCTATTATTGGAGAACGCTACAGGTTCTTTTGATTTATCCGGGGCTCCTAGAAATCAGACTGATGCAGCACATGTTTCTCCAATAACGTCCAACATATTCATCTCAAATCTATCGGTCTTCACGTACCACTCATCCAGCACTGTCGGCAAGGACGCAGCGCAAGTTTCGTTACCCCTCCTGATTACAGATCATCATCTGCATAATCAATACATTGTCAGTCATCATCGCCCGTTTTTCTCTTCGACACCCATTCCGGCACAGCCGCTTTCTGAAGTAACATTACCCACTTTTGAGGTCGTGGATTGGACTGCTGTGAAACTTGCAGGAGGTTCTTCAAAACTATCAACATGGAGAGTGAAGTCATCTACAGGGAGAGATCAACTAGTACACAGTCCACCATCGACATCTTCTGCGTTCTCGACATCTCCAAAACCACCCACAGCAGTGTTGTTGAGGGAAGAAGAGCTCGAGGAGATGTCTCTTTCTAGTGCTATCACCTTCACTGCTCGGATCACCCCCGCGACCACCCGTTCAGGGGGTTTGACCGACATCTTGCTTCGGATTGCACCATTGCACGTGTTCTTCGATCTCGATATCATGCTGGAGGACGGCAGTATGCTCAAATTTCTTGACGAGGTCCTAGCAGCCGAAGGATATACTCGGAACGCTTCCGATACACCTCAAGGGCATAGTTCACTGGACGACACAGAAGAGAATGATTCAGAAAGCGATGCTGAACTCAACTATCCATTCATGACACCAAAGCAACTTGAACGTGAGAGGGAGAGAAGACGCTTGGAAAGACTTGTCCTCGAGGATTTAGATTTAGACATCGACTATCGGACCGGGGCACCATCAAGACAGAGACTCCACAGCAAGCGAGCTACAAAAGCCAAACTCAAGGTAGATGAGAGCGTAATCTACGGTTTTGGGTTATATATCTGACTTTATCATGCTGTTTTCTTGTAGTCCAAGTCCAAGCAGATGTCACATTCTAAGATCACCATTATCCTACCTGCCCTCCGCGCTGAGGTTCGATGCAGATCGCCACTCCTTCAGCCCTCCCAATCAGGAGGCATTATATTGGATCTCCATGACGTACAAATATCTAATAAACCCCTTGATCAAGAACCAACGACTGTCAGATTCGGGGATCATGGTGGTGAATCAAATAATCCCAGCGTCAAAAATCTGCCAGGACAACTTTTGAGTGGCCAGATCAGGGGAATTGTCCTATCGTATGTGCCGGTAGGAGACCCAAAGGCTCATGCCTTCATATCACTTGGTTCCTTACCACAGTCCGGATCAGCTTCATTGCTGTTGTCGGGACAGGCGCCAAACTCTCTTCCCATTCGCTTTCAATTCACGCAGGTGGCTCCATCAAAGTCTGCTATTTCTTCCTCGACACATAGGACTTCAATAATCATTGACGTCCCATTGGTCAACGTCGTCCTTGAAAAGCCAGTCTTCGATGGATTGCAAGTTTGGGCTGACAGTGTCACACAGGCAGTCACCACTGCCACGGAGGAGACAGAGACTGAAGTCGCTCAGAGCCGCAACCCGAGCCTGATTGGCAGTAGATTTTTTGCCAAATCAAAGCGCGTTGGGAGTCATGGTAGTGACGAGAGCAGCTTCGGCACTACAGCGCCAACGCCGAAACAAAGCGAGACGGCTGTGAAAGTGATCATTGCTGAAGGTAGAGTGGATTTCGGCTTCAGTTATCGTTCACGTTGATATCGTCGAAATGCAGCTCTAGTAAGAATACTGACATCCCGTTCTCAACCATCTGCACCGACAATCCGTCCTTTCGACATATCCGCCTCAGACATTGACGTCCTTGTTGAACTGAAACCTGAAGGCAAGGTATGTGGAATCGTAAGAATATATCTTCAAATTCCCATTTCGTTCGTTTTCTTTCAATCAGGATGAGACTGTCATAACCTCAAGTTTGATGGACCTTCATGTCGGGGATGTATCGCCAAAATGGGAGCTGGTGCCTCTCCTCGTGCTGACATTACCTCGCAGTCTGGTGCGTTGTGTGAATCATTTGTTGTAGTTGCGTCCCTCACGAAAGTCTAGTCCTCTGTGCCAAGACCAATGATAAAGGCTCGCTTCACCTCCCTCGTTGTTCCCGAAACCGGCGCAAAAGAGACTAAGATACGGTTGGCTCTCTGGGGCTTCACTTGTCATGTTTATCCTAATTTGCAATGGATTTCGGACTTGGCTCGATTTATGAAAGCTCCACCGGGGGTAAGTGTATCCTCCCAAAGAGTAGAATATATTAATGATCTTTTTAGGTTTTCGAATCAGTTGTTCCTTCCGAACGAACGTCTCTTTCTTTCGCAATTGTAGACGTATCAATCAAAACATATGCCCCTAGTCACCCTGGCTCTGCAATCTTGTACATTGGCGAAGCCGAGCTAAACACAGAGCTTGCTGGTAATTCCAGCGAGTTCAAGCTCAAGTTGCTAGTTCCTTCCTTGTCATTCTTAGTTATCGATTCCATGGCCGATTCCCCGGACCGTCCAGGTTCTGCCAAAACAAGCGGAGAATCCAGTCTCAGCTTGTGGAAGGTAATTTCTCCTTCAGCTCACAAGTAAAACAATGCGATGATGCTCGTGCACAGAACTTCGGGTTTGCATTAATTGCAGATATCGCAGATCTGGACCTTGTGTTCAAGACTGATAGTGCATGTGTCCCTCCAAGTGTTGGCGTAAGTCATGGTGTTCTAGGCTACTTTTCATCCCTCAGTCGAATCTAGGTACTTGTGAACGGAGTCAGTTTACGGGTGCACCTATGTGCGGACACTATAGCAGCACTGGCAGGTTATATGGGTGACTTCACGTCCATCTTCAAATCCCCTTCTCCCACAGAGTACGTGATTACCTAATCTTTCTGTATCGCAATGTCGCTTATAATCATTCCAGACCAGCAGTGTCTAGGAAGAAAGTTCCCGCTTCACTTGTTCATCGTCCACCTGAACAAGGCATGCTGGGTGATTGTTATTATTGCAGAAGATGCGAGCGTAACTGAGTGTTCTATTCAGCATCTCTCGACGAGCAAGCCTTCAGGCGAATTCCTGATGTCGGCAATGCAGCCGATATGATCAATGATGACTTACCGACGAATCTCGACTACCTGGACGAATCCTTTGGTTCGGCTGCTGGTCTACGGGAGCTTAGGGACGATGACCTAGAAGACTTCGATATGCAAGAGGACGGCCGAACAACACCAGTAGCTGGGGAAACAGGGGTCGTTTCAAAAGTAGGAGGAGAAACAATCCGCATCATCAAGCCTATCCGTCCTATCGAGCATTATTACGACACGATTCTCCCAGACAACACAGGTGATTTTTCAAAGTAAGTTTTTGCCTGTGACTTGCATTTTCTGTAATCGAGCTGTCGTGCAGTCTACACGACACTGTTCTCCGAGTGCGCATCCACGACTCTGACATATCGCTTTTCCTACACGACGGTTATGATTGGCCACGCACACGCAAAATTGTGGAGCAAGAAATCAAAGACATGCGCAAGAAGTTAGCCAAGATTAGGCAGCTGATTGCAACTGGTCAGACCCAAGATCCCAGCGTGGAAGAAACAAGCACGACGTTGTTCAACTCAATCCACATCGGCCTTGATCAGGACTTTGACAGTCTTGATCCGACAGCTCTTGTTGCCGCCATTGATGATGAACTCGAGAACGCAGAAACAGAAAGTCACAGCTCTTGGCAAACCCTTCCTTCAGCATCACCCGGACAACAGCGAATGCCCTCCGTTCACATTCATGGACGAAGGTTAACAAGGTCTAAGGGCCCGACTATCGAAATTAAACTAATTGGCCTAGACGCTGAAGTTGATAATTATCGTCATCGTCTGAAAGATGCACTCGTCTCCAGGACGTTGGTTGTGATAAAGGATGCTGAAATATTGGATCATGTCAAAACGTCCACCTGGAGAAAATTCCTGACCGAACTACGATCGGACTCTCGAGGCAATATTCGCGAGACGGACTCTAGTATGGTTCGCGTCGAGCTCAAGACTGTCCGGCCGTCTCTTTCCCATCCATCCGAGGAAACACGTTTACGTGTGAGTACTTGTCGAGTTAAGGCGTACTGACAGGGCTGATTCAATATTACCAAAGGCCAAACTCCTGCCGTTGCGATTATATGTTGATCAGGATGCACTCGACTTCTTGAAGAAATTTTTCGCCTTCAAAGATCCCGATAGTCCGTCCGCACCTGCTGATACTCCCAGCGAAGAGACATATATTCGTGCGTTCCTAATTCGAACGCTGAATGGATAACTATATTGATCTTTGTCCACAGAGCACGCCGAGGTCTTCCCGATCGATCTCAAGCTCGATTATAAACCTCGACGTGTGGATTACAGGGCTCTGCGAGAAGGAAAAACGATTGAGCTCATGAACTTTTTCCATTTTGATGGCGCGGAAATGACTTTGAGACATCTGACTTTGCATGGTGTACGTATTGCTTTGGTACGCTGTTGCATGAGTTCACTGGCCTTCACAGATCACGGGTTGGCCTCGGTTTTTTGACACATTGAACGACCTCTGGACGCCAGATGTCAAGGCAACCCAACTTGTGGATGTCATTTCTGGCGTAGCACCCATTCGTTCCATGGTCAATGTTGGCTCTGGCGTAGCAGACCTCGTTTTGCTACCTATTGCGCAGTACAAGAAGGATGGACGCATCGTCCGTGGTGTTCAGAAGGGTACCAAGGCATTCGTACAGTCAACTGCAATGGAGGCGATCAAACTTGGAGCTCGGCTGGCAACCGGTACTCAAGTCATTCTAGAGCAAGCTGAAAGCGTGCTTGGAGGCCAGTTCAAAGATTCCGTTACGGCAGAAACGTTCCACATACCGTATGACGATTCTGGGGAAGGACCGGATGAAGAATTAATTAGCAGATATGCCACCCAGCCAGCTGGTGTTACAGAGGGAGTTCAATCAGCATATCGCAGCTTGCAAACAAACCTGCATTCTGCTGCCCAAACAATACTGGCTGTTCCCATGGAAGTGTACGAGAAGTCCGGAAACGAAGTGAGTGGCATCTATAATACTCGCTGGATGCCAAGCTGACATAGAGTAAGGGTGCGGTGCGGGCTGTGGTGCGAGCTGTCCCAATCGCAGTCTTGAAGCCCATGATTGGCGCTTCAGAAGCAGTCAGCAAAACTTTAATGGGACTTCATAATACCCTGGATCCCAACGTTCGCCATGAGAATGCGGCGAAGTATAAACATCGCTAACGCTCTACTCACCCACTGTAATATATCATCATGGTTGTATTAGGACTTGTATCATGGTGTACCATCCCATCATTAGCCCGTATACTCAAATCGTTAATCATGTCATGTACTATTCCTCTGTCAATGAAAAAAAAAATTCTGCAGAGTATAAGCACCAATGACCGCCAGTTGCATTCACCGCGTGATGTCATGTAACTGTTTTAAGTTTTTTTGCTGTTCTTAGTGCTGTACGGAATGTTGGATACCGAAAACACTTTGGATTGCCTGCCCTGTAAACAGCAAGACGGTGCCAAATGGAGCCGAGAAGATCAAAAAGTGATGTTGTTCAATTATCATGTCCTATGGAAAGTTATACTCTATGGGGGACAATTCGGACACCCGCTGTGCCTAACACATCCCTGGACGTTGAACAGGTGCTGCTCATCAACAACGCACTGGTATACAGCTCGGTTGGTCATCAAGGTCAAAGAACTCATCAAAGAAACCAGGACCGTGAGTTCTGTGCCAGAGACTTCACGGCCCTTGAGAAATGCGGACCGGTTAGCTAAAAGCAGGTGGGCGATGTGATAAGCTTGTTATGAGCGTGCATGATGGTTTCAAAGAATGAGTAAGCTCGGATAGAGCTTATAAACTGGAAAGGACCTAGGTAGGGTGATAATCAGGAAAATTATCGTAGGACCATAAATAAGAGAGCTCGCCTCGGTCTTGGATCGAAAGACACAGGAGATAAATCGATAAGCTGATTGAGACGGAGAATCAAATGTAAACGTGCATGAGGCATGTAACCGCGTACGTAAAGGAAATGGATGAGTCCGTACGAGCGTCGTCGAGAGTCGAATCTTGATAGATAGTTCTGATCAAAGGGACTTGACGGAAAAAAACAACTAAGAAACTCACCTCATAAACTGAAAGGTCGAGTTATGAGGATGTGGTCTTTCCAGAGGATGGATATCGTTTGGGGTTATGAAGTGTTAACACAGCGGAAAGACTCAAGTCTGGATCGGGTCGGATTAGAACAGTTTACTTGATTTACATCCGTTTACGTGGTCTCGCAATCGAATTTTGTTCACATCGAGTTCGAGTCTGGAGTAGGTCTTACATCTGTACCACGTTGGGTTATACACCTCAACACCTTGGATTAGCTAAAATCCATGTCCATCGAGCGCCCTTCCCCTCTTATAAGGGCACTTCCGCTTTTCGCTGGCACTTTAATTTTTTCTAGTACTTCAACGGTTTCCTCCATTGCAGTAGGTTCGAGCAGTTTGACGGACACCGACTTGGCAGCCAACTTCTTTGTCCTGTGCGCGCGTTGTTTCTCCCGAGCAACCGACATTCTGAAATAATATAAGTTAGTGTGGGAGATAGATACTTGGGCACGGAAAGTAAGAACCTTTGCTTCCAGAATGCATGCTCTCTCCGCTGCTTAATCTGTCCGATGCGTTTCATGGCGTTGATCGTCGTATGTATCAATTCGCGATCGTAGCGGACAGGTACGTTTCTACGCTTCTCAAAGTCGATCGTAGAGTCCTTTTTGCGAGAAGTGAGTAAAAATCTCTTAATATGAGAAAATGAACGTACAATCGTCATTTCCTTCCCTGCTGCTTTACGGAAAGCCTTTGTCCATCTTACTTTTCGAGGATTTCGCTTCATTCTAGGAGGACATTAAACATGGATCGAAAGATATGGCTTAAAAGTAACTTTCTTGAAGTTTTTGTGACATCTAAAGGTTTGATTCAATAACGCAGACTCTGGTTTTCTGCAGGACTAACTTTGAAGTGCAAAACCGGAATACTTTTGAATCATTGCGGACAAAGGCACTTCCTGAACATGCTGTGAGATGATTTATTGAACAGTCTCAAGTTTCCATTGCTCACCGTGCCCAGGATACACGCTCGTTGAGCAAAAATAACATTTCTCGATACGCATGTCTGCTTGAAAGAAAGGATAGCCGTGGGAAACAAATACCACCACTGAGAGCCATGTGCAGTATCAGTGCGATGGGAAATGCACTATTTTCACTTATCGCTGAATAACATTACAACAATAAAACATATTCGTATCGGATTTACTCTCAGGTATACCTTAGGTCTCTGCACATTAGGCCCAACCAGATTTTTTTTTCATTTTGTTGGGAGCCTGTTGCAGCGGCAGCACTGGATGGTGTCGAAAACTCAATAGATTTGATTTCGGCACACTATTATGTCACGCGTGGTACCTCATGGCTAATACATCCAATAGGGAATGATCTCAACCACAACCCTGGTGTGTGCCGATTCACTTCATTCAGGACCTTCCGCGCCTTGTGGCCTTGCTCTTTATCATGCAACGCATGAGATACAAGAAATGGGGACCTCACCCGTTGGTCGAACCTGAACCTGGATATGAAGGCGAGATCATCATCGAGTGTGAGAACAACACGGACAAGGACAGCCATGATCAAGAGGGCCAGAGAAAAAGCGCGTCGATCTTACGATTGGATTTGAGGTCTGACAAGCGCACAACTCATTTTGGTCTACGCGGACGCACAACGACTGTTTCCCCAGTGAAGAGTAAGGCGCTTTCGGCTCTGCCGCGGCTGTCTCATTCTCTCAACGAATCCACCGAATTGGTTGCCAAGCTTTTTTGGCCTGAAGACGCACGGCAGAGCGAGCCCGAGGTCCTCGAAGAGGTCTACAAGATTGCGACTCAAGATCCGGATGTGTTGGGCCATGTTCCAGACATGGTCTGATTCCACAAGTTTGAAGAAACATCCACGGCGACGATCAGAAAGGCACTAGGAATCGACGATGCAGGTAGCCAGGTCCTATACATCATCATGTTCAGAAAGCTTGACCCAATCACGATGCTGAGTGGGAGGAATTTATCCTCGCATGGTGGGAAGTCGTCAATTGTAAGTATCCTGTTCCTTTTTGTATACTTTATCACCCATTCACTGTTCGCACAGGCCATCGTGCCTTCTGGAAGAATGGCGTGCATCACCGCGACATCAGCACCAGCAATCTAGCCCCAGCAATCTGATGGGATACCGCTTACGTGGTCGATTCATGAGTGTCCTCAATGATTTCGACTTGTCGTCGATCGAACAATCTTTGTCCTCGATTAAAGACGCTCCCAAAGGCTTCGAGCGCACAGGAATGGTACCATTCGTGCCATTAAACCTTCTCACACCAGAAGCCATTGCAGGCGAAGTTGAGCACGTGTACCGGCATGATGCCGAATCGTTCATCTGGGTCCTCACTTGGATTTGTCTTCGATATGAAAGTGGCAAGCTCCTCAACAAGGGCAGGCGACTGGATGAATGGCTGATGGTAGATGCTCTTGGATGCGCAAAAGAAAAGGTCTCCTTTTTGTTTCAAGGAACGCTTAACAAAAAATTGTGGACACCGATATCGCAGTGTGTCCTGGGAGGTTGCAAAGAAGTGCTTAGGGATGGTTTACCAATATGGAGGCTCATCGAATCCCGCCTTTACGAACAATGAAGAAGTGTCCCAAACATGGCTCCAGCATCGTGTGCCGACAGATATCATTTAAGTCAATTGCTCGTTCTGGCCTACTCCAGTAGGTATGCTTGCAGTTGAGGCAGCGTACCTCCGAAATGCGATACCACGTACTATTTTGTATTTGTTAGCAAAATTTTGGGTTATCCATATTGGGCGCATAATTATGACGCTGGATAGTGAAGAGGGGCAAGCTTCAGAGTACTTGTCAAAGTTGGCATGCCATTTGATGTCGGCTACAACAGTACTTGATGTCAATAGACAGTGATGTGCCTGGCAGATGCAAAGCTCGACCAAATACTAGTAACCCAGCCAGGAACCAGGCTGGGCACCATCTACCCGTGTCAGGCCTTACAATCATTGCTTCAATTTCTCAACCAACTCCGGCACTACCTCAAAAAGGTCTGCCACTAACCCTACATCTGCCACTTGGAAGATGGGTGCGTCGGGATCCTGAAAACCAATTACAAGGGGTTGAGAGTGTTTGTGAGAACGCACATACCTTATTTACTGCCACAATGAGTTTGGAATCCTTCATGCCGGCAAGGTGCTGGATAGCACCAGAAATCCCCAACGCCATGTACAGTTCAGGAGCCACCACCTTTCCTGTCTGCCCAACTTGCAGGGAGTTATCTGCGTACCCTGCATCTACAGCAGCACGGGATGCTCCAACCGCAGCACCAAGTGCATCAGCAAGGGGATACAGAGTAGACTGGAAAGTCTCTGCATTCTTCAATGCGCGTCCCCCAGAAACAACGCGACTTGCAACACCCAAGTCAGGGCGATCTGATTTCGTTAGAGATGTGTTGATATGTTCCGTGGGTGCATCAGACACCTCTACAGAATCGAGGGCTTTGACTTCGCTCTCTGCTGCATCTCCTGCTCCAGCAGCCGCAAATGCGGTGGACCGGACAGTGAAGAACTTGATAGGGATGGAGGAGGATGCACGAACTGTTGATATGGCGTTACCGGCGTAGATGGGACGGGTGAATGTAGTGCTTCCCGATGCTGCGTCATGTTCGAGAGACGTAATATCAGATACGGCCGGAACATCTAGTTTTGCTGCGACTCGAGGAAGGATAGACTTGGCAGAGCTAGAGTGAGCAGAAACGACATGCGTGAAGGGCGAGCTCTGTGATAGAAGCTTTTCCAAGAGTGGAGATACTGTCTCAGGTAACAGCGTGGTGTACTGTGGAGATGCGCAATGCAGCAGTAAGGTCAAACCGTTTAATCTAGAAGGGATCAGCGATGGATCAGAGGGGGTTCAAAGGCAAACCTCTTAGCCTTCTCTACAACAGATGGCACCTCCTCGGGGCTGCCCACGACAAGGCCCGTGACTTGACCACCCAACTGAGATGCTGCCGTTAAGGCAGAAAGTGATGCGGAGTCAAGGTTGCCCTGGCGGTGCTCCAAAAAGACAAGAGCATGGGGTGAAGCAGCTGTCGCATAGCTGCGAACGGGTACCCTGTTCAGCAATGAAATCCGTGCTTTCAACATCTTGAGAGGACTTTGCCGAAGAGATTCTGACAGATAACGAGATAGTTCATGCTAAGTCTCTATATATACATGTCTCTTTATGTAATTTTGTACTTATGGTTTCAAAATTATTTTATAGTAACCGGTGAGCCCGCGCCAGCCTGCTGCGTGCAGTGATTAACCTGTGGACGAGATCATGCATAAACCGGTCACCGTTAAAATGATCGTCGTCTCATTCAAGCGACTTATCAAACTTTATTCCATATTGTGCCTCTCCGACTGTACTATCGTAGTACGTGGTGGACCTGTCGGGATCTAGCAACTTCGCGTTCGCAATCGTTCTGATCAGGCGTTGACTGGCACTACTACGCCTTATCGTCTCCTGGCCTATGAGAAATTCCCTGACAAATATACTGGAATCCCTTCGTCGGTGATGTTTGACATGACTTTTGGCCTGACAGACACTCCACTCCGACTGCGTTTGAAGATGGCCGCTCAGGGTGCTCAGCCAGGCACTTGCCACCAGATAAATTGTCTTGCTGCGAGCGTGTTCAACTGTCACTGAGGCACAGTGGTGATAACCACCAGAATGTCTGAAACTCACTATTACGGAAGCATGCGAGACGCCATCGAACACGGCGAAATTTCGATAGAATAAGTGTGACAGGAGCGGTGATGAGAGACAGGCCCGGGTAACTTGATAAATAGCCATGCGCACAAGATATGCGGGATCTCAAAGTGATATTGCGTGATAGAGTGCAGGGTATATGGGGTAATGTCATGCATGTCAGTGGTAGGCTACTGCAGGCAGTCGTACTCGTCTGATACGAGTAGTGCGGTATAGATCCTGGCTTGTAAAATGATCAGAACACAAATTTAAGAATTACAAGGAGCGAGAGAGTTCAGACTCGAAAAGTACTCGGTCGAGGAGATGAGGCACAAGCTTAAAGGTCACCGCTCGACGTGATCGGTCACGGGTCCGGCGGCCACAGTTTCTCACGGAAGCTGACCTTGTTCGTCCACACTCTGGGCCTATCATCGATTGTCTATCAAATGATCAATCTCTCGTTGGAGTGCCTTTCCCAAACTAGTCGCCGGTCGCCCATACTATGTCCTATTCTTATGCATTCCCCGAACCTTCGATATCGTGAGGTTTACAATATATATTGCGAGCTACTTTCGTATATATAGTACTCACCGTTTTACAAACCCCGAATATCAAGCTTTAACACCGTTTGAATTCGTTCTGTGCTGCCTAAACGTTCATAACTTTGTTCTCAGTCATCTACTACTCAGGTCAGCCGACTTGTAACTTCAATCTGCATTCGATCACTTACTCGCGTCTTATAGCGCGCACTCAGTCTACCATTCAATAAGAAATGGACTCGGACTCGGATGTGCGCATGTTTCTAACAGGTTATCAGCATGTCGCGTTCCCCGACCTTTCTGATAGTCGCGTTCATCATAACTCTACCACCTACGTCAAGTCAGCATCTCTCGACTTGGTGGCTTTCCAACAGTGCGGTATAGATACACCAGGATCCGCTGCCCTATTGCTTGCCTCGTTTTGTAACATATTGGGCTTGTACTGCGCATCCTCAGACATCTTGGTCGGCATTCTATCAGCAGGCGCAACTCTCCCCTCTCGGTTTCGTTGGAATGCCGAAACAGTTTGGGGCGATCTAGTGGACGAAGCTCGTCGTTCACTCCACGAAACTGCATCCCCAAATTTCACCGAGTCTGAGTTGAAGAGTGAGCTCGGCTTGAAAGAGGACCAATCACCATTTACTGCCCTCTTCGTCCTTGCTGATTCTGGACCAGAGAACGTATACATCCCAGATGACCTTAGATCTCCTTTGCTTTTGTTTGATCCTTCGGCAGCTTTGCTGTCTGTCCGAACTTCATCGCGCCTTGTACACCCTGCCGTGGCCGATCAGTTACTTGCTCAGATAGCGGTACTGTCGGTGCACGCAGCTCAAAACCTCATTTCAAAGATCTCATCACCTCCTTACCCAGCTGACTTTGCATCTACCTTCCAGTGCCTTTCCTCTGAGGCTCGTGCGTCCGTTTATGGTCATATCCGTCCTGTCACCATTGCCACAGACTTTATCCTCCCCTACGTCCAAGCCGATCCTAATGCCCTAGCAGTGTGTTGGTACCCTACTTTGCCAGCGGGTCCTAGAGACAATCTCGTTCCAGAAACACTGTCTTATGGCGATCTTCATGTCCAGGCCAACAAACTAGGTCGATACCTCATATCTCAGCAGTTGAAGCCTGAGGACAGGGTTGCTGTGTGCATGGATCGTAACCCACTGTTTCACATAGTCCTGTTTGGAATTCTGCGTGCCGGGGGTTGTTATGTTCCAGTCGGTATCAAGAAATCATCATTTTTATATGCGCTGATTTAATGCAAAGATCGATCCCGAGCTTCCAGACGAAAGGAAGTCATATATAGCAAAGGACTCGGGCGCTAGATTTGTCATTTTGGAGTCTCATAGGCACTCTCCTGAAATATTCGGGGACATTGTCCTCGATCTTGATGACGATCATATCTCGCAAGATATACAGGCAATGACTACAGCCGATCTGGCCGTTGCACTTCCAAACAATCTGTCGTATCTGCTCTATACATCTGGTAAACAATATCAGAAAATTCACTCGTATCCAGTGAATCTGACAACAACTCTAGGTACCACCGGTAACCCAAAAGGCTGCCTTCTCACCCATGAAGGTCTCGTTGAAGCGATACTAGCGCTAAGCTCCTTCTCAGCTGCTGTCCAAATGGATAATATCCGAGATGGAAGATATCTTGGCATTGCCTGTAGGAACAGTCTTCCCCCTCATTTATTCTCCTGACTTGGGCTTTGAACCATAGCTGTTGCGTTTGACGTACATCTCTCGGAAACCCTTGTGTGCCTCTCTCTGGGTATGGTCATGATTTCTGCGCCACGCGGACTACTGCTGGAGAATCTTCCTCATTATATCAGTCGTTTTGGCGTGACGCACGTTGGACTCGTGCCAAGCTTGATTGACGCGACTATGGGCACCATTCAAGAAGATGAAGCGATGGGTGGCATGAAACTGCGATTCATCGGCAGTGGTGGAGAGAAAATCAGCGACACAGTGAGGGCATTGTATCTCAATACCCTACGAGTCCTGAAATGGGAATGATAGATTCTAGACAAGTGGGCGGATCATCCCAAAGTCCGACTTGCAAACTTCTACGGGTAACTGATTAAATTCTTCTTACCGCCGATATCTTTCTTACCACGTCCCACAGCCCCACCGAGGTGACCATAGGATGTTGTGCTCGTTTTATGGATGGCAACACACCCAAAAACAACGTTGGACAAGCCTTCAGTAATGTTGCGGCTTACGTCGTTGATCAGAATCTCGATATATTGCCGCGGGGGGGCGTCGGAGAGCTCGTCGTTGGTGGCCCCCTTGTTGGGCGCGGCTACTATGGACGTCCGGATCTAACGGATAAAGTATTTATTGAGTGGCCACAGAAAGGTGCTTGGGCGTATCGCACGGGGGATCTAGCGCGTATGATGCCCGATGGATCATTGGAAATAATCGGCAGAATCGATACTCAGATCAAGCTACGCGGAGTGCGCATCGAGTCGGAAGGAATATCCGCTGTGCTTCAGCGAGCTGCTCGGTCCTGCCTGCAGCTGAACCTTGATGTTGGGACCATTCTTGGGACCCATCCAGAGATTGGAGGCGGCAGCTCACCGCAGCTGGTTTCTTTCATTTCTTGGGATACGGGAATATCAATCACTACGAGACGGGGCGGTTCTAGACCTGGACTGGTGGAAGCCGGAAGTGACCTCTTGCGCGTTTTGCGTGATGCATGCGAAAAGGAACTCGCAAGTTACATGCGCCCTGCCCATATAATAGCCCTCAATTGGCTTCCGCTTAATGCCAACGGCAAAGCGGATACCAAAGTCTTGACCTCCATCTTTTCAAGACTGGATTTTAACGAGTTGATCGGACTCCAAGACCCTACTGGCCACGTTGACAACCCAGACAGTGATAGCCCTGCTTCTGACCTCGAAGAACGGATACTAGAGCTCTTGAGAGAAAGCTTTGCGATTACGACTTCCGGTGGACCTATTGGTGTGCATACTAGCTTGTTCGCGCTTGGAATGGACTCCTTGTCACTTGCGCGGCTTGCATCCACACTCAGGAGGACCTTTAATATCGATATAACTGTCGCAGAAATAATGAAGTCTCCTACTGTCCGGGGTCTGTCTACTCGACTGGAAGGTCTCGTCGTTTCGCGACCAGGAGCAGATGCACCGGATATCGACAACTTCTCGTCACTATGGATGCCAGAAATTCAGAAGAAAATGCCGCGTCTCCACATAGAGCGTGTTCTTCCCTCTTACCCTATCCAAGAGGGTCTTCTGTATCGTTCGGAGAGTTCGCCAACGATGTGTGTGCAGCATGTCGTGATGCGAGTTCGAGATGATGTCTCTATACCGCAATTGCGTAGCGCCTGGGAGAAAGCAGTGGCAGATATCGATATTCTAAGGTTTGAACATTACCATGCCTTTGAATCTCTCTCATGGTATCATGATAGGACTATATTTTTCTTCGGTAAGACCTTGGTCCAGGTGATTTTGTCGCGGGAAACCTGTCACCTTCATTGGGAGGAGTCTTCCGTTGCGGCGAGCGACAATGAAACCTTCTCCAACTATTTCTTTGATGAAGAAGCCGCGAGAGTTACTGTGGAGATCAACGCCCTCATTACTTCTGTACCGCCCGTTCGTCTTCGGCTCTACCGCCAATCCTGCGACACTTATGTCGTACTATCCATTCATCACGCTTTGTTCGACGCTATTTCTCTACCTCGCATACTGAAGTACGTCGAGGATGCATATCTTGACAAGCCGCTTCAGAATTTAATCCCTCCCGATCAAATTTTGGAACACGTAACGTTCCGGGATTTGACGCCTGCTCGAGAGTATTGGACGTCGACTCTTCATAATTTTAACTGGTCTTACCGCAATATGATGGATGTGCCCCAATCAGCTTCTCCTAGACGGATTTCCATAATCCTCGATACGCCGTTTTCATACTTCCAACAAATGCTTGCCCATTGCCAAGTGACATTGCAGGCCGCGTTGACTTGCACCTTTGCTTCGGTTCTCGCAAACCATTTGTGCCAGTCGGACGACTTAATCTTTGGGGTGAGCTTTACCATGCTTGAGCTGGGCATCATTAACCGTGCAACTCAGATCATTAGATCAGGGAGGTTAGCACCTGTCGAGGGTATGGGCGACGCCCTCATCCCTCTGCTATCCCTTGTCCCTATGCGCGTCAACCTCAACAACCCTGATTGTCTTCGTAAAGTCCAGGATGACATCATTGCCGCGATTCCATTCGAAAATGTTCCTCTTGGGCAGGTACAGAAATGGGTTAGACCGGGTGCTGGTTTATTCGACATTCTTTTCTCGGTCAGGCCCGAAGACCAACCTGCGTACGAGCTCTTTGATGTCGTGCGGAGTGAATTGCCTCAGCCTGACGTGAGTCTTCTGTCTCATACTTCATCCTGCTGAGTTTTAACTACCCTCACCCAGTTCTTCCTGTCTGTGGAAGTTGTAGTGGACGTCTCAACAGATCAGCTCGTTCTTCAAGCAGCCTTTTATGATGACGGATCCCAGTTTGCCAATATTCAATCGATGCTTCTTCAATTTGAGTCTGAGGCTCGCAGTGTCGTGATCTCCGGAATGCCCCATGTCACTGTTCTACAGAAGTCCCCAGTCAATCGAATGGAATCCATGCCACCGGTTGTTACCGCTAATGGCACACATAATTCTAATGGGGAAAGGGGCATCAGTGTCGCGCTGCACTCTGTGAGGAAGATCATAGCTGAGTTTTTGGGCGTTGATCCCCAACGGCTATGGTCGAGAACATCATTTATTGCTCTGGGTCTCGATTCCATCAGGTCGGTGGGGCTTTCGCGAGCACTTAAGGAAGAAGGATACCACGTAACTGCAGCAGAACTTATGAAGTTCGCATGTCTGGCTGAACTAGAGTCCTTACCGACGCTATTGCAAGATCCTGGTCGTGCGCAGTTGGAGTTGGAAGCCCAGGATCTATTTCAAGAAAAATGTCGTACACTGGAGTCCCATTTTGACGTCGCCACCTGTCGGTTTTCTGATCGCGATGAAGTCAAGATACTTCCAACGACTGCTTTGCAGGCAGGGATGTTATCACAGGTAACAAACAACTCCTCTTCTTTGAGTGTAGTTTCTGATATGCTGCTCAGACGGTCATCTCTTCAGGTTTGCTCTATAATCACGTATTCATGTTCAAGCTGGCATCTTCCGTGGATCACGCCCGTCTTCGTCAAGCTTGTCAATCTATTGTCACGAGCTGTGACATCTTTAGGACAACATTCCATTACATCGTCGACCTGGGGAAATGGGCACAAGTTTCGCATTCTGATGCGCCCATGGTTTGGATCGATGTCACTCTGCGTGCTGGAGAATCTCTAGATGCGATGATCAAAACTGTCACCGCATCAACGAGCGTATCAGAACAGGGAACGTTAAAGCCTTCGTTGGCATTTTGTTTAGTCGAACAGCAGGAAGACGTCGGGACCAAGAACTATTTCTTTGGAATTGCCATGCATCATGCTATATATGATGGTGTTTCCGTCGGAGCGCTCCTCGAAGAGCTAGAGCGGGCGTATCGAACCCAGTCTTCTACCACACTACCTCAGTTCTATGACGCGCTTCCTTTGATACTGCGGGAAGAACATCAAAGCATTCCCTTTTGGGTCCAATATCTGCAAGACTTTCGTCCTGTTCCATTACCTCGCGCGGAGTCTACACAGCCTTCGTCTGCTATCTGTTCTCGTCGATTGAGGCTAGACCACCATATTCTGAAGACGGCTGCCAGTGATGCGGGTGTCACGCTTCAGTGTTTGGGGCAGGCAGCTTGGTCAAAGTTCGTCTCGTCGAAGGTATCTTCCTGTGACATAATGTTCGGGCATGTTGTCTCCGGACGCTCTTTCCCAGGCTACGAAGACGTTGTCGGACCCATGTTGGTACGTGTTTTGACCGAGGGGCAGGCTTACGCTGACCATACGGGGTGTAGAACACTATACCATGTCGTGTTCGTATTGGCGAAACCACGACAAACAGGGACTTGTTGCGTTCTATCCATGCAAATAACTTGGCCGCATTAGAGTGGCAACATGCCTCGCTTCGTGACATACAGTCCGAGACGGGGCTCTTTGATCTATGGGACAGCATATTTGTCTTTCAACCTCTACAGTCCAAATACTCAAGTCCTTTATGGAGTTTGCTCAATCCAGACGAGTTTCAAGCCAACGTTCAGGTACATACTTTGCACCTTTCTGTCTACTATACTAATTGGGCTGTTTTAGTATCCATTGAACTGCGAGTTTCACGAAATGGATGATGGATTTTCTGTGACGTTGGCTTGCCTGTCAAATATCATGGATATGGAGTCTTTGGATCATGAAATATCGCGACTCGAAGCCTTTCTCGTCACTATTATATCCCAACCGAATGCCAAGGCTGTCGCAGATCTTCCCTTTGACAGCTGGAAACTTCCCCTCCATAACGATGTGCTGACCGCCAGCATTGCACCCCACAAAGGAATAGATCATTTACCTCCTGCGTTGGTCAATGTCCTGACTTCTGTCGCCAAATGTTCTGTCGATAAGCTAGACCCGGACAGACCAATTGCGGCTATTGGGATTGACTCGATCACAGCGATTCAGCTCAGCGCAAAATGTAGGGAGGCAGGAATCCCATTGAGCATTGCGGATATCGTCGCTTGCCGTACAATCGGTGATTTGGCTACAAGGGTAGTCGAAGTGGAAAGACAGCCAAGGACCGATCCACCGCGTCTGGATTATTTAGTCCCTGAAATCAATTTTCAAACTTTCGCCGACAGATTCCCATCTGACCTGCGCGGAGACCTTGCGTTCACTCGGGCAACCTCTGGCATGAAATGGCTCATCTCCGCTTGGCAAAAAAGTCATTATGCGCGATTTCAGCATGTATTCGCCTATAAAATGACCCAGAAAATCGACCCTGAACGACTCCGTAGCTCATGGACGGAGTTCATTTCTCGACATCCCATTCTCAGGTCGACATTCGTCTCCGCAAAGTCTCATTCGGACGTCCAAATAGCGACTTTCATTACCGACAAGATGGGAAGCTCATTTACCATTGAGCCATTCGATGATTCGCCTGACAACGCGGATAGCCTGAAGGCGCGGATGAATACGATCGTTTCTCGCCCACCTCCAACCGATGGACCTCAGACCTACGCACTCCTTTTGAATGGCTTGCACAGCCAATATTTACTGATTAGAATGCATCATTTCCAATACGATGCCTGGAGTCTTGCCCTTTTGATCGAGGATCTCTCTCATATCTACCTTGAACAACCCTCGTCGGTCACATCAGATTATGGAACGTTCATGTCAACATTTGCACCAACGCAAGAAAATCTCCAGAAGCAGGAAGAATATTGGCGGTCCATCTTTTCACCCTCTTTCCGGCCAGAATACTTTCCTCAGCTCAGACCAGTCAAGGACGAGATTATCTCTCGGACTGTTGTCATCGCAAAGGATGCGGTACACGGGGCATCTACTCTTGAACAGCGCGCTCAGGCACATGGCGTGTCGCTACAGAGCGTTTTGCTGGCATGCTGGGCATACATCCAGTCTTCCTATATGTCGCCTGAGCAAGTGACATTTGGATTATGGCACGCAGGTCGAACAGGACCTGTCGAAGATATTGACAGATTAGCGTTCCCATGCATGAACGTGCTGCCAATGCACGCTCGTCTTGGAAGCAACAGCATCATAGATGTTGCTCGTAGCATTCAAGATGACCTACGGTTGCGCACTCCTGTCGTCCAGCAGACTGATCTTCAGATGATAGACCAGTGGATAGGAGGCACGGGTGCACCATTGTGCAATGTGTTTGTCAATTTGATTAGGTTACAGCTTCCGTCAGACGACGGAAAGGCGGGACTGTTTGAACCGGTAGATGTCAGTGATGTTCCAAACGAGATTGCTTAAGTCTAACTCTCACAAACAGATCCCTTACATGATACCGGAAGACGTCCCAGAACCAAATCCACAAACTGTCGACTGGATCCCTATGTCGAATCTTATACAGGTCAGATTCTTGACGTATTTCTCGCCTAGAGACCACATTAAATTGCAATTTAGGACGATGTTATGGTTGAAATTATTGTACACCCTTTGGAGGATACAATAACGATGTCGATCGAAAGTGCCCCAGCTATCATGGACACACAACTCGCTAAGGAAGCTATTGACTGTTGGTCAGAAATAGTTGGAGGTCATTGGGAAAGTAGAGTGTTCTCGTCAACATGAGGAGTATATCAATGTAATGTACAATATTTAAGTACTCACAATACTAGTCTAGATGTGATGACCTTTCCGGGCAGCGTCTAAGCATTCTTGCTCTAAGCCGCCGTACCAGATAACCTCGATACCGGCATCCTTCAACTTTTGCGCACCCTCACATTTGACAAAATCATCTGGCTCTCGTACACCTATAATGCAACGTCTGATTCTGGCGCGAATGAGGCCATCAGCGCATGCAGGCAGGCCGGATGTTCTGACTGAGCATGGTTCAAGCGTGGTATAGACGTCTACGAGGGGAAGAAGGTCTCCTAAGACAGGTACTGCTTCCCATGGCCATGGAGAAACGAGAGATTGTAGCTGCGAGGAAGAGAGATTCTCAAGCTTGGCCAAAGCATTTGCCTCGGCATGAGTGTTCCCTGGTAATTCCCTCGAGAAACCCTTAGACAACACAATTGGTTCCGAGTCTGGCAAGCGCACTACAATGATGCATCCTACACAGAATGCTGTCGGTACAGGTTCGCATAACGCAGCCTGCTCTAATGCCTGACGCATAAATGAATCATGCTCGTGCTCTTCTGGAGTCCGCGACTCGGATTTAGACGTCATGGTAGGTGATTAAAGGTACTGCCAAATTGCTGTCGGGGCTTTGCGTGTCAGCTTCGTTACTAGTGAACATTCTATGTGACTTACTTGTTCCTGGAGGCTTGAAACAGGTCGGGGACCCGGCGGGAGTAACGATGTACAACTCTGGGGCTTGACTAATAAAGTTCGGCATTAATTCGTTGTATTATTACGTAACAGCGTGTGGCGCGGCGAAGTCCGCGTAAATTGAGCACGTCTTGCTCATGAACCATCATGTCTTCGCCTTCAGCAGATCCTGTTGACCGTGTCGTCGAGGACGATGATACAATGGCCTCTGTTCAGGAGGAAGAAGTGGAAGGCGATGCCACTATGGCAGATCCCCAAGTCATCTCGGACGATAGCTCTGAGGAGGCGGAGGAAGACGAGGAAGAGGCGAGAAGAATCAGGGAAGGCTTTATCGTAGATGAAGATGAGGATGAGGAGGAAGACGAGGACGAGGAAAGGCATCGGCGAAAGAAGCGGCGTAAGAGGAGACACCGGAGGCGCGGTAAGCATATGAATTGGGTTTATTAATACGACGTTCTAAATATTTCCTTAGACGAGGAGGAAGCCTTGGAAGATGATGACCTTGAACTGCTGGAGGAAAACACAGGCACTTCATTTAGGAATCGACTGACTCGTTTACGGCGCGGGCCAGAAGGTGGTTCCCCACCCGCCCCATCGACCTCTAAGCGCAAGCCAGTTGTGGAATCGTCAGAAGATGACTTAGATGATGAGGACCTGCCGCAAGTCCAGGATATTCAGCGAATTTGGGATGATGAGCGCGCTGGAGGTGGACGTGATGATGAGGAAGACATGGATGATTTCATCGACTATGAAGATGAAGACGAAGGTGCTGGTGCTATGGACGAGCAGGAACGTGAGGAAAGACGAAGAGAGAGGAAAAAGCGAGAGAGGGAGAGGCGGAGAGCTATTGGCTCTCGTCCTGAGCTAGCGGGTATCGACGACATGTAGGTCGATTGTCGATTCCTTGCGTTACATTATTGACAATGGGTGCAAATTCAGGGCATGGGACGAAATACATGGCGTCTTTGGAGATGGCCATGACTATGATTGGGCATTGTTGGGTGACGATGAAATAGATTTCGAGGAAGAGCGTCTTAAGCCAGAGATGAGATATCAAGACGTACGTATACTCTTTCAACTTCTCCTATATAATATATTTACTCTCTTCCAATAGGTATTCGAACCATCAGAGATCCGTGCGCGTATGTTGACTGAGGACGATGATCTGATTCGGGCACAAGACATACCAGAGCGCATGCAATTAGCAACTTCGTCGCTTTCTCAATCGTCCACGCTATCCCTCCATCAGAACCTCACTGAAGCTGATTTGGACGATGCAGCAATGTGGGTTACCGTCCGGCTATCTCCTCGGAAAACACGAGATTTCTTTAGTCAGGAAGGCCCGTACAACATGTATCGCGAGCCTTTGGTCATGGCCGTGACGTATGCTCTTCGCTTTCTCTTCGTCCAGGAGTTCGAGGTCCCGTATATTTGGACTCACAAACGGGACTACATCTCGTATTTCAACCCTCAAGAAATGCGCACTCGAGTCCAGCTTATCAGCCTCGCTGAACTCTGGCGAATATATGCACTTGGCCAGAAATATCGGTCTTTAGCTCAAAGAAGGAATGCCTTGGCCTTGTCATATGCACGCCTGAATACCGAGGACGAGTATTTTGAGCAGACAATTAGGCCGAAAATCGATAGTGTGGAGGTTGTCACTGATGCAACCGAATGGTTGACCATGAGGTATAAACTCAAGAAACAGGACACCTTTGACTTTCAGTTCCACGATGACGAGGACCAAGCGGCAAACAGAAAGAGAAAGGCTCCCAGTCGCATATCTGCGTATGAGGTAGCCAAGAAGAGTATAGTTTCTAAACTTGCTGATGTACGCCAGTCCCTTTCTGAGTCATATGCACGCATTCATGTTCTGCTGTATCACAGGGTTTCGGAATTAAACCACATGAGGTGGTTTACAACTTCGTTGCGCAAGAGAACGTACATTTCGTCGATGATCAGGAGCTGAATCCCATTGCGTTTGCGGAGCAGTTTACGGATCCGGATGCCGCCGTGGCACAACCTGCTGAAGAGTTACTACGTCGTGCTCGAATGATTCTTGCAACAGAACTTGGCAAAGATCCTTTGTTGCGTCAAGCAATGCGTGATCTTTTCAAGACTGATGCTTTGATCTCTGTGCTGCCCACAGAGAGGGGAATGACTAAAATTGATGAGCACCATCCATACTTCGTGAGTACTTCCGTGACTTCTGATCGAGCGCCCATTCATCTTTTTCTGCATCAGAATTTCAAATACCTTCATCACAAGAGTATTACGCAGATGATGGACACACCACAGTTTCTTCATATCCTTGCGGCAGAAGCTGAGCTTTTGGTCACCGTATCAACATTTCTTACCAACGAGGCAAAGGCGAAGTTCGAACGTAGACTCAATGACGCATTTGCATCTGACAGCTATAGCGATACTGCCAGAGCTTGGAATGAAGAGCGATCACGTGTCGTCCAAGAGGCCCTCGAACAACACCTTATGCCTGTGGGTGTTAAGTGGGCGCGAGAATGGCTTCGAGAGGAAGTAGAAGATACACTCGCAGCCCACTGCGGCAACGTTTTGAGAGAGGTGCTTTTTCACCATCTTACTATTGATCTGTCATTGACTCGTTCTTAGCGCATTGACGTGGCTCCATATATCATCCCCGAAATGAAGCCAGGTGACACTGCGTCTGTGCTTGCTGTGTCTTGGGGCAAGGGGGATCCTCAGAAGGATGCAATCACCATGGTTTTCCTGGACGAGGCAGGGAGACTGCGCGAGCATACCAAAATTGACAATCTTGTTGATCGTGATTACCAGGACGAGTTCACAGATCTTTTGAAGCGGAGACATCCCGATGTTATCGTCGTGGGTGGCTTAAGTATGGCTACGACCAAGCTGGCATCAAAGGTTAAGGCTCTTGTTAATGGAGAACCATCAAATCCGGATCCAACAGCAAATGGTGCAGACGGTTGGGGAACTTCAGAGGCCCCTAGGGAAGCAAACGAACAGGCGTTCAACATTCCTGTGATGTACGTTCGTGACGAAGTTGCTCGTATGTACCAACACAGCAAACGAGCTGCGGAGGAATTCAGTGCGCTGTCGCCTGTTGCCAAATACTGTGTTGGACTTGCTCGGTATATTCAGAGTCCGTTAAACGAGTACTCTGCGCTTGGACACGACATTACTGCCATTCCCCTTGAGGATGAAGATCAGCACCTGGTTTGTAATGGCTGCAGTCTTCTAGGCCAATATTGACATGCGCGTAGATCCCCAAGGAGAAGTTACTCTCAGCTCTGGAGCGAACTTTGGTTGACGTCACGAATAAAGTTGGAGTTGATATCAACCGCGCTGTCAACGATCCCTACTATCAGCATTTATTGCCTTTCGTCTGTGGACTCGGCCCACGAAAAGCTCAGGTTCTAGTCAAGAAGATTTCTGCCATGGTCAATTCAAACTTTTTTTTTCCATTTGGTCTTGCTCACGTAACGCCAATAGGGGGGCAATCTGATCAATCGTGACCAATTCATCAAGTCATCACTGTTAACGACCAAAATTTTCCTCAATGCCGCTGGATTCCTGCGCATCTCGCGAGATCCTGAAGTCAAGCTTTCCAAGAATCGCCATGCTGACGATGACGTCCAAGATCCCCTTGATGATACTCGTATCCATCCCGAGGATTATGAATTGGCCCGCAAAATGGCAACTGATGCCCTGGAGTTAGATGAAGAAGATATTCACGATGAACACCCTTCTCATGTCGTCTCAGTCATCATGCAGGATGTTGACAACGAAAGAAAGTTGAACGAACTTAACCTCGACGAGTTTGCCGTCAGCATGTACGAGGCAAATGAAGACCGTAAACGTCACACATTGAATGTTATTCGAGAGGAGCTGCTGAAACCGTTCTCCGAGCAGAGGGCGGCTTTTCCCTCTCTAGGGCCATGGGATGTTCTCACGATGCTCAGTGGAGAGACCCCTCGAACTCTCCGTATGGGTCTCATTGTCTCGATTATGGTGGTCCGCCTTGAGTCAACTCTCGTCCATATTCGTTTGGATTCCGGCATCGAGGGCGTCATTGATATCGGGTACCTTACTGAAGAAGGCAACATGGCTCCCAAGGATGTCGTTAAAAAAGGACAAACTATACCAGGTGTCATTGTCGATGTCAAGCTGGATTTACCTGCAGACCAGTTCTTCGTTAAAGTGTCTGTCCGCCAGTCTGATCTTCGTGCGGGTGATGCCCTCTTCCGGTCTGTCAAACGAGATGATCAATGGAACCTTCCACAGTTTGAACGGGATCTGGAGATGCAGGCTCGTAAAAAACGCGCAGAGATTGACCGGACGAGAAGAGTAGTGAAACATCCCAATTTCCACAACTTCAATGCCACCCAAGCTGAGAACTACCTTGACAAGCAACAGCGTGGCGATGTAGTAATTCGCCCATCTTCTAAAGGCGTTGATCACCTTGCTGTAACTTGGAAGGTTGACGACAAGCTTTATCAGCACATTGGTACGTGCGTCGTCAATTACCGAAAGTTTGCACTCTCATCCCACCGCAGACGTTACCGAAATTAATACGGGCCAGGGAGGAAATCTACTCATCGTCGATGAAAAGCATCAATATGCTGATCTAGATGAATTGATTGTTAATCACGTTCAGGCGACCGCCCGTAAAGTGGAGGAGCTGATGGCTCATGAGAAATTCAAGCACGGCTCCGAAGACGAACTTCGTACGCTCAAGGCCCTATATTTGAATATCTGGGATTAATATTCATATTACAGATATGTTTTTGAAAAACTTCGTGGCAGCCAATCCTGCAAAGAGCATATATGGCTTCACCTTGAACCGGAGAAAGCCTGGCCACTTCAATTTGTGCTTCCTTGCTAACAAGAACTCCACCGTTCAGACATGGGTAAGCAGGGGTTACTTGTGTGTATCTCATGCTCAATTGTATCACAGCCTGTTCGAGTTATGCCCGAATCTTATTGTCTATTTGATGCCGCAGTAGCTGGCGTTCCTGAGCTTTGCGACGCTTTCAAAGTCCGGTGAGCTTGTGCAGTTCCTTCCAAGCAATTTTTAGCTGACTCTTGTCCAGGCATCTACATCAATCTCAAAATTTAGCTGGTTCTGCTGCTGCTGCTGGAGGGAAAACACCATATGTAGGTGCTGGTGCACGAACACCTGCTCGAACGCCCGCCCGCACAGCCCCTGGGCACATGTCCGTTCGTCAAGCCGCTCGGACACCTAACCCCTACGGTGGCCAGACACCTGCTCCGGGGATAGGAGTACCGAGCTTTGGACCAGGCGCTCCGAGCTCCAGCTTCAATATACCCCCTCCTCAGGCGTCGTTTGGTTACCAAACCCCCGCATATTCAGGTCCACCACTACCTGGTATCCCTCCAGGAATGAACCCTCAACGGGCTGCGATGATACAAAATACAACAGGTTGGGGTCAAGATTCGGGTTGGTCATGATATGTCTGTTATTGTGTTGCTTCTTGTTGTGTTATTCGTTACTTTTCAATGCCTATTTTGCTTTTTAGATGTAACAGGGAATTGCCTTCAGGCGGAAGGACGCATAATTTATAGGAGCGAGCCATGGAGATCTCAAACTTTTTATACATGGTGCAGTCTTTTGTTCGTCTGAATCTCGAACGTTCAAAGTATGGCTTTTTGGTAGCGTACTGAAAGCCGTACGCTTAGTTGAAAAGGGTCCGGGGCTTGCGTATCATACCTGCTAAGCAGAAAGCTGACCAGAACAAATATACCTTGCGCATTTGCGCATGTCTAAGGTCATTTCACCTTAGACAAATGCATTCTATAATGGCCGCCAGCGGACTGGTATGGCACGTCCCACTGATCAGGGCAAGATTTGACAATTTGGAAATGCATTCGTGAAGTAGGGCCCTTATACTACGGCCTCCATAAAGCACACTCCCAAATGGACATAAAATTTGAAAAGAGGAGGCTCCCAGCTTTACAACTGTTTGCAGCGCACTGGACTTTGAACAGGATAAGTCATGCGCGGAAAGAAGGCGGACCTTGAGCTGTGTGCTGTTGACTGACTTCAATTTGCTGACTGGGTATCAAATTTCGCAGTCGCGAGCAAGGATGTGATTTTTACACGAAACAGGCACATGGATCGAGTATTCCAAGGACTGCTGATGATTCCAGGACTGGTACTGTACATGTGGTACACGTCCATACTGGCACCGCAGGCCGCTTGCCACGTATCATATATCATCGTCGAACTTGATGTCGGTACTGAATATATTAGCTCTTGTGAATGCATCCAGCGAACAAGTTCCAAATCGGTGATCTTTCTTGGTTTCTGCACAATGTCGAATTTGAGGTCCATCGAATGTTGACGGTGAATGTGTTGACAAATTGCAGCTCTAATGAAGGAACACTTACGACTCTTTACAAATGAAACTGGGAGACTCACAGTAGACAGTCGACACTAACGAACAGTCGGACAAGTGAAAACGTGGATGAGTGTATGGAATTCGGCGATGCTGTAGAAGATAAGATACGAGCAAAGGGGCTAGTATATACTGACCGAACAAACAACTTCAACTGGCGTCCAAAGCCATAAGCGTTCCCAGATCATCTGGGCAGCACCCTGCTGATGAATATATGAGATGGAACCTCCGACTATGGCGAGCATGTAATCGTATGCTGCAGAGTGCTACAGGGCACTTTGTAGTAAATTATGTCCGAATTCGAGGAAGACTCGGAGGAACTGGGCTTCCCCACTAGTGTTGGAAAATCTATTGCATGTGTTTTTGGGGAATTATCTTCATATGGGTCAGAACGTACCTATTGATCAGTTCCTATTAAGTCAACAAAGACACTTCCCATGACACGTCCGACATCCTTGGGCACCAGGTATCCGATAATTGCAACCATAAGGAGATCTATTTTCATATCTGAGTATGATACGTCAGTGTCGCGGCGCTACAATGTTCAAATAGCCTTACTCAAAACCTGCAAGTTCATCTGCATAGAAAACATCACACCATGGTGACTCATGCATGCCCTGCAGCCAGGTCATATGGACATGCATACAAAGCCCCACGTGTCTTGTTATTATTCAAGGAAACGCCTGAAGGAACGAGGTCATTCAAGCCCTCGGTGATTTTAGGAAGGTACAACTTGCTCCAAGACACTGGACCGGGTATATCATGGACTGTGAGTAGGTCCTTGAGCAAAAAAGCACATGGAGTCGACCACTCTTTGTGTAGGGCTCTGGATAGTAGTGTTCCCGTGGTGAAGTCCGGATACTTCAACCCGAATATAGATGGTACAGCTCGACAGAACCAAAGGACGGATAAGCATACTCCACATCATGGTTGAAGAGCTGCCCACGCCCGATGATGGTCGGGTTTTCTGGATCTAGATGTGACTCATATCCCTTCCAAGTCTGGAGGAAACACAAGTTCTCGGGAAGATCAGCATCCTGGAGAGCATCGTGACAATCCCTCAGCATCTGGAGGAGAGAGTTAATCAGGGCCTCTCCGGCGCCAGCAGGTCCAAGAGAGCCATGTCTGTGCATCTGCAACTACGTCAGATGTTCGCTCTTTGCAAGGAGAAATTCAGTCATACAAGCATTACTCGATCGATACTGTAATCACCAGGTGATTCTGCCTTTTGTGAGCAGCAGTAGGCACAGTGCACACGATACGTAGTCAAGTTTCGGAGTCTCTTGAGAAAGTCATCGTCTTTATGTCTCTGTGATCCACACCTGCCAGAAGTACTTTAATCTCCTCGGTTGCGAGATGTGAGCGACGTGTCATGACCTGTTAGCATTCTGAAATAGATCGGCTGGCGTGAAACTTCGAATTCCCTGATACTTGACAGTACATGCACCTGATGGACAGTCGGACTAATCCGGGAACGTGCCCTACATCGACCTCTCCTTCAGGACTAACGAGCATGGTCGACGTTCGAGTTCAGCCAACACATATAGCACCTACTGCTCCACCACCCCTTAGTTCATACCCAGAACCCAGCATCTTCGGGGGGAACTCCAGACGTGCGAAACCTGGTGAGCACCGCAGGATATCACCCATTCCACAAAGTGATGTAATTCCAAAATGAAATTTCGGACAAGTCGCAATGGCCTCAGACTGTCTTGTGCTGAAATTAAATTGCGGCCTCCGCGGAACAGAAATACCTAGTGTAATGGCAAGAAGAATCTATACTGCGTCGGTAGATCTAAACCCCGCAAGTCGCGTTCCAGGTCTTATCCCGGAACCGAATGCTTGTGCTGTAATGGTTCGCATTGACAAAAGTATCGAGGGAGCAAGTCCCAAATGTAGGATCCATGCCTTGGCCGCAAATAGTCAAGGGCATCGTGGCATCATTCAAGATAAGGCGAATTTGAGGTCCATCGTAACTGGAGGAAATATAAGCATTTCAAGCATGGATTTATTGAAATAGTGTAATACTGACGAGCTTGTACATGTGAATTTTTCCCAAACCATATTGGCGGCGAATGGTGTAAGTTCAGATACCCGAAACTTCCGCCCAGGACGTAGCTCGTCGGGGGACAGGGGTGGATCATCTCTGGAAAATTGTCAGCGTAAAAGTCCCCGCGGATGAGTACGGCGCTTACTTTGCTAAACCCAAAGCAGATAGAGCGAGTAAAATTGTGACATCGTGCCCGAATTCAAGATATAATGGGCGGCTGCCTCCTTTAGAATCTGTCAAGCTGCGGATAATGTGAAATTGTGTTGTGAAATACGAAACACGTGCATACCGCTCAATTAGTTTGTTTACAAACACTGTCCCCACGAGAGGGCCTATGTTATCTGGCAACGTATAGGCGCACGAAGCGTCCATTAAGATGTCCCTCTCATACCTTGATAATAATGATATTCAGAAAGCTATGCATGTTTAATCAACCAGTCTTACTCAAAATCAGCCAGTTCGTCAGGTCGAAAAATGCCACACCATGGAGAAGTACCATGGGAAGCTAAGTCATAGGCACAAGCAAACAAAGCCCCATGGATATCATCTTCAGTGAACCCGACTCCAGGTAGAAGCATGTTCAGGCGATCAGTAATTACAGGCAGGTAGTGTTTGCTCCATGTTGATGTCGCCTGTTTCCCATAACTGTAGTCGAACTTGGGACAAGCTGGTCCTGGTGCAGGAGTGATCCAAGAAACTGGATCATGTTTGCTATTGACAGTCACAATGCGCACATCTGGATCCAGTCCGAAAAAACCCAACGCAAACCAACGTGCAGACTCGATTACTCGACCGGAGTCACTAGATAAGATGACGTCGGTTGTCAAGTGTGGGTATTTCAATGCGAACCTTGCGGATTATTACAATTCCTGCCTTCACATGAAATTGAATCTCACTCACTCGACTCCATGATCAAAGAGTTCCTTGCGCCCAAGTATAGTTAAAACATGTGGTGTCTGGCTGAAATTATACCCTGCTCTCAGAAACTGGAGCTCGTGAGGCAGTTCTACTTTCTGGATAACATCCGTTGCGTCATGGAGTGTCTGAACCAACTGCTCTATATATCTGTGCTCGCCAATGGGACCACGAGAGCCATGGCGGTGCATCTACTTTGTGATTAGCCTACCGTTTATATGCGTTGTCTATTACTACACTCACGAGCATTACTTGGTCAACGGTGCAGTCGACAGGGAGATTTGACTTGATTTCTGAAGCATCGTGGTGACTAGCACGATGATACGGGGAAATGCTGCCAAGATGGTTCAGAACATTGTGAGTGATGTTGAGGACATAAGACGTAGATGAAAGGAGGCTTAGAATTGCCTGCGTACGCATCCCGGGAGAGTCGAGACTCGTGAGTTGGCTGTAATTGTCAAACTTCTATTGGTTACCATGAATTCGTCCACGCCTGTCACGTTGACTTCCGCTCGCCATAATTCCCTGGGTATATTATACTCAAGGTTGACAAAATACGTCCTCAAAATACGTCATATCACTGAGATGGCACTCATTTAAGTTCGTAGGGTCCATCATAATTTAGTTTGGCTGAAGTAGCTTTAAGATTTGTTCCAGTACTAGTTTTTGAGGGATGTACTATAAAAGGCAATAGGGTTTAAGTTAAGTTCATACAAATCACCTGGACCAACCTTGCTTAATGTCCAACGACATCGAACTTGATGACTTTTCCGGCAGAACACGTACAGCTCACTCAAACAACGGACCTGATATAGGCTCGGTTGATGAATCACGTCAAGACGGAGCGATTTGTCTTTGGGCTTGGTTTTCGGCGGCGATGTAATGTCTGCTAGTACCTCTTCGAGACTATTGTATTGAAACATTGTAGCTTTATCATCTTCTCTACAAGCTTGATGCTGTTCCCAAGGTTTCTCCTCTTCATGGCAGAACCATCAGGAGGACGAACCCTACTCTCACCCCTGGAATCCTTCCTCGCGGCACAACTAGGCATTACGATGGGCGCAGTCGCACTCACTCTGGTAGTAACGGTGAGAAGTCTTGCAATAGACCGCATGCTTCCAATTTCACTGATGGGCACTCACAGATTCCAAATACTTCGCCAATCGATTTCCAGCACGGTCAGCATGTGAACTCCCATCCACTCCTCGTGCCTGTGACCTCTGCCTCGGTTCTTTTGGCATTCCTTTCTTACAATAAAAGTGATGTTGGCTCTCTTGGCAACTTCATTTTTCTAGGGTCATCTTTTGTTGGGTTATTTGGACTATGGGTGGTATGTGTTTTCAATGTTTTTATTAGCAAAGTATCCGAACACGATCTGGGGTCTCTAGCTTCTTTTTGCGGGGCCATCTGTGATCTCGGAGAAGACTGGAGCTGACAAGCGCACCTCCGCATTCATATTCGGGAACAAAAACGCGGCTTCCATCCGCAAGAAGGAGTGGAGTAAGCAAGCAAACAAGGAACAAGACCTCGTAAGACCCATCAAGTGACCCGCACTGCCCACGGCACGACCCTTGATTGATATAGAACAGACCAATACTGTATTAATAACCATCTGATCACGGTTGTCTGCATTAGGTTTGCATTAGCAACGTATTGGCAAAGAAGTGGCATGTATTTCGTACATCCTGAACTTTATTGGATAATTCATCGTCCAGCGTTGCCGCCCATGCCCATCATCTTAAACATATCCGCGAGGTTTGGCATGCCACCTCCCATACCAGGCAACCCTCCAAGGCCGCCGAGACCATTGTTCATCTGTCCCATCATCCCTGGGGTGATGATGATCGACAGATTAGCACATGGTAATTGATCAGAAAAAAGTACTTGCTTTGCATCTCTTCCATATCAAATTGGTCACCGCCTTGACCCTGCATCATGGCTTTCATCATCTCCTGCATACCACCACCGCTCCTTAACTGCCGTTGCATTTGCTGTAGCATCCCTGGAGGCATTGCGCGCTAGAAGGGAACGGTCAAACCCCGCTATAATGACAAATCGTCCACTCACTTGCATCGCTTGAATCTGTGCAGGGGTAGGCATGCCGTTGGCTCCACGCCCACGCCCCCCTGCTGCGCTTTGCATCTTCTGCATCGCTTGTAACCTGTGGCTGTCACTTAGCCAATTACTTTTCAATCGAAGATTGGATCCGGCGTACCATCCATTCTTCCCACCTGCTTGCTTGGCCATGTTGGCCATCATCCTGTACTGACAAAGCAACTCTTCGACTTCCCGCACACTCGTGCCACTCCCTTTTGCCACGCGTGTGACTCTCCATGTGAGTCCTACCGGTTTACCGTCTTTTCCCATTTCCATAAATAACGAGCCGTCAGAATCAAGCTCGGCCGATGACATGCTGTCAGTAATATAGATCATGCGCTTCATTCGCATCGAACCTTCTTCATCTGAACCTTGAAGCAATTCCTGGGGAAGGCCCGGTATCATCGAGGCGATCTTGCTTATTGGTCCCCTGGGGCAATGTTTATGTTTACGAAATGAACCTTAACAAAAACTTACATGTTCATCACGTTTTGTATTTGCTCCCTCCAGTCCCTTATGCTGAGCTTTCCTTCCTCGAGTTTTTTTGCCATCTCCTTCTGTTTATCTGGATTTTGGGTGGCGAGATCTTGCATGTGCTCCATGAGGCCCTGCATGTCGCCCAATCCAAGAAGTTTAGATATGAACGGCTGGGGTGAAAATCGATCCAGGTCATGTAGATGTTCCCCAACCCCAAGGAAAATGATCGGGGTCTTCGTTGCGGCGACACTAAACCATGTCAGAAGTCAGGAACCCCAGCGGTTATTGAACGTGATCATACGCTGAGATAGCACCTCCACCCTTCGCATGGCCGTCCATTTTGGTGACAATGATGGCACCAAAATCAGCGCTCTCCTTAAACGCCCGGCTCTGTGCTTCAGCGGCCTGGCCTGGAGCCAAAATTCAGTGGCCGTGATTGAAGCACAGAGCAGAATTACCTATGCTGGCATCGAGGATCATTACAGTCATGTTGGGCTTGACGGCTTCTCCGATTTGTACCATTTCTTGAAATAGTTCAGATTCTTGCTTGTGACGACCAGATGTGTCGACAATGATCACTTCAAATCTCTCTTTTTTGAACTTCGCGACACCTTGTGCTGCAATAGCTACTGGATCTGTTTCAGTGTACGAACCAAAGTAGGCTACTTTGGCCTTGGTTGCAGACTGTCTGGTCTGATCAAAAGCACCAGCGCGGAAAGTGTCCGCACAGACGATACATGATTTGAAACCACGTTTTTGATAGTAGACGGCCAGTTTTGTGCATGTGGTGGTCTTCCCGTTTCCCTTGAAATTATTGGAAATGGGCGTGAAAGGATACCTGTACGATGGAAGGGAGAGGTACTTACCTGAAGACCTACAGCCATAAGAACATTCGGTTGGCCTTTCTTTGGTTTGTATGGCTCGACACCTGGATCAACCAAGTGAACTAGCTCATCGAAGACGGCCTGAGTGACAAATGGTGTAAACACCGGTATAATATTCGACAAGCGTGCGGACCTTCTGTATGAGATTCTTCCGGCTAGGATCTTTTGACTTCTCTGAGCCATCCAGAGCTGCCTTTACCTTTACCTTTACTTTCTGTCGTAGAGATGCGACTAGTTTGACATTCACATCCGATTCTAGTAGTGCAGCTGTGATCTCCTTGAGTGTTGCATCTAGTACCTGTGCGACAGTACGGTTAGTGGAAGTATCCGTGAATTTGGAGCAGACGTGCCTTCTCGTCAACGACAGGTGCTCTATTGAGTGATGACAGGGCAGCATTAAGTTTACGGCCAAGGTCAGCGAGAACCATGACAGTAGCAGCTGAGGAACGGTATGATCGTGAAGTTGCCGCCACGTGGGAATATTGATCACAACATGGCTCACAGCGACTCTGAAGGCGAAACTATCGATGACCTTGAATTCGACACAAGAACAACGGACGGCGATGCTGAAGAAGAGAATGATATCGACGAGGATCTTCTTGGTGCGTTGGACAACGGCGTAGATGAAGCAACAGAAGCAGACGAGGTAAATAGCATTTCACCCTAATTAATTTGCTAGTAGCTTTTCACATTTTGTTTGCAGGACTCCCCTTCGGACGACTCAGAAGATGACGAAGACGACGAAGACGAGTCAGAGCCTCCTGTTGGAGTCCATCTAGATGGAACCTCTTCGCCGTCTGTTGCCGTCGTCCGACCAGATGTCAGTAAATCAGCTTCGGTTTCACCCAAACCACCAACCCCTGAACCGCCCAAAGGTACGCCAGACTTCCAAGTTCCGTGTCTATCGTATCGCATGCTTATGCTTGTGACAAATCACCAGTAATACCTCAAGTTCACCAGCGTTCACCATCCCCTGCAAGTGTTCGAAAGAAGTTCCTAGCGTTTCCCCGATTTCACAGCGAACTACCACCGCGAACTTTCACGGTGGAAGCAATAGGTGCCATACCCCACCCGGTGCCTACACATGCACTTGCTTCGTCCTTCTGCATGACACACCTCCTTACTGGTTCGGATGACGGATTTATTCGTGACTACGATGTATTCGCAACCGTAAATGGAAAGACCACACTAACAGCACCGCAAAGACACCACTGCAACGTCGTCGAGGGAAACATGAAAGCCGGTCAGATACGATCTTGGTGGGAAAACCCAGATTTTGTTCCTCAATCGGGATACCCCCCAATGGGTCATTCTTCTCCATGTCCCGTTTATAGTTTAGCAATGCATTCCGATGCAATTTGGGCTCTAGGAGGAGCTAACGTATGCTTTCTAAACAGCATATTTTCGCCGTTAGCACTGAATCGGGAACTTCTGCAGCGTGGCCACATCAATCTCTTTACAGTACGACATGATCCGGGCCGTTTAGTTCATGTCCTGGCGAACGGACACCGAGGACCTATATCAGCTCTTTCAATTGATTATGACGAGAAAGGCTTTTTCAGCGCAGGATGGGATGGTGAAGCCAATGTAAGCTATGATTCTAATGGTGCCAGTGGTTACTTGATTGAGGGTATTCAGCAATGGGATTTGAATACTGGGCAAGGAATCCGAAAGTTTATTGCCCACGGCGCGCAGCTTGTTGCTATTGCTGTTCGACCGCTCGCTTCCCCATACTATTCCGACCCTGTATCCTCCGCGGGAAGCTATGGTTCCTACTCAGTATCACAACCTATTAGGGAGAACGATATTTCCAGGGCCGCCAACGCGGAGCCACCGGTCCCTATCACTGACACTCAACTCAAGCAATCACCCAGCGTTTCTATCGATCCTCTTTCAAGCCACAAAATGCAAGACGCGGATGCTAAATCTGATGCTTCTTATGATCCCCTGTTTGATGGTGAACCAGATGCTGATGGTGAATTTGACGACGAGAACCCACCTTCTGACGAATTCGGGGTGTTACGTTCTCAGGTTCCACAAAGGGATGGCTCGATTGCGGGCAATAAGTCGAACCTGGCCGTCCCTGAGGTGGCACCTAACTCTGGCCAACAGCAGGCATCACGATCACCTCAAAGCTCTGTTGCGCCTCCGAAAAATGCTCCACCCTTGCTAAATGCTTCCAATAGTGCAACTTTTTCTCCAGATATTCTAATGATTGCGGCAATCGACGGGCAGATCATGATTTGGGACAAACGAGTCAATTCACCAGGAACAGGTGTGGGGAGACTGTGGATGAGTGAAAAGACTCCACCCTGGTGTGTTTCTGTACGTATTCAGATTTCAACTATATCGCGTTCTTAAAGCGGTCCCTCAGGCTTGTTGGTCCACGGACGGGTCGCATATTTATGCTGGACGCCGAAATGGAACAGTTGATGTTTGGGATGTCCGACTGCTCGGTTGCTCTGGGCCGAATTGCACACCAAGACTACTAAAGAGTCTTCGTAATCCTCCGAGTTCGGGTGTTGTTTCTTGTGTGGTTCCCTTCCCTGATGGCCGCCACATCGCATGGTAAGTTTGCTTGTGACGTTGACAAGGATGAGAAGTTGAGGTTCCGCGTACCAGTGCATCGATAGACAATATCCGTTTGTGGAATGCCGTAGAGGCAGGTGAAGTGGACGGAAGTATGAAATCAAGGGGTGGAGTCCAATTCAAGATAATTCCAGGTCATCACGGGGGCTATGTTTCTCAGATGCGTACGTGCTATCCTATTGAATACATATACGTGCCCTGTCAACTGACCGTTCTAAAGTTGTAGATCCGGGTGGTCGTTTCCTTGTGAGTGCTAGCAGTAACCGTGGGTGGCATGGGGATTCCACGCGTACCGTATTTGTGCATGACATCAAGCCAATACGATAAAGTTCATGAGTTTGGCATCACATTCACATCTCCAGATTTACGACAGCTCGGCTCAATGAAGAAACCTGAGCTGGTCCTGCCAAATAGGATTAGGATTGCGCTATTTCAAATCCTCATTCAAGTTCCGCGGTATACCCGCAGCGAGAATCACATCGTTGTCCACACATGGATGCCATCTATGTGCCATCTCGTTATCCCTTTCAATTGAGATATAAGACTTGGGAATACTCCTTCCACAGCACCATGTTACTTTCTTGAATTCAGTCCACTAGTGCTTGCTCATGCGTCTCAACTATCCCGTAATCTTCCCTCTCAACCAACTTACGTATGTTGGCGAGGATGACTCCCAATTCTTTCGTCAAATCCATGGCAGGAGATTCAATGCCCTCAGTTCGAGGTATATGCTACCCGCCGACGAGGAAGAAGTTAGGGTTAGATTCTTTCCCTATCCGATATAGCATCGTTGTGCGATAAACTTGTTCCTATTCCAGCGATCAGAGCTCCAGCACAAGACGATACAATTTCTCTTCGATGGAAAGAACTATGTTGGCCCCATGGCTGACATACTGAGACCCAAAGAGGGACAAGAGCGTTGTCGTGTCCTTGACTTGGGTACGGGAGGTGGTTTCTGGTAGGTGTTCCGCTGGGAATTCTGCTAGTCGGTGACCAGTATCTATGACAGGGCTATCGACATTGCAGATGAATTTCCTTCAGCGGAAGTCATAGGTATCGACCTTGCTCCCGTTCAACCACGGTAATTCATACACCTTATCATACCATCGCGGGATATTGGCTAACATTTTTTCCAGTGAAGTGCCTGCCAACTGCACGTGAGTTTTCCCCTCTCAGAAGTACTTTGTCATTAACGCGAAATCAGGTTTGAGCTGTGTGATTTGGATCAGTTTTACCTACCTTACCCGAGCGAGCACTTCGACGTGATTCACGCGCGGTTTATGCACACGGGAGTGAGCAATACCATCCCAGTAGTTTGGTTCCCCCCTGACTCACGAATCCCAGATAGAGAATTATCCTCGATTTCTCCATGAAATCGCACGGATGCTTCGCCCAGGTGGACTTGTCATACTGATTGAACCTGACACTGAACCAATCGCGGATGAGAAATCAGCCTCACATTTTAAGCGCTCCGGACAGCCGTCCGGAATGCGTGGCTGGTTCACACTGTGGGAGACCTATAGGAGGTGCCTGCGTGATAAAGGCATCGATGTTAATATTCCTCCAGAACTCTCTAACCTCGTTGCATCGACCGGGGCGTTCGATAGGATTGTCTCACAGGAAGGAAACATTCCAATAGGGTTTTGGCCAAAGGGTATCAAATAATCTCGATGCCAAAGCTTCTTCGAGCTTATCGATTTGTTACAGATCCTGTTGCTCTCAGTATCGGGCAGCTAGCGTGGATGAACTATGACATCATGCTTCCTGCGATGAAGCCTCTCTTCTTGTCTTCTGGGATGCGGGACTGGGAAGCAAAGAAACTGATTGAAGAAGCCCATCAGGATCTATATTACCCACTAGTCCGAGCTTCCACGCGCCTCCACATCGTACACGCAATCAAGAAGGCAAAACTCCCTTGACTCCCTTTCTTATTTCCTTATCACCGGGCGTTGGAAAAGTACCATAGCTCTTCATGTATCCTACTTTTGCATGTTAATCATTGGCACGACGGATACGTAGTGAAGGCAAGAGAAATCACACATGCACGCATTACAAGCATATCACCTCTGTTCCTTTATTAAAGTACACAAAGGACTGACCACCACCTATACCTATGACATACAGAAAAAGCGATGACGAAGAGGCAGCAGTCGCAGATGATAAACATGCCACACAGCACGTAAACGAAATGAAAGGACGAGCCGAAAATCTGCTCCAGAAAACAATATCTTGAAACAACTAAACCGTCCCAAGCCACACCTCATGCTTCTGCCGTGCTCAAGCTTCATCCTTTGCAAAATCGCGGAGCACAGCGAGGGCCTCGTTGACCTTGGCAGCCATAGCATCAGTGGACTGAAGGAGGTGGAAGAGTTCTGCGTTGTCCATCTCCAACAACATGCCAGTAATCTTACCAGCCAGCTCAGGCTGGGAACTACGATAAGCAATGTCAGTGCAGTGCGCAACTGAATAAGTGATAACTTACGTCAGGATATTCATGTAAATGATCTCGCCGAGCATTTGCTTCTGCTCCATAGGAGATGCATTAGCCATGGCAGCCTGGATGGCATCGGCTTGTGGGTGAGGAGCGCTCGCAGGGGGAGAAACAGCTGGAACTGGGGCGGCAACAGCATTGCGGGTTTGAGGATTGAGCTTATATTGCTGCTGGCTGCGAGCACCAGGAACAGGAGCACCACCAGGACGAGAGGGAGGCGCACCGCCCTGGGGGGCCCCAGGGCGAGGAACAGCACCATTGGTCGGGGGCCCGTTGGCGCGCGGCAGGGGAACATTAGGATTAGTAGGGGACGAACCAGGTCCACGGGCAACGGGAGGACGAGGACCGCCACGAGAATAACCAGGCATGCCAAACTGAGGAGGTGCGCCATAAGCAGGCATAGGCATACCGGTAGGGGCCTGGCCATTGCTAGGAGGGTAGCGAGGACGTGGAGGCATCATACCAGGTTGACCATAGCCCATCATATTGCGACTCTGAGGAGGGAAACCGCCAGGCCCAGGGTAGTAGAGGGGAGCACCCATATAAGCAGGCCCTGGCATTCCAGCAGCCGCAGCCTGTTGCATGCGGATCTGGTTGCGCTGAGCAATCTGGCTTTCCAATTGCTGCCTGCGAACCTCGCGGCGTTGAGCGAGAGAGACATACAATGGCTTGGAGCCAATCATCTTGTTGTTCATCTCTGCAACCGCCTTGGTAGCTTCGTCCGGGGATGAAAAACATACAAACCCGAAACCCTTTGAAGTATTTTTCTCGTCACGCATGACCTTGCAACTGGTGATGGTACCAAAAGGCTCGAACTCAGCTCGAAGCTTTTCATCATCAACGTCATCCTCCAAGTTCTTGATGTAAAGGTTGACGCCTGCATACTTGCTGAGCTTCTCCATCTTCGCCTGCTCATAAGACCTGCGCAACTCCTCCTCACGCTCAGCCTTCTTCTGAGCACGGGAAACGAAGAGCTTCTTGCCGTTGATTTCCGTATCGTGAAGGTTGTCAACAGCTCTCTGGGCCTCCTCGTGCGACTCGTAATTGACGAAGCCAAAACCCTTGCTCTTGCCCTCTTCATCGACCTGAATGACTGCGGAAGTCACACTACCATATCGGTTGAAGAGCTCCTCGAACTCCTCTTGGGTGACCTCGAGGTCAAGGTTCTTGATATATAAATTGGTGAATTGGGCCTTCATCTCATCGAGCTTGGATTGACGTTCCTATAAAAATAGGGGCGGAGTTAAGTGAGAGCTTACATGTTTTGACGATTGATGCAAACCTTGCGAGAGATGTGGTGACCAACATACACCTTCTTGTCGTTCAACAGCATGCCGTTGACAGCTTTGATGGCAGTGTCGGCAGCTTCAGCAGTCTCATAATGAACAAAACCATAGCCCTTTGAGCGACCCTGCTCGTCAGTGGCAACCTTGCACGACAAAACATTGCCGAAGGCAGCAAAGGTATCATGAAGAGCCTGTAATAAGTTGTTAAATGCTGACAAAGCAATACCGGCGTGAAAGTTTACCTTGTTGTCGATAGCCTCGTCAAGGTTCTTAATAAAGATGTTGCCTTGGCCAGTTTTGCGCAAGGCGGGATCACGCTGTGACCACATGATACGGCTTTGATAGCACTGTGAGTAATAGCTCTATGCTTTCATGACGTGAAGGTTACTTACCACGCGCGGTTCTTAATAAGCGAGTAGTTGAGTTGCTCTAGTGCACGCTCACCTTAATAAGATTAGATTAGAAAACCAATCCAAGAAAGAGGCCACTGTAATCGACGTACCATCACTGGTGTTTAGATAATTAACGTATGCGTATCCGAGGGAACGACGCGTCACCGCGTCACGGCAAACACGGATGCTGGAACATGCCACGAGACTTCAGAAGCTAATCGAACCAAGCAACCAAAACACGCACCTTGCAACCGGACCGATCATATTGAAGATCTCAAACAGCATGGCTTCCGTGACGGTAGGGTCCAGTTCACCGACATAAAGCGAAGCAGAAGGAGAGGATGTGACCGAAGTCTGAGGGTTGTAAGATGGAGTAGGAGCTGAACCGGCAGGTGCAGGCTCGGGTTGGACCATAGGAACGGTCTCGGGAACAGAAGATGAAGACATATTTGGTTTTCTGGGTTTTGGGGTCGTTACTGCTTTGAGGACTTTTTCTGCGACTGCACGGATATGAAGATGCGGACTGATAAACAAGATGAGCGGAGATGATAAGAAGAGACGAACGTACACAGGAGGCAACAAGGTAACCGCTTTTTTTTTCTAAAGTCTTTTTATGATATTTTTTGGTCTTTTAGGCTATTGAAATTGGTTAGCACGCGACACTCAGAAACATGGATGATGAGACTAACCAAGGTGGTGGTTGTAGAAAACAAGTGAAGATGAACGCTTTTAGATCAATCTTCAATTTTCAAACTCAGCTTACTCAGACCCTTTCACTGGCGGAAGCAAGGGCGGAGGCTCAACTTTTCTCTTGTTTCATGTAGTATGATATTCAAGTTGTTTCACAAATTGTGTCATTGATCCGATCAATCAAGACCGTCCATTGTGCAGTGATCATAGCTCAGATTTGTACAAGAGTTCGTGATCGGAGAGGTAAGTAGTACATGCACCCATTTGCCACATGATCAGGTAAGTACTATTCGAGAAGGAAGCATGATAATCAGCCTCGCGTGAAATAAGCCTTCGCGCCATGAGAAGCCAGCTCCGCTTTAGCCTGCAGGACCGCATCAGCACCCTAAACCTGGCATGCGTATGTCAAAATAAATTACCTTGTCCATGGTGTGTCCGGCAGCTGAGTGATGGTTCCATATCTGCAAGTGTCTCTCGTCATGCTGCTACCGCGCAGACTGCACGGAGTAACGTACCTGACGGTAATAGAAAGCATTTCCTAATCCTTGCACCGTCCAGCCAACTGTGGCGATTGTGCCAAGAATACCAGCAGCCCAGTGGCCTTGCGCGTACATCTGAATCGTCTGAATTAGTCCTGCAGACCCTGTACTGGGAATCCCGATGATCCTGCACGGAACGAAACCACATTTAGCTCAACAGTCGTGGTTTGCGAGGCGTACACGCACATGTAAACGCTGAAGAGAAGGTGAAAGCCACCGAAGAAGAAATAGAAGTCTGAAAATGAAATGCGGCTTAGCGTGATCGAGCATCAAAGTTTAGTTCGACGGACAGTAGTAAAGCGCTTGCTCCTGCATGATGTGTCAATTTGAGAACATGCGGGTAGTATGTTGCAATGACGCTAACCTTCATATAACCATTATATATGGGCCTAACGAGGAGTAAATTTCTGGCACCCCTGGTGTAGCATGCATGACTTACCTATACCACAACAAGAACGACAGAGGCGCGATAATGAACATGTACCTAACGCATCATTGAGCAGGGAAGAGAATACACACTAGAACGTTGCTCACCCTATACTTCCACCGAGGTCCTTTCCGCCGTCGCTTGAACCAGCAATTAGAAGACATATGCAAGCCACCATGTTTATGATTAGGGTTGCCAAAAGGACAAGCCAGAGCTGGTACAGGCGAGTGATCAAAGGTCTTGAAGCCTCTGGAATCTCTTCAGAGATGGCATGGTAAATAAGGGGATAAACTGGTATGGAAGATGAGTATAAGTTGCGATGAGATGCGCAGTCTGGTTCCTACAGGGTGGCCAATTGTTGCGTCCATGGGTCCGAATTTGCTCTGCTCTCTGGTTTAGTTCGCGTTCACGTCTTTCTAAGTCTCGTTCTCGTCTGCGAATATCCTCAAAACTGGCGTCCTGTTGCGCAGCCTGTTTTGAAGATGGGTCGTCAAAGGGATTCGTGTCAAGCGAATGGCTTGAGGCAAAAGGGTTTTCAGTAAATTCACCTTGAACGAATTGAAGTTAGGCGGTGGGTAAGAATTCTCAATATGAAAAACGCACTCATGACTTGGGAGATTCTTTTGCTGGTGTACTAGAGCGCTATTTCGCTTTAGCTATGTTCCTGAAAGTAACCGTCCGTCGTGGAAGAATGACTTGACACAACAACGCCGGAATGTGCCGGGATAACCCCTTTGTGAGAAGATAATATTTTTTTTTTGATCATCCACGGGACATTTAAGCGGCCAACAAGTATATGCAGCACCGCTGCGGAGAACTCATCGAAAATTTTCTGCTAATGAAATGATGATCTTACAGCAAAATTTCATTAGCCCCACCATGTGGTCACAACCAGAAGTTAAGCCTGTACCCAGTATGCGCGCGAGGCATGTGGAACAATTGGAAGGACAACGTTCTGCCGACGTGGGAAATGAATCCATTAATCTGGTTATACAAAGGATAAAAAGTCTGAAAGACTTTATTCGGAAGTAATAACCGCGTCTCTCCTCCTACCACTTTCTTTCTCCTCTCAATTACCGTCAGGTAAACGCATTCCTTGCGCTTTTTCATAACGTCGGTTCTTCGCAACCGACTCACGCTTTTTGTGCGTGCTAACACCATTTTTTTTGCTTAAATAGTTGGACCTTTGCAAGTGTCCTGTCACTCGTTGCTCACGAACACCTCGTCTTCACCCCCGTTCTCTCCACATCTGCATTCTTTTTCCCCCCTATTTACATCACATTATTCACCATGTTCTCCACGTTTGCAACACTCGTCCTGTCCCTCATCGCTACCTCTGCAGTCTCTGCGTTCGTCGTTCCTCGCGCCACTGCCCCCCAAGGCTGGGACACCTCGGCTCTTGAGGTATGTCAATCTATCCCTTGTGAACTATGTCCTCGTGATCTGATGTCAATTCCCAGCCCTATGACACCTACCATTGTAGGTATCTCGCGATCCAGTGCCAAGACCAGCGCAACTCTCCATTCTTTTCTGAGTGCTGTCACCCCCTAGCGGTTTGTATTATGTCGTATGTCTTGGATTGATTATACTCATAGTCAATCTAGGCTGGTGAGAGCGCTAGCAGTCTTCCTGCTGAGTGCCAGATGCCCTCTGGTGTCACCTGCAGCAATGGTGAACCCGTATTGAATGGTGGGAGTGACGACGGTTGTGATGATGGTCCCTCATCGACTCCAACAGCTTCACCTGCATCCTCCCCTACTACGAGCAGTGCTTCTGTCCCCGCCAACGCTGCTCCTGCTCCGACTACGACTACCTCGGACGTAGTATCCACGACCGCACCCTCGACTGGTTCTAGTGACAGTAGTGATAACTATGGCGGATAGTAAATATGTTTTGTCTTATCATTGCTCACTTACTCAAATTTGCATTACAGTGCAACTTTCTTCTATCAGGGAGGCAACGCAGGCGCATGTGGAACAGTTCACTCTGATTCCGACTTCATCTGTGCTATGGATCAGTCTCGTTATGGTAACTCTGGCAATGCATCCCCTCTTTGCGGCCAACAGGTCCAAATCACCAATCAGATCAACGGTAACACCGTTGTGGTTACCATTGCCGATGATTGCCCGACCTGTGCAAACTCGAACTCAATCGACCTCTCTGTTGCTGCCTTTCAAGCTCTGGACAGCCTCTCTGTCGGGGATCTTCCAAGTAGGTCTTGTCTTAATCGCCTACTCAATGTTCCTGACTGACCTGACCCTTAATAGTTGTCTGGAAGTTCCTTAATTAGACATCGCTCGGCAGAGACTGTCTTCCCCTTCCATCATTCATTGTTTTCAGTCCTTTCCTTGTCGCATTGATGCGTTATTTGTTTTGGCGGGCTAGCTCCGTTGGAGCGTGGTAGCTGATCTTGGCGTTCAGGATATTAAGGACCCTGGTGGCTCTTTGTCTCCACACCGACGATCAAATACCCATCTTCTCCACTGGCAACGTATGTTCATTGTGTTTATATGGTTTTTACAATTACTCGGAATCACGCATATACATGAATTTCCTTTTATCAGGTTTTTATTATATCGGGGCATGCAGTATGTTCCATACATTGTTGATAGCTAGCTACAGTAGTGTTATGGTCGCTTAGTCATGTCATATTCACGTGCATAGATGACGCAGTGCGCAATCACATATCTTATGTAAATCATTTTTGGTCAAAACGTGTCAATTTATTGTTAGGTGCTACCATCGCACAAAATCCGCATGTCAACGGAACGGGGGTATTCAAAACATACGCGGGCTACAGTTGGCCTGTAGTTTTTGGAGGTATTCAATCCGATTTTAAGGTTTGAAACTTTGAAATACTGCGGAAAGATATATCCATTGTTCGATTGGCGAGGAATAACGCGCTAATATAAATACTATCCTCGAAACCATACTACTAGCCATATTATGTAAGACAAAACTAGGGCTCATCGGTTCCGCTTGATAGCTGATTGCACAGGTAAGTCGGGCATGCACTCGGGCATGATACGCCGGTCGGCCGCGTACACCAACTTATACTTACTAAACAATTGCAAACACCCCATATATAGGTTTTACAAGCTCAACCCAGTTCATAAATATCAAACGTTGCCTTCGTTTTGTATGAACAACAACCTCTAAACAAGCTCTCCATGTCAGCTATCGCTCAGAAAATTCTGGTTGTTGGTGGCAATGGCTTTGTTGGTATGAGCTTTTAACTCTTTATGTCGTACCAGGCCATTTATGACTTTGCAGGCTCCGCCGTTTGTAAGATCGCTCTTGCCCGAGGAATGGAGGTTACCAGTATAAGGTAAGTCATGTGTGCAACTTATAACAATTCTGCCATCCGCGGTGCGACAGCCCTTCTGGAAAACCTTTCAAAACTCCACAAGGCCATACCCCTGCATGGGTAGAACGGGTACGTGCCTCATGTCCACCTCCCAACCGCATCAGTCCACTCAATCCCCAAACAGGTAGAATGGCGGAAGGCTGATGCTATGAATCCAGAGTCATATGCGGACATTCTCCCTGGTGTTGACGCCGTTGTCCACACTGTTGGCACCCTTCTTGATAATACCCAGTACAAGCAGAAGATGAACGAGGGTGATATATTGGGCTTTATCAAATACCTCACGGGCTTTGGCGGTGCTCCTCCAGCAGAACAACGGAGCGCTTACGACACCATGAATTATGAATCAGGTGCGTGATTCCGAACAGCTTCGTTTCAGTGGGCGGTGTTCACGCGTTATCAGCTGTCCGTATGTGTGAAACATTTGTCGCGAGCAAGCCCGTATCTGGACATTCACGTGTTCGTCCCTTCGTCTATGTCTCCGCGGAGGACTTCAACCGACCTCTCGTTTCCTCCCGCTATTTTGAAACGAAACGGGAGGCGGAGCAGCGAATCGAGGAAATCGTACGAGAACATCCTGGATACAAGGGGGTGTTTGTCCGTCCCAGTAAGTATATCTTAGCATCAATCATTCGATTTTAAATAACGAGCTATTCTATACTAGGCATAATATACCATCCGCACAACCGACCAATTACTGTTATTCCAGCCACGATATTTGGTCTATCGGCACGAGTCCATGACGCAATGCCATCGTATATCCCAATGCCTGCTTCGGTTCTTCGGTGGTTAGGCACGTCGGTGTTCCCCAGTGCCGCAGACAAAACTCCTTCTGCCCTGAATTCGATGGCGAACTTGCTCTCGATTCCGCCAATCCATGTCGACCACTTGGCTGAGGCTATCTGTGTTTCCTTGGATCCGGCTAAGGATATACATGGTGTCGTTGGTGTACGCGAAATGCGCCAGCTGATTGGTCTGTCACAGACGGAATCAGAGGAGCCGGCGCCACACACCTAGAACATTGTATACCTTGCATGCTCCCTACTGTACATTTTTTGCTCCTATTAATTATTGGCGATTGCGCGCTAGTTTTATATCAAATTAGCTTCATGACAGGGTGTTATATAAAGATTTAACTCGGGCAAGACTCGGAGACCCAGTGTTTTTGTTATTCGACTTCTGGAAGATATGGCCGAGTCTTCCAGTGAATAAGATGGTGATTCTGATTGGTGGAAATAGATGCAGGAGGAGGCAATATCACCTCGAGCTCAAATTTCATCTGTACAGGACCGCCGACTATTGTACATTAAGACAAGAAGGCGGGGTATATCCAACCCCAGTCTCACACGTAGCTCCAAGAACAGATTGGACCGTGGTACAGGATTCCTGGGACGTGAATAGACACCAGTGCTAGAAAGCGCTGATGATTGGATGTCGTTGCAGTACTTGGTCACTGTGAAGTCTAGACTGAATTGCGTGATTTGCACTTACTTACTTTGGTATGACATGGCAGTCTTCTTAAAATCATTGAAAATAACGACTTCTTCCCCACGTAATAACATCCGTCACTAGCGCTGTCTTTTCCTCTCGCTGAAGCGAAACTTGGTATCTCGCCTCCACGTACGTCCGTACGTATCAATACCCCCAACGAATCCAAATTTACCATCCTAACCGTATCGAACGACATTAAATAAACACAATCATTCGATACTTCCCAGCGGAATATATACCTGACATTAATTAGTCTTCAGCTCTACCCGCTTCCCCACCTCATGAACTTTCTATTCGCCCGCGCCCCGTCAATACGAATCGCCCCCACTCCAACCGCTCCCAGATCCATCTCCCATTCTGTATCAGTCTCAAAAGCACTCCCATTTTATCTCAACAATTTACGCTCAACAGAACAAAATGACGGCAAAGTCTTGCGTATGCTCATGTTTGGAAAGCCCGGTGCTGGCAAGGGAACACTCTCAGCCCGCCTCGTGAAGAAGTATGACATACTGTCACTCTCCACGGGGGACCTTTTGAGGCAGCACATCGCGGAGGGGTGAGGCAGTTTCCACGTGTCACATGTGGCTACTTTGCTGACCCTTGCTTGTCATGGTATCAGAACTGAAATTGGCAGACAAGCAGAGGAAATCGTTGCACAAGGAAACTTACTTCCCGATGATGTCATGCTAAAAGTAGTCGCGAGTAAACTCGAGTCACTCAATAACAGGGTTAGTCTATCATAATCCCCTCACACATGGTTACGGCCCTGAATTAGTGCTCCGTTTAAACAGCATTGGATTTTGGACGGCTTTCCACGAACGTTGGGTCAAGGCAAACTGCTTGATAGCTATCTTCAGTTCGTAATTTTCATCTCATGTTGTCGGCCGCCACGTATTGACTTAAGGGCCTCAGGAACCAAAATACCCCATTAAGTCTTGTTGTCAACTTGGATGTCGCGGACAATGTCATCCTGAGTCGGATATCTGACCGCTGGGTTCATTTGCCATCTGGTCGTGTGTACAACATGTCATACAACCGACCCAAAGTGGATGGCTTCGATGACGAGACAGGTGAACCATTGACGAAGCGACCTGATGATAACCCTGTATGTGCATTCAAAAATGAAATGTTTGCGTAGCAAAGTTCCAACGGATGATTAATCAGGACATATTCTCTCGCCGCCTCAAGCAATTTTACGATTCCACGTCGCCCCTCCTCGCATATTACGCATCACCAGGCAACAAATCGGCACGACTTGTTACTTTGCAAGGCGAGACGTCGGACGAGATTTGGCCGCAGCTAGACGCCGTTGTGCGAAGGTCGTTCCCGGCCGTTCGGGAACGCGCTTCAAGCATTGCCAAGCGGCGGTATAGTCTCAGCGACCCATTTGCAATGGAAAGAGAGAAGCGAGCTATCAAGCGAGCTGCGGCTGGTGATGGGCCTAATCCATCTAAATTCTTTAATTAGCCGTGTTGCGTAGTTGAGTGTTTTGCTGTTCGCTTTTCCGCAATTTCGCCAGTTGTGACTTGTTCGGGTCGATATTGCATGTTTTTTTGTTCTTCCTACGTCTCAACTACGTCTTTCGAATATTCTTGACATCTTACCGTGTTTTTTATCAATTGTATTTTTACGCCTGCAATTACACTGATAGGAATGCAGCATTGGATCACTGCAGTTGGCTACCGACACGTTTCGACATTTTATGTCAGATCTGGACCTGGCTAGAGTATTCGAGACCTAGCCTAGAGCACTCTAGAATACCTTTCGAATGCAATTTCACTGGCGGTAAAAGGTGGTAAAATGTTGGTTTCCCCACTGCGCGAACTCGAACGACTCTTTAGAACTCCAAAACATTTATGTTAACAAGATATTCGGGGCAGGTGTCCCTGATACTATACCATGCACCAGACCATCCTTCTTATGAGTTGAATGAACGAGAATCGAAACTTTAACGAAATGTGTCCATGCAGCGAGGGAGTAAGCTTTGTCTCAAACCACCACTAGTAGCATGTCACCACGGACATCTCTAGCTCACCTTTCCGCGTACAAACGTCTTATCCACACGTCCAGGCCGTCATTTAATTTCGTCGGCCCTCCAGATCCAACTTCCAACCTCCGGCCCATTATATACACCACTAGTACTACCATCTCTTCGTCCTCCCCATCCAAGTCTAAACAGCACCCATACTCCCTCAGAGAATTCTCAGACGATACGGTAGACCACGAGCTACAGTGGACGCTCCATCGAGAACAGCTCGATGCATTCAATCACACATACTGGGCAGAGGTAGGTTCTGCATTATTGTGATTTCAGAACGAACGATTCGAATCGATCACTACCTAGAGTAACGAGCGCTTTGAGGCCGCCAAATCCTCAGTCCTAGCTGCCCTCCCACCCAATGCACCTGCTGAAGCCCATGAGCACGCCTTGTCTGACTTTTACAAGAAGTGGGTGGTCCAGGAACGGGCGCGCCAGGACGAGTATGCCGTAGAGCTCAGGAAACGGACATTTGAGGATCTCTCGCTCTCTGCTAAAGTCAAATTCCAGAGGGCAAAAAAGAGGCTAGCGAGCTGGAGATTTATTTCATTTGTATAGATCTTGCGACTGCAGAACTCGTACGATACTACTCTAGTCCTCTCTTGCGTACCCCAAGTCCAGCATCACCAACTCCCTAACACGATGATACACGTCTCCCAGTCTCAGTCCTTCGACTCCTGAGCTCTCGGCTCTGTAATCTCTCGCTAGATCACCCACCATGTCCTCCTGTATGCCTGGGAAGCGCGACTTGATCTCGGGCATCAAAGGCACCGACAAACATTCGTTCGGGTCAAGGTCGACACCTGGTATTTGAGATAACTGGGGCGAGGGTAGAATAACGCTGAACGCGATGTAAAGCGCAGTTGCACGGAAGCGGGAGGTTAGTTGGGCGTCAGTGATGTTAGCAGTTTCGCGGATGGAGTCCCAGCTGCAAGTGACAATTAAAAGCTGGTGAATGGGATAGGGAAATTGAACATACTCATCGTGATTGTATATTCTACACCACACTCTTTTGAATGAGGATTGTCTCCTCGCATCTGGAATATCCTTGTACGACAGTCGTCATTCCAATGACAAAAATGCCATGAAAAGTGTGACATACCTCAGCATGCGCAAGCAAGTGCAGTGCAGTAGCATAATTCTCCACGCACTCCACATTATCTTGTAGTGTGAGTACGTCTGCCGCATCTTCCAAGCTGAGCGCTTTGCCCTGGAGCATTTGCCTCACAAAAATCTTCATTATCTGCTCATGGAAATCAACATCAAGAATCAAGAGAAACAATAGAAATCTACGCACCCCAAGCAGCCCATGCCTCCGTTCTGCTTTCAATCTTGTTCCTTTAACCCTTATGACCGCATCCACTTGCGCGTCCAGGCTCTGTTTTTGTTTGCCCCGCAAACTGCTGGCAGCTTCCCGGAACTCCTGAAGAATTTTCTCTTGCACTGATATGAAATCCAGGCTATCATGGAACGCTGAACGGCATTTAGTCAAGCACATCGGTGCAAAATGAATTCGAACAGACGTACCATCCAATACAGCCTCATCCGTATCCCCAGCCTCCTGCATCTGCGCTAAATGCGCAAGCTTGCCCACGCTAAGCATAAACTACAACGCCCACCGATCAACACCTGCCTCAATCCAATCACCGAAATCAAATATATATACAACTCACATGCTTAACACCCACATCCCCAGCGCCCTTTGCCTCTCTAAACAATCTTGTGCCAGCAACATTCCACCGTCCCTGCCCCAAATCCCTCAACCACGCCACCGCATCGCATTTGCCTCCTTGTCCCTCCTCCTCTGCCCAGTACTCATCCATATATTTTCCCCACTCACCCCTCCCACTCTCCTCCATCGCAAATACCACCCTTGCTTCCCCATGTACCATACACCATCGTACAGCCTCTCTCGCAAACATTCCACCAAAGCGGTCGACATACTCTTCGATCGTGTGCGCATGCGGATTGGAAGAGGGCGGGTAGACAGTGTCTTGGTGTAATAAGGCAGCGAGAGAGCGGAAGTCGGCGTGGGATGCAGCGAGTGTGAGAGCGTTTGGGAGGTGGGAGGTCAGACCTGTAGATTATGGGGAAATTAGGAAAATGAAAGGGGGAATATTAAAAGATGGGAAAGCGTACGAAGGGTTTCGAGGATCTCGGGGCGGAGCTGGTCGAAGCGTTCTTTGAGCTCTATATGGTCCCTCTCGGAACCAGGTTCGTCTGCTGCTATGGGGCTATCCGTTGATTAGCTTGCTTTCTCTTGGGTTATGTATTAAGACAAACAACTTGCCTGTTAAGCCAATCCAATCTCTCTTGCACACACGCAAAAAAAATTGTCGCGAGCTCCGGGAGAAGTTCTCTCGAGGCGCTTTTAGTGTTTGTTTTGCTCGGATCGAGCGCGAACCTATAACAAAGGAGGGTCACGATACATATTGTAAACGCACCCAAAATATACGCACCTCGTGGCTGTATCAACAAGCTTTAAAACACCGTCGATGGCACTCGGGCGGCTCGTCCAAGGTTTGATCATAGGCAGCTCGACACCATACACAGCAAGATTATACGCTCTATACGAGAGCGCTGCTTGCAGAATCGTCTAGAGCCCGCATCAGAACCATTTCAAGCACATATAAAACATTGAGAGAGTGAGAGGGCAAAAACTCACAACAACAGCACCTCCAACCTCTCTCATGGCTCCTTCTCCAGCCCTCTCAACCCGCTCCACCATGAATGGAATCAGCCGGCCGATCTCTGCTACTCTGTACCTAAAGAAATCTCGGACAACATCGTGTGAAGCGGAGGGGTGTAAAAAAGGGTCGGCAGCTGTGAATGCGTGAATGGCATCAGTGACGAGGGAGTGGGAGGCCCCAGCACTGTTTGGATGTAGTAAGAGGGGTAAAAAAAAGGAAGAGGTAAGTAGAAGACGCACTCTAAATGTTCGTTCATCTGTAACCAAAGTTGATGACACGCATAAAGCTTTTCCGCATCCGTAGCAAGACGCTGGCGGCTGCGCTGCGACATCTTCCCGAGCGCCGCATTATCGTTGATAAAACGTATGAGCCAGCTGAGCCTATCTTTTCGAGAGGTGAGCTGAGAGGTAAGATCATGATTTGGGCGGATGATCTCTGGGTCTTTCCAGTGGAATAAAGGTGTCACGTCAATGATAAAAATCACCGAGCGAAATCATCGAAGAAGAAATCAGCGTCTTTAGAGTAGCCACGAAGATAACATGTACGTACCACTCTCTAGAACGGCCCTGCTTAATCCCTCTGCACCTGCCATGAGTGCCTCGGCATCAACCTCGGGCGGAAACGAAAAATGTAGGGGGTTATCGGGGTTGCTTCCATAAAGTATGGCTTGTGTGAGGAGTGCTCTTATGAGGATCGCGCGACCAGTTCTGTAAACCCCGATTGGCTCAGTCATGCAAACGGGCAAAGAAGGAAGAATGCGACTTACGCCTCATCGAATGATTTAACCCTCCCCAAATCTACTCGGGCACGCATGAGCACGCCCGCTGTTAGTATGAGCATGTCCTCGGGCCCTGCTCCTTCTCCTTCTTCCTGTACTGCAGGAAAAGTGTGTGTTTGGGGTTGGACTGGTGGGAGTACACCGAGTCCGAGTATCTGATCTGTGTTGGGTGCTTTTAGGGTGAGGCGATCCTGATAGGGAGAGTCTATCCGGAAGGGGATGAGTTGTTGCTGGATTATGGCAGGCTGAGACGAAGACGCACCCCGAGCACAAAACACGACCACATCTACGAATCTGATCGCTACGATTGCACCTCCCCCGAGGAGTGTCAGACGAGGGTGCAAGGGCGCCGATGCGGCTGTCTATGAGCACACTCTTTAGCTAGAAATTACACAGAGCCAAGATAGAGTCCCACCGTAGCATATGACACTCCCGTAACACCATTTATCTTCATGCCTCCACCTATGCCTTCTATCACACATCCATCTCCACCTCCCTCCAACTTCCCAACCTCACCCTGCTTCGTGCTAGCACTAAGTCTGACAAGCGCATATATCCTTCTCGGTACCGCTGCGCCCATACCAAACCCGCCGTACTGGTCAAGTGCCATCGCAGCCGTCTCTTGCTCGGACCCAGCGTATGAGACGAGAACAATGAGCGTCCCATCGCTATAGACACTGCAATCAGCTAAAATCTCAAGCCAACATGATCAAAATGCACCTCTCCACGCCCAAATCGACACCCTCCAGATCCTCCACGTTCCCCACTGCTTCTCGGACATCCACTTCACCCTGTAACACCTCCTTATTCAAGCTCCACCTCTGCACGCGGGTCTCGCTGAGGGTCCATAGTTCCTTATCCGTTGCCATGCCCCTTCCAACCTCGCCACTACCAGAACCAAGAGCAAGGGCAGATATATTTCCCAGTGTAGGCTGGGGAGCAGGAGTAGACCAGAGGAGACGCGCAAAAGAGAGCCCAGGTGCGGGCGGTGGTGCAAAGAGCCTTGCTGAGAGCGTATGCCGCCCGCTTTGAGATGTGAGCGTGAGTCTAAATAGACGTCCATGCGAGGTAGACGCAATGTAGATTTGACCCTGCGGGCGTACGTCAACACAAAAGATATATGAGCGTGCTGAGACACCTACGTCGACCCTAAGTAATCCAGACGTATACTCTCCCTCTCCAAGCTCCAGATTAATGCTTTCGAAGCTGCCGCCGCCCGCTAGACCACTTGTTATGCTGTCCCAGAAGCGGATGTCACCGCGGATGGAGAGAAGAACAAGACCAGGTTCTGAGCGTGACCTAGATGGAACAAGAGCATGAAATGGTGCAGATGGAGGTTGTGCGTAATCTTGGGAGGAAGGTGGACAAGGGAGGATATAGCATGTAGTTGGTTTGGTGTGATGCCAAACGAAGCAGGTGTTTGAGGAGGCAGCAAGAGCGTACCCCGTAATGGTATCGACTGCACCTGTCCAAGACTGAGAATAAAAATCTGTGTACGGTCAATATTATTTTCGGCGCTTGGATGAATTGAGTTGAGCAGATAGACGTACCAGCACCCTTTAACTCGCGCCTGACTTCAAACGGGAGTGCAGCATGGAAAGCAACACTGATCTCGTCCGTGCGCGCGTAGACGGTCTCCCTCCCTGATCCCAGCACACGTTCATTATACATTTGCACGTCGTCGACGTCCATGACGTCTGGTACCATAGTGATATCCTCGGTGCGCCTGGAGGGTGTGCCGGCAGGGCGTACACTGACCATGCGGCGCTGTCTAGGCGGCGTCACTGATTGACGCGGCGTAGCGTATCTGTGCGTTTTTCGTGGTGCAGGCGACGCCATCCTTGCCTAAGCTTACAGTGAGGTCCTCAATACATTGTACAATACTTACTCTTTAGACTTTGATCCAGTGATACAAACAAACATCAACACCTGCTCATCGCACTCCACGACGAGTAATATAGTATGCTAGGCATAGAAGACTATGGCAGCGACGTCGACAGTGAAAACGAAGCACTGCCCACTGCGTCGTTGTCTAAACCAAAATCACCAGCACTAGCGCCATCGAAACCCTCAGGCCTCTCCCTCCCTGCACTCAAATCATCTGGCTCGTCAAGTTTCTCACTCCCACCACCAACCAAAACAAAACGCACAAAGAAGATCGAAATCACGCTCCCCTCACTTCCTTCAAATGATTCTGATACAGACGACCGACCACCAGCCAAGAAACCCCGAATCACACCTAGCAAAGGGGCAGGCGCGTCATCCCTTCTCAACATGCTACCCGCGCCTACCCAGCCTCTGCCCGTCAAACTCAAGAAGGTTGAACGCGTGCTTGGAGGCGGAAACGGTCCAGGGCTACTGTTTCATGCACCAGTGAGCGTGCAAGAGGATGGCGAAGGAGATGGCGAGGAGGCATCCACGGCTTTCCTACCCCCTTCGCTCAAGAAGGGCAAATCCAACGTCGACCTAGATCGTGAGGACCATAAGCCTCAAGCGCTGTCAAAGGCACCCGCTGTGAACTTCTTCTCTCTTGGTATGTTCCCTGTGACTCTGCGTTTCTTTTTCTAATTACCTGCAGGCACCTCTTCAAGAACTAATTCTACAGCGCCCTCTACATCCACGCCATCAAGCACATCTATACCAACTGTCTCATCTGCCCCTGAGGTGACCTCGTTCACTCCCCCAACTCCGACACCTACCGATCCCTACCCTGGATACTACCTCCTCCCCTCTGGTGCCTGGGCCGCTCACGATCAAGCATATTACGCCACATTCGTCAAAAAGTGGCAGAAAGAGTATGACGCCCAGGTCCGTGCGCTCGAGCGAGGTGAGGTGGAAAGAGAGGCAGAAGAAGCGGCGGAGGTCAACATGCAGACAGAGATGGAGAAAGCGCGGAAAGAGATAAAGGAGAGGGAGGACAGGAAGGCTCTTACGGGCATCAAGACTGGTGAGCCAGAAGGACCACGGATGAACATACAGGTCTGTATGTTGTTCTTGATGTTTCCGATGCGTGGTAGACCAGCCCTCACAATGCTACTCTCTACAGGGCGCAAAACTGGGCTCGACAGCCCGTTCACGACATCAATTGACGACGCTCCTCACAGATGCTTACCACAATCGGGAGGCACTGGAGGAGAAGATCGCACAGGCACGCAGGAACAGGAAAGAGGCAGGGAACAAGTATGGTGAGTGTCTTTTCCCCTGTGGCCTCTCCGTTACATATCACTTCAATCTTCCAGGTTTCTAGGTTCCCGGGAATCATTTTATATGTTATGGATATGCTGCTACTACTATGAGGGTATGCATAATATTTACGAGATGGGCTATGCTACATATTTAATAGATCCACGTCTGTCCATTTACCATGCTCAATGCGCCGAGGTTGGACCCGCTCTTCTCACTGCCGTGACTTGTGTGACTGTACGTCTCACCTGGCAGCAGAGAATTCTGCCCGCAAATGTTATCGTCTGCAACCACAAGGGAAAAGAACACGCACTTGTGACACTCTTCGTTCCCTCACTAATCGCATGCTTTGCAAGCTCTCCAGGAAGAATAAGCCTCACTGCCGTCTGAATCTCGCGCGAGGAGATGGTAGATTTCTTTGTGTATGATGCAAGCTCTGCATAACAGGAAGGGCATCAGTCACTGCCAAAATAAAACAAAAACAATCAAAATGACGTACTGCTCGCTTCGGTGGCGATCCTTTCGAACAGGTCATTTACGAATGAATTCAAAACGCCCATTCCCTTGTTTGATATTCCAGTATCGGGGTGGACCTGTCTCAGCACTAGCAGGGATGACATGTCAGCGAGTTATTGCATCCGAATGCGAATGGGCGAACACACCCTTGTAAATATAACTGCTGTACGTCTCCTTCCTTGCCTTCTTACGCTTCTTTTTCATATCACCATCCTCTTTAGAAGGTGCTTTCCTAGCTGCTTTCTGTCCCGCTGACGACACGGGTGCTTTAGCAGCTTTGGAAGCGGGCGCCTTGGATGCGGTTGAATTAGGCTACGTCAAAGGTGAGCGAGTTGTCAGTTCGGGCATTGAACTAATATACCTTGAACGGCATGCTTGCTCAAAGCAAAGTAAAAGTAAAGAAAACACCGAAAACACGTAAACGCCCCTACTAGGACGCGTCGCGCTTTATACCAGCCGACGAGCTCCCAAGCGGAGTTTGAAGCGCTGCGGCGGTCTTGTTGGAATAGGAAGGTTGCTTTTCGGGCGCCCGCCTAGCTCAATCGGATAGAGCGTCAGACTTTTACGACTATCGGCTCCGTTTGACGTAATCTGAAGGCTGCGAGTTCGACCCTCGCGGTGGGCTATCGTTTACTTTTGCTATTTTGTCCTGTGATATAAAAAGCATGGTTTTACTTTGGTACGACTAATTACCAGCGGTCCGTCTTGTCGGAACTTCGCTTCCAACGATTCATCTTCTTTTTGGGCTAATCTTGCCCCCTGCCTCGTTAGGACTGGCGTGCAGCCGTGGCGGCAGCGGGCCTAGACTCGGTTATACACTATTCTTGCTCCATCTCTGAGATGGGAAGTGATTGAGTCTTTGCCACTCCACGGAGTCTCTCCACTTGCTCATGGTGTATAAGCCAGGGTGGTCATAAGACTAGGCAGGTCCCTCGTTCAACGAATCTGTCTACGACAAAAAAAGAAGTTAATTAGATACTATGACAAATGTTAACATCCAACGGCCGGAACTATTGTCTCAAGGATATTTCAGATGAAGGAAGATTTATGATGAATACACATCGAGACGAAGCAGCTAACAGCAAGGTCAGTACGGCTCGTTTCTTCACTCGTGCTAACGGGTTGTCCGTTGTGCTCTCGAATTATGCACAGCAGTACCAGCATTAGAGTAGCGGTCTCCCCTAGACTAATATTCGAATGAAGATAGTAGTATAGATTGAGATGAAGATAACACTTACTAGTCTTTTCAACATCTTGGTAGTTGGGCAATAACGCATTGCCTCATGGTTAACGCATGGCCCACCACTGTGGCCTGAAATAAACGATGAGTAACGAGGAGGAATAACTATTTCCCTTTGATTGGCCTCTAGACCTGTCATCAAACATATCGTGGCTCGAAAGTTCATGACAGAAAATAAACGGGTCAGATTATCTTGAAGCAATCCGCAGTCCATCTTCAGCGAAGCAAACATGCGCTCAGAATAATATTTCATGAAAGACGCTTGACGTCAAAGTCTGACAACCAGATAGGAGTCTGTGTAAGAGGATCCTGCGATACATATCACTCAAGATAATTCTAGTGCTTGCCTTCCTCCGTGCTCTGTACTTCAGGCACCGACCGAGCACGATTCACCCACCCTCCGATGATCCATGATCCTGCGAATAAACCGAGCAAGACCCAAATTCCTTTGGTTTGCTCATTGTTGAGAGGTCTAGACTTTGCGTGCAAATCAGGCCCTTGCTCCTTGGCAGCCCGTACCACATTCGAGACCGCCTCGCCAACTCGGAAACTCCGCTGCAGTCCAAGATCATCGGCCAGGTCACGTAAAAAGCCAGATTCAATCGCGGGTTTAGCTTGACCTTCTGACTCGATAACCTCCACTTCCTCAATGATCACACCGTCCTGAGGCTTTTCAAGGTTGTAGGTGGGACCACCATCAGGGTGGGTCGCAGACCCCGAAACGACATATAATTTTGGGTGAGAAGGCTCTATGGGCTCGGGTTTCGGACTGGAGGAATCCCAAAAATCGGGAACGAAGGGCTGAGGGGATGATCATCAGATGTGAAAATACAAAGATTTTACATGTGACAGGCTCGATATGGTCGTTGTCAGACAAGGAATAAAACCGTTAGGCCCGTAACTTCAATCGGACCGCCTCATCGATCAAGGAAAGAGGGGAAATACTCACTACTTGAACGGGTTCACATGGCCCATCTTGAGAGAGGTTGGGCAATCTGACCAAGAAAAAGTCGGGCGTCTTTGAAGCACTTGCATGTTGGGATGCAGGCGGTATGCCCGGTGATGCAGCTTGTGCTGGAGCGGCAGACGAAGACGCACTGCGAGATGCGGCGGGTGTGGGCTGCGAAAAAGGAAGAGCTCTAGATTCCTCATGCACCTGAATTCGGTTTATGATGTCAGATTTGTTGCCCTTGCTGATAGTACGATCAGTTCGGGCTCCAATGCGAATAAGATGAAGAGAACAAAACAAAAGCGGTAAATCGTAGGAGCCGAAAGTGACTCACGTCGAAAGACCTCGGGTTTTCGCTTCATGACGCAAAGTGGCCAGAGTCTCATTTTCCCAAGTTCGAGAGAGAAGGACGGTAGAAACAAAATTCCTGTGGTTTACAGTGAAGCGTGAAGCATTTGTTATAATTTTTTGGCGCACGACAGCTCGAAACATGATTTTGATGTTTGGTTTGGTTGCATGATTTGGAGCACCCAAGTTCCGTGCTGTTACCACGTGCCACGCCATCTACACAGCTTGATGTACGAGTCACATCTGAATTATGATTATCGAATGATTGGATTGACATTGGAAGTCCTTTGTCAGGCTCATATCGACCTCGGGCCAAGGGTTATCCGCTCTGTGGGTATTGATTATCATCAAACTTGGCTAAAGAAAGTTCTCGTGAGTCCGGGTCCTGGGATTGAATTGAGCGCTTGATGACTTGATCTATCTTTTGCAGCAATTGGCTCCTTGCCTCGTGTTTCTATCGCGTGTTCTCGACCTGCTATAATCAAAAATCCTTTTTCAATTTGGCATGACTCTTTTCCTCATACTCTAATCCCCAGCCCTCCGTTATTTCAGCTATGCTTCTCTCTCCAGCGTAAGAAAAGGCCACAGATCTCCCAATTATCAGCCTTCAAATGTTTTCTTCATGCAGATCAACCAGCGCCAGTCTCCCTACTCAATCTTTTTGGGGAAAGTTCAAGAAAAAAGACAAGGAAAGCGAGTTCCGGGAGAGGCAAGCCCAAATGGCGCTTGCACGACAACGACTCCTCACACTTGCTTACGAGGATATGGAGACAGTGAGAGTGGTACGAACATTTCCCCTTCGCCCTCATATTCTCTTGTAACCTCTTTCTTCCACCACAGCTACCTAATAGTTTCCCCGTAAGTGGCGGTGGTCGTTGCCCGTGTCCGGCTGATTTGTTCCTGCACAGGAACTCGAAGCGGTAGCTAGAGATTGGACAAAACCTCCCCCAGATGCCGTCTTCGGCCTGCGTGTTCCTGTTGAATTCGCATCCCTTCATGCCTCTGTAAGTTGGCGCCGTCGGGTTGGATGATATCTTCTGACGTCATTGCCAGCGGCTGGTTTCCGGGCCTTATATCTATGTGCGTGATCAAGGATTTATTTCTGATATGTATGGCTCATGGCAGATATGAGTAGTTGACAGGCGAGGATTCATACCAAATTGCGATAATGGGCGTGCAGGGGCTGCGGGTGGAGATCGTAAGCGACGCCCCTCCGCCACCTGATGAACCACCGTAAGTTTGGTGCCGTGATCATGAATTAGTCTAAGCTAACTGTGTCATAGGCCACCACCGTAAGTACACTTTTGAGTCAGCCATACACTACTTGAGATGTCTTCAGTCCGCCGCCAGTCACGGAAATGCCTGCTACGTTCAATCTGGAGCTCGTGCCCGGCCAACACGTGGTCCTAGAAACAACCGTTGCTTCTGCTGATGACGTCGATATGGCCCGCATGGAAGACGGTACCGTTGTCGATGGCCAGTTCTGGGGCAAGCTGAACATAGTGCATGACGGCGGCACTCACACTGTCGACTTCACAGGCACCCGTATACTCAACCCTGACGTCCCACCCGACATGCTGTTCGATTCGCGTGTCATGAGTAAACTCACGACCGCTGCCAAGCCTTCTTCTGTCAAATGTCACCTGAGCATCCTTTCACCCGCACAGCAGTATTGCGATGTCATTCTCTCAGTCAACCCGCTATGGAGGCTTGAACTTACATGGCCTCCTGCGCAACCAGTTAACGAAACCAAAGTGAAATATTTTCTACGTGTTCACCCTGGTGGTGCGCTCGAGCATTTTGAGAGTGAGATGGTTACGACGTCGTTATATTACGAAGCTGTGTAAGTGCAATGCCTCTCATCCCTGGATCATTGATCCTGATAATATGCAGACCAGACCCAACGATGGTCGACCCTAATGATTTTATTGCACCCCGAAACGGATACGCTATGACTTTCCGAGATTTTGTGCCCCACCTTATGAGCGTCCTAGACCAGCTAGGCATGTCCATGCATGCGCGAACCAACTTCATCAAGTACGCTCTATGCCATTCGTCTGATATGGGCTGACACTGACACTGACGTACGCAGTAACAACATCTCTGCATTTTCAGCCCACAAAAACATTGCCTACCGCTTCCTCTCCCCTTCGAAGATCGCAGCCGCAATTGACATTTCAGTTACCTCTGACCCCTGCGTCTTTACGCGCCTATTTCTTATCTTCCGCGGGTTATCGGACGACGATGTGGGACTGTTTGCAGGTGCAGGCGAGAAGGAAGCGAATTCGGTCAACTGGAGGGAGATTGTGGGTTGGAGCGAGAATTCGAAGGACACGACTCAGTTTAGGCTTCTTGAAACTTCTGTGTTTGAAGTTACCTAGGAGGGGGATATACCTTTGAGCCGAGGTGAATAACCGATCTTCCCACCTCCAGGCGTGTCCCTCATTTCTTCGGTGATTCTTTGTTGCTCGTCAGGGATTAGCACTCTTCTTTTTTGCGACGCCCACTTTTTTGAAACATCTCCGCATTTGATATCTTAGAACATTGTCGGGCTATACCATCGCTGTCCTGCACATGCTTTCTTGTCATGTCCGCAACTATTATATCTATTCGATATCTGCTCTTCCTGCGCAACTTCATATTTATCTGGTCTTGCATCATTTTGACGACCCTGGCTTTTCTGCAGTTTCCTTTAGCGATTTCTCTTCATGATATGTTGTATGCGCAATTTCTGTACCGTAGTCGATATTGAAATTGTAGGTGATCCAAGAGACAGGGGCCGTGGTGCAAATACGCGTGACCGTGACGTCACGCGACGCGTCTGTATTGGTCTCACCGATCTTGTCTTCAATTACTTACCTATCAATGTCCGAGTTAACAGCATAGTAAGTTCACTTCATTTTTGTGTACAGCCCCGTGATAAGTATCCAACTCAAGTGAACTTGAGCGTGAAGCCAACATCGTGCGCAACCGCGCGCTCCTTGAGGAGCTTGATCTCAAGGATGCCGTCACTCAACTCGGCATTCCGCTCAAGCCCAAGCCTGCCACCAGAACGAGAGCGAAGCCTATCCAACCTGCGAAGACAGTGAAACGAGCGCGCGAAGTTGTAGAGGCGCCTCGTAGGCAGAGTGCACGTCTCAAGAAAGAGGTCGTGGATCCAAATGAAACTGCTGCCCAGAAGAAGCAGCGGGAGGTGAGCGCCAGTATGACTGCAGTCTTTCAGCATTTATCATTGATCACGTTGCAGGAAGAACAAAAGAAAAGACGCCAAATCGAAGAGCAAGAACGCCTCGAGGCTGAGGAGAAAGCTCGTCTTGCAAAACGCCCCAGACATCAAGAACTGGATCTTACTACGTTAGGGGAAAAACTAGAGGAGCCAGAACTCAGCTCACTCCGATCGTCTTTGCAAGCTGTCACAAATGTCCCATTACCAAAACGCACCGCAGATGCGGATGCATTTGTATTCGATGAAGACCGGAAGGATGAAGATGAAGTCAAAGAATTGAGAGAAAAACTTCAGAAGCTGAGGGTAGTGTCTCGTGCCAAGGTGACTGTAGACAGAGTCTACAGCGCTGCCTACCACCCTGATGCTACCAAGGATCTAGTGTTCTTTGGAGGTAAGGTGCCATGATCAAGTTATTGGCAAGTCGCTGACATACAAACATGCATGTAGACAAGCACGGTCAAATTGGAATATGGGATGCCAGAGCTCCCGTAGATGAGGTTGAAGATGAAGACGGCGACATCTCTGCAGACCATAGAGAGGGCGGGAAACATTGGCGCCTCCAGTGTCACTGGCCAGCTTCTTCGACATCGTCAATATCTTCCCTAAAATTCGACCCGGTTGATGCGCATAGTGTAAAGACCTAATTTTTTCATGGAATATATGCACTAAAAACATTTCTATAGCTATTTACGACCTCATACGATGGCACAATACGCCGATTTTCTTTCGTCTCTGGGATTTCGCAAGAGATATTCTCTTCAGAATACCTCATCACAAGCATAGACCTTCCAGTCGGTGGCCACGAAATGTGGATATCCGACGATTCCGGCGGCCTTACCCACCTTGATCTCAGGGAACCCAAAGACAAAGCCTGTTGGTATGGTCTGTCAACTGCAAAAATTGGCACCGTTAGCATTAACCCGACAAGTCCGCATTTCTTGCTCACGGCGTCGAACAGCCGTGAATTGAAGTAAGATATGATTATCATCTATACCTTGTCTTCTTTTCTCAACAGTGGATTTCCAAGGGTGTGGGACAGCAGGAAGCTACAGAATTTGACCTCCACAACTGGCCCATATCAACTCAGCCAACACTGTTGAAGACTTGGCCCATTCAAAGAAGGAAAGGGTGTTGTTCGCGGTATATTCCAACATGGAAAATCGGTGAGCTCAGCATATTGGGACCCGAGAGGGAGAAGCATCGTCAGTACGAGCTATGACGATGTAATCAGGTAGGTGTGGTGATATATGTCAGCATCAAGACAAACTGACGGGTTTACAGTATGGGATTTGGATGTTGCGAAGTACAGTTCATCACCCGCTTTCCCCTCCTTCACGCCATTCCGCGGGATGAAACACAACTGTCAGACAGTAAGGACCAGCCCCATCATCGTACTCCTTTCTCCTATTGACACTTCCCAGGGCAAATGGGTGACTATCCTTCGTGCGGTCTGGAATCCCAACCCAGACGTGTTCCCCCACTTCACAGTCAGTAATTTTTACAACTGGGCGCAGCCTATCGTCCGACTAATGGCGTTGCAGATCGGGAATATGAATCACACTGTGGACATATATTCATGCAAGGTACTCACCCACACATTAGCTGGACCCGTTTGGCTGGCTCTGACATTTTGAATTTTAGGGACACTTGATTGCAAGACTCAAAGACAGTCGGTAGGTGATTTGAGTTCTGGTTGACCGTAACTACTTTATCATCTCAGAATTACTGCTACACAAGCTGTAACATGTTCCCCACCAAGCGTTGTCGAAAGATGTGCAACAGGAAACGCAAGTGGGCTTGTTTGTGTACTCTGGGCACCACCAGATGTAGAGTGACAGTATCTAGTTCACCCCGTTGTATGCCATTTACTCCTTTTATAGCACCTAGGTGAATCAATTCTGTCACTGCAAATGGTGAAAGCCCATCTGCCCTGGGGTTACGAATATCGGGAAGTGTCTAACCATTTGGGTTTCAAAGAGATGTCTCACAGTCGCCTACTTCAGTAACTCGTAAGGCATCTAAAGTTGAAGGCAGGCGTTGTGCCAGGCTTCAGAAGGCGTCAATGTAGGCCCTTTTTACTCCCGACTTTCTCCTCTTTGCACCTCCCTCAAGGACTATCACAGAAACGAACACCCGAAGCTGCCCGACACTTGTATGTACTCGAATAATCTTCTGCGTCAGGTTTCATATCTCTCACACAAAAGACACCTATGGTTATTCCTTTTCTCGATCTCCTCTATCCATGCCGGCCATCAGCGGGACGGATTGCGCTACAGACTGTTACAGGGTGCTACGAGTGCTTTGTAGCACTCTGTAGCAAATTACGTTTCCCTGATAGGCTGGTGGATGCTAATAGGTTCTTAAGGGAAAACGGGGGTACGGCGAGCTGGGACACTGAGCGAGTCCAATAGACCCACTGTTGCTCTCGATTTAATGCCATTCAACTGTTACACTGGTTGCGGCATAATCTTGAAAATTGACGATTTCCCGACAGCAACTCTCAGATTCTGTCGTGTGGATGCGATTGTCACGCGGAGGTAAAACAACGTTGTGGGTTGTGCTCGAATAATGTATGCGTAAGACCACACTGGACAAAATCACGAGACACTGTTACAGTAGGAAATATAAGGCGGTATATCAATCGACGATTTGGGGTGCTGGTTTGAAAGGCTGATCTTATCAAACAGTGAATGGTAATTGCTGAGTGCCGAATGTTAAATGTCAAACCCTGGTCAATTGAGGCCTCAGATACCAGTAATTCGACTCGTTAGGCAATGTACGTATTGTGAGATGAGCTGCTCAGAAAGCACTAGGTGCCCAGCCCCAAGAACTATGGCACGATCCTGGCCATGCTGAAAAAATGTCTTATTTTCAGAACGAAACAGAATGTATCTTGATCTTGTTGATGCATGATGCTCAACGTATTGTCAAACTCAACTCAATAAATTTTCGCTCAACTGTTCTCAACAATAGTGGGTATCGTCTAAGATCTCCCTAACATGTACTATTATCGCGTTCGCTAAGTCTTCAAGGCAGGATTTCTGTTCACTGCATTGGTATGTCCATAACAGCTTAATAGGTGTGTCAGCATCGTGGTGTCAGCTGATGGTCAATAGTACTTGCCGCGCTTCTTGTCATCGCCGTCGTAGGTAGTAGTGAAGGAAATACCAGCAGCCTCGTCTTCGGCTGGATAGGTATGTCAGCATTGTATTTTTAACTGACAGTCAATGGTACTTGCCGCGCTTCTGGTCATCGCCGTCGTAGGTAGTAGTGAAGGAAATCCCAGCAGCCTCGTCTTCGGCTGGATAGGTATGTCAGCATTGTATTTTTAACTGACAGTCAATGGTACTTGCCGCGCTTCTGGTCATCGCCGTCGTAGGTAGTAGTGAAGGAAATCCCAGCAACCTCGCCTTCGGCTGGATAGGTATGTCAACATTGTAGTTTGAACTGACGGTTAATGGTACTTACCGCGCTTCTGGTCATCGCCGTCGTAGGTAGTGGTGAAGGAAATCCCAGCAGCTGCGTCTTCGGCTAGATAGGTATGTCAGCATTGTAGTTTAACTGACGGTCGATGATACTTGCCACGGGCCACATTCTCGCGCTTGGCTACGGCTGCATGTTATGTTAACGACTATAATGCTACTGACATCATGAATACTCGCAGTGTCCCGTAATCTCCCCTGACATGGGGTATGCGGCTGCCAGAGCCACCATGGAGGCAAGTGCATTGAGCAGGAAGAAACGCTGCATGTTTGAGGTTGAGAGGTGTAAAGTTTACAGTTCAGAGCCTTGTCAGTGCATACCTCAAAAATCAGGCATCCTTCTTATACCTTGTTGTAGGTGCGCTCAACCAGTCAGACCTCGCTGGAATACGACGTGGCACGATATGATGATGATAACTGTGAATTGAATCCAAATGGGTTTTTGCTATGAATGACTTGGACTTGGATTCATGAAACATACGCCACCTCATGAGTTGCCAGCTCGTGACTCATGGTTGCATGACGGACAAAGCTGTAACAGCACTGTCTGACGGGTAATATGCAATCGTTTGACTGGCGGCAGAAAATTGAGAAGAGGATATATATTAATTCATAGTACATAATCACAAACATCTGTCACCAACTGTGATGTTTGACCTTGTAGAGGAAAGAACATGGCCTAAATTTCACGCACCAGTGTGTAATGGGGAAAACACATGAACATCGCTCAAACACCAACGCGAAGGGAACGTGGAGCAAAAGCTGATAGTGAAGCTAGATCCAACATAGTTGAGACAAAGTAGAGCTGATCACCTGTAAATTGACGAGCTGGAAGAAGCAGATGGTCCAGCACAGGCCGACAAATCTGGCACCGCCACGACGCCACGACGCCACCCAAACCAAGGACGACCCAGGTAGCAGCATCATCTGCCATCATCCCAGGCCCAAAGCGGGAACGGACCACACGGGGGATGGAGGATGAGTACTCGACGTCCGGAGGAGGAAAATTTGAGCATTTCTGGGCCGCAGACGAGCTCCAGCAGCTGCTGCTGGGTGATGTGGCAACTTGAGGTGAGCCAAATTCACGCACCAGGGAAGTTGAGGGAACATGACGGATGGACTGCAAATTTCCCACACTAGGACCGTCAATTTACCGTCTGGATGCAGCTGATGCTTTGGCGGAGGACGTGTCTTTTGGGATAACCACTGATGGAATTTGTCGGAAATTCCTAATTTAGATTTCAACGCCTTGCAACGCGTTTCAATGCCCAAATGCAGAGCGTGTCTTTAAATAGGTTTCTATAATAGAGTCGTTATTTTCAATGACGGTTGCAATGAATGCTGAGTCATGACAATTACGACCACAGCATTGCATCACGTGGTAATCACAACTAGGGGTCGGAGTTGCCGACTATTTACCTTGCTCCGGCTTCGCCCGAGTTTTCTCGTCCCCAATTTTATTATTTTTCAACTACTTGTCACCGACGTTGATCTTGCTCTGGTAACTCTTATTTTAACATTCATGGCATCAAACTGAATATGAAAGCACATCAATTGTCAGAAGTATTGAAGAGTTCAAATACACTGACTCCTAGTGATGTTCCGGCCCGGCTTAGGCTCGGCTTCGAAGGGCTTAGGCTCACAAAAATTCAGAGCCTAGGCCAGTGAGCCCAAGCCAGCCCAAAGCCGGGGCTTAAGCCCAACCAGGCCACGGCTTTTCACAGCCAACAGACAGCTCAAGTCCACTGTGGCATTAGGCAGCATAATTACAATGTATCTAGTAAATGTCTGTCTCAGTGTCCGACACGTCCTCAGCATCATCACCCAAAAGCAGAATGTCCCAACCTTCTTTGTCATCACCAGTCTCTTCTACTTCTACTTCCACTTCTTCGTCATTGTCGTCCAGGTGCTCACTGGAGACCGACGATGACATAATGGCCAGATAATCCTGCGCAAGTGAAGCCCAAATGGGGTACCTCTGCGCATTTATCTTAAGTAGTAAGATTATCATTAGCGTGAAATTTTTGAGTAGCAAAAAAAATACATACACCCCACCATTGAATGGTAGACATGCCAGATGGTGGAGCTGCTTCAACTGTCTCAAGGTAGGCCAAAAATTCAGCCCACCATGGTCTTGTCGGGTCACCAATTGAAGTAGGCACTGGGTTGGCTGATGAATCATCCTCGGAGTCACTGAGGACTTCGCGAATTAACTTCTTGAGACTGCCAGTTCTGCTGGGTTTAGTTGTGTGTTGTGATGTCGATGATGTCACTTGGTTCAGCTGAAGATACCGTGCTTTGAACTAGTTGTAGCACATTCAGATTAAGTTGATAAAATAAAAAAGATGACTCACCACTGTCTCCGCAGTAGAAAGCACATCATCGTGCAGATCCTCTGGCCAATGCTTCGTGAAATATGACATTTTCCCTGTGGGGTTGAGTACTGAGGTGCAAATGTCAAACTCGCAGTCATTCATGAAAAAATAATCAACGTACACATTGACAATACATACGCAGCAGAGTGTGTCATCTTCTCATAATACTCGTCTACTTTGGCAGCTGCATCTTTGAGCACAGGAGCAAACTTTGCATATTTCAGCCTTTCTGCGCGTGATGACCAAGCCTTGTGAAGAGTTTTGAGTGCTGGGATTGCAAGGTGTAAGGTTGAACCTCGTTCAGATGAGAAAGCTTGTTGGGCCACATCAGCATACTAAAAAACCAAGATAAGTAGAAAGCTTCAAATAAATAGAAAATAATGTACCGAGAGAAGATCGGCAAACTGCCCAACATGTGTCCATTCAACATTTGACAGCTTCAAAAAGTCAATCTTTGCGTGTCTAGCTAAATCACGCTCTTGACGACCCATCTCATATACAAATGTGTCAATGTGTTCCTTATTCATCTCCGCACAGTTGAGCATAATATAAGTGGAGGACCACTGAACCTTCATGTCGATTAACAGTTGTGTTGGCTGGGACACACCTCCCTTGGTTTGAACATTCCGGTACAGCTCCTTTCGTTTTGCAGAGGAACATTCCTTAATGCAAATGCTATGAACGAGGCCAATTTCATCTCGATTGGACGGCTCGTGCGCTTTCGAATCATGGGGGCTGTAATGAGGGGATTTGCTGTACAAGCTGATCAAGGTCTGTGTCGCAATGTTGATAACGTGGGCTAGGCAGCTATTAGATTTGTCAGAGAGCAATTTTGTTAAGTAAGAAGTGATAATCGAACATACTTTATTTTCTGCTGGCGCCAGGGAAACTCCTTATCATATTTGGCCTCGTATAGCCTTGTGAATTCCTGTAGGGTGATGCCATTGTTTGCGGCATTGTCACAAGTGACGTGTCCAAGCTAGTGTGATTTATGAGACTAACGAATATACTTGCAGTAAACCTAACTTACCTTGTGTGTGACACCAACATGATTGAGGATTTTAAACAAAGCACCACTGAGATGCTTGCCTGTGTGGGCATTATTGACTTGAGTGAATCCAAGCAGTGCACTTTCGAGTTCCCATTGCATAGTAGTCTTCTCTTTGATCCAGTGTCCTGTGACAGCAAAGTAACCATCAGTATTTTTGGCCTGCCATGCGTCACAGGTAGTATTGATGGTGCCCTTGACAGTGGCACCCTACATAGGTCCACATTAGTCAAGTAGATAGAGCAATATCATAAAATTTACTTACATTGAGTTTGCTCCTGAGCCCCGTAAGATGAGTTTTGAAGGTTCTTATTATCTCCGCACGAGTTGCCTTCCTGCCTGGAATTTTGACGCTGTTGGTTGTGCGAGCCGCAATGTCAATCATTTCTTTGAACTTTGGATGTTTGAGTGCTTGAATTGGCTAGATAAATAGACATTAATTCAGTTCAATCAGTAAGAGAAATGTAGTACCTGATCAGTGGACACGAGCCACTCAATTGCAGCCTGTTTGAACAACCTATCCATATATGAAACCACTCGTTCGGCAAGCTTCTGCTCAGTCAGATGCGCATTAATACTCTGCTGCGCAGCATTTTCCTTGCGGGCCTTAATGTTGCCAGGAAGCATTGACTCAAACAAATGTTCTTTGGCCCATTTCCGATATTTGGCAGAGAATTTTGCCTCAGCGTGACGACAGAGGGTAGATATTTCATTAACAAGAATACATTCTTTCCTATTGAGCATGCATCAGCATGTGAGTACAACTACAAATCAGCAGACCTATGGGCATGTTTTGCACTTCCTGTGCTTTTTCACCTTTCTGTTTGCCCCTGCATGATCAAAGGTAGCACCAAAAAATTTGTCGATGTCAGCAGTTTTGGCCTCTTGTGTCGACACTGGTTCCGTGAGAGATTGAACGTCAATGTCGATTAGAATACCATCAGCGTCAACTAATTCTGGTTCAGTTGGCACAACAGCTGATTTGCGCTGCTTTCGAGGCTTGGGATTAGTATGTGCGTTTTCATGCTTGTCATTGCCAGATTCTCCATCAGAGTCTTCATAAGAGTCTTCAGGGTGCACCCTTTTGTGGGGGTCGACAGCAGATGATGCTGATGGTATGGGAGAGGTGCGTGGAGGTTCCGCAATTTCGGTGGAGGATGAAGTGGCAGCGCACTTAGCAGCCTCTGCAGCATGGAAGTCGTGAATTTCCTTGGTTTGGGATGGCAGTGCTGCCTTCTCCGCATGTTGAAGAAGGGCCGCCGTAGGTTTGGTTTTGCGTACAGGACGCGCAACATGGTGCTCGGTTTCTGTGCTCATCATAGGTAGGTAGCAGGTAGTTGGGATATTAGAGGGACACGTACCAACATAAATCAATTGAAAGATATTGGGTGGACAATCACACTTGCGAAGGTGAAGCACATAAGGCTTCAAAATTACCAAAAATATTGGCTTGTGCAGTTGAGATCTAGTTTGCCGATGGCGGAGTGAGTTATGTCGAGCTCACGATATGTTGGACAGAGTAGGCTTTTCGACTGCAATGTGAGTAATGTCGACCAACCAAAGCACAAATAAGACATGGCAACTCACTGTGACATATGGACCGTCAAAGCTGATAAGAGTGATGGAAGTCAGAAGGTCGAAAAGACAAAAATAGAGTCAGAAAATGTACCTCCGGTGAGGCTTCTATGGCAGTGCCACTGAACATGCCTAAGCCATGGCTTAGGCCGCTGGCTCAGGCTTTTTGAAATTCAAGCCCAGGCCCAAGCCTTTCTTAGGCCGTGACTTAGGCCTAGGCTGGGCCTGGCTTATTTGGGCCCGGCTTGGGCCAGCCTAGGGCCTCAAGCTGAGCTGTGCACATCACTAACGACAAGTGTACCATCAGTTGCATTTGGTGGTGTACTAGCGCTAAGGAATATATATATCAGTGCCAAGGATAAGAATGGTGAGCACTATTAACTAATCAACCATGAGTGCCAATATAGACGCCTGTACGCTGCATCCAGTGTGGGTTCACAGGATATTGTGGGCCTTGCCCTATGACCTTTACCTAGGTCACCCTGTTCCACTACATTCTCAGTTAACCTTTCATTGCCGACGAAGCTAATTGAGAAAGTATGGAGAACGATGATGTGAGGTATATCATATTACTATTGTCCTTGATGTTGCCACATCTGTTTTGCTAAACTTCTGGCATGACTGTGCTACAGGTCAGAAGATTTGCCAGACAATTTGACACCATTTATCAGTCGAACAACTGTGGACCCTGTTGACGGAGGTGGATTTGGGGATGTCTGGAAGTGTAATTACAATCATGCAAATGGTATTTCTGGTCTGGTCAGTCTATGTGTTGGATTCAATTTGCCAACCAGATGCTCATGACCGGAATATTGATTGATAAGGTTGCAGTCAAGGCCTTCAGACTTCTAGCACATTGTGATTTGAAGAAAATGAACAGGGTAAGCTCTGTGGATAACCGTATGATAGCATGCTAACTTGTACTTACGTTGGACGCACTCAGAACATCAGCCGAGAAATTGGCATATTGAAGATTCTACGCCATAACAACATTGTACCCTTGTGGGGTGTAGTGACAGGATTTGGACAAAGGCCAGAGTTGCGCTGTTTGGTATTCCCATGGATGCCAAATGGCACATTGGATGCATACCTAACATTTAGCACTTTAACAGTCCTGGACCGTTCGCGTATTGTGAGTCATTCTCATCGTATCCTTTCACTTTCCAAGACTCACTTGAAGTTGGAAGCTGGAGGATGTCAGCACTGGACTTCGTTACTGTTAGTTTTCCTCTCTCCTCCCAAGATGTTCAGGCTGTAACTTACTTTGATGCAAGTGCACTTGATTCCTGTCATGCATGGGGATATAACAGGGGCAAGTCCAGAGCTACTGAGCCATGATCAAAAACTCATGAATATGTAGGCAAATATACTGATCGACAAGGGAGGCCATGCGAGGTTAATTGATTTTGGTCTTTCCACCATTACACAACCCCTTCTCGACCAGTCGCACTTGGCTGTGACATCTATACATCCAGGCACAATCCGCTATGCAGCACCAGAGCTCGTTCTACCAGACGATGCCTGTGAGCTGCCAGCGGTTTTGGAAAAAGCTGATATATACTCTTTTGGCTGTATAATGCTTCAAGTGAGTTGTTGGTTTGATCGCAAGATATTTGTTCAGGGGTTAATTGACCAGGTTCTCTCGGGTCGGCGTCCTTGGTCTGAGACCACGTCAGAAGGGTTCATCATTATCAGGATTTCACAGGGTTATGGACCGCAACGCCCTGATGGTCATCCTGCTATAATAGACTCTGATTGGACATTCATCCAAAAATGTTTGCAATCTGGACCCGGACTTCGACCTTCAGCAGATGAAGTACTTGACTTTGTCATGCACAGGTTTCACTCTCCAGGTAATTCTGCATAGTTTGTAGGGCTTTCTGACCATCCACTTATACGAGCTTCAAGACTCTTGCAGTAGACCGCCTGATGATCCTTTCGATTATGCGCCAGATGATTCCCCCAGAGCGTCACCGCACGGTGATTCTCATAACTCAGATACATCAAAGCAACCACCCGACAGTCCGCATTGTAATCCGAATCCTTCAATCATATTCGGGCCTCAGTTTTTGGGATCTTAGTATGTTCACAAACAACATTCATATCCATATTTATAATTTGGGCAGCCGTCACGGTGATGCATCTAATTTACATGCCAGAACAGACCTCAACAATCGGCTTCAAGGTATGTTTGGGCCGACTGCATCCAGCCTAAATTGGGGTATTTACTCTCAAGGACTTACAAACCCTCTTACCTGGAACGCCAGTAAGTTGTCAGCAGAGTGATTATTGGTATTTCTCATCAAAATCACATAGTCGATGATATGAATTACGGGTCTGCCACAGCGTCCACTAGAGGTGGAGCCCAAGACCTTGCAGCGATGGAGGCGCTCAGAACTATAGAACAAGAAATGGAACATGTAGGACAGATAGGCCAAACAGTGCAGACAGTGCAGGCAGAGCAGATGGAGCAGATGGAGCAAATGAATGTGTCGGGGTCATGTCGTTGATCTGACGAATCAGGAAGGTGCAGACTCCCAAACTAATCATCCACACATGAGACTAGTTCGCAAGTTCTCAATTGTAATATATTGTAGTATATGAAAGCGAGCGTAGGAATATGTTAACATGTAAATATACATAGTTTGATGGATCACCATACACATGCATCAAAGACAGATTGGAAGCATACCATCTCGTACTATCTTCTCCAGCCCAGAAACAGCATAGACATTAGTGGCGAGAGTTTGAGGAAGATCAGCTAGTGAATCAGTGATCGTGAAAGTGTTCCTTCAAGATCCGTATCTTGGTCTGAGTCCAACATCATCTGGATGTCCGTGTGTATACGTGCCACTGTAAAAAGTTTGAGCAGCAGGCTCAAAGTTACAGGGCTCAATAGTTTTCTGATTGCACTTCCATAAGGGACGTGGAGAAGAGGAAGCAGATGGCATACATACTAGGCACCTTCATCAGAGGTCTCCCAGTCGATGTGAATCTTGATTCATAGCGCATAGAAGGTATCCTGCTGGTAGTATTATGTCATTCCGGCTTCCACATTCTATGAATAATCGAGGGCAGTATTGGTGAATTGAGACAAATCCTTCACCAAACGGGATCTATGTCCATGTAGGTTCTCCAGATGCAAACTGAGTACTGAGTACTCGCGCTCGTACACGGGTCGGTACACGGTATATGTTGGGATTTGAAGAATAAATGGCAAGTGGATGACAGGTCATAGTAGTCTGATATCAACAGCGTTAGTTTGCGGCAGTAGTGGTGCATCATCACAAGCCGAAGAACACATTCGACGATTAAAGTGTAAATTCATATTTATTACCTGTGCCATGCTCGATCTCATCAGCCGTGACTGCAGCTACATTCGAAAGACTAGGTCACTCGGACCATCAATATTTTGGCAAGTGGCGAGACGATAAACGCTCTCCCGGAATACGTGAGACTATAAAGGATCCATGTATATAGTTACAATACCTCTAGTGTCCTGATGTCGATCAAGTGGCTAATAGAACCCATGTCTTTGACCTGTGCAATGATATCATGTTCGGATGCGATCCTCTTGAATTCCCCGTCGCGCTGCCGCGCTAGCAAAAATGCACTGAACGGCTGTCCATGGCGAACAATCAACCGCAATGCTCGCGAGTCAGAATCCGAACAAATCGGCCCAGTGTGCGCAGCGGGTGAACTGTACAACGAAGATTCGAGCACAGACCAATTGCCCACGCTCTGCGTATCGTCTACAGTGTCGTGCAACCCGAGGAGATAGCGACTCCATGGACGAACGAGCAAGATCGTTTGCCAGGCGGGTGGAGGTCTTGCCGGCGAGAACGAAGTAAACTTGTCTTCTGTGGTGATCTCCAGGTTGTGAAGTCCGTCTGACTTGAGTTCATACGTATATGTATCCTGGTCATGACTTGGCCTCCGCCTGGCTCCTGTGACTGGGAATACGATGCAAGGCAGATGCAACCGGCGGTGTGCGAATCGGGGAACGCTGAGGCAGTCAAGTGACTGATATAGTTGCAAGGCTGACTGTAAAGCCACAACACCTCGCAGCGAGGAGACAAATGACTGAATCTCATCTTCAGATAGAGATGGCAGTTTGCACGGTGGAGCTTCATATGAACTGATGTCGGCTGGTAGACAGCTGTTGAACTCTGATGATTTTCCGACCCAGTCCAGGGCAGTAATATCACCAGACTGAGCTATAATTTCCTGCAGAAGCCGCCCGAGCGCGTTCTGCTTCTTCTCGGTATAATCAACATGTAGGCGGACACCGAAGATACCGAATAACGAGTATGCGATATCTTCTTGTAACGTGGTAGTACGTGTCGACGCCCACTGAAGCTTCTCTCGGGCGTCTCTCATCCCGGGACGGAAGGCCACAACGGCTTGTCGATCTATGCCCGTCACGTTCTCCAACTCCTGCATGATCACAGCAGATTCCTTATGGTTTGGAGTGTGATCGTCGAGATAAAGAGTCCAATCTTTCTGATAAAAGAGAATGACTTTGGGAGCGAGAAATTCTTGAACCGTCCATCCGCGTGTGTTCCAAACGCTCTTTCCCAGCGCACCAGGCTTTGACAAAGGCGGGACATCTGAGAGGTATACGACTGTGAATGCGGAGTTGCGATACCAGGCGAACATGGACTTGACCGATGCTTGGAGCTCAACATCGGTGTTCTTGTCTATGCAGCATGTGTCGCTCCATGCCCAGTTACACCCCAAATCACGAGCAGTTTTGCAGAAGAACTGCAACTTCTTGGTGCCGCCAACTGGATCCAACTCATAGATGTCCTCGCCCTGGATATCCTGCAGGAGCGGCTCCTCATCCTCCCACCTGTGTGATAACATGACATATTGGAAGTATGTCATCACCACTTCTTCGATGCGCTTCATTTGGATATCTGGATGCGTAATTGTTGATGACACAAGCTCCTTGTACTCTATGCTCATTTTGAAGGTGCGTATCTGCATCTCTCGATCGCATAAGAGACCGGTGGTGGTGTCGATGATGCGCAACGGAGCACTGTCAAGTTGGGCGTCGATGACTTTTCTAATAGCACGGTCTACCTCGGATGGACTAAGATACTGCTGGCGCAACTCTGCAGAAACAGTTCAAGCATGTTAATGCACGAGTTCTCTGAGGCTTACTTCGTGTCTCAGTGTCAGGGGCATCATCTAATTTCGAGAGCATGATTCGGAAAGCCTGCATCGCTTCGTCGTAGCGTTGTGCGCCATGAAGCGCTGCATACTTCAACTTGTATCCAAAATGAGACAAAGGGTTGAGTTGAATGACCTGTGCATCACCACAATGAGCACATGTGAAGAAACAATAAATGCTATCGCACCATTTGCGCGTCGAGAAGGGCCTCGTCCCATAGCATTTTGCCTAACCTTGCCCTACTACGATTTGCAAAGATGGTATCAGATGCAAAATTCAGGTCGATCGCGGCCGAGTAAAGTTCGATAGCCAGATCAAAATCGCTTACAGCGAGCGCAGTATCTCCACTGGTGAGAAATGGGGCACTGCATTGTTCTGTGGAAGCTGAGTAAAATGGGGGTGAGGATTACAACCTCAGGCGATATCACTGAAAACTTGCCCGTGGACCAGTCAAGGCAACTGGCCTTTGTTGTTTCGTGGACGTTGTCCATCATAGATCTGTGTAATTCGAGTGCTTCATGGACTTTTCCTGTGGAAAAGAAAGCCTGGCACTGTTTCTGGTGTGCAATGAGCCGCAACGATTTGAAATCCCAGCCGAAGAGCTGTACGAGGGATCAGTTATGAGAAGAATTTCAGATGTATATTCACGTACCACCACCAAGTCCTCGTACATGGAATAAATGGGCAAACTCCATGAGAGAACACTGGAGTTGAGGACGACAGTAAAATGGTTAGCGGCTTCTTCGTGATGTGCACGATCCAAGGCCTTGATTCCGAGTTGAACACGCATATATGCCTAATGTGCAAGTTACAAAGATCGGTTTTGATGGCTAAGGGTGGATGATGCTTACTTGCACGACACAACACCCAAGAACATCAGCATTTGGACAACCAGTAACGAGTTCTTTGAGGAGTATGTTTGCTTCGTCATGTTGATCCGCATTAAAGAGGGCGATGGACTGAAATACGCGATGAAGCGGAGAATACGTGAGGCAAATGTAAACGTACTTTGATCAAGAGCAGGAAATGTAGGATTTGTGGATTCTGGTCCGTGTATATTAATGCGACATCGAATGCTGCCCTCGCATCTGGGACACGGCCTTGTCCACAGAGGGCAATACCCTTGGAGATGTATCCTATCAATGAGGGCTGAATGCTGATGGACTATGTCACCGACGAGTTGTCCTTTTGTAAGTGGGCCATGATCAGTGCGTATCACTCACCTCGGTTGCATCCTGAAGGGCACGGTCCCAGCTGTGTCGTCGAGCCATCACGAATGAGCGATGAGCATATGAAGTATGGTTGTTAGCATTGGTGTTGATATCTCGAGTAAGTAGTTCTTCAGCAGTGGACAAGTGCCCATCTATGCATGCATCCCGGGCTGTTGTGATGGCTAGCATCTGTACAAGACATGCTCGCATTGTAGTATATGAGTCAAGGACAGAAACATGCCTTTGAAAAAATACCCGGAGGCACTGCCCACTCCGAGATCATGGTATCGCCGCCTCCGCTGAGGATATGCTTGCCGTCTGCGGAGAAAGTGACGCATGACGTCAAGGATTTATGCTTGAACGTGGCGACAGTTTGTCGATCTGAGAGCCGCCAAAGACGGACATATTTGTCATCAGATGCGGACGCGATGAGTGTGCCAGCAGGATTGATGGCGATGGCAAGAATATGTTTAGTGTGGCCCGTCCAAGGCTCACCGACCTGCTGCCAGGTGGTTGTATCCCATTCACGGATGGTAGGATCCTTATAATCGCCGCCTGTAAGAAGGCGTGTGCCATCGGGCGTCCATGTGAGTGAGCAGTTGTATGATGTGTGGGCCTTGAAGGATGCGATATGTTCCCTCGTAGCTGGATCATGAATTTGGATATTGTCTTTTGTTGCGATGGCAAGAAATTCTCCAGAGGGCGAATATCGAACACACAAGACATCATTACCACACTTAATTGGATCCCTTTGCTCCCGCCATGTTCCACAGTTTCGTCTTTCTGTCATGATATGCACTAGTGGCCAGCACTGTTCCATCTGGAGAAAAGTCCAGCGAGATGATATAACCGAAATGGGCTTCGAGGATTTGTGTGAGTATTTCACCAGTTTCTCCGTGCCAGACGATGACCCCTCCCCTCCAATCACCGCTTGCTATCAATTGCCCATCTCGTGATACTGCCAATCTCAACACATCACTGTGGTGTCCCTCCATCTTCTTCAACACAACACCTTTTTTCAAGTCCCATAATCGAAGCGTGTTGTCCCATGAGCCCGTAACCATCCGTTGTTTATCGGGGAACACTGCGACTGCGTTTGCGCAGTTTGTATGGCCCCCAAACTCTCGCAGGGGTGTGATGATCGGAGTGAGCTCCGACATTTCTGATAGTGTCGAGCACGGTCAAAGTGGATTTTGGAGGGATTATGGGTGTTTTTCTGCAGAGGTGCGTGGCCTAAAATATGCATTGACCTGTTCGCCTCCACGACTTCATCACTGTTACGGCAACAATGCACCCTATTATCATACCCGCCGACAGTCACGGCATACCAGCATACAGGTACATGCGCCCGACTCCGTCTTTGTTGGCAATTGTACTAGTTACTTCTTATCTTGACGCATGCACTATATTATCTTCTATCTCTTACAATTTGCACCATGTGCTACCTAATACCTTCGACACTCAGCCACAGATTCGCATGTCCACTTATCAATAGCATCAACAAATCGTCGAGTTCCTTTTGTACCTTGAGCTACTTAAAGCCAGTCTCGCTGCTATTAATATTGTTTCTAGAAAGTCTAACTGCAGGGTTTATTGCTGCAGAGCTTAACGATTCACTGCTTGCACTTCCTCGTGGAGGTGCAGAAGAAGCAGGCGAGATAGTACATAGCCATTTTCTTTAACAGCCTTGCAGTCAACATGGTAGATGTGGACTTCGACCAAGACGTTCGACATGCGATCGAAGTCTGAAATGCGTGTATTTTTGAAAAACTTTGCGAATTTCTTAGATTCCAGTCTGCCTCAGTTTGTACTTGGACGTCTATTGCTACCTATCTGCTTTTTATTGTCGATTTTCATTGGCCATGATGACTATTATTTTTTTTGTAACGCTGTTCCTGCTCTTTCTGAGTACAGAGTCGTCGGGGTATGTATGCCACGGAATAACTTGGTATCGTCGTGATTGTCTAAAACTTAGAGGAAGTTGTGAATGCTGGACCGCGATAAGTGGATCTTTGATCAGGCGCATGCCAAGAAAGAAAGAGTTTAAATTTCCAAAAGATACCTTGCGGGGTCATTGGCATACTAATGGCATGGGCAAATTGCAGGTACTGCATACAAGGGACAGCGTTTTATGGTTACGAAGTATAGAATTGTCGATGCCAGCAGGTAGGCCGCTAGGTCGCTCCTGTAGGTTCTGCCGAAATTTCTGCCATATAGCAACAACGGTTCTGCCAAATCGATCAAAATCGTGCCGATTTGTATATGCAGGATATAAAATCTGGCTGTCGTTCTATATCACGGTGGTTTCCCATCCTCAGAGATATCATCCCCTCAGAAAATCCCATAGATTTCGCAGAGAAAATGCGTTTATCCTTCATCGCCATTGTTATCGCTTTCACAGTATCTCATTTTGTTAGTGGATGTAAGAAACAATCGCAAGCTTGCTCAACAAATGACGAATGCTGCTGGGAATTTATTTGTGACGTTGATGAGGTGAGTATGAGCAGGTCGCTGTGCAATTAGGATTCACTCGCCTGCGCACCCTAGGATGACGATATGGTCTGCATACCGGACCTTGCAAGGCGAGACTGAGTTAGAAATTAAGCCAACAGCCTGAGCGGCACATCGCGCCTAGTATTACTAGATCGTAAGTCGTCGAATTTTGTGAAGTGTCATGATGATAGATTATATTTTGAAACTAGACGCTGTCGTCCCACTTTCACATAGTCACGTGTACCCAATTCCATGTTCACTGACAACTCTTTACTTTACACCGCTGAACAATCGGCTCTTTGGTAGTGATCTCCAGGTTGCGAAGCCCGCCTGGTGTGAGTTCATACGCATATGTATCCTGGTCATGACCTGGCCTCCGCCTGGCTTCTGTGACCGGGAATACGATGCAAGGCAGATGCAGGCTGACGTTCCTGAAATAAGCAACGCTCATATAATCAAGTTGGACGAAAAGTTTCGGAGACAAATCCAAAAAACCACGGGATTTTTTCGCAGCGAGGATAGTTGTCTGAATCTGATCTTCGGACAAAGATGGAAGAGTGTGTGGAGCAGTGGAGTAAGAAGTAATATAGGCTGGAAGACAGCTATTGGACTCGGAAGGTTGTCCGACCCAGTCGAGGACAGTGATGTTGCCTGACCGGGCCACAATCTCCTGTAGGAGCCGCCCGAGTGCATTCTGTTTCTTCTCGCCGTAGATTGCAGGTGGGCGGACACCGAAGATGCCAAACAATGAGTACGCAATATCTTCTTGCAATGTAGTAACGCAAGATGATGCCCACTGAAATTTCTGTCGGGCGTAGCTCATCCCTGGGTGAAAAGAGATCAGGGCCTGTGCATCTATGCCCATCGCATCCTCCAACTCCTTCATGACTGCAGGGGACTTTTTGTGGTTGGCAAATGGACGTGCGAATCTGTGGCTGAGTGTGCTTCGAAGGTGAATAGGTAGCACATGGTGCAAATTTAAACTACCATCTGCTCCATCTGCTCTGTCCGCACTGTTTGGCCCGTTCTTCCTGCACGTTCCATTTCCATTTCTCGTTCTATATTTCCAAGCGCCTGCATCGCTGCAACTTCTTGGGCTTCCAATTTAGTGGACGCTGTGCCAAACCCGTAATTCATGTCGTCGACTATGTGATTTTGATCAAAAATACCAATAATCACACTGCTGACAACTTACTGTATATCTCGGCGTGCCAGGTAAGAGCGTGTGGAAGTCCTTGGGAGGAATTGTCCCATCTTACACGCCCGGATGTGGTCGACCTATACGTAGCTTGAAGCCAATTGTGGAGTGTTACTCGTGCGTGCAGATTAGATGTACCACTCTGACGGCTGCCCAAATATAAATATGGACACATGCATACGAAGGTTGTGTGTGAACATACTAAGATCCCCAAACCTGAGGCTCAAATATGATTGAAGGATTCGGATTACAATGTGGACTGTCGGGTGGTCGTTCTACTGTATCTGAGTTATTAGAACCACAGTGCGGGGATGCTCCGGAAGAATCGTCAGGCGGTCTACTGCAAGAGTCTAGAAGCTCGTATAAGTGGATGGTCGAAAAGCACTACGAACTACGCAGAATTACCTGGAGAGGAAGACCTATGCGTGACAAAGTCGAGTACTTCATCTGCTGAAGGTCGAAGTTTGGGTTCGAATTGCAAGCATTCTTGGATGAAGTTCCAATCCGAGTCCAATATTTCAGGATCACCATCTGGACGCTGGGGTCCACGACCTTGGTATATCATGACAGGAATGAGAGCATCCAGCCTTCCAGATTTAATCTCAGACCAAGGGGGCCGACCCGAGAGAATCTGTTCAATCAATCCTCAGAAGAACGTTTTGTGGCGAAACATCAACTCACCTGAAGCATCACACAACCAAAAGAGTAGATATCGATTTTTCCCGCCAGCTCCCGATCGTGCACGTCGTCCGATAAAACGAATTCTGGTGCAGCATAGCAGATTGCACCTGGATATATAGATGTCGCGGCCAAGAGCGACTGGCCGATAAGGGGCTGAACGATGGTGGAAAGGCCAAAATCGATTAACCTCGCATTGCCTCGATCGTCGATCAGGATATTTGCCTGCACATTCATGAGTTTTTAAAAATGCAACAGCAGCTCCGAATTTACCCCTGTTATATCCTCGTGCATTACACGAACCGAGTGGACTTGCATCAAAGTTACAAGTAAACGTCTTGAGAAAATAGATGGAAACTAACGGTAACGAAGTCCAGCGCTGACATCCTCCAGCTTGCAACTGGGAGTGAGTCCTGAAGAAGTGAAAGCATAAGGTGAGAATTGCTCACCAGATGTGAACGGTCCAGGACTGTTAGATCGTTGTGCTTGGATGCTAGGTATGCACTCAACGTGCCGTTCGGCATCCACGGAGACACCAAGCAGCGCAACTCCGGCATGGGTCCAAATCCTGTTGCTATGCCCCACAAGGGTACAATGTTGTTATGGCGTAGGATCTTCAATATACCAATTTCTCGGCTGATTTTCTAGATGCGTCCAAAAGTTAGTGTACTAGGCTGATACGTGATTCATGTACAGAGCTTACCCTGTTGAGTTTCTGCATATCATAACGCTGCGGAAGTCTGAAGGCCTTGAGCGCAACCTTATCGATCAATGAGCCAATTGTCAGCCAGCGGCCCGGGCATGGTAAATTGAATCCAACGCAAAAACTGACGAGGGCAGAAATGCTATTTTCACCATGATTGTAATTCAAGTCGCACTTCCAGACATCACCAAATCCACCTCCGCTCGTCGGGTCCAGAGATGTTCGAGTGATAAAGGGCGTCAAATCATCTGGCAAGTCTTCTGTCCTGCAGCACGGACCCATCAGGAGCAGATATGGCGACAGCGAGCGCAGCGACAATGTGATCATACCTCAATTTATCGTTCATCATGCTCTTTGAGTCAACTTCAAGTCGTGGACGATGAAAGGTCAACTGAGAATGTAGGTTAAGAACCCACACTGGATTCAGTAGAGCTATTTAGAGATATTCGGGCCCTCAGTCCTTGCATAACGGAGCGCCAGCTATTTTGACGCTGCACTGCACGCGTCAGGCGTCGCCGCGTCGACGATAAGTTGTGCCAGCGGGGCCCACAAGTACTTGGTGATGAAAGTTGGAAATACAACCTAATACTTAGTAATATTTCGGTATACCTTTATGACGTAGTAAAGTTTAAACCCAGTACTGCAGTCAACCATTCCAGATAATCTCATAAAATCAGTATTATATATTGAACGCTTGTACACCGACCGGCGACAGTGCAGTGCACCCGACTCCGTCTTTGTTGGCAATTGTACTATGCAGTTACTTCTTGTATTGACGCATGCACTATTCTTATCTCTTTCAATTTGCACCATGTGCTACCTACTCACCTTCGACACTCAGCCACAGATTCGCATGTCCACTTATCAATAGCATCAACAAATCATCGAGTTCCTTTTGTCAGTCTCGCTGCCATTAATATTGTTTCTAGAAAGTCTAACTGTACGATTGATTGCTGCAGAGCTTAATGACTCACTGCTTGCACTTCCTCGCGGAGGTTCAGAAGAAGCAGACGAGATAGTAGCCATCTTCTTTAACAGCCTCGCAGTCAACATGATAGATGTGGACTTCGACCCAGACGTTGAAGATGCAAAGAATTGATATTCCTCCGGATCGTAATATTATCTCCTGGTTCACAGTCGCTGCCTCCTTTTCAACCTTCGCCTTCGCAACTTGCGTTCGCCTCGAATTCTCGTCCATCTCCGCAGTGCCATTACATATTATCCTGCAGCCAGCTCTGGATTGAAATACACACCATCTTTCGCAGGTGCAGTCGCTGGATACCCACGCGACGGGACTTTCGTCGAGAAATTTCATTGGATATAGTTTTCTTAATAAATCAAACGCAAATTTAGATGAAAAGCGTGCTTTTCGACTGTGTGCCGTACGGCGAGGGGTAGATGTGCTGGTGCTTGATGCACATGTGGATGCGTGCGCAGACGCATCCGAACGGGCTGTTGCCAAGCGGAACAAAAGCAAGTCAAAAACACCTTGGATATCTCGTGTGAGAGGAGTACGCACGTTTCTGTTCTTGCTTTCCCTTCTTTTGCTCTCTGCATTGTGCATGAGTTCTCGGATGACAGGGTCGGATTGAGATTACTTCCATGTAACATAATCGACCTCGTCGAAACGTTCATGGTCCACTCGGAGTACTGGCGCGAGAATCTATTACAGAGTGTTAGTGTGACGTTAGTCGAAATCATGGACTACGGTACAACAAGCAATGGTCTTTAGTACCTAACTCGTATGTAGATGGATTATCAAAAGACATGTTGAGAGCATACCACATGGGCGCTTACAAAAGGCCCTTTTCACATGCGTCAACGTTCGCAGGCTCAAGATCCGCTCGGAACGTATATCTTGCCACATGACAACCACATGAGGTGTTTCGCATGATCAGTATCAATGTGCAACTTCATTTTTGCACACAAACTATCAGGAGTTGCACCTTAGAAGCGACCACCCGCGGCTCCGAGGTAACAAAACCAGATTCATGTCAAAATTGGGTGCACATATCATGTAGGTATACAGTCTCCAAGTCCGAAATATCGAAGTCCTTGGCAATAGGTTGCACGTATTTATGCCATGACTAGATGCCAAGTCGTCACATGAATGCTTTCATCAACAAGATGGGAGGGCGCACGGAGTTGATCATATGCCAATATGCACAAACGCTATGCGCTGGGACAAGGGTATGTCTCTGTCACTAGCTAACGACTGGACCGCTCGGTGCAGCGCCCAGGCAGCTCGTTTGGGATCCATTGTGCCACCCTCGCAAAACCTTTCGTAGAATGCCTTGACTAAGCGCTGCACAGTATCATCGTTGACCTTCCACAACGTCCCGACGACACTCCTAACCCCAGCAAATTGCAGGCCAGCCGCTAGGTGTATCACCTCGTCGGGCGTTCTGAAGTCACCGACCGCGGTTTCACAGGCAGAAAGAAAGGCAAAATGATGCTGAGACAGATCCATCTGTGCAATATCAAGGAGCGACAGAGGTTGGTCGCGCATAAGAAAGGCTGAGTTGAAGGGTTCATCAAATCTCTGTGTCCCATAACATGCGAGATGGATCCAAGTATTTTCTTGCAATGCGCGCAGTGCTCTCGATTTTGTGGCGTCAACGCTGGTTATCTTGGAGAAGGAGACAGTTGGGGGAGGAGGCAAAAGTTTCCGCACCAATTCCAGCTCAGGCTCCACAGCATCCAAAGTGAAAGAGGCACCGGCTGGGAAATTCTGACCGATGGCGACGAAGGGCACTGACGTGGGTCTGTCATGAGTTGCGCGAGCCTTGATCAGCGCGGTGAGAGATGGGGTGTATGAAGATATATAGAGCTGCGAAAGAGACTTTCCCCCATTTCTGTACTCGCGAGCAGCATGCAACGGCAAGAAATTGAAGAGAGACGTCGGGCACCACCATATTCGGGAGCCTAGTCCTACCAATCCACGCAATTTCTCGACCACTGGGCCGACGACATTGTTCCACAACTCGTTCAAAGCTTCCACCAGCGCGTGCCCGGTCTCTTTCTCAACTGACTCTCGAAATGTGAGTACCAATTTGGCGAGTTTCTGAATATCGGTAGGGAGTTGAATGCTGGTGGGAGGTTGCTTGTGTGGGATAATAATGGCATCGCAAGATGATTCGCTTGCGATGAGCATGATGACGAGCCCATCGCGAGCTGCATCTTGAAGATCGGAGAACAAAGGGGGGAGCAGGAAGCGAGAGAAGCCCTCAATCATCCTGATCTCTTCCACAGTTCCATTCCAGTCCTCCACTAGACGTCTGTACCGGGTGGCTTCTGCTTCTACATCGACTCTTTGGGTCCCTTCTGGATGGCTTGCAGGAGGTTTATCAAGGAGGGAGCTGAGGTCTGTAAATCTCTTCATCAGAGTCACTGCATGATCGCCGCAAGTCTGGAGCCCATCAAGAGGTGTGCGGAGTCGAGTCATCTGGGTCCAGATGATGGTCCTGCCTTGCTCCAACAACTCAACAGCGCGAATCACATCACCACTACGAAGAGCACACGATGCAGCATCCACGACAAGTGTACTTGGGAATTCCTTCATGGCATTATGACGAGATGATAAGGAGGCTGTCACAGACATGTAAGCGTCCAGAAGTTGCATAGAAGTCACATAAGCCTCCAGTTGAGTACCATGCGAATGCTGATCAGCATGGCGCACCCAACTTAGACTTGCGCGCAGGCGAGATGGCAAGCCTGCAGAGACAATATGTGCTGCTGCCTTAAAATGATGCATGGCAGCATTTAAACTCTCTATATTTTTCCAAGCGCCGGAGCTATCAAGCTTTGAATGATGGATTGACAGGTAGACCTTAGCCATCGATGTGTGGACTACGGATCGACGAGGATCATGCTGCGTTAACAATGTCAATGCATGAAGTAGGTTCTCTCGTGACTCGTTCAAGTCTTTGCCATTGCCTCGATGATCAAAGCGTGAGGAGAGTGTATCTGCGAGGTCGTTTAATGACTTGGACCGATCTCTATGACCGACCGGGAGCAAAGCCAGCGCTTCCCTGAGAAGTGCGATGGCATCATCCAAGTCTTTGTCGTTGCCTCGGTGGTCAAAGCGGGAGGAGAGTGTATTCGCGAGGTCGTTTAATGACTTGGACCGATCTGTGTGACCGACTGGGCGTAAAGCCAGCGCTTCCTTGTGAAGTGCGATAGCATTATCTAAGTCTTCGCCGTTGCCTCGGTAGTCAAAGCGGGAGGAGAGTCGATTCGCGAGGTTGTTTAATGAATCGGACCGATCTGTGTGACCGACCGGGAGCAAAGCCAGCGCTTCCCTGTGAAGTGCGATAGCATCATCCAAGTCTTCGCCGTTGCCTCGGTGGTCAAAGCGGGAGGAGAGGTGAGTCGCGAGGTTGTTTAATGACTTGGACCGATCTGTGTGACCGACCGGGCGCAAAGCCAGCGCTTCCCTGCAAAGGGCGATAGCATCATCCAAGTCTTTGTCGCTGCCTCGACGCTCAAAGCGAGTTCCTAGCATTACAGCTAGATTGCCTAGCAATTGCCCTCGGCAAGCATGCCAGGCGTTGTAGTATCCCAGTGCATCATAATGAAGGGATATCACTTCATCTAAGGCGCTGAGTTCATCTCTCTCCAAACACCGCTGTGCTTGATCAGCAAGTTGATCTGGCGATAACGGAAGCATAGATGGGGCGTGCCACTCCTGCCCGAGATCATTTGCCGATTAGTTGTGGTAAGTTATGGTCAGAACGATGACTTACAGGTCTTGGTGTAGTGGAGGACTCGGATATTCCACTCTGTGAGTCATGATAAGAGGAATGTGGTACGGAAACTACAGAAGCACTCGACGTGGAGGCAGACAAATTATCCGCGACCATGAACAAAGTCTTCATATCATGATCAGGGGGGAGTGGCGGACTGTCGGGTGGTTGTTCTGCTGTATGCGAGTCTTCGGAACCACCGTGCGGGGAGGCTCCAGGGAAATCATCCGGCGCATCATCGGAAGGATCGTCAGGCGGTCTACTACAAGAGTCTTGCTCGTGTAAGTGGATGGTCGAAAAGCACTACGAACTATGCAGAATCACCTGGAGAATAAAACCTACGCGTGACAAAGTCGAGTACTTCATCTGCTGAAGGTCGAAGTTCGGGTCCAGATTGCAAACATTTTTGGATAAATTTCCAATCAGAGTCCATTATGGCAGGATGACCGTCGGGGCGTTGCGGTCCACAACCATGTGAAATGCTAACGATGATGAACCCTTCCGATGGAATCTCAGACCAAGGACGCCGACCCGAGAGAACCTGGTCAATCAGCTCCCGAACACATATCTTGTGATCAAACCAACAACTCACTTGAAGCATTATACAACCAAAAGAGTATATATCGGCTTTTTCCAAAACCACTGGCAGCTCACGGGCATCGTCTGGTAGAACGAGCTCTGGTGCTGCATAGCGGATTGCGCCTGGACGTATGGATGTCGCAGCCAAGTGCGACTGGCCTAGAAGGGGTTGTGTAATGGTGGAAAGACCAAAATCGATTAACCTCGCATGGCCTCCCCTGTCGATCAGTATATTTGCCTACATATTCATGAGTTTTCGATAATGCCTCAGTGGCTTCGGACTTGCCCCTGTTATATCCCCATGCATGACAGGAACCGAGTGCACTTGCATCAAAGTAAGTTACGGCCTGAACGTTTGTGGAGCAGAGAGGGAAACTAACGGTAACGAAGTCCAGCGCTGACATCCTCCAGCTTCCAACTTCAAGTGAGTCCTGGAAAATGAAAGGATACGATGAGAATGACTCACAATACGCGAACGGTCCAGGACTGTCAGAGTGTTGTGGTTAGATGTCAGGTATGTACTCAATTTGCCATTTGGCATCCACGGAGATACCAAGCAGCGCAGCTCTGGCCTTAGTCCAAATCCTGTTGCTATACCCCACAAGGGTACAATGTTGTTATGGCGTAGAATCCTCAATATGCCAATTTCTCGGCTGATTTTCTGCGTGCGTCCAACATAAGTACAAGTGTGCTATGATGTGGCTCTCCACGGAGCTTACCCTGTTCATTTTCTCTAAATCACAATACGCTGGAAGTCTGAAGGCCTTGATTGCAACCTTATCGATCAATATTCCGGTCATGATCAGCCAGTTAGTAGATTGAATCCAACACATAGACTTACCAGAGCAGAGATACCACTGACATCATGATTATAATTACACTTCCAGACATCCCCAAATCCACCTGTATCAACAGGGTACACGGTTGTTCGACTGATAAAGGGCGTCAAATCGTCTGGCAAATCTTCTGTCCTGCAGTACGGACCCATCAGAAACAGATACGGCGACACCGAGCACAGCGACAGTATGATCATACCTCACTTCATCGTTCTCCATGATTTTTCAGCCAGTTTCGAGTCGTGAACGATGAAATCAACTGAGGATGTAGATCAGATCCAGTGAAAAGTCGAAACTCTGAGGGTAGGGTATCTTACGAACCCACACTGGATTCAGCAGGACCTTCCCATGTAAACATGAAGCTGTTTAGAGATATTAAATACTTGCATAACGGGACGCCAGCTATTTTGACGCTGCACTGCACGCGTCGCGTTGACGATAAGTTGTGCTAGCGGGGCCCAAACTTGAAATATTTTGGTACACCTTTAATTATGACGTAGTATGTCAACA